TCGTGATGATAGGACCCCCCTACTTCTCCCGCTAGCTCTTTCCCGGGGGAATGGGCTCGTGATAGTCGTCTCCCGGCTCAAGTTGCTCCCTCCTTCCCTAGTCACCCACTTCCGATGCTGTCATTAGTACACTTAAAACTGCTGAAGGGAAGGAAGGCCTGACTCGAGTTGGCCTATGAGGACGGCGTCCTTCTATCCGACCTGATTGATATTGAGGATGGGAGACGATGATGGGTTTTGGCGATGTGGAGAATAAAACCTTGGGTCAGCGTTGGGCCAAAAGAAGCATTGAATCTAGGAAGATAGATATGCACGGCCCTTTTAGAGAGTCTAATGTCGGACGGATTCTCAGGTCTAGGCGTCTTCGTCCCTCCGTTAGTTGTATGCAAAGTGAAAGCACCCGGATGGCCCAGTGGCCCCAAGATTCCAGTATTACCGCTACAGGACCAGGATAGCCAGGCAGCTAGCAAGCAAGAAAGCAAGTAGTAGGTACTACTTAGTACAGTAAGTAGTGTGTCAGAAAGGGCCAAGCAAAGCCGCCTCGACGTTGGTTCGGAAACTTTGGTGCCTAGCCTCGTAATTCCTACATAGTACACAGAAGTCTGCAAGGTGGCGTCGCAAGGCACTAGACCAGAGCTTGCATTTTCTTTTCCCCTTTCCCCAGTGGTGCGCTGCTGCAGCAGCAGCTCAAAAGAGGGATTGGCGGAAAGGCTGGTTGGTCCAACGTCGATCGCAAGGGGGGAGACTTTCAACCATACGGTGTGAGGATCTGCGCAGGACGGCACAGGTGATGATGAGAAGACATGCCGCTAACAAATCTAATTCTTGTAGCAAATATCAAAGGATACAATCAATGATACCGGGGCGACCCGTTCTGCCAGACGAGACGTTAGTCTGCAGGACTTCTGTAGCTAGAGGAGGGGCTCGGGCTAAACAGGCGCCTCTTCTCTGATGGGAAGCCTATCTTGTTTTCATTATCCTATGCACGACATGCAGCAGTAACACCAGAAGGAAAGGGAAAACGTTTTGGGGGGGGGGGGGAACGCAGCCGGGAGAATTCGGGAGTTTGGCTCCGGACACAAGGACCACAGCCAGCGGGGGATTGGGGTTGAAAAGGAAGGTACGGTTCCTGGGTGAGAGATAACTACGTCTGTACGCCCGCAGGGGGAGCAGCGGTGAGCGTGGCTGCCTTTGCTGCAGCTGCAAACGAATGGTCCCAATAAACGGCCTTCAAGCAAGATGATGCTGACCTTGTTCCCCGGCGTTGCTTTGATCTAGAATAGGGCTTGCTGGCATACGTCAAGAATCAGGGGGCCTCTGGCCAATGAAAAGGATCAGGGACGAGTCTTCTCCATAAACCTTGATTGAGGATGTCTGAGCTTGGGGTGGTCTCACAGCCTGTGGGGTAAGGAAGTAGGGTAAGGAAAGGTTTCAATCCCAATTGCGCAGTCCAGCAGGTGATTGTTGGGATAATTCGTCCGTGAACTACAAAGAAATTATCAAAGGAAACTAGCTGACAGCATGGGCAAGAACTCATTCATCATTCATTCATCTATTGAAAACACACCCAATCCAACATTGTGCAACGCAAAGACTTGGAAAGCGGAATTCGTTCCTGAGGCCAGGAGGGAGTAGTGACATGTTGTACATTCCTAAGGGTTTGGATGACATCAGAGTTCCGAATTCGAAATGAGCAGGTCTCAGAAGCTGAGAGCAGCGGTTTTTGCTTGCTTATTGGCCCCCCCCCAAACGAACTGACGCTCCCCCAGCACCCCCAAAGAATGCAGAGATGATCTGATTCCAGAGCTCTCTCCGCAAAAAAATCCCCAGACTTTTGCAAGAAGAGCTCGGCCTAAATCTGGCAATTTCTGACATCGATCCCCCCGGATTCAGGAACCAGCTCAACCCCCGTTGTGCGGCTCCCCACAGTCCGTGCTCCAGTGGCTTGCCTCGCTGAAAACAATTCTCAGCCAGTCGACCTCGACCCCAGGTCTGGGATCTTGGAACACGCATCACTGTGGCCCCAATTTTTTTTTTTGATAATAAAAAATTGATACCCCAAAGGGTAAAGCTGGGGCTCTGGAGAATTATTATTTCCAGCCAAGAAGGAGGAGAAGAAAAAAAAAGAAGAGAAGGACGAAAAACACCAGAAGCTTGCCTATTTGGCGCTTTCCCTTCTTCCTTGGGGCGGGAGGAGGATCTGCAGAACACTTGCGTAATGCTGATGTTCTACATAGTACATGCTTTGGGTTCCTTTCTTGAAGCAGCATACTACCTTCGGTCATTGCTATGCACGTCTTGCGTGGGTACTCATACCCGTTGGAATTGCCGTCTTTACTTTTTTGGTATGATGATAATCTCGCTGTAACAAGTCAAGTGATCATTCTACTGTGGGTGGGGACCGAGACTGACCGCAATGCCAACCGAACTTGTCAGGGCAGACAAACCCCCCCCCCCCCCCCAAAAGGGCGCGGTGCACGTACCACAGTAAGTACCATAGCACAATCAACGCCAGCAGGGCACAGCAGGGGCCACCAGCACCTACCATTCCGACATGCTTTCACCATCGTGACGAACCATGTACACTCAAGCTGTACCCCAGGATGGCGATGGACCACATCTCGCTTCATCCAAAGGGCCCAGTCTACCCATCGCAGTACAACACACAAGACAGCACAGCATCGCAACAGCGGGGACGGATGGGGAGGGGCAGGAACGAGATCCCAGGCCAAGTCAACAGCGGTACAGCGGCCCCGTGATCCCCTTTTCCTGGGGCAAGAAAGAGCCACAGGAAGAGTTGACTTTCTTGTCTGACCTTTTTCTTTCCTCTCTCGTCCTTGTTTTTTTTACTTACGTGTCTAGCCTGACCCTGCGACTCCTCGGGTGGCTTGTTGAATCACTTACCATCCTCGTAGTACTCTTTTACCGCGGGATATCGCAGTACCTTCTACCATCCTCGGCTGAATCCCGATCTAAGGTGTTGGTCGGATCATTATCCTCGGCCCTCCTTGAGACAGTACATTGAGCCGTTCGACGACTCACCTCATCTCACCTACCACACACACATGCAAGTCTCCGACCAAGATGGGTCATTGTGACTTGTCGCGCAGGACCCCGAGCGACATCTTCCGAAATCAATAAACCTGCCTAACAACAAATGCGGTCGTCGTTTCCTTGGGACCGTGCTAATCCTCAAATATCCTTTTTCCCTATAACGCTGCTCCACCCAAGGTCCTCTTGCTCGCTAGTGTCGCATGCAAGCGAATCCTCATAGCCGAGCCCTTCTGGTCGGAGGAGAAAAGACATGGCACTTGCGCTGCATACCCCGTCCAGGACTGGTGAGAGAGAAAGAGGGAAAGAGAGGTGCACACACACCACACACACACACACTACCGTACATACACAATACTTCTACTTGTACATTCACAAGAGTAGGGCTACAGTCCCCCTCCCCCCTGTCGCCAGAGACCTCCTCCCCCCCTTCAAGGCGTGGCAGACGTAAAACCCAATCAGCCCTCCCTTGTCATTATGACTTTCCTGCAGGAGCATTTTGTGGTTTCCCTCGTTCCTCACTTCACTGCACTTACAGTATAACCCTTGGCGCCGCAGAGCCGAGACGACCCAGCTATGGCGTAATGTGCCACATATCTGGGAGGGGAGTGGCTGTCGCGCTTCTCAACAAACTGCTCCCGGGACGATAGCAGGGTGTCCGTCGGCTCAGGAGGTGGTGGTTCCGGTGATGGTGCTGTCATGACGTGTTCAACTATATAAAATTGCTTTCTGTGTGTTATGTATGTCTCTTGGTAAGTGGTAGGAACCACAAACATAAGTGGTTATCGGAGAGTGGTAGGAATAGAAGAAGTCAAAAAGAAGGTCTAATCGCCACAGCATTGGCGAGGAACACGGCAAGCTCGAGTACTACTGCACTAGTACATAGTATGTACCAACTGCAACCCTGTTGGCGTCAGTTCAGGTTGGCGGAAAGAGAGGGGAAAGGGGATCGGGGAGAAGAAAAAAGAAGGAAGAGAGAAAAAAAAAGCCTGTTAGTACTCGATTAGGACTAGTGTTTTTTCTTTTCTCATGCAGCACCGTATCGAAGTGGGTGAAAAGCCTAGAACCCCGGTTAGGCCCTCCTCCCCCTCCCCATCCTTTCCCAGATCGCCTTTTTGAGTTGACCTTGGCCAGGGGCCTGGCCTTTCACCCATGCACGCATGCCGTTTGCTTTTCACTTCCCACCCCATACCTGTCTCCGGTTCTGCGGTTCAAACGCTGCACCCATCTCGCGCCTTTTTAAGTCTTTGGGCCTGCCACCTCATCTTGCCTGTTGTCCACCCCCGTCATTCTCAAAGTCTTTGCATACTTGTAGGAAAAGCTGTTCTTTTTTTTCCTTTGCTTCTCTCCACTCGACATCATATATCCTTAAAAACCCCTTCCTCCTCCTCCTCCTCCTCTCCTCGAGCTAGGCCTGTTTATCTGCAGACCATTCTTAAGTCACTCGTTGCTCTTTGTTATCTCGCACGCTCTTCCCCCTTCCCCCCTTAGACAGCGAGAAGAGACCCGCAGGCCCGAGGCACGCTTCTTCAGAACTTTGGGCTGAACGTTTGGCACCTCGTCTCGCCTCGACTACAGCCCGTATCCAGCCGACCAGGCACGCACGCCGAGCTCCACCACCGCCCTGTCAATCTCCACAGCCCTCGCCTTCACTGCCTGCTTCGCTGGGCCCACGCAGAAAGAAAAGTGCAGGCAGGTCGAGGCCTGGCAAAGTCAGTGTTCATGGTTCACAACTGCCACCCACTTTCCAGCCCTGAAATAATTTCGAGAAACCCAAATCACCCAGCAAACCTCTTCCCACACACAGAACAACTTCCTCTTTCTACGTCCGCCGACTGGATCGCGTACCGATGACGGACCCTATCCCAAGATCTGCAACGCAATTTACAGAGGTGATCTCGGACATATCGTCCAACTGATCACACCGTCATCACAACCATAAATCCGACATGGCCGTGGTGATCACCTCCGAGGAGAGCTCCTACTATGCTCCTTCTGGTCTCCGCCGCTCGCAATCTCAGGTAAAGTTTTCTACGAGGCAGTCCGGTGGTTTTCACACATCCGCCTCGGCCTCCAGGATACACGATCTTTATCAATCACCACCCGTCAAGACCATCCTCGCCGACTCCAACACCTCCACGGCGCCCTCCTCTCCTAGGACGATACAGGTATCGACCGCCGACCTGTCATGTTCCTCGACGCCAGCCAGCAATCTCTCCCTCTCCACAGAGAGCGATCCCTGCGACGACCCCATATTACGAGCCCTGGATGACGACGACATCGTGTTCCCAGAATATAACGACGATTTTGGGACAAATTCTCCAGAAGAACTGGAGCCCCCTCCGAGCCCACGAGCTGCCAATTCAGGCAATGAAACCTCCACGACCGCCTCCGTTCCTCACACCCCTGATCTGTGGGACAATGTTCCCGCCGCCGACGACACTGCTGTCGGCGACCAGCCTACCCGTCATGTTGACTACCTGTCGCATGACTGGAGGATGGAGGACATATGGTCGTCATGGAAACACATCGTGTCCAACAGGGACAGCTTCAACAACGCTGCACGGCTGGAGAATGCGTCCTGGAGGACCTGGATGAAAGCCAAGAACCACCTCAAGACCATCTCTCCAGAGACATTAAATTGGTTCGTCATATATACCTTCTGTACAACCGTCACTACTACTACTACACAGGGGCTCGGTCGCTGACTTATATATATCTCGCAGGCTGAAAGACTGTGATGTCACCTGGCTCTACGGTCCCCTCCTCCCAGGGAAGAGCAGTAGTCTGTCTGGGTCGAACCATGACTCCAGAGTAGGGATTTCCAAGTCGAACTCGTTTATACAATCACAGTCCAAGAAGAAGCCGATCCTCAAGAAGCGCAGCATGTCTGAGGTGATGCTGCAGAAGTCACTGTCATCCTCTTCCCTGGTGAAACAGGCCGCCGCCGCTGTTCAGGCGCAACAGAGGGAGCTACCACGAGGTATAAGGTTGTCCGCGAGGCCGAGACTGGCACGGGCCGCTACCGATTATGTGACCTTTCCGTTCTCTTCACGGAGGATGAGCAAGGAAGACCTGAGTACTGCACCCTCCTCGTCAACGTCTGGCATCATCAGCCCAAACAGCGAGCGGAAACACATCCACTTCAACGAACAGGTGGAGCAGTGCATCGCAGTCGAGGTCAAGGGCGATGAGGACGACGAAGACATGGACTCGGACCGGTTCAATATCGGTTACGATAGCGAGTCTGATGATGGGATCGTGATGAAGCGGACCAACACCCGGAAGCGACGACCCATCTTACGCAGGAAGCCAAGCAGACACGAAAGCTCGGACAAGAAGATGCTCAACCCGCTGCCGCCGACCACTCTGAAATACCGGGATGACGACACACCAGAGCCCGTCGAGACCGCCATGAAGCATTCCTACAGGAGCCCCATGATGTCGCCGTCGTCGTCGCAAGAAACCCTCCGGCCCTCCAAGTCCTCTGGGAAGATGTTCTTTGTGGACGAATCAGACGAGGAGGAGGATGAGACTGGGGACGATGGGTTTAGTGGTCCCGGCTTGAGATCGCCACCACCGGGCGGTTTCGGATCATCATCATCGTCATCGTCATCAGGATTCCGTCGCAGCCCCTCTTCGAATAGCCTCAACGCAGCACCCGCCGGTATGAAGAGAACCGAATCCGGTATGTTCATGCCCTATGAGGAAGGCGAAACGGCCTCAGAAGGGATCGTTGGCTTCGTTCTTGACACGGTAAATACGGCCCGGGATATCGCCCATGTGGTTTGGAACGTCGGGTGGAGGCGTTGATGTTGACTTTGCTCGTTCAGAAAAAGAAGGCTCCCCAGATCTCATCTCCTCGATACCCACGCGATGATTGAGCACTTTCTCTCTGTCAAAAGGCTGTTTCACTTCTGCGGCGAGACATGGCAGCACGTCTCCTCTGCGCAGTCACACACATGCACACCCACACAAAACACAAACATACACACACACACACACACACCATTTCTAGCATCATCCTCCTGTTCTACGATCGATTGTACGATTAGCATCCATGGAGCGTTCTGCGTCATGGTTTGAGCGTTGCAAATTTCTTACCGCATCCTCACCAAACTAATCAAGGCCATCACGGCGGCCTCTTCGACATCCAAAGCATCCGATTCGACAGCAATCATCGAACCTCGACTACGTTATCAGCATCATAACGAAAGGCGTTTTTTTTCTTTGGGGGTCAATACCACATTTCGAGACCCGGAAAGGCATGCACCGGTACCTCTTACTCGGATAGTCTTGTCTTTTCTTTGGTGGTGGGATCGTTATACTCGGGCATGCATCGAGCAGCAGGCTTGAGAGAGGGGACGGAACTCGTTCGAACGAGTAACTGGGAGACGGTAGTGGATCATCCTTCGCATTGTGAGGAATCTATATCAGTTGCCATATGGCGCATTACGGAATCTTTCTCTTCTTCAAAATCATTGGAGTTCAAATCAAAAGCAACAAGGATTGGGGTCGGGTGCTCACTTTAGGGATTGGTCATATGAATTTTTGTTTCTTGAAACCCTTGGAGCGGCGTTCTGAGAGGGGATGATAATATCACAAGTTCTAGCGAGGGTCTGGAGCCGGGGGGGGGAGGGGGGGAGGTTTACTCCCAACAAGGTTCATCCTGACGGAGACCACAATATCTCAAAAAGGGCGCGCGGGATTCTTAAATATTTGGTAGAGAAAACCATGACCAACGTGCGTTGCCTCGTACCAGAGCAGGATACTCGAGAGGAATTAAGATCGAGCCTTTTCTTTTAATACTGCCCACAGGATCACTGAGCTGGAAGTGTCCGAGTACACAGGAAGGAAGGGGGAGGGACCACAACAAAGAAAAGGGTTGAAACAAGAGTTTATGTCTCTCTTTCATCCAATGCTTGAAACCCGGGGAGGGGGGGGGGGCGCCCTTGTATATAGGAAACTCCTGATATTGGAAGAAGAAATTTAGGGGAGGGTGTGGGATTTTAACGTACAAAAACAAGCGGACAACACATAACCTTCGGAAAGCCTTCACCCAGAGGCTAAACCAATATACGTACTTACATGTTTCCTCATTTTATGTGTCTTTGGTCTGACGATCGTGTGATGAAATGCCCACTTTGTGTCCGCCCCGCCCCGTTTATGTGTCAGGGCTTATTGGCCCGCCACCGCCCCCCGGTTGACCGGAGCAGAAGAGCGGCTCTGGCCCGTTCGGTCTCATGCCGAGGGGAGAAGAAAAAGAAGAAGAAAAAAAGGATCGACATGAATAACGGAATCACTGTGAGATTAGAGATGGATCGATCGATAGGAGAGGGGGTTTGTGATCGGGGGTGACTGTCGACCGAGCTCCGCTGGTGGTGATGTCCGGGCTGGTTGGTGGTTGTGATGGTTGGGGGGCGACTGGTCAGGAGAGAGAGAGACAGACAGAGAGAGAGAGGCATATGTGTAATCTTTTGAGAGAGCATGCATCTCCTCTCTAGTCACACAGTAATTAAACTGTACATTGTATCCTCCCAGTATCATCATGACGGCATGTCTGTTTTGACAGTTCCTGCAATTCAAGTCTCTGCTTATCATACATGGCAAGTAGTATTTGGAAGGGAAATTTCCGCCTGGTACATTTGAAGGAAGGGGGGGGGGGGTTGTTCCACCGCCTTGGATACTTCCTTTCCATGATTGTCCCTCCCTATAACCTCGCCTCTTCGAGCTTCTCCTGCCCCTCCTCGCCTTTACCGGCCACCTCCTCATCCTTCTGCACCTTAATCTTCCCCACCGCCTGCACAAAGACATCCTTCTGGTGGACATTTATATCCACCAGCTCAACCTCAAAGACATCGCCCTTCCTGATGTCGGAAATGCCCAGGCCCAGCCGGCCCAGGGCCTCGGGGACGAGCCACGCATCGATGTCGAACCAGTCCAACGTGCCTATGATGGCCTTGAGTTTTCTGCCGCCGCCTGCGGTCGACGTCAAGCGGGTGTTGACCCTCAGCCTGAATGTGTCGGGCAGCCTGGAGGACGACGGAGCGGCGTCGGGGTATTTCCACGCCCGCAGCATCGCCTGCAGGAGGTAGCCCTTGCTGCCCCAGTGGCTGTTGAGGCTCTTGAGGACGCGCTGGCGCATGCGGAGCCAGGGGAGGATCTCCTTCTCGAGCTCCTTGCGGAGGAAGGGAAGCTTCTGCTCCGCAATGGCGCCCGCCTCTGCCTCCTGCAGGAGGGCATTTTCAATCTGCCAGTGCACGATGAGGTCTGAGTACCGCCGTAGCGGGGAGGTCACCTTGACGTACGCTTCCGTGCCCATGAGGAAGTTCCGGCCCGGGTGGGTGGAGAGCTCATCCCCTCCGAGGAAGCGGTAGAGCATGTTCAACGCTTCAGGCGGGGGAAATTCGCCGCGGAGGAAGTAAGGGTAGACGACTTTTTCGGCGTAGGATCTGGAGAGCTCGAAATTCTTCACGGCGAGCGGATGTTGGTGGTAAGGAACAGGGACGTTGCGGTCTGCACACCAGCGCCCAGCAATCTCGCCGGCCAGCTGCATGATGCTTGTTATCATGGGCGACTCGTTGGTGTCGAAGGAGATGCTGATCGAGGGGTCGCCGTTGCAGGTCATCAAACCTGGGGCCACTTGTTCTACCGAGGTATGGGCAAAGGACACTTTGGCTTTGGGGCGAGGAGGAAAGACCGGCAGAGCACCATCGGCAAGTCGCTTCTGGTGGCGCGCCTCCGCAAGCCGGTACAGGGTCTTCAGAGAGCTGACATCCTGCGGCTGTAGCTCGGAGGGGGCTGTCATCTCTCGCGACGGCAGCTTCTCTGCCACTGGTGCGCCGACCACGAACTTCTCAGCCCATTCGGGAAGATTGGGAGGCTTCTCGAAGCCCACAGCAGCATTTGCGTCTTCGGGCGTCATGTAGATGAGTTCCTGCAGCTTGGCAGGTGTGATTTTGGACTCGAGGATCTCTCCGTCTTCGTTGATCCTGCCACTGAAGGTGAGACAGGGTCTGTTCGGGGCAAGAGAGAACAGCTTCCCCACTTCGTCTTTCACGCCCCATATATTGGAGTAATGTCCTGGAAGGTACAGCGTCAAGGGCGTCAGTTGGGCACGCTCCCCGAGGGCACACTGAGGTCGGATCTGAGAGGCAGGGTCCGCAACGTGAACATGGACCCAGTGCTCCCCAGGCACATCCGTTGCCTCGACAGATACAGCATCGTCGACATCAGTCGTCTCCTTGGAATCGATAGCGAAAGCCTTGAGACCTTCCCAGTCGTGACGTTTGCCATAGAATGCATCTGGCGTGATGTATGGTTTTATGCCAGCAGGGCCCAAAGGGAGAGGTGCGAATCCACCCTCCCGCGACAGCTTGACAGACGGAAGACGCTTGACGTAGCGGTCGTGAAGGTCCCAGGGAGTGACGTAGCCCACCTCCTGTAGAAAGGTCCATCCGACCGTGGTCGAGAGGTACTCGGTGTCTTTGTACCGGCCAGTTGCCCGCAATATCGCCGAGCCTATCCAATGGTACCGCGAGGACACAGAGAACTGGTCAAGGCCCGTCCACATCAGCATGAAATGCATGATGCTCATGTCCACATCGCTCCAATTCGTACGAGCACGGGGTATTTGTTGCTTGGCCGGTCCAAGCATGCCATGTGGGGTCCAGTCCCGGAACTGTCTGCTCTGGTCGATGGCGTCTCTGGCCTTGAGGATGAACCGGCCAAGCTGGCTCTGCTTCAAGTGCGCCGCTGTCAGGTCGGATAGAGTCGTCTTGACCTTGCCCGGTATGTCAGTGAACAGCCTGACCAGGGTCTGAATGTTCTTGATCAAGGCGACGTCCTCACGTGGGGTGACCTCGAACAACCACGTCTGGGAGTTGCCCAGTGTATCGAGAGCGCGAAACCCCAAGTCGTCTTCTGTCACTGCGCGGTACACAGCATACAACACGTGCGGCGGCGTCGGCCAGCTCCAGAGCGGGTCCTTGATATGCTTGGACAGACGAGACTGTATCTGATCCAGGGTCACGTATCTGTCTCCTGCCTCGGACACGATCTCATGGGCCCGCTCGAGCTGGATGCCAAATTTGTGCAAGGCCTCGTCTGTCTTTTGCTGGAACTTGGCCAACTTGCGCAGCAGCTCTGAGCCGGTAATACGATCCGGCCCTTGGTCTTGATTCATCTGCATCCTTGCCCTCACAGCCTCGCGCGACAGGTGCTCCCCGGGCAGTTTGTCGAGGACGGGTTGCAGCATGTCTTTGCTGACAAATTTCCTGATGACAAACTGCGACGACAGCTTCGCTATCACCTTCCATTCGCCTGTGATGGTATAGAAATGGTACAAGTCATTGCGATAGCCGAGATAGATCGCTAGATGTGGGACCCTCTCGCTATCCCCCAAGTGCTCGATGAGGTCGCCGGGCTGAAAGTCGGTTGGGCCGGGGAGAGACTCGAGCGCGCCATCGCTGTCTTGAAACGGCTGCTCAAGACCTGGCCTCCATTCCTCGTTGATCTGCCCGATCTGGTTTGCGTGCCGAGGTCGAGTGAGCAGGTTTTGAGGTTGTCCAGCTTCACCAGCGTCAATGAGCATCGGCTCAGGGGCATCGACCTGGTTTTCTGCCTCCCATTGTCGCAGGCGGTCGCGAATCCGCGGAGTGTCGTTACTGAACTGTGGTTGAAGGGATTGTTCCTGTACGATTGCGAAATTCTGAAAGGGAAAACGGGCCACAAATTAATATCGTCCTCACAAAGCTAGGACAGCCAAAAGCTTGGGGGCCCGGTTGGAAGGGGGCGCCTCTTCCTTCCTTCCTTCTTCTTCCTATCTCTTCTTACCGTGCGATTATCTCGGAACGCGTCGTGCGCGCCTTGTGCTCTCAGCAATCGGCTACTTGTCGTTGAATAGAGCCTCTTGACCGAGGAAGGCTTGGGCTGAACGCCTCTTGACAGGCATTTCCAGCACACATATGAGCCAGTCTTGGCCCTCTGCATCGTGAAGTGAGCCGTATAAAGGCATGAGCAGAGAGAGAGAGAGAGAGAGAGAGTAGAGAGTAACAGGAATTGATGGTCGTAAAGTCCAAAAAGTTTGAGAGCAACGCCTTATCTTATCGATGTACCTTATCGATAACAACCCCGTACAGCATCACCACGACTTGACCCATCAGAGCGCCAGGGCCTCCACGACGTCACCCCTCGCACGACATAATGCCAGACCCCTTTGAGCCTGGTATTAGCCCACGAAGGTTGCCGCATCCGCGTTCGACCTAAGTTGGATGACCTGGGCCCCTTTTGATGGCTCGTATGAGGGGGTGCGACATGTTCGCCGGCATCGCACAAATGACAGCAGTGGCTGGGTCTGCTGTCGTCTCCCCCCCCCCCGGTCCTACGTGTGACGAGCATATCCCACCGAGGAACCACGGAATTGCTCAATGCAAGGCCAGACGACACCATCAGGCTCCCCTGGGGCCCATCATCAACCAAAGAATTGCCTGGTTACTGTAGTTCATGCGCATCCCACCTTTCACCAATGAGCCCTTGATCTGCAACAATTCCGGTTTGCTGCATCTGCGCAGGGGCTTGCGGCGTGGACTTGCGAGCCACAAGATTCGAGGTTCTTGATCGATTGAAGGCAGTCTTGTCGTGCAGGCTTCCGCTTTTAATTTGATTGCAACTCTCATCCTCTCCGTCCAGTTTACCAAAAAGCGTGGCGTAACTCGCCCGAGAATCGAGTGGGTTTGTGATGCACTTCTAACTTGATTCATCCACGTTTCCGTCTTACAGCGGCTGGATTCTTTTCCACCCGACGAAAACGATTCATTTGCTCAAGCAATACAATAGTATCGGAATAGGTCTCCTTGTGGCCTGGAATACACAGGTTAAAACATTAGTTATTCATCGCCATTCCAGCGACTTCCGCCGCCTCGCCAGTAGGACTCTTCTGGGTGGCATCTCCTGGTGACGAATATATGCCGGAAAGACGCAGTTTGTGAGCCTTGTACACAAGTAGCAAAGGACCAAGGGGGACTATGAAACTGACCACCGGCAGACGCCTTCATCTCGACTGTGATTTATTCCCACACAAGGCCGACACCATTCAGGAGCTGCATAAATCAAGAAGGCACTTCTGCAAGACATCAGCAGTGCTGTACAGAGGACCAGAGGCTTCATTTTCTGCCTTCTTTTCTTGCGAGCCCATCAAATTCACAACTGAACCATAGACCTGGATATCCCCACTCTGTCCGGCTCTAGGTTCACATCTAAGAGCCATATTATTGCTGTCTTTGCTCTTCGGTATACCTTCGTATCCCAGTCCATCTTCAAGGACTGCTCAGAGAGGATGATAAACTTGGACATCAGCACAATGACGACGAATGCCTCTGGGTGGAATCTGGGCTCAACTACCATGGCTATCTCTCTCCCGCTCTCCATCGTGCCCTCAAACGTCCCCTTCAGCCTCGTGGGCCCCAGTCTGCCTACTACACTCGTGGTAGATACCGACTCGTTCCAGGGACCGTCCACCTCCACCCTCTGGAAGGCCCACGGCACCATGACAGCCATGATTCCAGACGCCACGTCTTCATCCAGCTGGTCAGTGACACTTGGGCACATACCACCACCGAGCACGCATAGGTCGACCACCGCGGCATCCATAGCAACCACGGATCCTACCGAGGGATCACAGACGGCAGTGGGTAGCGTCGAGAGTTCCGTGTCTAGCTCCGGCCCTGCTGTTCTTCCTACGAATCTGGCAGGGGAGTCTGCCGCTGCTCAGGGGGCGAGGGCGAGGAGAGCGGCAGACAAGGCCTCGGTAAGTCATCTTCCAACAGTGCAATGTGTGGTTCACTTATTAAGTAGGTTTGCAGATGGCGTTCTTGGCTCTGTGCCTTATTGCTGGTATGTTGTGAATACACACTGGATGGGGGAACGAAAGCTGTAGTTAGCTAGGAACATGCCGAAAGGGCAGCAGCTTTGAAGAAAGGGGTTCATGTTCATCTGGGGATTTGTATAGAGTTGAGTGCGTTTGGATATGAAAGTACGCCTGGTGTTAACATGGAGATATTTGAAGTGGAAAATCTCGGCACCTGAAGTGAGCACAGAGTTGGACTTTGGCTTTGATAGAGTACCACCGACTGCCGCGCCTTACATGAAGTCTGTTTCTTTCTCTCTTCTAGTCTTTCGAAATGTGCGAGGGCAGACAGATGCACAACTCATGTGAAGAAGGTGGGGGGGGGGGGGCGCTTCTGTGTATTATTCCATGAACGCTTCTGTGAGTATGCATATGAACTCATGGGATTCCTTCTTGGGTAATTGATGGTTTGCCCCAGATCGTCGTTTGTAATTTTTCTATATTTCCTTCAAATCTGGCGAACTCGAGAAAAGGGAGATCAAAGGAGCCTCTTGGGTGCTGGAGATCGACGGTGCGTATCTAGCTTTGGTCTGGACTATGCGCGACACGAGGCTCTCCTTGTTTCCCTTGCATCTGAGCGCATAACGACCTCAGCTATGCAGGACGGACGGACACCATAACGAAGCCCCATTCGAGACCTCGTGATCGACTTGTCAAACTGTACCTGTGCGATGGATAAACTTTTTTTTCTTTTTCCTTCCCTTCTTTCCCTTTTATTCTTCCATTTCCACTTCTCTATATAAGCACTGTACATACGAATGTACCATCATCATTCACGACAACTTTTCCAGCTTGTTCATTTGAGAGCTGACTCATGATAAGGTTATCTCTCTCTTTCTCTGCCGGAGAACAGCGACGCACGGTCTGTGTGTGGGTGTGCGATCACAGCCCTCACAATGGAGGGGGGACTAAAAGGGACCAGGACAGGGGCCCACAAGGTTGCATTGGTTCCTGGATTTTACATATTTAGCGTGGCCCCCATATGCAGGAACCAAAAGCAGGCGGGCGGGGACGACGGGGCGCCGAGGGTGCGCGCGCCTTGCTTAGTCGTGGGTTCCGCTGGAGAATGAGATCGCCGGTCCCGGTTCCTCGTTTACGAGCTGGGGAGGGGGGAAGGGGATGATCGTGATTATATTTCGAGCGGTGAGGGTGAGCTGTCGCTGCTGACAGGTCTGACGGAATTGTGTGTATGTGACGGAATGGTGAATTGGGTTTTGCTATGAACGGTTGTCAGGGGAAGACAAAAAAAGGAAGGGCGAGGGCGTCTTGAACCATCAGCATCAGCACCATCATCATCAATAGTCCGTCTGCTTGCTATACATAGAAGTGCTCATTACAGCAGCATGTTTGGAATCGACAACAGTGAATGTCCTCGTTCTACTGTAAAGTTCAATCCAAGAAGAGGGAGAAATGGATGCCAGTAAATGATGTACTATATCGAGACTTGGCTCTCCAGCAAAGGCCACCCCCCCCCTCCCCTCTTTCTCTCTCTTGACGCCCGAGTCATCGGATAGCGCCCTCAGATCTGCCGGCTCACTTGGCGCACCGTTCTCTTGTCACCGAATCGTTGTTGAGAAAGGGCACCCTAGGCGAAGTCGTTCATTTCGGACGGCAAATTGTGCTGTCTTCTGTGGCGCTAGGCGGTCGGGTCCTCTGGCTTCTTGCTTTACTATATCGAGTGTGGTGGGTGCGTGTGTGTGTGTGTATGCATATGACATGAGACTTTGTGTTGTTCTTTTGGTCGACTGGCTCTGTGAAGTGTGATTCCAAGAGAGTAAAGTACCAAAGATAGTACTTGGGTTCAATAGTAAGTACTTCGAAGTAAGTACTTGGTTCATTATACTATAGTATCTGTGCCCCGTCCTCAAGCCTCTCGATCGCACTATGATCTATAGTATCGAAGCCCCCGCCACCTTAAAACAGCCTCTTTTTTGCTTCTTTTCATGTTCTCTCCATCTTCCTCAACGGTTGACAAAAAGAGACAGAGACAGGCGCAGACAGAGAGAAGGATTGAGGGCCAAGAAATTAGCAGAGAGTGAACCCCCCCCCCCCCGGCTGATCGCCGTTCATCCAATCCTACCTTTGACAGCCCAGAGTGGAAATCCAATATCGCTAAGCCAATTTCCCGACCCTGTGGGACCCACCAGGCCAACCTTATCGTAGGATGGCCAAGTCCGTGGGCCCCTCCTTTCCTCTATTCTCTATTATTCTTCTTCTCACTCTCCATCCATCCTCTCCACAACCACACCCTCCTCTCCTCCCCTTGACCATGCGCCCCGACCCTGGCCCTTCCATCTGCACGTGTGGCTGTCTGCCTCTTGCTGGGAGGGAGGCCCTTCTTTTTTCTCTCTCCAGGTTCTCAATTTTGTTTCCTCGCTCCATGATGACGTCCCATGTCGGGCACACCTCCTTTTTTCGGGTTCATGCATGGCGCTTTCGAAGAAATTCCCCGATCTAAATGGTCGCTACCCATTTTAGTTTAAGCAGACAGCCCTCATCTCGCATGCGCTTGGCAGGGCTTGGGCCTTTTTTTCTTCTCTTTCTTTAGCCCTTTCTTTCTTTGCCACTATAGAGTATTGTACTTGGTACCGTATACGGGGTGCCCTGTGAGACTGGAGGGCCGCTCAGGGCAACCGAAAAAAGAAGGGAAACAGACGTCCTGTCAGGCACTTCATTTCGACAAGGCGCGCGCGATACCACTCTGGGCCCGCCCTTCCCCCCTGCCCCCCTCTTCTTTTTGGCGTGTGGTAACGTCCCGTCCACTCAGTCATTGTTTCCCCATGATGAAGAGGAGCTCCCCTAAAGATTGAGAGAGGGATCGTCAGGTTCAGGCAGTGTTCCATTGGGGAGAAGGAATCCCACCCCTCTCCGCTCTCTGGCTCATCAGCCACCTTTCGGGTGGGGAGAGACGAGGTGATGAGATGAGAATGTGGAGATCATGCCTCTGTGGGAGATCAGGAGATCAGCACAAGAAAGTCAATGTGCATGATCTCGAGGAGAAGGAGGAGGAAGAAGACGAAGAAGACGAAGAAGAGAGGGGGGTTGGTGTTGTGGAAAGAGAGGTGGACGGTCCGTTGCGGTGGGTGCGAACCAACGCACTCCCCCCCGGATCCACCACAGCCAACACTGCCCGGCCCACCGACCGCTTCCTTTCTCACTAGGACGAAATAAAATAACATGCCCATGATCTCCTCTTGGCTCTTTTTAACGTTACCCCCCCCCCCTTCCCTCTCCTTTCCCTTTCCTTTTCTTTCCCTCCTCCACGGACCATCTTGGTATCCCCTTCGCTGCGGTGATATCGACAAGTTTAAAGGAAGCTATCGCCAGCTCTCCTCCCCCGTACCTTAATCTAATATCACCAAACCACCGCTTCACTCTTTTAGCGGGCACTCGTTCAAAATCAGACTCAACCTGCCACCGGCATAATATATACATACACACACACTCATACCGACTCGACAGTCCAAGTAATAATTCTTACGCCTTAATCCGGAAAAGAGAAAGAAATCATGAAGGGATCTGTCATGGCCGTTGCGGCCCTCCTCGGAGGTGCCAGCGCCCACAACCAGCAGAGACACGGCCACGATGCCTTTCACATGAGGAGGCAGAACGGAACCGACAAGGCCTGCACTCCCGTGGTCAAGACCATCACTGGTGACTTCATCTGTACGTTTGTTGACTTGGAGGTTGGGGGGAAAGGGAGAAGGAGAGCACGTATCAGGATGAGAGAGAGGAAGAAAAAGAAAGATGTTTTGGAAAAGAAGAGAGATGCCTTTTTGAGGACAAGAATGAGGAAACTGACCAAGGTGGATGCTGCTCTATAGGGACTCCCACTCCTGATGCGAAGCCTGCCAACCCAGACACCACCACCTCGACGACCATCCAGGCCCCCTCGTCGCACGCCACCTCCGTGACGGCTGCTGCTTCCACCTCCTCGGCGGCGGCTATTCCTACGCCTGCGGCCCAGACATGTCCTACCTCAGGTGAGTAAAATACACTGCGCTTCAGTCTTTTGATAGCTTTCAATACTAATTCTCTTCTTTTTCTCAAGGCACATATACTTTCCCGGCCAGCACCTTGACCGTGACTGCTACCACCTCGGCAGTTGTGCCCTCGTCGACAGTTTGCACTGCTGGCACTTACACCCTTGGTGGCACGACCACGTGAGTTTTTCTCATCTCTCTCCTCACTTTTCCAACGATCCAGAGACAAAAAAAAATAAAAAAATAAGCAGAGACTAACACGCTGGTTAAAAGTGTCGTGGAGACGTCCACAGTCGTCACCTGCCCGTACGCCACCGTCTCGACCAACAGCGCCGGTGTTGTCACCAGCGTCATCAAGGAGACTGTCTACGTAAGTGCTACTCAGAGTGGTAGTAGTAGTAGTAGTAGTAGTAGTAGTAGTAGTGATATTCTCACAAATGTGATCCTTTTTGTTCTAACACAAACCCCCTACAGACTTGCCCGGCTGCTGGTACTTACACCATTGTGCCCGGCACCACCACCACGGTCACCGCCCCCTCCGAGACCGTGACCGTCCCTGTCATCTCCACCTACCTGCCTGGCACCTACACCGCCCCGGCCGTCACCACTGAGGTCGTCACCGCCACCGTGGTCTACTGCCCCTTCGCCTCCGTCGAGGCCAGCACCACCGCTGCTCCCGTCGTCGCCTCCTCGGTCGCTGCCGTCGCCGAGACCCCCAGCAGCTCCGCCGCCCCCGTGGTTGTCGCCTCCTCGGCCAGCGTCGTGGCCTCTGCCTCCGTCTCCTCCGCCAGCTCTGCCGCCAGCAGCAGCAGCAGCTCCTCCTCATCCACCGCCACCCTGGGCGGCTCCGGCTCCTCCCCCTGGTCGCTCACCTACACGCCCTACAACTCTCTGACGGGCGACTGCCAGACCGCCGAGGCCGTGGAGGCTGACCTCGCCGCCGTGGCCGCGGCCGGCTTCTCGTCGGTGCGCGTGTACTCGACCGACTGCGACACGCTCCCCAACGTGGGCGCCGCCGCCGCCAAGTGGGGTCTCAAGATCATCGCCGGCATCTACATTGGCGACGCCGGCTGCACCAACGACTCGCCCGACGTGGCGGACCAGATCGCCGCTTTCCAGTCCTGGGAGCACATGGACCTGGTCGAGCTGTTCGCCGTCGCCAACGAGGCCTACAACAACGGCTACTGCACCGCGTCTGAGCTCGCCGCCCTCGTCACCCACGTCAAGTCCGAGCTGGGCTCCCTGTACAGCGGGCCCTGGACCACCACCGACGTCGTCGCCACCTGGCAGGACACCGAGTTCGCCTCCGCCCTCTGCCCGCTCATCGACGTCGTCGCCGCCAACGCCCACGCCTACTTCACCTCCACCGTCGCCCCCTCCGACGCCGGCCCCTTTGTCAAGTCCCAGCTCGACATCATCGAGGGCGCCTGCTCCGGCCTGACCGGCTACATCCTCGAGTCCGGCTACCCCACCTCTGGCGATACCATCGGCCTCGCCGTCCCCTCCATCGCCAACCAGGCCCTCGCCATCACCAGCATCCTCGAGACCGTCGGCGACAGGGTTGTCCTGTTCAGCATGTTTGACGACAAGTGGAAGGCTGCTGGCGAGTACAACTGCGAGCAGAGCTGGGGTATCGTCCCCAGCCTGTTCGGTACCGTCGGTGCTGCCTGGGAGGCTCTCGTTGCCGCGCTGTAAGAAGAAGGAATAGGTCAAAGTGAGTTGGATAGGAAGGAACGGAAAGGAAGGGGAGGTGGTTTGCTGTTTGGGATTTGTGAGAGTGAGAGAGATGTCTTGCCGTCCTGCGCTCTTGCTGTATTTATGTGTATAGATTCGTTCGTACGCTGGGTGTTCTCCTCAAGGGGGTTGGCTTTTTTCTTTTTTTCAAACCCAACCTGAGAGAAACTTCCACCGGCTCTCTCTCTCATATCTATGCGAGTAGGCAGAGAATTCATTGCGGGCTACCTTTTTTGTCGGTCGATTTTTTTTTTTAAAGCCAGCTCGACCCCATTTTCCACCGTGAAAACCCCGGGTTTTGGGAATACTTACGCCTTCTATGCCTTCGAAGAAAGATGGTTGTCCAAGTTAGCTTAGTAAATTCCCCGCACACACTTCGAAAGTGTCATCTCAACCAATGTGTGCATAACATTCGCGACACACATTTATCTTGACAGAACCTACCTTGCACACAATACATATGTATAAGAAATGCATACAAGACGCCATTCAATATCAGACTGAGCGGGAAGGGGACAGAAAGAATATAAAAACAAAATTAAGGCAGCTAACGCATAGCCCCAACATTCATCCCATTACACCATCCAGAATGGGACGTCAGGGAGCACACAAGTGTCCGTATAAAAAGAAGAAGAAAAAGGGTCAGAAGAGAAGAAGGGGGGGGGGGGGTAAGAGAGAGACAGAGGCAATAAAGAGGAGCATCATATCCCTCGTCTATGACCCATCTACCTTGCCTTGTGCGCCATGAAGAGGACCTAGAGAGAGAGAGAGAGAGAGAGGGCCCTGTGAGTTGTCTCGATCGAAGAGATAATTACAACATCTCACATCCATCCACTATTTCCATTTGCCCCCCTCCCTCCCTTTTTTTCTTTCTTTCTCTTTCTTTTCTTCTTCTTTTCTTTTTACTGGCCGTGGTTTCCGTACCGATTATGCATGTGAATGACAAGATAATTCAAGTGTAGAAAGAACGCCGGTCTGGGTGAATGTTGGAAGAATTAAGAAGACAGCCCCCATGGCCAAAATAAAAATAATATTAATTCATCGAGACAACGAAAACAAGATGAGAACCGATCTGCGCTATTTAATCCAGACGCTTTCCAATGGACATGACATGCTCTAAAACTCCAGCTCGTGAGGCGCTGCCCTCATGGCAAGGGTACTCCCCATTATACATGAATAATAACGCATTTCCAGATTCAAGACCCGCCTGTGTTAAAACATAAAATAAAATAAAAGGGGGGAGAGGACGAGTTGTTATATTTCGGGGTATCATGTGCGTTATCATTAAATCAAGTCTCGGCAGGTAGGTAAGTCTTGTGTGGTAGCTCTGTATATGTTGTTGTCGGAAACTCGTCGAGTTGTTTTGATTATTTTCTGTCGTTAGAAGGGCTGAAGCAAGTGTGGAGTGATAGCTCGCCGCCGCCGTGTCTCACAATATCGAGGTCGCCGTAGCGGCGTGACCTTGAATTCCTGCCAGTCGTAGCTGCTATCTGTGCATGCGACATAGGGCCTCATCCCGAGGTCTTCAGGGTCATGATGCCGCTCTGCACCCATGCCACACCTCTCGAGCCTAAAGAGGCCGCCTCTGTTCGGATCACAGCACAGCACGTGCAGGTCTTGGCCCTCGTTCACAAAGGAGGTGCCACCAATCTCACCAAAGAAGTCGAAGGTCTGCTTCGACTGGAATGTCTGGGCATCGTAAATGTTGACAAAATCTGCCTCCTCGGCTGCCACGAGCACCCGCTTGCCGGAGCCAAGCGGTGAGAAGCGGAGGGATCGGACGCCTGCGACCTCAGATCGGAGTGTGCACACTGGAGTGGGCACCCCCTGGGCATCAGTCCATCGGCGTGCATCCCAGATCTTGACAGACTTGTCCTGAAACCCCGTCGCTACCGTCCAGCCGTCATCTGCCCAGTCGCACGCAAAACCAAAATCCCTGTGACCGTCGAGCGTTCTCAGGACCTCGGGCTCACCATCCGCTTCTGCCTTGGTGATGAGCACCTGCCGCTGATCGCCGACCATGACCTGCAGGCGGCGGTCTGGAGAGATGGCCGAGCAGTTGACGGGGTTTGGGAAATACGTTTCCGAGACAAACTTTTCCGTCTCGATATCCAGGACACGGAAGCCGTTGTCATTGGAGGCAAATGCGGCTCTTGGACTAGAAGATGTGCGCGACGCATAAATTTGGACGTGGTTCGTAATTCCGCTATTATCACTCGTGATCGTCCCTTCGTGTGTGTCTGCGCTACCCTCCGAGGACAGCCTTCGGAAAAGGTACTCGCCAAAGAATCCTCCTGCCACCAGGGTGTCGTGACCCGCTGTCAGGGTGGAGACCTGAAAATGCGGGATCTCTTGTGAGCGCATGCCCAATTTGGTCTTGCCGGTAATTGGGTTGAACTCGTTGATGGCGAACTGGCTGGGATAGAAGACTGAGCTCCGGGAGGTGGAGGCCAGGACATTGCGGAGCTGGAAGTGTGCAAGATTGATGTTCCTCCGGACGTCCAGGCCGCGGAATCTGAAGTAATCATCAGTACTGGGCAGAAGTGCCTGGGTCTCCTGGACAATAGTTAGCAAGTGATGCCAAAACAGGGCATGTCAGGTGCAGTCAAAGCGCCTGGCTGTAACGCTGCCGCCGTGCTCACCTCCCAGCGGTCCGAGTCGGGAACGTTGACATAATTTTTGTACGTGTTCAACCTCCGTTCGCGGGCCTCCCCCCTCGTTACACCAAGGTCCTCCCAGTCTATGCCCTGCACATCGTATCTGTCTCCCTCCAGGTCCATGTAATCAATATGCATTACGCTCCGCGACAACTGTCGGTCTATCCTATCCGGCCAAGGATATCGGCCTCGTTCCCGTGGCAGACCCTGCCATGCTGCACCCTGCCACGCTTCAATGAAACTTGACAGGTTGTAATTATCGGGTCCCAGAGCGTTCGCATGTGTGCCGACGGCTATGACAGCAGGATGAGCTATCTGCTGGTTGTGAATAATCTGTACTCCTGTCGCCATATGGTGATTGATGGTGGTGATCATGTTTCCCTCCAGTCCGTCTTGGTGCGCATTCGGTAGGTCGCCCTGTTGTGCCTCCCCAATGAGAAATGTAGGTACCATCGTCGGCGACAGCGATTGTTGTTCCTCAAAGTCGAAGTAGTGGGCTGCCTGGACAATATTGGACCCCAAGCTGTACGGCGAGAAGACCCCTGGGCTCTGGCCGGGTACGGTGAGAGGCTGAGCGCTGCCTCCATGACCGTGGTTTGGCGGTATGATTGTTCCTGCCGGCTCAAAACCATCATCATCATCATCATCGTCATCCAGTTCGATCCCTTGAGACAGAACATTGGTGACTGCCAGGATGTCAATATGTGCACCAGCACCGCCGACCATGTCGTCGTCATCGTCATCGCCCTCAGGCATGTATGCGTTGTAGAAGTGGTCTTGTGTCGGCGTGGCAGGATCATGCAGGTCATGCATGGCGTCTTCGTCCGTTTCTATCTCAGTCGACTTGTAGGTAGAGGGGTCGCCCGCCACGAATGGCAGCGGCCAGTGGACCTCGGAATAGGAAGACGCGCTCTCGCCAGTAGTCCTGCCGCTCAGCGAGGAGCTCGACGACCCGTCCTCGTCGTCAGACCACATGTTGGCCGAGCTCATCGGGACTCGTGCCGGCCTGAGCGCATTCGCAATCGTGGTGGGAAAACGGTACGAGAAGGGGGCGGGAGGGTTGTCGGTCTGGCCGTTCGTATCCTTCCGTCTCGCGTGGGCCCCCGGCCAATGACTTGCCCGACTGGTCGTACCGGTTCCTTCGTCCTCCTATATTCTTATTTATTTTCTTGGATCCTCGCGACGAGTTGCTTTTTTCCCCTCCTTGCTTTTTCTCTTCTTCTTTGTCGTCTTTCTGGGTGTAGAGTTGGGCAGTAGAACGGACCGGGGGGGGGGGGGGGTTGCGGAGCGAGGCCGGGGTGATGACGGCCCAAAGTCGCTTAAAGCCCCCGGGACCCTCGTTTAGGGTTGTTGTCGACAACAAAGCAAGATGGCACTCGAACAAATACGAAGTGGGAGTCGCCGCGACTATGTAAAACGGTCGGTAATATTTTTTATTTTCTTTGGGAAGCGCAGCCGCCGTCAGAGAGTAGGTCGAAGGATGACAGTCAGCTCTCAATGGGAAGGTACCAAGGACGTCTTGGACTGGGTGAGGATGGTGGCTGGGATGCCGAATGGGTGGGTGGGTGGTGCCGGATCGGGGGGCAAAAGAGATATCGTGCAAGCCGTTATGGTGCGCAGGGCTGAGAAGGTGGGAATTGCGAATGCGCAGCGGGTTTGGCTTCGTCAAGTGTCTGGTCTGTTCACTTGTTTCTGAGGCGTGGGGAAATTTGCAGGCTTGGGGGGCTTCGCTGGGCTCCGGAGGCTGATCCGAGTATTGACTCTTGCGATCTAAGCCGACCAAGGTTCAGGTGGGGGAGACCTTCTTGGGGGAGGGAGAGAGAAAGAGAGAAAGAGAGAACAGAGGAAGAGGAGGAAGTGGGCTTGAGAGATCGATCGATCTCATGGAAGAGAGAGTGGCAGGCGCAAGATGTGTAGTCTGGTCCTGGAGTACCAATTTGGGTTGAGCAAAGGCAAGTCTTTTTTTGCAGTCGTCAGGAGCTGTCAGGTGCTCGTCAACCGGCTCAGGTTTGGCGCGATATTCCGCGATGAGCAGGAGGGAATCTAGGTTTGGGTGGGTGGGTGGGTGTGTGGAGAGGGGGGCCGACGAGGAAGGAGGTGCCACCTCCAAACCGGCCTCGGAGAAGTTCTGTTAGTGGTTGGCCCAGGTGTAGCAAGCCTGTATAACACTGCCCTGTCTAACCTTCAGGAACCAACCCCCGCAGATCCATGGACGGCGACCTCCTTGGGGCCCTCTTAGCAGCAGCAGCAGCCAGGCACGCCAGGCCAGGGCATAGTAAGTACACCTACGTGCTGTGGCACTATGCAGTAGCACTCTAGAGTAGATCAGGGCAGGGTGCCAGGGTGTGGAAAGGCCAGGCCAGGCCAGGCCGGGTACTCCCTTCCGCACTTTCTGAAGGAGCCGGCGTAATCCCGCACCAAACCGCTGTGGGCGCATCACTACTAGTAGTAGATCACAGAGCATGCATCACGCCTTCACTCAAAAACAATTCAACGCCTCCTTACCGTCATCCGTTATATTGCAGTAGTAGCAGCAGCACAGCTTTGTCGACAGCCGCGCCTGGCGTTACCCATTCCTTCACTTGTGAGACCTGATCAGTCCCTCCCCCCACTCCACCACACTATTGAACATACCCAAGTGTCATCAAGATATTGTATCTTTGACCCAAGCGCCCAACTTGGAGACAAGACCCCAGGAAGATGGAGGGGGTGGTGGACCTTTCGAATGACTTAATTGGTCGTCGTCGCAGCCACTACGGTCCAATGTTACCGTCCGGGCTGCTGCGTATTGGATGGTGTGTACGGATACTTTTTTACGTTGGCGCCTCCTCATTATTCTTGTCTGGCTCTCCCTTCCTACCTGCCCAAGTACGTGCTGCTGTTGCGCATTGATCGATTTATGTAATGTGTCCCTATGCCTTTCTCATCAATTATCAACGAGAAGAATCATTCTTGACGTTAGAATTCGTTGCTCATCAATATTGACCAAGTCTACCCTCCCGTTTTCATCTTAACCTACCCCCCCCCCCCCAAAAAAAAAAAAAGAGGACAAAATGAAGAAAAGTAGTCATGTTCTCACATAGACTTCTCAGCAGCTGTTGACCGGTACCCGGATTCGGCCTCGACACCGCACGGGCAAAACTGACGCATCAGTTCTCACAAGACACGAAAACATCAATGGAAACTCTGGTTATCACAGTGCTCACCCCGCGGGATCCTTTTCTTTTCCCCCTTTCCTCTTCCTTTCCTCTCACGCGCACGCACACACACACACACACACACACACAGAGGGTGTCAGACTCGAGTCTGCCTGAGAGCAGAGGGAAACTCGACCCGATCCCAGTCCCCAACTCATTTATTGTTTGGCTCAGCCCACCAGGCCCACACCCTTCACCAGCAGATATCGTGTAACTCGTCGCACCCTCCATCACGCGCAAAACCTCGCCGTCTACCCTGACACTCTCTGTCTGCCTCTGTACGACCACTCCCCAGCGGCTGGAGACGACCTGCAGGTTGTCATCGGTCCCATCCATTGCATTCACCTCACCGCCCCCAACAAAGATTGCATCGGCTGCTCACATATAGATGCAGCTCCGGCGTGCCAGCTCGAGACACCTCTCTTCATTACCCTAGACGGCGCCCAATGATACGCTGTACTTGCTGGCTCGGATGAGCGACGTATGGATCTGCGGCGGGCGACATAGGTGTCGGAACTGCGCTTCTCTCCCTTTCCTTCTCCTTTCTTCTCCTTTCCTTCTTCTTTGTTCCTTTGCGTGGACTTCAAAGTCGCACTGGTTGGGAGGCGAAGAGAGCAGCGACCACCTTCACCAAGATGCCTTGGTGGGATTGCTCTCCGCAGGCATGACTAATGCCTCCGAGATCAGGTGTACGATACTCGTTTCTACAAGCCTTGATGAGAAAGAGAGAGGGAGAGGTAGAGGGAAAGAAATCTCGCCAGTCTGCTTATCCCTCGCGCGTATAGGACTTTATGATCAAGGATGAGGGCGAGGTGCAAGCACAGAGTGTCACGGTCATCAACGTCGCGCTGCTTGTATCCTCCGCATCTTCCAGTCGCGCTTTATTTGTGAGCGAGCGATGTCTTGGCCATGTACCTCTTGAGGTGTGCCTCGTACTGCTCTCGCTTCCTGAGCCCGCCCCCCCGCCCCCCGGTCTCTTGCCCCCCTGAGCATTTCCCAAATAGGCACCCTGCAGAACCAGCACGTCCGTCGAGCATCGACCGATGCGCCGACGACCTGCACTGATTTGCTGTTTTTCATAGATCCATTTTCCTTTCAACCGGACGCACTCACAGGCTTCGCCTCGCATCCAGACTTCTTCGCACGGCAGGATAGGTGTGCAGCATATGCTGGAAGCACACCACGTCGACGTGTCAAATCGATCTGTCGCCTATAGGCTCGACGCGCGGTCCCTTTTTTCTTTTTTTTCTTTTCGCCTTCAACGGGCTCAATATAATCTGCAAGAGGCCAAAAGAGGGTTACGTGGAGGTTTGGATATGGCCTGCTGTGAGGGCGCATTGGAGATCAGGTGGCTCTTGAATGTTCTTTCGCTGATGAGCACCGTTTTTAGGATGACGTTGCACAATGATGGGTACCTGATGAACTCTCAATCTCCAGTGACATTGCTAGTAGTCCTAGCCAGCAGTTCCCGAGGCGAGTCCTTGTGGATCTCCAAGGTAATATTCATCAATCTGCCCCAGCCCAACATTCAACCTCGCTCGAATGGGTGCCAGCCACGTATATTCGTTGGTCGGTGGATTCTCTGTCATGTTGAGCTGAGGCGATTGTGTGCGATACACATTCGCGCCACCTGCCTTCTCAGTTCCCGACTCCATAGCCTTACTTTTGTTCAGCCTCGGCCCTGTCAGCCGGCGTCCCACTCATCCGTCATCATGATGGAGTATTCTGTCCGAATCACAGTTCCCCCTTCCCTCCATCTTCCTGCACTCCCCTGTCGTTCGTCATCAGCCCCAGGCGTCCCGGAGTCCCGCCTGTCGCCACCGGTAGTGGGCTTCAACATGTCCTGTCCCTGGGCCCCAGAAATCTACACATGTTAATCACGGCGTGCCGGAAGGTAGTGGTGAGAGTTCGATGGTATGTAGCCAAGGAAGAAGCCAGAGTGGGTTGATGAACGAGTCGTGAGAGTTTTCCGCGGAAAGCCACGGCCGCCAGCATGACAGCCTGGTCGCACAACCCGTCCCGGACCTTCTATCTCGTACGATCGACCTTTTTCGCAACACCAGACACAGGCGTGTGCGATTCATGTGGTGCCACGTTTCGTCACGGTTCTAGGTCTTATCAATATGTAAATAAACAAACAAAAAAAGGTACCATCAAGTTGATTACTTCTACTATGTTGGGTACTCAAGGAAAGCCAAGCAATACCAGCCGATGGTCTCCCTCGTCTTCGTATTACATATATACAGGTAGGCGAAGCAAGACAGGCAAGCCGGTCCATCCAGAATGGATTTAAAAAACAACAGGGAAAAGACATGCTTCTTCCGACGCCATGCCCTCATGATCGTTTCCTCTGCTCAAACACACGTCTTGAGATTTTGCTCCATCCGGGCTTCAGGCAGTCTCGATTGAGACTGAACACCGCTATGCCATCCCACGTCGTCGGTTTCATCGACCATCATCATGTATTAATAGAGCCATAAACGAAGTGTGCGAATACAGAAGCGCTTTTTAAGCAAGAATGAGCCACCCTTCATTTGAGGTGCTAAAAAAAAAAAAGGTCCCCCCTCCATTGTCTTCTTCCCTAAACTTCCCCAACCCCCTTAAAATAAATAAAAAAGAACTGAAATGTCTCATGCGTCTGAGTAGTACTCATCCTGATAGTGAAGACCAGGGGAAGGGCCTGGCGAATAAAGGACGCTCTTCGTGTTGCCTGGCATGTTACCGTCGTTGGGGCCAGGAAAGTACCCGTTCTTGGCGCGGCGTTCGCGCTCGAACTCGGCCCACCGTTTCATGGTGATCTTGCTGCTGTCAAATTCTCCCTCCGCCTCACCATGGCCAGCCCCCTTGACCTCGCCCGCCGTCTTGCGCGTGTCGCCCCACGAGAAGTCGTCAAACTTCCAGAAAGCGTACGTGGGTAGGACAAAGTTCCAGATGGGCAGCGAGCAGAGGTAAATGAGCAACCATACTATGTATGACCACGATTGAGCTGTGATGATGACGAGGAAGCCGGGCAGACCCAGGATCAAGCCGAGCAGTACCAAGGGAATAACTTGGACTGGTCCGATGATTGAGGATATGACTAAACATTGATGGTTAGCTGCGTGATTCTAGGCGGCGGAACCCATAAGCAAACTGTGAGAGGCGATTGTTACTCACCGACATAGATCGTAAAAGCAATGGCAGCCGGGAGGACTAGAGTTCCCATAAGCTCAATGAACACCACAAACTGCATGCTGAAACAGAAGGTGCCGCAGAGATCCCGCACGAGGACAAGCTCCATAAGGTTGTGAATCGTCGAGTTGATCCAGCGACGCCGCTGTGAGAGGAGCACCATGAACTTGTCTGGGACCGTCGTCTTGCAGACTGCTTGAGGGACAAACACCTGCTTTCGCTTAGGGAACGTCCGGAGCATAAGAGTCGTGAGGAAACGATCTTCTCCGAGGAGGAGTAGATTCTTCTTGTGCAGAGTGTCGACCACGTTCTCCGAGTAGTGCTCCACCACGTCAGGGTTTGCAAGAATCGGGACCCAGTAGTTGTTGCCTCCCTTCGGGGCCTTGATCCGGTACATGCAGAAACAGCCCGGCAGACAGGTCACACCACCAAAGACCGACTCGAAAGACTTGGCCTGGTGGTGAGAGATGAAGTATTCGAAGACCTGGATAGCGGTGACCCAACTCTCGCGCTTGTTGGCGATCTTGGTCTCGCCGCAGAGACCCATGATCTCAGGATCCTTGACCATTGCGGAGACCATGTGCGTCAGACTGTCAGGGAAGACCTTCGTATCGGCGTCCACCATCAACACTATTTCGTAGAAGTCGGGTGATATTCCAGTGACCTTCCATAGTCCATTGAACATTTCATACTCGAGTTCAGTCATGCGCTCGTCGAACATGACCTTTTGCAGGAAGGACATGAGGATGATCTGACTGTCACGCTTGCCTCGGTTTCCGGGCTTAGACTTGTTCTCCTCTGCGGGCGTACCGCACTTGACTACAAGCATCATAGGAACCCGTTGCTGTTTGTCCACTGGGATCCGGGACTTGGCACCAAAGTCGTAGAAACCAGAGTAGATCTTGGCCATGTTGTGTCGCTTGGAGCCGGAAGCAACAGCGACGTAGGAGAATGGCTGAACCTCCTCTGGCAAGATGGTAAAGTCCCTCATCATGCTCAGACAGTAGTCGGGAGTGGACATCTCCTCGCCTTTGCCCTTGATGATACCATCGCAAATAACGAGGATACATTTGTGGCTGTTTGGGTAGTCGGTCGTGGCGAGGGAGTCCAGGGTCGTGCGGATGCCCATCTCACCCTCGGAGTAGGCAGTGACGAGCAAGAGAGTATGCGCAAGAGGGAACCCAAAAGGCATCCAGTCTGAGGGCGGCTGCGGTACGACTGCCTCGTGAATAAAACCTGCCGGACCAGGACCCTCGGGGCTGGGCTGGGAGCCGTAGGGGTCGGAGGCCATCAGGCTGTTCCGACTGTTGTCGGCTCCTCCGTACACGGAGTTCGGGTGAAGCAGGGCAGCCCCCGAGCTCTGGCTGGCCATGGTCGTGGGCATAGTCGGCCTCCGAGAGCCCCTGTCGATGCCGTAGACAGTCGAGAACCGGGAGGTCGTGGGCAGGAAAGTGCTAGCCCGCTTGCTTGTTCGATCGGAAGAGGCACCCGCAACACTGCTGCCGACATCACCAGGCAAGCGAGCTGGCGCCCGATAGATGTCCTCGGACCAATCCTCAATTTGCTGATTCCGCTTTCTCTTGTCTGACGACTGCGATGTCTTGGACGCTGCGTAGCGTCTGCTGATGAACCATTGGAACATGATGGCCAGGACGAAGCGCACAACGACAACCGAGAGGATAAGAACGAGCGAAAGGTATAGGACGACCTTGGAAGCAATGCAGCCTACCGAGTCCGAGTCAACTGATCCGACCTTGATGATCTGCTCGAGGCATTCTGCCGTTGCCTTGTCGCCTGCCTTCAACAATGTGTGCGTGGCGTCACGGCCTCGAACTGCCTTGTTTGCAGCCGTGGTATTGTCAGCAAGGTCATTCCAGTGGCTAGGGACGGACACTTGGGACGTATTGAACCATTTGAGAAGGTTCAGATCCAGCACGCTTCCGGAGTAGACCATGAGATTTCGGGAATTGTTCGCGACGTCATCCCAGGTAAAGTAGACATCAGCGGAGGGCGTGAGATCGTAAAATTCGGTGCGGCCCTTGCTCGAGGTATGGCAGGCATATCCGAGGTAGTACGGGATTGTGAGGTTTGGTGAGGTAGACCCGTCCTGGTTGAAGGTGTTGCACGGAAAGTACCAGGCCAGGTCACCATCATCATTTGTCGGCACATCCGAGCCTTCTGCTAGAGTGACCATTCCCTTGCACTTCCCATTCACCTGCTGAAACAAGAAACTTCCGTCTTGGCCGCCGTGTTTCTCGGGAAGATCGTAGAGAACGTTGGCGCCATCTCCATCTGACTCGGCCGGTATGCCCTCGGCCACGGGATGATGAGAGCTGGAGAGATCGTATGCCTGGCCGAAAAAGATCATGTATCCGCTGTCGACGTGGTTTACCTGGAGACGCTCCGAAGGCGTCCCACAGACCGTCCTAGTAAAACCAAATGTGAGGAAACCAACGCATGCCATGATGATTCCGATGATGCTCAAAAGACCCATCTTCTCGCGCCACGCCCGCGCCTGGTCTTTCGACTTTATTCCGAAGCACTTCAGAATAAAATTGGGGGCCCAGAAGGTAAGGATGGCGCAGTAGATGTCCCATAAACTGGGAGGCCGGATCTGCTCCGTCTCCTTCTTCTGCTTCTTCTTGGAGATTTTCCCAGAGTGCTTCCGGCTGTTTGCTCTCCTCCTAGAACGGCGCTCCTTGTCGGCATCGCCGCTGCCACCACTACTCCTCTTCTTGTCCCGGGAAGCGATCGAGTCCGAGACTGCATCATCGCGATTCGACGTGGTCAAGTATGTTGTTCCTTCGAGATCCTCGTACACCGCCTCGGTGCCAGTGCTCGGGGGCAGGGTCTGCATCTTGGAGGCATGTTGGCGGTAGTGGTAATTTGGATGGTTTTTCCCTATCCTGTTCCGCTCGGGCCTGATCAAACTTCGCTTTCTGGACACGGGCTGGTCCATGGCGCTTTCAAGGTCTGGTGACAGAGGCACATCGTCTGCTGTTGCGTTAGAACGGGCAGGTACCGTTGTGGCGAACGAGCCGGAAGAAGTCGCACGGGAATGGAGGTTCTCTTCCCGACCTGCATATGAGCCGCCGGCCTCGACATCATGGTGCCGGCTACGGCGCGTGGATTGACGGTAGGCAGTGCGCTGCTCGTACGAGGTCCTCCCACCAGGCCTCTCGGGGAGAGACATGGTCCTGCAAGCAAGATGAGCCGTTAGCTTTCATGGCACCAAGACATTTTGTGGCGCCAATGTCGAGTGGACGACGTGCTTTCACAGGGTCAGGGGAACTTCACCGTCAGGAGGGAGGAGGTAGAGCAGAATAATCTTTGTGCGGTCGAGGAGTAGGATCTGGGGAAGGGATTTCAGGAAAACAGAAGGCCAAACATGTGTCTCATGGAAGTACCAAAAGAACTCGAAATGGAAGTCTTCACGATCACGGTGAGGCTGAGGTGAGACCGTGTATGGAGAGGGGCAATGCGCAGGACAAAAGCGACTAGAGACTCACAGTTGTTGTGTGTACGGGCTCTGGGCTCGTAGCGGCACCCGAGGTGGATATTTTGGGACTGTGGTAAATGCGAGGGTCCCTTGGGAAAAACAAGGTGGTGGTTTAGGTTTATGCGGCAAATCGCAGCCAGCCCCCTTCTGGCCACTCCAGGGATGATGCAGGAACGAGGTCGGGACAACAACCACTGAAGGGCCGTAATAAGGACAACTGGTTCGCCCAGCCTCGGCCTTTTTTCTTTCTTGCAGCAATGCCCCTTGCTGGCGGGTCGTTCTCCTCAGTTGTGGTGGTGAGAGAGCATGAAAGACAAGCCTGGCAGATGATGGGTTTTCCGGCGAAGAGGGGGAAGGGGCCGTCAGGTATGATTGAGGGTGTACCAGGGATGGGGGCCACAGCCCTTCCACTTCTTGGTTGAGGGAGCCTGTTGCCCAGCAGCAGTAGCGGGTTACTGGGCTTTTCGCAACTCTCGGCCGACAGAGCTGACAGCCGCCACCGTTGCGCACAGTATAGTCGCGCTTGACCTGAATACTGATTCACCGAGTCTGTCTTCTCAGGACAAGGCTAAGAAGGGGTCAATGAGGGACTCGATCTCTTGGCCTGGACCACGTCGGAATGAAACGAAGAGATGATGGACGGACGGACGGACGGTGAAGGATGGGACCAGGGCCAAGGACCAGGACTAGGCTAGGGCCAGTTACTTGATTTTCTTTTACCGAGCGCACGATTAAAGAGGGCAGCCACGGCCGACCGAGGAATCAATGACAGTCGTGGTGGGAGGAACTTGGTCCACGAAGTGTGCCTCTCGACGACGAAGAAAGAAAATAACAAAAAGACAAACGATGGGACGTTGTGACTGATGGTAGTAAAAGCACAGACTACACAGCGCACGGAAGGATGGACAGTGTGGACTGGTTTGGCTGTCTAGAGAGGAAATTGACTGAGCCGCTGGTGGTATTGCAAGTGATCCTTTCCTCTTCAGCTGTACCTCACATTCCCAACCTTTCCCCTGAAAGATGGATCATCCCTGTCTTAAGTACATTCCCCCCTTACCCCAAAATATGTCCTTGGGACTCTGCTACACACTATTGGCACTATGTACTGCAGTACTGCAATATTATGGTATAGTACAAGTAATGGGCACTACAATGCCATGGTGGAGGTGGGTCCAGACTTACCAAGCATCACTATACTGTATTTCCCCAGCCCGCCACCAGCTTTTTCATCAAAGTCCAGCTGATGAGGGAGGGGAAGGAAAGAAAGGGGAAGAAAAAAAGGGAAGAGAGAAAGAACGAAGAAAAAAAAAGGACAGAAGGGGTGGGGTACACTCAACCCCAGAGCCCGTGCCCTACTGTACCATAGTACTACTGCTAGTCTCTCTGCAGGGTCTACCTCTTGCTGTAGGAAAAGAAAGCAGGATAGGAAAAAAGGACTTAGAGAGGCGGGCAGGCTGAATACGATTCTGTGCATCCGTTCCCCAGTGAACCCAGGGGAGAAAAGTGTCAGCAATAACAACGCTGCTAATATAGCGAGGCTGGGCTTCACATGAAAATGCAGAAAAGTCTGGGCCATGTACCAAGATTCCTTGTTTACAATGCAACAAGCCCTTCTCTACGTCACGCTGCAAAAGTCTACACCATAACCTTGATCGTTCGTAAAACCATCGTACCATGGAAGAAGATTAGATTTTGGTGAGAGCCTTCAGGGTCACAGCGGGGCTGTACACGTTTGTGGACATCAAGCATTCTCAATTTGCATCTCCACTTCTAATTGACGGCACAGTCCTGCCGAACCCCAGAGCTCCATTTTATTGATCTGCGCGGGCGATCTCATCGGGCTCTCATCCCCTCCCCCTAATCGCAAAGGGTGGGCGGACGTGGATGACGGCACAGGACAGTACGAGACCCGACAGGGGAGGGGGTCCTCCTTATCTATCATCCCTTCGATTGGGGAGAAAAGATGCAGAGAATGTTTATGCATATTTGCAGCTAACTTTTTTGCCTTGCAGCTTGGCTCCCGATCTTGCTGGTGCACCGTACCGCACGCAACGGCAGCAAGCAGTTACCACCGCTCATCAGCCGTTTAGGAGGAGGAGATCAAGGGGGTCAGTTGCAGGACAATCAATTGTCTGATCGACCATTGGGTAAATTGCAAATCTCACTTGGGCGTGCAAAGGCTGAAGAGTCCGGACAACCCGGCAAAGGGTCGACACATCCTTTCTGACAGAGGACACACACACACAAATACAGCGCCAGAGGGCGTTGTCTGGACAGAGGAGGAGCCAAGCCACATCCTTCGGGGCCTGCTTCCAATATGCACTCCACCAGGAACGCCTCCTGCAGGGAATGTCCAGTAATGGGACATGGGCGGCAAACGTGATCGAGGTGCGTCGTATAGGGCCAGCTGCAGCTCTCCGCTTAAGCCTCTTTAGGCTACTCGGGGCAGATGGAGCTGCGCAAAAAATGCGACCGTCTGTGATGCAGTGACATGCTGGACAGGTGCCGCGCTGCAAGATCGACCATCGATCTGCTCGCCCCCCGATGAGGTTTGCTCCCTCAGCCTTTTTTTGTTCTTTCATTTTTTTCTCTTGGTGACACAAGTACCAAGGCGTCCTGTGCGACAGCGCCACTCTGTGACACCGTCGCGCCTCATGGCGACGTCCTCAGGAAACATGGCTCACATTTCTGAGGTCGAAAGGCTGGCGCTCGCTTTCCATCCAACCTCAATTCGTGATAAAGTCCTATAAAGAGAAATGTGCGCGGCGAGGGCGGGCACAAGCCTATGCCGCTGGTCGTCTAGACCAGGGTCGACGTGCCGGAAAACGAGATGCCTCGCGTGGGTGTCAAACTCAATACGAGGGCGCTAAGCGGGAAATAGGGCTTGGGATCTGACCCCAAGCCAGTATGGGAAGTTTATTCTGCGGCACCCCAGCCTGCAGGTTGCGGGATGATGTGACGTGACGGCGGAAGCACTGGACGAAGCTTCTAAGTGGGAATGAGCCTGCAGGCCCTCTCGTGTAATGATTTAGTGCTCCCAGCTGGTTGGAAGCCACTGGAATGAGGACACGCATGAGACGACAAGTTTGAAATTTTCGTAATAGTCCGCCATCGGTTTTTGAGTTTTTTTTTTCGTCTTGGCCCGGACCAGCAGGCTCCCCGCCTTCGCAATCATATGGGCGACAGAGGTTGCAGTAGCGGGAGGCGCGCCATTACGGTCGGATCTGCGCAAATTCTCCGAGTCCTCGAGTCCTCGAGTCAGGACCTTCATTCGAGGTTGATACTTTTGAGGAGTGCCGAGCAGATCTGTCTCGTAGTAGTCAGCGTCGGGCCTTTCTGCCCCCAAGCAACGGGCCATAGTGAATACATACTGTAGTACTCTGGTGCTGGGTAGTACTGTGGTGAAGGCTCCATAAGGCTGTTGGGTCGCACAGTGCATGCGGGTAGGCTTCCCGGACCTTGTAGATGAGGCGTGTTTTAAACATATGAAGCTAGCACAGGACGGAATTAGGCGCTCGAAAAAGCATGCCGCTGCTTGCTGGCGAGGGTCGCACTTGATCTGCTTGGGTTCGAATAGTCATTTCGACATGTACCTTCAGAGGCAGTCCCAGAGAGTTGCACCATAACTTATGTCATCGTCGTCATCCAAGTTTCAGTGACGAAGACAAGAATGCACCCAGCAGCATCCTGGAATCTGAGAGCCAAGCGTCGGATACCCGTTGGGGGGCCTTTGGCTTCTGATGCAGAACATCCTGCTGTACATAGCTTTTAGGCTGCTAGCCCTCATGTCCTTTGGCTCAATTCTTTTCAGGTGGGGAATGTTCTGGGCGCAGTACCACGGAGCCAGCATAGTGAAGGTAAGGGTCTGAGAATGACCAATGACCTCCACACCCACGGAGGTTTACAGAAGCCCGTTTCATACCGCAAACATGCGCGTGTTGGACGCTGCATCTGGGACCCGGTGACATCAGTATCGACAGACGTATTGTCCGCTCATCTTGGTGATAATGAATATCACCTGCGTTGCGCCCTGTGAGCCCCTTTTTTCTCATGGCTCTGTTGTGGTGTGGAGAACAGGGCATCCGAAATCCGTTACACTGACGCGGCGTTACGTTCCACGGCAGCGATGAATCGCGACCCGTACCGATGTCTGGTTTCGTAATTCCGCTGGGTGACAGAGAAGGGTAAGGCATTCAATCCTGATTCGCATGGCGTCTGTCTGGGGTCTCCTCCCAAGGACTTTGTTGGCCTCGTTTGGTGCACCCCTATTTCGCTGCCTTGGCTAGTGTCCTAGCAACCCGCCGAGGGATTGCTCCTCAGGAATCTTGGCATCAGCGACTGGAGGGGCAAGTGTACGACCAGCATCGCCATAGCTTGTGTCGGACAGGCTGGAAAAGCGGAAGCGCACCATGTAGCCATGGTGTACAAGGCGAAGAGATGGTCCAGCTCTCTGGGATCACCAGGCGGTCGTGTTCCTGCCCATCCGGCCGCGTGTCTTGCAGACTTTGTCTTCTGTCTCCACACGTCTCGTCATACGAGGGCATGAACGGATACCCTCTGCCGTGGACTGAGGATGTACAGCGCAGACCAGGCTTCCACCGCGTCCCCTATGTTTGCCGTCGCCCCGAATCTATGCCTGGTGTGCGTTGTTCGGCCAGGCGCCGAGCAGAAAGCTATTGAAGGCTCGGGCAGGCGCAAGGAGCCTCATCATCCATCATCCTCTGCGGGATTGGATGAGACAACCTATTTGTGTTCCCATCCGTGGCGTGAGGTGTGGATGGCGATGGCAGTGTGAACAGGTGGGAGTGGGGTCTGATTGCATGCACAAGACAGTGACAGCGACAGTCTGGGGTCCCTCTGCACAGACCAGAGTGCTGTAGTTCCTGCGTAGTATGCAGTACGTACAAGAAGCACCTCATCACCCACTGTGGATAGTAAAAAGCGTACAGGGCCTTCGACTGCGGGCAGGAGTTTGCAGTCACACCAGCTTTTCCGTGTCTGGGGGGCTCAGTCCTTGTTCGGCCTAATTTAGCACAGGCTGATCCCTGCAGGGAGCACCTGGTGCATCCGAGACTAGCTGCTGTGCATCAGTGTCGCAGGCACACGGTATAGGTCTAACGCTGCTTACAGGCAGCATAGTCTGCAAGCTGGGCGAAGTCATAGTGCTGTACTAGGTAGTAGAGGCGACTCCTTGGCGGGACCCTTCTGACGGGATACGCTAAGCACAGTGATCGACCTACACTGGAGAAAAAAACGGGTACGTACAGTAGTACTTCAGGGTTCACGTGCGGCCCCAGTGCGACTTCCTATTTTGAGGGGTACCTTGCACTTGCACTCTTGAACATTGATGAATCCTGTCCGTGCTGAGCTCATGTGTGCAATAATCCGGCCTCGGTCTGAATCTGGGTCTGGGTCTGCTTTCTATCCATCTCTTTCCACCTCACCTCCCTTCTCGACACCTCTCACCGACTTGCTGGCCTGCCAGTCGCACAAGACATCTCGAGGGCAGAAATTGTGTGTGTGTGTGTGTGTGTGTGGGACCCTGCTTCGTCTGGTCTCGCTACGCAACGCCGTCATTTGTCAGTCTCTTACGGCTCAGCCTTGTTCGTGTCGTCTTTGCTTCCTCCTGTTTTCCGTCATCTTCCTTCTCGCCTCGTCATTTTTCGGATACCATTCTTCTCTTCTTCAGCCGCAGCAGCATTAGCCTTGTGCTTCTTGTGGGGGTTTCCTTTCCCTTCTTTCTTTTTTTGTTATTTTTGTTGGGTGCTTCCCCAGTCCATACTCTTTCGTCCTCTTTGTTTCTTGCGGGGATCGTCCAACCTTTCTCGTCATCCCATAGACTTGTAGCATCATTTGCGCCGGAGTGACTACATAGTAGCGTGGGCACCGCGGATTTTCGACCAGCCTTACCCCTTTCCGAAGAGACGAGTTCTCCCTCTGCGAGCCTTGAGGTCCTCTCCGAGACTTCTTTGCGTCCGACACACGTCACCTGCATAATATTCGACTTCCGACGGCAGCACGCCGCTTTCAGGACTGGTCAGCCGAGTCTTGAATAATTCCATTCCAGGAGGACGCCAAGAGGGAGAGAAAAGAAAAGGAGAACAAGAAGGGGAAAAAAGTGAAAGTAAAGCGACACAACGAGTTCAATGCAGCAGGAGGAGACTTTATAGCCGTCGCAATAGCATTGTGCCAGTCGTACTACGTCCAGGGACGACTAGCCTTTCGATAACAGCTGGGACAATTACAGCACGCAAAGTTGGTCAGAGGGGAACATCATCAGGCTGAAAAACCCTGATCCCCTTTGCAATGGCTGCCGTGGACTCTTCGCCTCCACAATATGGCTCAGTTACCTCGAGTCCCGTACGGAGGAAGCCAGTCGGCTCTTCCAGCCATGGCTCACCGCAGAGCATACGCTCAGAAGCTAACAAACCATTACCACGCATCCCAATGGCAGACGGCTCGCGCATGGGACAGTCACCGGTATCCCCGGTCAAGATGAACTTCCAACCTGAGAACTGGGCACAGCCTTCAAGCGCAGCCATAGAGACGGGGGAACACTCCAGTCCTGACCGCCGGCAGCGCTCATCTGCATCACTGGACATGGAGATGCCGCCGATCCTCGAGGCACCCAAGCGACCCCCTCCAAGTCTTCCGTTGGACTTTTCGCAGCCGGAGGGAACAATACGGCGGGTCAACGCTGGCGACAGCTCTGGGACCCAGGCTGATTCAAGCCGCGGAGAAAACTTAACATCTGCAGCAGACATTGCTGGCAGCGAACAGGTTCCCGCGGTCCAGGGAGACAACCGGCGTAGTCGGGAAACCGATACTTCTTTATCGACGCCCAGCGTCTCGAATCAGCACACCTCGACAGAAACCTCAATAGCAACGAGTGTCAGTTCAGTGTCGGGCGGCACGAACGAGTTGGAAAACGGCCAGCAGCGGAAATCAGAGGATGCTTCTACTGTGAGCTCCGCTACCAACGATGCTGCGAACCAGCCTCAGATGGTTGCACAGCTCCAGTATCACCACCAGCCGTTCACACCGCCGACTCCAACCTTTTTGAGTGGTCACGACCCGCGGGTTGTATCATCACCAGACCTGTCTGAGAATGGTGCTGCCGTAAACCGCCATCTGACACCCGTTTCTCATCTCAGGAGGACCTCGCTGCCCAGGCCACAGTCTGCATACTCTGTCCACTCTGATCGCGGCCGCTCCTCCGGCCGGAATGGCACACCAAGCGTTCGCGCTCCATCGGCGCACTCGAGCTATGCAAGGAAATCACCCAACGTAGACAACCGCCAGTCCACGTACGCAGAGCTGCTGAATGTTCCCTATCCACAGCCTGCGCCTGCACCCCTGACCATTGACAACTCACAATTGCGGAACGCGGTGGGATCTAATGCGTCTCTACTGAGCTCACAGAAAACTCTCGACATGTACAGGCAGAATGTCAAGAAGACCAGTGACTTCTCGATACAATACTCGTTTGCAGTATTTCTGATCTCCACGGCTCAGGAACAGGGCGTGGATGTCACAGAGCCTAAGAAGAAGTCGCCGAAGCCAGGTCACAGCCCCAACGGCTCTTTTACCGGAAGCGCGGATTCCGATCCAAATGATCTGATAAGAGAAGCACGAGCCATCCTGCAGAAACTTGCCAACGCAGGATACCCCTTCGCCCAGTACTACCTTGCAGATGGATATGCTTCGGGCTTGTTCAGCAAAGGCAAGGAAGACTATAATTCTGCCTTTCCCCTGTTCGTCCTGGCCGCGAAGCATGGTCACGCAGAGTCTGGATATCGGACCGGTCTGTGCTACGAGTTCGGATGGGGTTGTCGTAAGGACCCGGCAAAAGCTGTTCAATTTCTGCGAACCGCGGCATCAAAGAGGCATCCCGGCGCAATGACAAGACTAGGAAAGGCTTGCCTTTCTGGTGATCTGGGTGAGAAGCGCTATCGAGAAGGCCTGAAGTGGCTCAAGTTGGCAACAGAATCGGCAGACGCCATGTACAACGCGGCACCGTTCCATCTAGGATGTCTATACGAGACCGGATATGGTGAAGATATCTTCAAGGATGAAGGATACGCGGCCGAGCTGTTCACACAAGCCGCCGATCTTGGTCACCCAGAGGCGAACTTCCGAATGGGCGACGCATACGAGCATGGCAAACTCAACTGTCCGCGAGACCCGGCCTTGAGTGTGCACTTCTACACCGGGGCCGCTGAGAGAGGACACGCAGGTGCGATGATGGGCCTGTGCGCCTGGTACATGGTTGGAGCCGAGCCGATCTTGGAAAAAGATGAGGAAGAAGCGTACGAGTGGGCACGAAGGTCCGCTGAGCTGGGTATGTTGTAACCTTCTGCTTGGTTGTCTCTTTGGTAGTATATAATGCTGACCATCTAATCCCACAGGCTATGTCAAGGCCCAGTACGCAGTGGGTTATTTCACGGAAATGGGCATTGGGTGCAGAAGAGATATTCTGGAAGCCAACGTCTGGTATGTCAAGGCCGCAGACGCAGGGGATGACCGAGCGAAGCAGAGATTGAATGCTATTCGGGCGGCAGCGAGTGGTGGGACGCCGATGGATGTTGCGCCTCCGAAGAATCCCAATCTGAAAAAGAGAGCTGGGGCAAAGGACGAGAGCTGTGTGGTAATGTGACGGGAAAAAGGGTCCAAGGGTACGACACCGACACAGTCATCACTGTTGACTGCTGACACGAGATGGGGGTCAATTCTGCTGCCGCTGTTCGCAGGCCGGCTGCTGCGCGTGTGGAACACTGCTGGCGCATTTTCATGTTCGTTCTTTAAGGTTTGGTGTTGGAAAAAGGGGGGTGGCCACGATCGATTGCATAGCTTCAAGACGGCATGTTGAACAGGACTGATAAACATGGCAAATTTATGTGCATTATCTTTTTCTCTTGAGGCAGGATGGCTCTTCGAGATGCCGGACTCATTGATGGTCACAAAAAATGAACGAGTCTCAAGGCTGTTCAGACAGGTAGTCATGCGGGCAGAAGACGGCGAAATGGGTCAGATGCCGAGCGTCATTACCTCTCTCCAAAGCCTTGTTGCTGTCCGCAACTTGCAGCTCTGAAAAATCTCGGTCCATCTTATAAGTTTACCTCCGAGCGCTTACCTCTAGGACAAGGCCGGGTTTCCGCTGTTCACACCATACCCTCGGTACCCGCCCATCACGCGTCACAGTGACTTAGTCTCCTACAGAAGATGGGTTCTGGTCACAATGCACTTTTACATCAAGATACAACAATGGTTTAGAATGGATGTATCCTAAAGTATTATTTTTTGAGGGGGAGGGGGTTTATTCAAGTAACACTCCTCACTCCGGAAATATGTCTGTTGAACAAGTCTTGATGACAGCCTTGCTCATCGACAATTTTCAGATGGAGACTCGCCTCCGTGCAGGTATGAGCCAGGGATTCAGATCAGGCACTTACCGCAGTCCATTTAGGAGCGCTGGTGTTTAGCTGACTGACCTTCGGGTACAGTTTGGCCTTATGCTGATCTCGGTGCACCCGAAGGTCAGGCGATGCCTTTGCGCAGAACACGACTGAACCTCGGGTCTATGTTTTCGACGATATCATCGACCTCGCCTCACCCCAACAGGCCTCGCCTCCCTGACCAGTCGTCTCGGTACACCACGAACGTGGCAAGGAGACCTTGATGCCTTAATACCATAGAGTCTTCTCGGCCAAACGCGCCGACAAAGCCCTTGGAAGACTATCTCGAGTAGGGAAACTCTGCCCGTCTTTTGACTACGAGACGATCGTGTGCATGGAGAACCAGGCCAGGAGGTGTGGTGTAGGCACTGTAAACAGGCTGCCCGTTGCTCTAAGGTGGAGTTATGCCGAGACAGTGCCTAATGGTGTGCAAGAGACGTGAGGCCGAGTCTAGGCATCAACCCGTCCTACACCGGAGCCTGAAGACAAGAGCTGGAGACCAACCTAAGGACAAAACGTGTCATCGGGCTGCAATTGCTTAGAAATCATACAGCAGAGTACAAGGCCAGTCTAGCGTCGACACATTCATATGTGTATCCAATGGATGCATGTCTTTTGCTACGAAGATAATAGACGTTAAAGACAAATATATGAATGGAAACGGCACGTCCTCGCCTGTTGTCAAGAGCCATCGGCTGAGTCACGTGGAAAAGCGGGTCACCCGTTACAAGTTTTCGCTGAGGTTCGCTAGCAGTCCCTATCCCCCGTAAGCTCGCCGCCTCCAGACCATTGCCCGTTCTTCTTGTTTTCCTACCTGACCCAACTCAACCCAAATTCCAACCCACTTTCTCTCTCTCTGTCTCTTGATCCAGACTAGAGCATCAACTGCCTTTCCTTTCAGCAGCCCTTTGATACCCGCCTGTAAAAGGTTCGTCTACAAAGCCCAGGTCGATTTCCCTCCCTGGACCCATACCATCGTCAATCGCGCCTGTACCAAGCCAAACCAGGCTTTGTCATTCCCAACTTTTGCAGACCACTGACGCCGGCCCACCAGCCCCCACTTCCAGGCATTTCCAATACATACATCACCTCGGAGACCTCCAGTCATACCCTCTTCCCTTCTTCTCTCCATCCAAAACATCAACCACAACAACGATCATGGCCGAGAGTCAGACTCCTACCTTCAAGCTCGTCCTTGTTGGCGATGGTGGTACCGGCAAGGTATGTTCTACCACCCACCTATTCTTCATCAGGCTTGTCAATCACACAAGTTGTGCCGAGCTACCTCCCTCTTCGGCGGGGCAGTTTGGCCGCCATTTGTGATTGTCACAATGCTCGACTGAGCCAACAGCCTCAACCGCCTCGGAATGTCAGCTAACATGCCCTTTTCTCACCACAGACCACCTTCGTGAAGCGCCATTTGACTGGCGAGTTCGAGAAGAAGTACATGGCCACCCTCGGTGTCGAGGTCCACCCTCTCGGCTTCACCACCGTTCGTCCCCCCCTCCCCCCTATGTGGCGATAATGGACTCCATCTAATCGCAACCTGTACAGAACTATGGCCAGATCCAGTTCGACGTCTGGGATACCGCCGGTCAGGAGAAGTTCGGTGGCCTGCGTGATGGGTACTACATCAACGGGCAGTGTGGTATCATCATGTTCGATGTTACCTCCCGTATTACCTACAAGAACGTCCCCAACTGGCACCGTATGTGTTCCGAATTCTGCCCCCTAAAAAAGCTCACATAGGTTCTTGTCAGGCTGACCAACTATTCAACAGGTGATCTCGTTCGTGTCTGCGAGAACATCCCTATCGTCCTGTGCGGTAACAAGGTCGACGTCAAGGAGCGCAAGGTCAAGGCCAAGACTATCACGTTTCACCGCAAGAAGAACTTGCAGTACTACGATATTTCTGCGAAGTCCAATTACAACTTCGAGAAGCCCTTTCTCTGGCTCGCCCGCAAGCTCGTCGGCAACCCCAGCCTGGTACGCCCCCCCCCCCCCTTCCCCAAATCGATACCAGGTTTGCGCGTCATGTTTGCTGTGTCTTCTAATACATCTCACAGGAATTTGTCGCTGCCCCCGCTCTTGCTCCTCCTACCGCTCAGGTCGATGAGGCCCTTCTGCGCCAGTACGAGAACGAGATGACTGAGGCTGCCAACATGCCTCTGCCTGACGAGGATGACGACAACGACCTGTAGAGGGCGAAATGCGATGCTCGGGATCGATGGCCTACAGGAGGCATTACGTGGTGGATGGATGGATAGATTTTCATTTTTCTCTCCTTCGACGTCTACGGCATCTTGCTTAGGACTAGCGACACATAAAGGCTGGCGAGACAGGAATAGTTCACGTTGATGAAACTCACGATGGATTACTGGAAGAGCTAGGACGCAGACTGGTGACGCATTAATGGCCGGGCAGGAGAGCCCTTCCTCCAAAGCCTCGGTTCCGTTTAGTTTCACCACCCGCGCCAGAAAGGAACTCTGCGCCGAATTTTCCTTGCACTCAGGCGCAACTTAGGTAGACTCACTGCCCAACAAAAGGGGACTCAGCAAATATTTCGCCCAGCATCTCTCCGCGTGACAATTATTGCCTCCTCTCCGTAATCGTATTTCCTTGTGCAACGCAATCAGAGAAATGTCTCTTCTGGAAAAGCAAGTGTGTTGGCCAAGTCAACCCTTTGGACGTAAGGCGGTCAGGCTCTCCGAGTCAAGACCTGGCGCGGGGGGGAGGGGGGCGTTTTTTTCAAATTTTGCCATGATGTCAATGCAGGCTCCTCTCATCCCCCTGCATGTACCCCTCATTGATTGTTTTGACCCGCTCTAGCTGGTTGCCAGAGCACCACAGTATCCTCCGAGTATTGTTCCCCTGGGAGAAGTCTCTCCTGAGCAGCACTGAACAATCACTTCCTTCCTCCCCGAGCAGCATTGTCTGGGATGTCTACACAAAACATACATAGGTATTGGCCTAATTTTCTTGGTCCAAATTTACGACTCACCTGAAAATAGATATCTCTGCTGATAAAGGCCTTGTTGATTTCTCCCAACATTCAAGCAACTTGACGAGCCGTGTCGATTGTTGCTCTGGAGAAGTTAAAAATATGCCTTTAAGCTTTTTTTCTAATGAAAAGGCAAGAGAATGATCATTTTATCATTGAAGCAGACGATCTGAATCCCAAGGCATGGTGGCGGGCGATATGTTCACAGTCTGCGCCATAGTTGTCTGTCCCCGAAATGGCCTATCATATACTTATTGCTAATTGTTTTGTCATGAGGCATGCCTTCATAAAAGACGAGTCATGATTTGCAGCTCAAAGTCATCACCTGCGTGTTGGCCGCATTCCTCTGCGTTGCTGTCTTTTCGTCTTCTGGCTTGTGTAAGCTTGAGTTGGACTGTGCATACAATATGCAGTCTCTCAAAGACGATCATGCTTCCTCAGAGAGGCACAATGTGACATCCTAACAGCCCCCTCCCGCTCCATCGCCTGGGACACAAGGTCACCAGCAGCTCGTGTGGAGGCGCTGCTGGTCTGGGTCTCGAGATCCTCACATGGATATTGTGCTGTGAAGCCATCGTTAGCAAAAACACACGTCCACGCCAGCCACCACAGGGGCAAGGTCAAGGCAGCTTACCCCCTCAGCCTGCTGGCAGACTTCAGCGACCCTCTTCAGCCCATCGTGATTGAATTTGTTCACACTATCAAAGTGATGAATTAGATCACCCGGCTGCAGCCCGGCCGCGGCTGCTGGACTGTCGTCCGCGACAGTGTTCACCTTGGCGAAAGGTTCGTCATTAAGGTCTGGAGCGGCATCGCGAGGCGCAGGATTTCGGGCACCAGCCGCGGTCTGAGCTTCTTCTTCCTGTGTATCTTCCTCCTCTTCTCCTTCGGCGAAGCCCGCGTACACAGCTTGCTCGATCTTGCCCATAAGGTCTTTGTAGTCATTTCGGAGGTGGATGACGCGCGCGCGGGTAGTCCGGACTGGGGAGCTGGGTGTCAGCAGGGCACTGCACTCAGGAGGAGCGATCTCTAGAGTATGACATACTCTGCGCGACATCGATGTCGGAGCGGGGGAAGCCATCGGCCGTGACCAGACTCGTGTGCATGTCGACGCCATGCTATATGAATCCTGTCAGCCCTATGTTGCTCTTGGGGATTAGGACCAGGCAGGTGTGAGAGTATGGCATACCGAGTCGAGCACGCTGCTCAAGGCAGAGAGCTCCATCTCCATATTTGCCTTCTTGCGCTGCAGCTCTGCAATCGTGAGGTTCGCAGGGGCGCCGTTCGTGGGGGCCCCCGCGGTGGTGGGACCCGAAGGGACCGTGGGTGCGTGGATGTTGTTCATTCTCAGCGGTAGGCCCATGGCTGTTATAGAGAAGTCAAGGATCCAGACAAGATGGCCAGGAGGGTATCATTATGGCTGTTGGCAACCAGATATACCGCCTGTTGTTGGTTGTTTCGAAATGAGACATGAGGAAGCAAGTACAGTCAGGTGTACATTACAAAGAGGTAACTTCAACCTTGCAGGACCGGTTCCGCCGTCCCCGCAGGAAAGCAACGCTTAGGTGCTTTTGGCACTCGCACTATGTATTAGAACGGGAAACGTGCACTACCAAGGCCCTCCTCCACTACCTGCTGCTTCACATTGTTCCTCTCTCCCTTTGAGGGCATAAGAACATGTTCTGGATTCATTTGCAGAGAGCATCAAGCCTTCTATCCACGCTGGCCAGCTAACCTGCTCTTACAATATGTCTCAAGGATGTGCTCGAGCCCCAAGCAGGGGCAGCGTTTATAAGGGAATTGTGATCTTCAAACTCGACCTCGCCGACACGGAAATCTCCCATGGCAATCTCTCCCCGGCAACGTCATCTATTATTGAGACAAGCTGAAGCCGATGCCTTTGTCCAGCGCATTTCAGCTGATTCACACGTCATTCGTCTCCTATGATCGACATGTTCATGTCTGTCTATCTCCGTTTCCATCCGTGCTTGTTAGGAGAGGAGCCGCGAGAGGAAAAGTCAGGCAGGCCAGGAATCGGGCAAAATTGAGGATGGATGGACTGGCAGCTGCGGCCAACGAAGGACGGTGTTACCTTCGCAACGAGACTGGCCTGTACCACTACTGCTGCTGGTAAGCTTGGAACGCGTGTCAACCGCTTGGTCATAGTCTGACCTTGTGGAAGGAGAGATATACAAGGTTATCTTCCCGACGTCTCGCAAGTCTCAGATCTTCTCTTCTTCCCTTGAGTTGGTTATGTGAGGGAGACTTCCGCGTGCAGCCAGCTCCCCATGAACAAAGTCGCGCCTGCCCACGCACAAGATCTTTCCTTCACATACGCTGCATCTTTTCGTAATAATCCTTACACAATCGCCCGGTTATTCTGGACCTTGTGAGATATTGATCTACTTTTAGTTGGGTGGCTCAGCTCTATCTCAAGCTCTTCTCACTTCTGTATCTTTTTTTCTCGCCGTTTGTTTCGCCATCAACATGTTCTGAACCCCTCCTTTCTTTTCCATTTTCTTCTGTTTTTTGGAAGCCTGACGGCTACTTTCTTGGAGCTCACTCTTTTACCCTCCTTTTGGGTGACCATATGCAACTACGAATTTTTATTTCAAGTTTTCTGGTCCCTAGAATATTATGGCCTCGTGCGCTTCTGAGTCGTCCGAAGTCTGCTCCCCCGCTGGTTCGATACTCATCACTCGGTTGCCAGAAGATACCACATCTGATCCCTTCCATTGCTTCTCAGACCTTTCTCCCTTCGACACCGCTCTCGAACATAGGTCTGGCGCTCTTGGTATTACTCTAGATTTGCCTTTTGCCCCCTCTAGTTCACCGAAAGATGACACCGACGACTGGATGCAATGGGGCACACTCGACCCTATGCCGACGAAGTTCACGCTGATTGATTTCGACTCTACCGATTCTCACAACACCGGGAGTCGATCACAGACCCTTGTCCATAAGGACGAGATGGCGGACGAAGAGCTAATTCAGGCGCCAGATGGGGCACCCTTTCACAAATGGATGAGGACATTGCGCCGACGCGCTGGCCGCCGGCAATACACTTCTACGATAGACGAGAGACTGTTCAGGTCAGCTTCTATGGGCACACTGCGTCAGGAAGCAGCCAGTAGCACAAGCGGCCATCATCGCCAGTCATCTTCAGGGTCCTCCTTCGGGTTCGTCGAGGCAGTGAGGACAGCCAGCGTGAGTCTTGCGAGTGGAAGCGTCTTTACCCGGTCGAGACGTAATAGTATGCGGTCATCTCGGACCCAGACGCAGACCGATTGCAGCAGCAGAGCGTCGATGTCCAGTCACAGGTACTCCGAGGACGGCAATTGCTTGGACAAGCCGCGGGTACTGGACAAAGCAGGTGTAGAGCGCTCACTTCAGAGACGGCGCATCTTGGAGGAACTAGTCAGCACCGAGGAGGGCTACATTGGGGACGTACGGTTCTTGATGAATGTTAGTGTTCTATATTCTGTGTGCTCTGCGTTCGATCTGCTAACTTTCACGCTCCAGGTCTACGTTACCATCCTCGTCTCTCTCCCCACCATGCCTCAGGGCCTACGGTCTTCGATAAATCGAAATCTAGCTGACATTGTCGATCTTCACGAAGAGCTCCTGGGAGAGTTGCACCGAGCTGTCCCTCATTCTGAATATACGCAGCTTGACTTCAATCCTCAGGCGATACATCGTGGTCGTGGTCATCGGCGGATTCGGAGCCTTAATGCGGTTCCCGAGGAGGACGACGAAGGCATGTTGTGGCTAGACACTGTTCCCGGCATGCTCGCCGAACCGAACATCGCTGCGGATGTCGCAAAGCTGTTCACGAACAAGGTGAGCCCATCAAGAACAACAACTGGCATTCGGCTGCTGACAGGCCCACAGATGAACCGCTTCTTCGTCTATGAAGAGTATGGGGCCAAGTATGAGATGATGATGAAAGACATTGCATCAGTCCATCGGACGATGCCGCAGTGGTCGACGTATCAGAGAGGTCTAGAGATGCTGGCATCGTCTGTCGGATCCAGTAGTACCTACGGCGATAAGTCCAAGAAGTCGCTCACCATCGGAGATCTGCTCGTCAAGCCCGTCCAACGGGTTTGCAAGTATCCGCTTCTCTTTGCCGAGTTGTTGAAATACACACCCGTGGCCGATTCGCCGTACGCGCACATGGAAGTCGAGAACACCCTGGTCCGTTTGCGAGAGGCGACATCGCAGATCAACCGCGCTACTGACGACGCGCGAGTGAAAGCCGTGCTGGAGAAGACATGGCTGCTGCAAGACCGGCTCGTCTTTCCAGACTCGCAACTTGACGCTGCATCAAAGAACCGTATTCGCTCGTTCGGGCACATCCAGCTTTGCGGCGTCCTCTATGCATGCTGGCAGTCAAGAGACGGAGTACAAGGGCAGTATTTGGTGGCGCTTCTCTACAAGGAGTGGCTATGCTTGGCCTCTGCGAGTAGGTTCGACCAAATCTACACCCTGCGAGCTTGCATTCCCCTAAGCCAAGTCAAAGTTGAGGCCGTGGACAATGGACGGGGTAGGTTCCCTTCCCAACGCTCGTTCTTATGCTGCCACCATCTAATCCCAACGCAGGCCTTCAATGCCACACCACGCCTTTCTCTTGGAAGATTGTGTTCGAGTGCGACTGTCAGCTATACGAGATGATGTTGACTGCATGCACGCCAAAAGAGGAGACCGAATGGCGATCCCGTCTGGACACTGGCTCGCTCATGGATCCACAAGAGCATGATACTCCCGATCTCTACAGCTCGCTGTTTCTCAATATCAAGACCCTGGGCACCGTCTACGGAAAACAAGGGTCCATCGCGCGCAACCTGTCCATACACCGAGCAACAACCGTCGGTCCCAAATCGCCCCTGTGCAACGTCATTGTCAGAAACACGAGCGTCGAGAAGGACGTACTGTCGCCCGCCAATGCGACCGTCGCCCGGTCCCAGTCTCTCCTCGCGGCCAAGGGTCGTGTACCAGTGCTGGCACCCTCACGAGCGGACAGGGCAAAACTGGAGGCACTACTATCGGATGTTTGGACCCGCGAGATCCTACCATTCCCGGGTATGACGACTCGGGCGCGGAATGAGCACCTTATTCGCACATCAGCGCACTCTATGATCCGTAAGCTGAGTGTTACGAGCATCACCAGCACGTTCACAAAGCGCTCCAGCAGCCTCGCCAGTGTCACTAGGGGAGGCAGTGACGAGGATTCAGATGACGACAATCAACCTGCGGCGCCGACCACCCCGACTTCTCTGACCATCCCACAAGGATCAGCGTCACTTGTGGATGTGCATCTTGACAGTGAAAGTCTAGGCAGATCTTGTCACACTATGATCAAGGACAATTCCGACTGCACTCCGTCTACCGTCCATGCCCATGGTGTTATCAAGGTCGGAAATACCACCAGCGGGATACACAAGCCGCGGAGCCCCCGCTGGCGGATGCGCATTACGAAGAGTCCGAGTACCTGGCAGCTCGGGGATATGGCCTTTGGCCGGGCGTCGCCCTCGGTCTCTCCAGCAGCACCATCAACCCCCACAAACAGTGCATTAAGTGTGAAGTCTATTAACACACCGAAGCTCAAGCGTCAGACCTCATGGCTATCAAGGAGTCCTATCAAGTCTGCATGTTCCACCAAGGATAGTGCCAATAAAAGTGTGAGCATGAAGCGTTGCAGAGATGATCCGAAGCCAAACGATGTTTTGTTTCAGGAGCGTCAGCCTTCGAGCTCCTCGACGCTGCGACCGTCAACGTCACGAAACAAGGCGTCGAGTGATAGGCGGTCCAAGATGGATGCGTTGCGCCGCGGGGCGGCGGTTCAGGGACTTCGGGGGATCTTTCGGTAGCCCCGGGTGTGGTTTGTCTTTGAGTTCGCTCGTGTTATTAGAAACCAACCCCCCCCCCCCCCGATCTTTGTTTCGGTGAAGGCATCGTTTGGACTGGCATGGCACAGCATTTTCATGATCACTATACCCATTTTCTTATGTCATGGTCTCGGAGTTGGGGTCAAGAAGGACAAGCTGGTTGTCAATAGGATCTCTTCAACACTCGACCTCGGGTGACTTTCTTTTGTTATTGTCTCTTGTCCGTTTTACATATGGACCAATTGATTACCCATCTCGTAATGCAACCGAGGTTTGACGCTTCTGGGAAATCCTGTGCACATACGATGAAGAGGCTATGCAAGTCGCGCAGGTGCAGCACTGCTAATTCGAAAAGGGGAGCTTCCAGTGCCTGTTGGTTCTGACAGGGAGTCATCGGCTGCTTTCTGTCATCAGTGCCACATTTACCAAGTGGCCACGGGTGATTGAAGACGCGCAACGTACTGAGCTCCACCGTGCTTAAGATGCTGTTGCTATAATTACTACGGTTATGTATTATTCTATGTAATGACTGCTTCTGAAACTTGGTGCAGATCCCAGTATGATGCAAACATGAGGCTGGCTGTCGTCGACCTGCCCATTCATGTGTATGCGGCCGACGACCTTCCACGCCCAAAAGCTATCCCTGTCGAAGCGGAGGACAGATATAGTGATGGTGACGTAGGGATGCGCCCTGGAAGCTTCCTCGTGCCTGTGACGAACGCAGGTGCTGCCGTACAGTAAGTGTTTAATTATGGCACCACAGGCAGGGGGGGAAGGTGCGGTAACTGCCCCACGCTGAGCGACCTTGTAAGCTGGAAGCTTCCCCTCAGGGGCGGGGTTACGCCTGAGCACAGTGATGCTACGGTATTGTGGTACTGCGCCATTGCCCAGCCAAAACCCAGAGCCCGTTTGATGACGTAGGGTCACGAGCTAGGCCCTTGTCTCCCCTCCCTTCCTTATAAGCTCGCGTGCCTGGCCTTTCCATTCACAAACTCAGCTTACAAAAACCATCGAAACTACCAACACCAATGGAAAAGTAATTAACGAAAGACAAGCACATCTATTCTTTTTAAAAACACACCCATATCACCACCACACAACTCTCAGTCAAAATGAAGGGCGCTACCGAGCAGACCAAGATCCACTACAAGGGCGACGAGACTCAGGAGGACTTTGTCATCTTCGTGGACGACGTCGACGAGTACGAGACCTACATCAAGGGCCTGAAGGACAAGAGTATCTCCAAGCCCGCCCTTTCACACTTCATCTCCTCATTCAAGATCTTCATCACCCACAAGTGAGTAGTAACAGCAGCCTCTCTCTCCCTCTCTTCCTCTCCAATCGGGCGAGTTGGCTGACATGAATACTCGTAACAGGCAAGGAGCACAAGGCAAGCTTGACGCGGCTTCCAAACAGGAGCTTGAGAACGAGTTCGGATCGTCCGTCGATGAGGAAGTGATTGAGAAGATCTTGGCCAAGGGCGAAAAGGTTCATTCCAAGGTAAGTGATATCAGAGCTCCGGATTCACCCTCCGCCCTACCAATCCGCCTAGGGGACATGAGAACTGACAAGCGCAACACCCACCAAACAGATGCCCGAGCGCCAGGGTCCCAAGAACGACTCCAATGGCCCCCTCGTCGCCCACTAATGTGGCCGAGGCTGATCGATACCCATTCGACTTCATGGTCTAGGCATTCTGGGAAGGACTTTGGAAGGGTTGACATGCACACCTGGCGTTCAGTGTCACGAGTTTACGAAAGTATAATGGATGGAAAGCGGAGGTGCTCTAGTGAGGTCTCTCTGTCATCGGGCATTATGTGATGTCTTGAGAGACAGCGAGTCTCTTCATGCCCCCGCATGGTCCGTGTGAGCCGATATGGCTGCGGAAATGCACCTGACGACGTACGCCGTCGCGGATAGGTAGCAAAAAAAATTACACCAGTCTATCCCACCATCTCCTGCGAGTATGTCAATCTGAATCTATGTGATTGCTCAGTTAGGGATCTGAGGTGCTTACCCACTTCGCGATACTACATCCAGAGCTGCGTATGGAAGTGCCATTTGTCTTGATGTTACAATACACCTTTTCTTTCATGACAGCCTCTCTATATATTCTCAAAGGCACCATCATTAGAGATTGTCCTATATAGTAAACTTTCTTCGCCCTCCTGCTTTTGTCTTTCAATGCTGCATTGAGGCCCACTGTGTCGAGCGATACTATGCAATCCAACACGGGACAAAGCAAGTATCATTTTCTGCTAAGATTAACATCATTCTCCTGGATTTTCTTCTTGGTGTTTTCTTCCTATTTTTTTTTTCTTCCTCTTTTCTTTCTTCCTGTTCGTACTTCGTCAAAGGGCCTTGGACAGTGGAAATCATGATCCTTGTCAACCCTAAATTAAAAGACAGGATTTCTCATTTGAGAGACATATGAGGTTAGAAAAGTCTGCTCCTTCTTGTATTTACAGTATATATAATTATACACATGCTATGTATATGCAGGTATATACTCCCGGAGACGGTGAAAGTGTTCAGAGTCGCCGAGGGTCCTCATATATCACCGCCACTGTCCTCATCTGTAGTATCCCCTTATCACTCCCAGTCTCGTCTCGATCTGTCCCCCTCCCCCCCCTCCCAAACTCACCACCACCGCCACAAGATTCATCATCGTTCGCCACCGACCCCGCCTCCACACAGGTCTCGGTTCTGACATGGATCGAGAACAGCTCGAGCTCCTCACGAGCCTGAGAGGACGGGCCCCTGTGCCGCTTGACCCTTGCGCCGGAGGACGAAGAGGCTGGTCCATTGTGGTGATGGTGGTGATGAAAGAAAGTGGCAGTACCTACTACGACCTCATCTTCACGGATGAGGTTATAGATGACTACGTTAACTTTGTGGAGATCGAAGAGCTGGACAAGGACAGCTCAACAATGCTTTATTGGGTTTATGAATACGCTGGTATGTGGGCAATACTCTGAACTGATGTCTAAGAATACCAAAAACTGCCAACTGACTTTTACCTTTGCAGCCGACGAGATGCTTCTGTAGGTTGCCATGGATAATATCCTCAATACGGAGTACCCATCCATCTATGATGGCTACCTGGATATATCGGGACTAACTTTGAATACGCTTCGGTCTGTGCTGATCACGAACATCACTGCTGAGTTCGATGCTGGTCAGCCCTCTGGGCTCTCGTATGTGGCATTGTTGTGTTTCTAGATTTTGCCCCATCACCTTCCCATGGAGGGATCACTAACAGATCATTGCCAAAGACATATGGATCACTGGATCTTATGCAAACGACCAACATGTTCTATCCACTTTATCTTGAAATATCGGCTTAGGGCCGACAGCAACTTATTAAATCTTATTGCTGACCGATATTTCTCTGCCCAGACGTATCATCAAGTTCGCGGGCGAGAAGCATCAAGAACTCGTAGCAGGAAAGCTAGCCTTCATCGTGAGCGACGACAGCGAGCTCGTCTCCCTGTGTTCCTTCTTCCCGCTCGTCCAGGCCATGATCGAGCACGGCGTCCAGAACGGCGGCAACTCGATGGGCCTAGAGGAAGTCTCCCAGGGAAAGAACGGCTCCATCTTCCTCGCCAGCCTCGCCATCAGCGGCGAGGACAGCAGGGCCAAGGCGTACCCGCTCGTGAAGCAGCAGGTGGACGAGGTGGATGAGTATGCTGCCTCGCTGGGGCTCAACTGGGGGCTGGCGGTTCCTGAACTATGCGTATGGGTTCCAGAACCCCATCGCGACGTATGGCGAGTCGGCGGCCTAGGAGAAGATCCGGAATGCTTCTTTGAAGTATGACCTAGCACAGGTTTTCCAGAAGCTGAGACAGACAGGACACAAGATACCTTCATACTTTTTGTTTGAGCTCTCTGAAAATTTTGGATTCGATGCGTTGATAGGTACTCATCCCGTACACCAGATTGAACACAACCTTGAGGTTGAAAGAGTGCATCGCACCTCGCCTTCAGTGCCTTTGAACAGGGTTTCATGCCTCAGGATTGCGCTTCCCGCGGATTACCAGTTCCTCTGCTCAACATGGCGGCATCAGACCTGACTCCCTTCAAGAGTTTCCAGAGCTGTCTTTCATGACAGTTTAATCCAGAAGCATGAACGAGACCAGAAACGGCTCAATTATTTCGCAGGAAAATGAAACAACTTGGCTCATGTCTTCAGACCTGGTTGGCGTGCTTGACGCACATACGCGCCGCCTAAGAAGGAAGCCGGGATTGCCCTTTCCTCACCTCAATTCGAGCTGGCCGGGGAACACAAAATTTTGTACCAAACAAAAAACATCGTTCCCATACCACTCACTTGGACAATATCCATTGAAGACATCAAGATCAGGTCCAACTGGTGGTTGTCAAAGATGACAATATGACATAATCAACCAACCAAGTCCGCACACCGTTTCGAGGCTGTTTCGCCCATCCCTTCCATGCAAAGGCGGGAAGCTATAATCCTTCAACCAGACCAGCGGCTAATCCTTCCCTGTACCCAAGGGGGTGGGTTACTTATGCTTATTTCTTCTCCCCCTGGGCGGCTACGCAACTTTCCAGTGCTGCATCTACTCACATAAATCCTTCCCTCTCTGTCTTGCGCTCTTGGAGGATACAAGGGGGGGAGGTGTCAAGTTTCAGATGAACCAAAGAGAAAAGTGCGGCTGGCTTCCTTTTGAGATTTTTGAGCCTCATCGTTGTCGTCGTTGTCATCAACTTCTTCCATATGTCCCGAAGTCCAAATTGTATTTCTTTGGCCCTGGCATTGAATAAATTTGTATAGCAGCATGATTTTGTTTTTGACTTGTATTTAGTCTACATCTACTCGTTACCAACCGTCCTCTTCCTCTGTTCCCCCCGTAATTCACGTCACCCGAGCTCTGGTTTAGGTTCCAAGGTTAGGCTCTGCTACAATGGGGACGGGACTTGGCTGTGGTAGTCAGTCTCAACGTTTGGGATGGCCCCGTTTCGAAGGGTTGATGCGACGTACGGTGGGGACCTTGGGGCTTCACAGTGAACGGCAACTCGAACTCCAAATCATGACCCTTGCCAACCCCCCTCCCCCTCCCAAAAGACTGAGCAAGCTCATCAGATTGTCACAGAACTTTTTGATGATTTATTTTCATTTTATTTTTTTATGTTGAGAAAAAAACCGCTAAAAATAACTAGTATAATCATGTTGAGGGATTGCACGCATGCCAAACTTGGTAGCAACGACGTCAATCATGACTTTGCACATCCCTTTCTCTAGATCCAGGAAAGACTCTCTGAACCGTTGAATAATATCATGCTGGTCTGGTGTATCGTCATGCCTCCGCTGACGCCTTAGAACCCAAATGTGGATTGAATCAAGCCCGAAGTGTGACGAATTCGCTTCCTCTCATTGCGAATTGCTCCCCCTTCTCCCTCTGCTGAAAATAGGTCCTCAGAAAACAGCAAAAGCTAAAGGACTGATGGAATGCGTAGTGCGCATTGACATGCCGTGACCTGCACGTCAATCGAGCAGGCAGTGAAACCTGGATGTCCAGGAATGATGCTTGAGGACTCGTTGAGAACTTTTGTTCGTCGGTACGAGCGACCCAAAAATTCGCGGTTATCCCCGTCGGAGTGACAGCGCGTAGGTGGCGAGGACGCTGGACGATCCAGGGCTTCGCGACTGATGTTTCCCGTCACACGTTGGAAGCGGTTGTGTGGCATCTATGCGTTCATCGCTCGAGTGTTTCGAGTTGGCAAAGTCCATGGCTTGGCACAGATCATCTAGATGAGAGGTCAGTATGTCATCCTACAATATCCAATATTACACAGGACCAAAGCAGACTCACCTCGCCTTCAGAGTATGCCCAGAATTCGACAACCATCGCAATCAAATAGTACAGCGCCGCGTTCGTGCCCTGGTATAGTAGGACTGCGGCGAGAGCGGCCAGGGGCAGAAAGGCCAGACGGGCCTCGAAACTTCGGTGGATCGCCGAGCCGGCGATGAACGACAGCGGCCACTCCCATGCCATCATGAAAAGCCCCATGACCAAGTTGATGATCTGTAATGTCGGGAAGGGCTTCACCGCCGGGTCTAATAACTTAGTGGCGAAGTCCCAGAAAATCTTGGGCCAGAAGAAGCCCTCGATCGCGGCAGCGACTTGATCTGTAGATGACGGTCAGTATGTCTGCTTTTTGAAAGGAACATACACGTTGTAACATCTCTGGTAATGGTGAAAAGAAAGAAAGAATAAAGACTTACAAGCTCCCGCGGTCAGGATGATGAGCCTCGCCCAGTGGTTCTTGATAAGCTTGCCCATCTTGAATAAAAATGGTCTTCCTTTTCCAGACTCTTCCTAGATTGCTCTTGCTTCTTCTCTTGATTGCAGAGACTTTGGTGAAGTCTCTTGAGACGCCGGATTTGAATTAAGAATGAACGGATACCGCTTCGTCACCGGCACCAAAGAGAAAGAGTCGTCAAGGACGTTGACGTCGTAGTATTAAAAGTTGGATATGAAAATAAGAGTCGAGTGACCGGACCCGCTCTGTACAAGACTGTGGTGCAGTGTAGTCGATATGAAAGAGGGCTATCGACACACCAGGTGCACTGCAGCAGAAAAAATGAGAAGAGAGAGGCGGGAGATTAGGTGCAGAGTATCGACGAGGCTTATGGCAATGGGGCCAAGCCGGACTATATTGCCTCAGCCAAGTAAGTCGAGTTTCGATGGAGGGTGCCTCAAGGTCGATGCCCAGTGGGCACAAGCCCGGGCCGAGAGGCGTGTATCAGTCTGTCCCCGTAAAAGACTGGGGAGAGTGTATAGGAGTATGATGCTCCTGGCCTGATGCTGGTATGTTCTCGTCTGAGATCCGGGTTCTTGAGATCTGGGTCGATGTTGACGGCTGGCATCCGAATTGGAGCCAAGCTTGTTCAGTCGAGATGTTTCCCGTGGCTGGAGCCCTGTATCATGAGGATATGTGCAGTTCCTGGGTTCATTCACGGATCGGTTGATCGCCTTTTGCCCCTTCAGATGAGATGGCGTTGTTTGATGCTCGTGGGAGCCAAGGGAGAAATGAGTCGAGAGTATGGATGACCAGGAGAGGCGTCCTTCGCATTGATTGATAGTATGGAGATCAGACAAGACGACCGTCTTCTGAGGCACGAGGGGGTAGGTGTTTTGAGGCAAGGACCGCGTTAGACGGTGAGAAGAGCTGCTTGATCTTCGCAAGGTGCGGGACATGGAGGTTATGAGTGACATGGGCATGTGGGTCCAAAGTGGTGGTATATGCATGCTGCACATACCATGGCACGGACTACCACCGACCTGCATGCCACGACCCGAAAAGAGGGGACGGGCCCAGGAACACCTCGGAAGAAGAGGGTCAGGCCCCCTGTTCGTGATGGGCATGCATGACCTCTCTCTCTCGTATGATAAAGAAGAAGAGGAGAAGTACAGTAAGCTGGACAGGACGATAGGCTCCGCGCCAAACGAGACAACTTCCGGTCTCACGAATGGCGGAAAGCCATGGCCAAGCCTCCCAGTTGTACCCTGCCTAGTCATTAGAGAGAACATACCAGTTGGTGGGACCCTTTCCTGCTCAATCATGAAGACGGAATAGTGTGCTCGACCCTCTCTTATCCAGTCCCCAGAACAGAGGACAGAGGGCAGTGCAGCAGAGGCGGGGTCGAGACCCGGGGAGGCTGGCGCCCGCGTGGCCATATTCATCATCGTCTTACTCGTACAAACTTGGGCTCCCTGGTGATTGAAAACCCTGGTAGGTACCCTGAAGCCAATGAACAAGGTCACCAAGATTTGCGAGCACCACCAGGGCACAGCGGCAAGACATAGTTGTTGGTCATTGGTCGTGGCAACATCCAAGGGTGATTCTTGATGCGGGCAATTGATGTGACGGAGGGCGGCAACGGCTGTCATCCAAAGGTGATTGGAAGAAAAACAGACAAGTGGGACCAAAGCCTGGCGCTTAGACATGGAGTCAGCCCAATCAGACCCTCGAGCGGGCCGAGGCCAAGGCCGTTCCCTGTAATGCGGCTGCATGACTGAACCAGGGGCCTGGTCTGCGACGGCATGTAACTCGAGGAGTAGCTTCAGGGGTTGTTCTTGCTGAGAAAGGCCTCTTCGTGGGTTGTCTAGAAACATCCTGATGACCTCGAGGCCCCGATGCGGAGATGCACGCGCCCGGTACCATTTTCTCGCCAATAAGGGCTTTGTTATGCAAGCATATCGGACAATAGTCCCCCGGAATCACGGTGATCGGCCTTCTCAACTAGCAGCCGGTCACAATCTCATCACACCGCAAATGAGAAGAAATCTGGCCGCCAGATCGTGAACTCCATGGTTACGCAGTCCCGGAGACAAGGCTCGCTTGAAATAATGATGTTTTCAGCCGATGCGGTGTTGTGACGAGAGTGTGTCCGGACGAGGAGGACCTGGCAGAGTGTGGAGTCGCACATCTGAACACTGCTCGTCCTGTTCGCACGCCATCCCAACTGACGACAATGCAGGCCCAGCTCTGCGCGAGTTTCTTTCTCTCTGTTTCCGCAATGACTTCAGTCCGCCAACATCTGATCTAAGGTTAATAGGTTATTCGTCCCGTGCTTCAGATGCCCTGTCAAATTTATTCGGTTTTGGAAACTTCTTCATCGACCGTCGATCATACAGCTTGGAAGTTTAGCCGAGACCTGCGATGGGCCACATCTGAGGCTGAGGCACGGGCCGTTTTAGGAGCTCTGTGGCGAGGCCAGATTCGGCCCAGCGCCCTTTTGCACAAGAGATTCGCAGTTGCAACAGCAAAGACAGTACACCCCCGACAGCTCTCGACGAGCCGCAGCTTTTCTGTGACTCGACACCTCTGCCAAGATTCGCATGTGAATGGAGACCTCGAGTAGATCATACTGGCCCATGCGACTCCATTGAGGTCGACAGAATCCCTGCCCGATCGGGTACGTCATGTACGGACGAGGCACAGCAGTCTTCTCCGTCCGATTCTCTTTGTGAAAGCCACATGGTCGACAAACGTTCTTCGTCTGACACCATGATACAACCTGCCACCTGATCGAGGTGCAAGATGTGATTCAATCAATAGACGACGGCTCAAAGTTCCTCGCAGCTGCCTGGCAGAATCGTGATCACGCCTAGGATCCATAAGCCACGTTCCTCGGCCAGGTTGGTGCAGACTCGAGCCATCGGGGAGCCCCGGGGGTGGGGGGCTTTCTTTGATTCGACAGACGCCGTCATGCAGACGCCCGGGCGGCCGCCATTTTGGTAATCTCAGACTCGTTCTGGGCATCAACTCTCAAGGCGCCTACCCAAACTCGGATGTCAGCAGCCACAGAGACGTTCGTCACAGGGAAGGTAGGCTTTGCCTCACTGTTCAGTCATTGAGCCTTGACATCTTCCTGACTTTCCACTTGTGCAGGATCGGATCTACTATAGTACAAGATTCTCCCCGCTTATGTCCCGAACTTGCGTGCGAAGCCAAAGCGCTTGCAGCACAACGCTAATTGGCACATGGAGCAGTGGAACCGCCCACTTCTTCTTGGGGACGGTGTGGCACACCAGCCATGTATTCCGCCAATGGACGCCACGAATTGAAGCCTATTTCTTCTTGCTACCACCTGCCACTGCACTGTGACTCGTTGTCGTCACTACAGGTGCTACCCAGGGTACTTCAATGCCAGACGAATCCCAAAAGATGCCCGTGATGAATTAGCGTCGGACCCTCGGATTGACTCTAGTGCTACCAGTCGTATGTTCGTCTAGCAATCACGGCATTGATTTTGTCAAGATCATGATGTTGATATAGGCGATTGTCACAGACAATGGCGTCGACGTACTCAATCACTGGCCGATTGGAACGTGGGCGTGCTTGAGCCGGTAGTGATGAGGCTTTCAGCTGCAGTGACCAAGGCGTCTACTGCTGAACAGGCCCAAGTTCCTGAGACAAATGGTTGGCCGAGCCAGGCGGCTACCCAAGTGCTGTCGGACAGCACGCCAATAGCCTATTCAGCATTTGCCTCGATTCCTACTGAGACGCATTTTGGAACATTTTGAGGTTCCTGCATGAGCTTTCTCGAGACCGGGGACCGTGATGTGAGTGGGATCATCCAGATGAGGCTCAAGTTCGTTGATGGTGGATAGAATAGTCGTGACGGGTGTATCCCCATGAAAGCCTAAGCGCATGCTTTTGTCACTATCTTTGGCTTACTGTCGACAAATGCAATATTGAAAAGTCACGGAGCCACTCAACTGACGTTATCATGAGGTTGTGCTTGGAAGGAGTTGCACGGTGGGCAGTCAGTAAAGCTAATCGCCGTTGGGAATTTATCACCCACCATCACGACTCCGGTATTGTTAGCCTCACTTGACAGAATCATGGGACTGTGGTGCAATAGTGGAGGTCGAGACTCACTGCATAACTATCCTGCTCCAGCCCATCGTTATGAGAGTCTGATTCGTGATAAAGCTGAATAATTAATGTAGTGGATGAAGTCTGCTTAGCGTGCTCATTCATCTTCCTCAGTGAACCGCTTTCCACGGAGCGTTCGACTTTCATCCAGACCGAGCTCTGAATGGCCAGCACAGTGTAGTGATGAGCAAGAACACCGGCGTCGTCTTCTATTCATAGATTGAGTCAAGCAAGGTATTCCTGCGCCCAGAAGCCGATGGTGCGCTCCGCATCCTCGGGGTCGAGGTAATCCACAATCTTGGCCCTTCCTATCTCCGTATTTGCTTTATTCGCCAGGTCTGCGAGGCCAACAGTAATATCGCTGAGGATATGCACCTTGTTCTCACTCAGAGGAGGCTCGATCGCGCAATATGGGAGTAGTGACTGCATGGAACCCATGCTTGGTGCTTGCACTGCAGGCTGTCGAGTGATTACATCGGCTTGGAGGAGAGATCGGTGGAATCTGAGAAGTGTGGCCGGCAAGTCCTCGATCTTCAGCAGAGGGACAAGAGGAATATCGAGCTTGTCGTCCATCAGTCTAGGAATAGTATGTATCGTTAGCCCGGTTTATTCAAGCTCTGGTGCTTGGTGACACACTTGATCTGGAACTGGATGAAAGAGGATGTACAGCCCGCACTGCCGAGCAGCCAGATGACAGCGGCGTCGTTGTTTCCTGACAGATGATAGAGCCGTTCAACACGCTGATGCCTGTAGGATATGTCTCCATCAGCGGCCGAGAGCAGGACGAACCGCAAGTAGCGTTGGCCTGGATGTGTGCTGGGTAGAGGCAGATTCACGTCGTGGGTGTCCAATTTGCTCTCTGATTACACATACGTCAGCCTGCTTTTCAGCCAGTAGCAAGTCCGCTTGTAGCTTTGACTTGTTGTACCTCTGAATTTCATCTTATCATGTTGAAGCAGATAAGGAACCGCTGATGCCCACTGCCTGCGTCGCCGTAGAGATGTGCAGAACATTGTAGCACGTGAAGACAGCGTGAGGATGATGGACTGGAACGTATAGAGACGTGATTTTCCTTTTTTGACAACCAGAGATGAACTCTGAGGCGACATTCGTTTCTGACGTTGGGGATTTTATGCAGAGAAGAACGGCTAAGTCCTCCAGATTGGATTGAGGTCAGTTGCCAAACCACTTAGATAACGAACAATGTGAGCAGCGCGAACTTGCAGCCTCCGCGATGCGACCACAGAAGGGAGGCGCGAGTACGCCTAAATGTCGGCCATGCCTTCCTCACATATGAATTAGTAAAGGCGCAGCTGGACTACCCGTGCACGTCCCCTTTCCATCTTACAACGGTCTCATAACGTTCGTTGTTGAAAGTCACGTTCAATCGAAATCCTACAACGACCTTGATATCAACCATTGGAGCTAGAAGCAACACTTTGTCTGAATAATGAATTGCACAAAGCTGCCAAGGATAACATGATGTTTTACAATACAAACGACGAATCCCTCTGCTCTGACATACTTCCACACATCAACTCCCAATCTCAGCCCAGTACGCATGGGCTAAATGATCCTTCATAACTCCTTATTGTAGAGTTAGTTCGATCTCTCAGTATGATGTTCGGTGAACCATGAGCGGCTCATGAGATGTCAGGAATTATAAAATATCTGACCGGACTACCGAAGTCATTAATCAGGAAAGCTGTCGCGAGGTCCCTCCTTACGTCTATCAAACGGTATTCCAAAAGGTTCAAAATGGGGCAAGGATGCAGATACTGTGTGTGTCAAGACTTGCTCTTCATCGCATCATTTTGACTATCACGGCTGTATGTCACTAGATACATCGGACCACATGCAATATTCGCCCTGGACATCTTCTCCCAACACCATGCGAGCCTCTCACTTGCTGGTCGAAACAGTCTCTCCCACTACTACAGCCGATATCTTGCTGCGGTCCAGAAACTTGTCCTCATCCTCATGGAGACGTGCCAAGTTTTCGGGCTGCCGCGTGAGGCTGAAGAAAGTCTTGAAATGCGCCTCGTCGGTAAAGGTCAGCTCCGCGAATGCGTCGTAGTCGTAATCGGCCTGGCTGCCTAGCAGCACCTTCGCCGGGAAGCTTGCGTTACGCTCAGTAGTGCCCTCCGCGCTGCCCTCGGCGCGGGCGAGGTAGCGGCGCGTGTGAGACAGCGGAAAGTGCTCGCCGCCCATCTCCTTGACGAGGGGGATGTGCGTACCCTCGTAATGGGCGCGGAACTGCTCCGGCGTGGTGCCAGGTTTGCGATAAGAGAAGATCAGGACACTGAAGGTCATGGCTGAGGGTTGTGACGAAGTATCTTGGAAAGACTGGGTCGAGACGAGGTATGTTCAGGCTTGGATTGGCTGTGCTCTAAGGAATTGAGAAGAGGGGACGAAGTTGATGAGCTGCAGCCTAATTCGGGCTTCTTAAGATGGTTAAGTTGAAGAATGCATCTGAATACGGTAAGCAGTAAGCACTAAGGTCTGATTGTAATACAGCTATCGAAAATCCACGCTGCCCCTGCACACAATCAGAGGACGGGCACGGTGTCCGGTAGCCGTTGATTATTCAGTTATGAGCTGAAGCATACAATTCTTGAGGTATCAACTAATGCAAACATTGAAAATGTTACTGAGGTCGACTTTATGATCTTGAAAGTAGGCCTTCTCCGCCCGTCAGCAGCCGGCACGCTTAGCAAGACGATCAGGGCTGCCAAAAAAGAAACAGAAGTCATAAAGCCTCGACTTGAACCCAACCAATGGTCTTGGACAAGTAGCAATAGATTTACCATTTAAATGATATTTTGCCCCTTCTCCTCACCGATCCCCTGGAGCTCGGTGCGTGGGAGCTTCCGACAGAGACACTTGGCCTACGAGGCGAGGTGGTCAGACAAGACATAATCTCAGCGTACCATTTTACCTTAAAAAGATAAAGCAGTGCCGAAATGTATGTCATGAATTAATAAACATATAATTTTTATGCCGACCTATCTGACGGCCAGTCTGTCGCGGTGTGAGAATTTCATGTTAGCGAATATCGGAGGACATGCGGAAATACATGAATCCCTCTTCCGGCAGAGATGCCGCCTGCTTGCCGCCCAAAATCGGACTGGGTCAGACATCCCTTCTATGATTCCCAACGCCATGCTCGCTTCCTATATTTTGACCTTGGAATGGAGATTTTGAGAGTGGGAGATTTCGATATGCCTTGAAATCCCACGACATCATGATTGTCGACGTACATGCACATGGTGCAGGCGTTCACCGTCCAACCGTGAGATGATGCAGGACCAGGCTCTGCGTCTTTGGGACGAACACTGCAAATATCCCAAAGTCTCCGAACCCATACCTGCAGCCCAACCTACTGACTCCGTAGCCCATGCTTGAATCTCGGCGTGACATGTGGATGGTATGCTCTACCAATTGGTGAGACTCAGCTCCATGATTTCAAGCTGGTGTGGGCGAAGGTAGTAATGGTTGCTTCGTCTTGGGATCCTTATAATTCCTCAGTGCCTCCTCGAGCTGCAGGATTCGGCTCTGCTGCCTTCTCTCCTCCCGCTCCCGCTCCTGCTCTTTCCTGTGCAATTCTTCGAACCGCTCTGTAAGGGCCTCGATCTTCTCTTTGTTTGTATCTGGCTTGCTCGAGGACCGCCACGTCTCGTAGATGATCAGGATTGCGGCCACGAAGAGAATGAAGCCATCGCCAACAACGTCCGCAAAGAGATCGACAGCTTTGGCTTCAGGCAGGGGCTTGAACTTCCTCTTCCACACACTGATTCCCGTATATTTTTTCGCAGGATGCGACTCCTTTGCCGACGTGCCGTATTTGGCTTTGAGTAGCTCTTCCTTCTCCAACTGCTCCTTTGTCTTGACTGTGGGTGCCTCTGCCTTTTCCTTTGCTCTGAGCTCCGCTTCGGAATTTCTCAATAATGCGACGTTCATGCGCATGTTCAGCTGGTGTATCATCTGGCCGTACCTCGCTGCGAAGGCTCGAAACCGGGGGTGCTCGTGGGCTTGTGCTTTGATCCGGTTCTGTGAATCATTCGTGGTCAGCACCAGCAGTCGGCAACGCGGATCTACCTGGACTCCTTACCGCTCCATATTTCGACACATGCCGCACAAAGAGTGAGGCGAGCTTGAAGAGCGGAAGAGGCACCATTGCAAGAGAGGGAGGGAAAAAGGTGGTGGTCCAGCCTCTGCGACACGGCAACGGACTGGAAGTGGGACGAGTGATGATTCCCCCGGATGTTCCGTCAAAGTAGCCCCTTTCGCTCTGTTCCTTGCTTGCGAAGGCCGCCCTGAATCGGATGTGACAATGGTAATTGTGAGACGATAAATTTTGCATGCAAAATAGCAGAACTATGCAATGACGTGGGCAATCATGTTCAACACGACTCAGATTTCAATTGCATGGACTTGACTTCTTGTCCGAGGATCAGATGTGGGTACGTACTGTACAGTGTAGAGCTTGGAAGCTACGAATTGCTAGTTATCGATTGGCACTGGGCCAGTAGTGCTGCCAAGTACCATAGTACCGTAGTGCAGCTCATTGCTGCAACCATTCGCTGTCATTGTCTCGTTGTCGGGTGGTTGCACTCCACCTGCTGACCCTACCCGCAGGGGTCAAGGTTACCTAAATCAAAGACCCTGGCAAGTCTGTTGCTCGGGCAATGAGACAACAAGCTTTCACTCCTTTCAATGAAAAGTCCATTGTCATTTTCCTTGCCATTTGCGATTTGACATACCTAGACTCCAGGTCACGATCACAGAAGACAACTCTCCCCTATCTTGAGAAGGAAAGAAACAACGTTTCCGGGCATTTGCTATTCTCGCATGCTATCACCAGACAGGAGTTGCTTGTAAGTCATCCCTTCTTTCTATCGCCACACTAGGAAAGGCCCGTTGCTCTTGCCCAGCCACCCTCCATCATTCTTGGTCTTTGTGACCTAGCGGCTTGATGTTTCTACCACCAACCTAGTTGACCACATTGAGCATCCAAGCCTCCGTTTTCTTCCCACGTCGTTTGAACAGGACATATTGATCATGTCGTACTGATCGACTATTCTGCAGCTTCAACGGCGAGTCATTGGCAGAACGGAGCGGCACCCAGATGCTGCCTCTCGAGCCATAGTTCTCAGATCGCTCGGCCATTCGCTCGACTCTACCCCCCCCCCCCCTCCTCTTCCTCACTACACCACATTCTCTGGGGCTGCTCACCACCAGTCGAGCCTCAGACGTAAGACGTCGGAAATCCAAGATACTGCTAGCATCATGAATGCCAGAGGCGGCATTGACATAGAGGCTTTGTCCCCTCGAGATGCTAATGCCCTTCCGAAGCGCACGACCGATCTTAAGGCAAAAGCTGCAGCCCAGCTTAAGTCCAGTAAGGACAAGGACCACCCTCCCATGCCACCACCTTTGGTCACGGAGCCTCCGAGCTCCGACCGCAAGGATGGTGCTGTGTACCAGGTCGGTAGACTGCTAGGGAAGGGTGGCTTTGCCATATGCTACGATGGCAAACATGCCGATACGGGCAAGAGATATGCTCTGAAGATCGTCAAGAGCCAGATGCCCGTGAAGATGCAGCAGAAGGTTGGCAGACATCCCCGACCGGCTCCAGATCATGAGAGTGAGTTTGCTGATCCCTTCTTAGTTTCAAACGGAGCTGCAGATTCATTCCAAGATGCGGCACCGGAACATCGTCCAGTTCCATCGCGCGTTCACCTTTGAGAGCTGCACCTACCTGGCCCTGGAGCTGTGCCCGAATGGATCGCTGATGGAGATGGTCAAGAAGAGGAAGGGCCTGACAGAGGCCGAAGTACGTTTCTATACGGTGCAAATTGCCGGTGCCATCAAGTACATGCACGATAAGGGCATCATCCACCGTGACCTGAAGATGGGTAACATCTTCCTCGACAAGTACATGAATGCCAAGGTCGGCGATTTCGGTCTCGCCGCTCTTTTGGTGACTGGTAACGACATGCACACCATCAGAAGGACCACGCTCTGCGGCACGCCGAACTACATTGCACCCGAAATCCTGCAGAAGGGAAAGAGTGGCCACGATCATATGGTCGACATCTGGAGCCTGGGCATCATCATGTAAGTGCCATACCTGCGGCGAGCCCGGAATTTTTGTTACCATGTCGATGCTTACTGGCTGCCGCAGATTTGCGATGCTCACGACAAAGCCCCCATTCCAGTCGTCGACTACGGACGAGATCTACCGACGCGCAAGAGAGCGAGAGTACGATTGGCCAGAGAATGACCAACGAATCATCAGTCCGGAGGCCAAGATGATCGTTTCATCGATGCTCGTCGACGCGGATAAGAGACCGGATCCCGACCTCATCGTCCAGCACCCCTTTTTTGCCGCCGGATACGTGCCGGTTCAAGCAGACATCTCCATGAAGCTGAGAGAAACCCCTCCTCAACAAGAAATTTTCTACGACGCCTGTGAGCAGCCCAAGCTGCGCGAGCGCACAATGCGTAATCTCAGAGCCCTCTGCCAGGAGTGTGATGTCGGCCCCTGGCACCAGAGTACTCGACCCCCTGCAACAGCCATATGGAGGGAGATCGCTGCGGAGGAGAAGCATGGCTTAACCCCCAACATCCCACTTGCTGCCGACGTCGTGTATCGCCCCTATGATGAGATCAGGAAAGAGAAGAAGCAACTTGCTGTGTCTCAGTCAGTATCGATGCTCTGCGAAAAGACCGAGGCTCTCACTATCGACTCGTCCTCCGCTACAAAGATTCAGTCCGGCCTATTGAGAGCACCACCTCAGAGCTTTGCGGCCCAACAGAGGGCTGCCAACAGACCAAAAAATGTCCTGCCTACCTCGCAGACGCTCCCATCCATGAGTACTGCGCCAACGAGACCAGGTACTGTCCGGGGCCGGGCTGTGAAGAAAGAATTACCTCTGACCACGAGTGGTGCGCTGTCGGTCGAAGGTCACGAGAAAGCGACTCGCGGCCCAACTCGAACAACAAGGACACAGCTACCCTCTGGCAAGGCACAGCCAACGGCACGATCAGCATCCGACAGCCAGCCGATTTCAAAGACCGAAGCCCCGAAAGAGACCGTGGGCACGGGCCCCGAGGGACAAAAGCTGACGACCTTGTTTGCCCCGGACGAGCCTCAGGAGCTGCTGAATGATACCAGGCCCGACGTTGTGTTGGGCAAGATGCGCAAGCTACAATCTGAGCTTGAGAGGGCTCTCAAGGCACGCTCCCAGGCGTACCTCTCTGCGCAAGACAAAGAGCCAGACGTCCCAAAGGTTGTCGTCAAATGGGTGGACTATAGTAATAAGTTCGGCGTCGGCTATATCCTGAACGACGGCAGCGCGGGATGTATACTGAATCATGTTGTGGCCCCGCTGGGGAATGAAGATGCTGTGCTACCACCGACATACCTGCTCGTCCATGGAACTGAGAAGCATATTTCGCGGAGACACGACCCGACATATTCCGACCGACATCAAATTGTGCCGATGACCAACAACATCTATTTCTACGAGCTACATGGCGAGGAGGGTGTCAGTCGAACGGCTGTGCATCCAGAGGAGTTCAGGGTCTCGGTGAACCCAGACGGAACTTCCAGCAAACTTGGTCCAGGGAATGACCTGTGGAAGCACCGGAAGCGGGAGCGGATCGTTCTCTGGAAGAAATTCGCCAACTATATGCTCCAGTACGCGAGGGATCCCAAGGATATTGATATGTTCGCACCAACGACAGGAGAGCCAGGAGACCTCGTTACTTTCTATCAGCGGTTCGGGGACGTCGGCGTTTGGTACTTCTGTGATGGGCACATTCAATTCAATTTCCCCGACCACACCAAGATCGTGCTGGATTCGACCGGCAAGTGGTGTCACTTCTGGCATCTCTCCGAGGAGGCTGCCCAGCGCCTCGCGCAGACCGGAGAACTCGACGAGTCCTCACTGGACAACCGTGCAGTACTAAGCTACCCGCTCCAGACGCTACTCAACTTCACCATGTCAAATACAACCTCTGCCGCCGCGAGCCAGTCGGGTCGCTACCGACCAGAGATTCCCAAGGGGCTGCTGTTCGTACCTGACGCCAACGGGTTCCGCGACAAGGTCAAGTTCATGCACAAGATTGTCAAGGAATGGGTACAGAATGGCGGCATCGGCCAGAGCGACATGTCCCGTGAGGGTCGGCTTAAATGGGACGGAGTCAGGCAGACAATGCAGGTCGAGCCGGTGACAAAGCACGTCTGGGTGACGGTGGGGGCACGAGGAAGCGACTCGCGACACGCCGTCTGGGTGGACTGCCGGAAGCCGACGGTGCTTCTTGAGAACATTGATGAGAACCGAAAGAGCGATGATACCCGGAAGGGCTAGGGAGTAGCCTTTGTTGAGCAAGGAGTTGATTGGCGTTGTGACCTACATTTTCTTCCCTTGGTTTTGGCTCTTCTTGGTGTCCAGATTCTTCCTCAATCGAGGCAGACATCTGTTATATCCCCCCCCCAGGGGGGACAGATATGAAGGGGTTTTCTATTTTCTTTTGTTGTTGTTTCTATCGTCTAGTGTCTTGGAGTCTTGATGCAGTGATGAGAAGGGAGGGGGTCATTTCCAGTAGCCACAGACCTAGCGCGCGGCACAAGGGTGTAGACCAGACATAATAAAGCCACGGACGTGGTCTCATAAGTATAATCGACAGTTGACGGCATGTACAGTTGCACGATTGAAGGTGTCCTGGACATGCTCATCTCATCTGTGTTGGCATCTCATTCCTGGTGGGGGACGTAGCTTGTGTCGTGGCTGCCGTGCTGCTGTAACGGGAGCTCTGAGTAAACACTGCTAGGGAACGGGTCAAAATTATCTCCTGACAGGGTTAGCAGCGAGCCAGATGGTGTCTCACGATAGCCAAAAGTTCCTCAGCATGTTGAGATGCATCGGTATGCAAATGACATTGGCAGACCGGCCAGACCTCCAAGTGACAGATTGAATAAGAATGTAGGACGATGCATCATTGCTATTAGGATTAGGGATGCAATAATACTAATAGCAAGTAAGTTAGTAAGTGGTTGCAGGAGACAAATTAGCTAAGAGTTTTAAATCGACATTGTGTTCCGTTAGAACAGTGGAGTTGGTTGTTAAAACTAATGGCTCGTGCAGCACAGCATCCTAAGTACTTTGAACAGCAAGATCAGTCCAAACAGTTTGAAAGGGGGGGCTGTGACCATCAATCGCGTCGAGATTCGAGAAAAAAGGAGGGGGCAGAGGAAAAAAGACAATGGCAAGCTAGCCCATGCTTACCCTGATGCTCCACCTGCCCAAATAGGAAGAAATGGTCCATCTAGAGACTTTTTATTGGCTGTACACGCTAGACCCACCCCCGCCACTGGCTTCCTGGGCGCTCCTGTCCTGACCCCATCTCACGCGTCTCCACCCTAGGTCAGCGGTTTGTCTCGTCACGCTGGAGCTTGGTTGCTCGCCTGCAGCTTGGCCCTCTAAATCAGACGCGGCTCATAGCAAATTTGCTGTCATCACCACTACCACCGCCGCTCCTCCTGCTCCTCCTGCTGCTCCTTGGCCCTCTTAACCCCCCTCGTACTCTGTGCTCTGCTCAATTGCTCTCGTCCATTGCCTCAGGATACGGTGGTATTGTCGTTCCTTCTTGTTGAGACAGCTCAATCAAGGGTTTTCTTTCATGTTTTAAGTGGTCTTTGAGGAGCATGTATATATGAGGGATTGACTGCAGACTGTTCCGAGGCCCTCGTCCGTCACGCTCTCAAGCATCAGCGCAGACTCTACACTATGTCGAGCCAACTACCATCGCCAACCGTCCTGCCTGCGAGCTCACAGCAGCAGAGCGACAACAATGGCCACGCATCGAGTTCGCCAAACAGCGGGAGCTGCTCTGTCCTTCAGTTTGGAAGCCAGGACTCGTTCCAGAGCAATGCTTCCGAGCGGCACCCCAAGGGCAAGAGAAAGAGGACTGCGTATGTTTGCAGATGCGACCTAGGCTTGAGAAGGGCAGGACTTCATGGCTGACGGGAATTGCCTCCCTCTGGGTGTATAGTGCAAAGGACAAGGCTATCCTCGAGGCGGCATACAATGCCAACCCCAAGCCCGACAAAACAGCGCGTCTCGACATCGTGAAGCGCGTGTCTCTCAACGAGAAGGAGGTTCAGGTACGATGACACCCACGCCCATTGTTCTTAGGCACGCACGCGACGCGCCCAATTGTTGTTCCACCTCATGATTCACTGCATTAGGCGAATATTTCCGCTGACCCTGCCTGCTATTCTTTTTGTTGTGTGTTGCAGATATGGTTCCAGAACCGCCGGCAGAACGACAGGCGCAAGTCGCGTCCCCTTTCTCCGCAGGAGATCGCTGCTCTGCAGTATGGCAGCATGCAGGTCCTCCCAGATACGATCTCCGCTCCTCCATACATGTCGACTCTGCCTCCGAGCTCCAGTCTGCCGGCTGCCCACAACACGTCCCCGGTCCCACCGTCATCCGCGCCGGAGAGGGGGAACGCGTCCCCGCATTCGGACACAGGACCATCCAGACCGGACAGCGCCGGGCACCCCGCCGGGCTCAGGAGGGAGTCGGCTCCGTCTGGAGGCATACCTGCTGTCGGCCCGTCTTCACAGCCTGTCGGGTGCACGGCTGACCAGCCGCCGCAGCTCTACCGCTCCCAGTCTGTGGGGTACTTCGCAAATAGGTTACATGCTAGCACCTCCTTCCAGGCAGCCCGCCAGAGCCCAGATTCTTACAGGTATGTTAACCAGCATGACCTGCGACCAACACATGTTGGCGCCCAGGCTAACCATTGTTCATGTAGACATGAGTTCATGCCTGCACCGCGGCCCTCGTCGACGACTACCGGTCCAGTACTTCCCCCACCGCAGTCGTCCAAGTTCCGCTTGTCGATGTCGATGGAGGGCAAGGCTGAGTTGGTCTCTCAGCCTTCTCCGCCTCGCTTGTCCCCAACCAGCTTTCCCGAGAGCTCAGTTCCCCTCGACCGGCCTCATCTCCACCGTAGCCAGAGCGCAGCGGGCGCCATCACACTGCCGCCAATTTCCGCACTGACGGCCTCTCTCGAAGACAACGACGCCGTGCCCGCGCAACCTCAAGTCCTGCAGCAACCACAGCCTCGGCTCCACCCACGTCTCTATCGCAGCCGCTCTCGAGACGTGCATCTGTGGGAGCTGGCCTGCGAGGCCAACAGCGGGGAGCACCGTGACGAGCTGACTGCGTATGCGGAGCGCGAGTCTTCGGGGTCCGCCATCGCTGCTATTAGTCTTCTCCGCACACTCAGCTCCAGCTCCCACTCTCCTGCCTCCAGCCACAACGGGACTCCTCTGCAGCTCAACAGCGCCAAGCGCAATGCAAGGCCCAGCGCGCAACATCACCATCATCACCATGCCAAAAAGCCCAAGCTCGGCAGAGCCTCTAGCAGCATCGCCCGCCTGCAGAACAACCTGGTCAACATGGTGAGCGAAAAACCAACAACAGCACGTTCAGATGAGGTCGATGTAGACGAAGATGACCTCAGGAAGGTCAAGATGTCGATCCTGCTGTCGCCGGGAGGGAACGAATCGGACAAGGAGAACTGGAGCCCGGACGACGACGGCAACCCGGTGTTCCGTGGCTCTCACCCTGGAGGTCGACGGCCTCTACCATCTGCGCCTACCTCAAGGGGCATGCAGTCGCAGCATGCACGCCGGCGTGTGCTGGAGGACGACAGCAATCGAACTATGCTCGGGCGCGCCAGCACAGCACCGGGTCCGAGACGAAAGAAGGGCGAGTCGCCGATTGCGATATTCGACGACAGCCTGGCTGAAGTTGATGTCTCCGACGATAACGAGGATGGTGGCCGTCAATCGGAGCGCAGTGGGGTCACGGATGATGAGGTCGAGAAGTTTATGCGCGGCGAGGTCAGTCCTAGTAAGAAGGGAGCGGCTAGCGCAATTGCCGGACTGCTGGCTCTCAGCCAGGGTCACTGGCGATAAAACACAGCAGTCACCATTGTGCGCCCCTCCCCATCCCGGGGTCTGAGGCGCCGTTATCTCTCACCTGGCTATCAAAGCCGCTGTTGGCACCTGGAATTATCAATTCGTGGTGTGCACCGCATCTGTACATCTAGGAGATCCCACCAATCGCTCTTGGGGGATCGTACCTTCTTTTGATTTACACCAGAGCTGAAGGGTGATAGGGGCAGCCAAAGGTTAATCGAGTGCAGCTGGTAGGTAAGTTATCTGTTGGATAGGCTGGTACACTTGCTGTATCCAAGCGGGGTCTTTTCTTCAGTCGAGACGCTTTTGTCAAGCGTAGTATCGGGTATGTATATGAGACAAGATGAGTCCAGATGGGATACGACTATGGACTTTTGTCCAACGCACATATGAGCAAGATACCGCAACGAAGGTAGGGGCGAGCTCGGACGGCACCGACAGCACGTGTGGAATGGATAATGACGAGTACGGCGAAATAAGATCGAGGTGTACTATCGGACAAGGCTTGGAAAATCTTGGTGGTAATTTTTGTCTTTGGTGATATTGGGAGTGTCGACGTTGGCGCCGCTGTACAATCACCAAATATGTGTGTGTTCTGCCTGTGTTAGGGCGCGCAATACCTTGTGAATCTGTTGTCTAGTCGGTGCAAATGCTGTGAAGAGAGCGAGATGAGAGCGAAAGAGAAGGCGAGAGTTTGTTGTGCCCAGTAAGGACTGTCGTCAGTTCATTAGCTACTAAGTAAGTAGCTAGCTACCGAAGTAGTATAAGTAGTAAAACTTAAGAAAAAACGACCCAACATTGCTAGGCTCGTTTCCCCCCACTGACTTGCCGCTCCAAAACCTTGCCCCAAGTAAGACCGATCAAGGAGTTGTTTACTCCAGACCAACCTTCTCGTCCACTCTTTCTCTCTGATGGCTCTATGAGTATTTCTTCTCTAGAATGATAATAAATCTCTTCGCTGATATGGCTTCTTTCAGGGAGAGAAAAAAGAAAAACAGGAATAAAGAAAAAAGAAGAAGGAAGAAAAAAAGCAAGGAATGTGTGGACTGGCTGGCTGACTTATTGACCGACCATGTGCAGTCAGTCAATGCCAACACGTCATTTGCTCGCTACCCCGCGCTACATGCCCAACAAACTCATCTGCCTCCGCAGCGGACTCGCACTCGCACTTCCCTCCTCACTCGCATAGCAAGCACTATCCGTGTCGATATCCCAATCTCCACACTCGTCACCCTCATATTCGCTAGCAGGCGTGCAGTCGCCACCGCCCGCATCAAATCCTTTCTGGGTGGCAGCACGAACGTTCCAGCGCAGGGTACGCGAGACGGAGTCGAACCACTCAGTGTCGGTGCGGGTGACCGTGGGGAAAGGATACTGCGAGGCGGCGATGGTGACGCAGTCGCCCTGGCGGAGCTCGACCCGGCCTTTGCCGTCGAAGGCACAGTAGGCGGTGGCGCGGGAGTTGCGCGGGACGGAGACGCGGAGAAGCATCGTGTCGGAGAGGACCATGGGCCGGAAGGACAAGGTATGAGGGCAGATGGGGGTGAGGAGGATGGCGGGGAGGTCGGGGTGGACGAGAGAGCCGCCCGCTGAGAGGGAGTAGGCTGTTGATCCTGTTGGAGAGAAAGAGCTCAGGTCAGTTACTATTTCTACTACTGCCACCACTACTAACTACGATGGGCTGCTGGTCCAGAGGAGATGGAGTATCTGAGGAGGGGAGAAACTTACCAGTGGGCGTGGAGAAGATGCAGCCATCCGCCTGCACAACCGTCAGGAGCTCATTGTCGCCATACAGCTCCAGGTTGGACACATAAGGCGACGGGCCGCGGTCGATGACGAGCTCGTTGAGCACCTCAAACTGCTCACCCTCCTCCATCTCGCGGCCCATCGCTCCGTCTCGGTAGACGGTGCACGTAAACCGCATGCGCAGGTTGATCTTCATGCCGTCGTCACCCATGACACGGTTCAGGTGGTCCCGGAACCGTTCATACTCAAACGTCGTCAGGAAGCCCAGGCTGCCCAGGCTGAAGGACAGCACGGGCGGCACGATGCGCTGGAACAGCCAGGACGTGAACAGCACCGTGCCGTCGCCTCCCAGCGTGAGCACCAGGTCGAACTTCTCGGGTTGGCTCCAGCACAGGTCGGGCGTCCAGTACTTGAGCATGTGCTGGAACCGGGGGTTCTCGGCCACGATACCCGGGGCGTCGAAGCGTTTCGAGCCTCGCAGCTTGGCGTCCACAAAGACGTTGACGCCCAGGTCCGAGCCGTAGCGCGGTGTGCGCATCAGCCACTGCGCCAGCTCGCGCGTCAGTACGACCAGCGTGTTGTCGCGGGCCTTGGTCACGATCATGACGTTGCGCACAGCGCGCTTGATGGGCCGCCGCTGCAGCTGCTTCGAGACTTCGCGCACGCCCGTGGCTGTCTGCACCAGCCGGGAGTGAGACATCCACTCGTCGTTCTTGATCTCCTCCAGCACCTTGTCGATGTCGACGATGCCGTCGAAGCGCTGGTGGTAGAAACATGGTGACTGCAGGGCCGGGAGCGCCGTGGTGGGTGTCCGCGCCGGGACCCCCGCCGCGCCTGAGCTGCGGAGTGCGAGGTCGTTCAGGGCGTCGCAGAGCTGCGAGGATGATGTGCCGGGTCGTGCGTCGCCTGCGCCAGCTGTACTGTTGTTGCTGAGCATGCTGGGCAGCGAGAGAGCCTGGGGCTTGTTGTTGCGGGCGACGGAGGAAGCGAGTGCCTTGATGAGCGTCTGTCGCGGGACAGATTCAATCGAATGGGAGTTCCGGTGGTGACCCTGGTTGTAGGTGGACGAGGGTTTGGTGGTGGTGCTGTCAGAGGGTGTTGCGCTTACGAGAGCAGCTGCAAGCGAGACGGGGTGGCTCTGGTCGACATGGCGGAGATGGTTGCTATTGTTGTTGTTGTGTTTTGGTCCGTCTAGAGAGAGGTGTTGTTGTAGTGAGGAAGGGGGGAGCAGAGATATAGGCGAGGCTGAACAGGAGGACGAGGATAGTGATGGCTTAATCTGAAGCGGACTGAGCCGGAGAGAAGAGGACGATGTCACAGCCTCTGAACCCGAGCCAGAGACAGAAGAACAAGACGACGAGGTCCGTGGACGCTCCGTCTGGTGGTGGGACAGGGTGTGGGAGTAAGAAGAGGAGGAAGTAGTGTTAAATCCATCGGTCTTGTGCTGCTGCTGCAGTGCGGACTGGGATGTCTGACTGGTCGCACTCAGCGCAGGGTGGATCGAAGTCGGGGAAAGTAGTTGGTCCGACATTGTGTGACGTTCTTCTGCGGTCCAAGCGGAACTCTAGCAGAAGCGGGATCGATCTCGGTGATAAAAAGGTCGCGAAGGAAGATGGAAGAAGAAGTCCGACAAGGGGGTCCCGTTTCTCGCTTCGAGATGTAAAACCCGAGACAAGAAGAAGAAGAAAAAAAGGCCTGTTGCTGTAGACTTGTTGTAGTTTGTGATCTCAACAAGCAGCAATTTTCCTGATGCTGTTTGCTGCGCTGTCTTGAATGATTTCTTGGGAAACTGGAGTCTCAAGAAACCAGCCTTCTTAAAGACGACACCCGCAAACTGACAGGTACCAGGTACAAAACAACGGGGTTTATTCAAGAAAACCCCCCTTTTCCCCTTGTAAGCTGGAGATTAGGCTTGGTTTCGGTGGGAACAGGCCGAGGCTACTGAGCTGTCCCAGTTAGAAACCAGGGGTCCTTTTTGGAAACCAGAAGAAGAGGCGAACAAGGCGGGTGAGATGGAGTGCAGGTTGCAACGGCTTCCGGATAACTCGGGGGTGCGTCGATCTTATTTTGAGAATCTCGCAAGAACTGTCAGGCCAATCAACCACAATCGTTAGTCCATGTGCACACGTTCCAAAAGGTATGCAAATTCCAGATTTCAACAAAAAAAAAATGAAGGGGAAAAAAAGAAGAAAAAAACCGGTAAAAAGAAGGAATGCTGGAGAACTTACCTGATGATGGGAATGAAATCTATTGGGATGTTTTGCTCCGGAGACAAAAAAAAAAGCTGTCACACCAAAAGGACGAAATAAGAATATAGGGCGTGATTGTGATCTGGAGATGCAGCAAAAGATTGTGTATAGTATAACCAAAAAAAGAAAAGGATGTTGCCAGAATTAGTGTCCGATGCGAAAAGGCTGCATGCGCCCGACGGCAAATGTTGACGAGTCGTAGATTATAAAAAAAAAAAATGGAGGTTGGGGGGGGGGGGTATCTTTCGAAGAACAAAGTCCGCTTGCCGAGTCTAATTGGGGGAGAAGTGAAGGACGCCAGGTCTATAAGTGTGTGATGCTAATGCAGTCGAGAAACGATGGATGTAAAGGCTCCCTTCCGAATGGGCTGGATTTGTATGCAGTGTGATTGAATGACCCAATTGAACCGGTTGGTAATAATGGTGGTGGAAATGAAGTATACCAGAAGAAGAAAAAGAAGAAAAATGGAGAACGCCGGCGTACTTTAAAGAAGATGAAAAATAAATATAAAAAAAAAGGGAAAGGGACGGTGGATGGATGAATGAATTAAGGCGGACGGGTGGAAGAGAAAAAACGAGGCAAGCAAACAGAGGGGGGGGGGGTAATTTGCTAGAACTACCAGAGCTCTGCTGTTTCGCTTGAGAGGGAAAGAAAGGGGGGGAGAAGGAAGAGAGGAAAAGAAAGGGAAAAAAAAAGAACGAAAAAAGGGAGGTCAACAAGATTGTTTGTGATTTACCATGCTGCTGGAAGGGGGAAATCGTCGAGAGATGCGATGAAAGCCCTTTTCTGGCAGACCAGCGACAGACTCATTATGTATTGTAATTTTTTTTTTTTAAGAGCCGCCAACTAAGTGTCTTGACGATCGGCTAGCTATGCAAATGTACGCTGCGGGTCGATCGAGGGCCCTTGCGCGCTTGAACACGGACAGGGACCCGAGTTAGAACTGGGACGAAGACTGCACGAGGGGTCGCTTCAGGTTCTTCTTTTGCCCTGGGTCTGGCGTTTTGCCCGGTGCAGGCAGAGAGAGTGTGGGGGAGGGAAGATAGAGAGAGTGGAAGCCCCATCAAGCCAAACAGCTCTTGTTGCTGGGGGACAAGGCTGAGGTGTGGTTGCCAGAATGGACCCTCCTTGTTTTGAGGAGGGTGCAGCCACAGGGTATAACCGGATCGATCGCCCCGCCAACAGGAAGAAGGCTTGTGAGTCTTTTCGCGCAGGCAAGGTCGTCCACTTAGAAACGTTGTACCTGGGATTGCCCCTGGCATTTGACAAAGGAAGGGAAGGGGGAGGAGGGTGCCACCCAAAAGAGACCCCCATGAAGATACGGGGTAGACCCGTCAAGGGATTGATGCCTCACAGCGTACACAAAGGCTTCAATGCGACGCGGTCTAGATTGTGTTATTGTCTTGCTCATGTAGGGCAGATAAGCCAATAAGAAGGGGGAGGATGATTCTTGCAGCCTCGCGTCTCAACTACAATACTCTCTCTGACTTAAGAGCTCTCAACGCACATCCGTATGTCTTTTTCTGCAATGTTGGGGGATTTATTCTGCCCTGTTCTTGGGAAACGTTGGTAAGGAATCTCTATCCGATGAAAGCTCGTATCTCTCTCTTGATAACCCAGAACGGACAGCTCTTGTTGGGATCTATGTTCCAAATGGACGATTCAATAACAATACGGTAGCGAGGCGTCCACCAGACCCCACAAGTGGACACGATAACAGTAGAAAAGGAGCTCGTTAGAGATCTGCCCTTCCCGAGTTTGAGCAAGCCGCAACCGCCTCCGGTCTCAGGTTGTGCAAGGATAGGGCCGCGGTGCGTCGCGAAGCTCTGTGCAGCAGCATGGCGTCTCATCCCCTGAAGAACAGGCAGGCAGAGACGTGTCCTGCATGTCAACGAATTGGCTTGTTCTGATATGCATCGAGGGGCGAAACTGAAATCTAAATTTGACGACGGGGTGCAGCAAGTTTTGTTTTTTTATTTTCGGCTGCAGAGTTTTCATTGGGCCTTGGTCATGTAGGCAGAAAAAGAAGAAAGCAGAAGAAAATGGACATTAGTCGTTTGATAGACCAGCAAAATATGGGCCATTCTGGCTCGGCGTGTAATAGCCCGCCGAGCAGCAGCTTTCACAGCCAGCTGGACAGAATGTCAATAACATCATGGCAAATCATTGATGTTTGGGACAGACCATCTGATCAATAATACAAGCTTTTCATTCTTTTGTCTCTCCTTTTAGTTTGGCCAACAGGGGAGGCTGAATGGTACCAGACTTTCACCACAGCAGCGTGTGACTGTGGTTGTCAGCACGTGGTCTCGAGCTTGAGGCTACTTGATCCGAGATCATCTGAACCTCTAAACCGAGAGAGTGAGATTGAGTGTTTTTCAGCCACCACTCGCTCGCCCTCTTCTCTAGAGGCGGGTCCAGTAGCTGTCACCGATTTTCCGGTTGGCTTGTGGTGGGCGGCAATTTGACGTGTGCTGAAACACCGTCCCAGACGTGGGCTTGACTTTGAACTCCACCCAGACGTTTGGGAACACTGCAGCGGTCGGATCGACCCTGCCAAAACTTCCATGCACAAACAGACGCGTCAAAGGATCATCATTTGTTGATCCCTTGACATCGGATCTCCTGCCACTGTCAGCGCTGCCGGGATTGCCGCTCCAGCCAGGTGAATTTCAATTTGGCCGTTGCCGCGCGACGTCTTCTCTGATTGAGAAGCAGCTTATTCCCCTTTTCATGAGGGATCTGTGCGATTCCGGCTGTTAGGGAAGGTGTTATTTCCGTGTTCCAAGAGTCAAAAGACTTGCAGGAGCCATTTGCTACATGGAGACAGGCGACGATGATTTGCGAAACTGATCACTTCCAGTGAAGGTCAGCCGTGACTTTAGCTTCTGTTGTCGACCGAACAAACTGCCGCAGATCTAGACCAGCTTGCTGATCGTCGTCCAGGACCATGTCTACCTCTCGCGCGGGGGGCCTGCAGCAGATGGACCGCGCGGTATCGTAGACCTGATCCCATTCGTTCATGGAGAAGTCACCCTCGCTCTCGGCGAGCAGCAGCTCATCGTGAGAGGTGAAGGCCAGCACATGAACAGACCGAGACAGCTCCACCTGTCGTGGGGACGGATCGATGACGACCTCGGTCTTGCCGTCCTCGGGCGACACTGCCGCAACGACACATGTCGCGGTCGACCTCATCGGTACGGCAGCGGACAGCAGGGCCAAAACTGCCGTCTGAAGCAGGGCGGGGATGATGGACAGGTCCTGGCAGGAACAATTAGCCCCGTTTCACAGCCTTGAGTCTCCTATAAGGGGAGGAAGGAGAGAGAAGGGAAGGGGGTGGGGAGGATCACGGCAGGGGATCAACTCTGGGCGTTTAATAACTTACCGTACTGGCCTGAGTGAGTTTCGTGTTGACGTATTCGTTGGCAGGAGAGGCGGTGATCTGCAATACAATCTGGATGAGGCAGCGCGGGAAATTCTTGACGAGGATGAGCTGTCGCAGAGACTGCTGCAGCAACGACTCGAGATGCCGCTCTCGCGTGCCTGAGCGAAGGGGTTTGGTGAGCAGCCACACATGAAGAACCTCGGGGAAGAGGAAAGACTCACCTCCGACACCTGCGGCAGGCCGTACTACCACATCGACGAGAGCCTCGTAAGGGTGCTCATCCCTTCTCTGGGCCTCGATGGGACCGTTCGCAGAGGCCGTGATGGTGTATCCCGCGTATGAATACGTTGCAGACCCATCAGCCTTGGGCAAGGGCGACAGTGCTGCCTCTGGTTGAAGTGACACAGTCATAATGATGATGATGATGATGCTGCTGCTGCTGCTGGCCTGGGTTGGGGAGGGGGGGAGGGTGTGACTGGTGTTGAACGTGATAAATGGTAGGAGCTTAAATGAGGCTCTCTTGCAGGCGCGAAGATCTTTCAATGTTTGCCTTGCACCAAAGCTTCTTTTAGAGCCCAGGTAGGCTAATCATTGGCAGCTAGACCAGGGCCAACCTGGCTGGCGAGATGATCTCATGGGCATGATAGGCTAAGCATGACCCCCACCTTACAGTGACAACGCGCCTGTAGCTAGCGGGGTTCTTCAGCTTCTCCTGCAGGGTCCTAAGCTATGGCCGCGGGGGCAGTCCCGTAGTATTAACGTGCTGTAATTCTGACCTCAACTTCACCTCATACAACCTAAACATCAACTACTCGTACCACACGCGCGACCGCACTACTCACCACTCAGTCTCTTTCCTGTCAACCAAATAACAGTGCTTGATTATCGCACCTTCAGAACAACCACTATGGCTACTGGAGGAAAGACCTCACAACTGCCAGCAGCCATGTCCTCTGGACCAGGGATTCCAGATCTGAGGCACAGGCTGCCCAAGCTTGAGCCCAGGCGACGACAAGGTCCTGGCAACCCGCTTCCCCTTCCCGAGACGCCCGCCCTGCCCCCTCCTCCAGAGAATCCAATGTCCTTCCAGGTACCAACACGGCGAATCCTGTCCAAAGAAGATCATGACCTCTTCCTCGGGTCGCCAACCTACGACCTCATCGTGGCCTGGGTCTTTGGGCTGTCCGAGTCCGTCATCGACACACCCATATCAGCCATCAAGGACGACAACCTGAGCCCCACGGTCAAGAAGATGATAGCGATTCTGGACGAGACCGAGCAGCTCGTCTACCAGAACCCGCCCGACGACCAAGGCGGTTCACGCTTCGGCAACAAGCGCTTCCGAGACTTCCTCGACGGCGCCAAGGCACGCTCTCCGCAGTGGCACGCTGACCTGGGCGTCACGCAGGCCGGCGCAGAGGCCGAGCTCACCACCTACCTGAGCCAGTCCTTTGGCAACCGCCGGCGCATCGACTATGGCTCAGGCCACGAGCTCAACTTCCTGGTGTGGCTGCTGTGCCTGTACCAGCTGCGGGTGGTGGGCCGCGCCGACTTCCCTGCGCTGGTGCTGCGGGTCTTTACGCACTACCTCGAGGTCATGCGCGTGGTGCAGTCGACGTACTACCTGGAGCCGGCGGGCTCGCACGGCGTCTGGGGCCTAGACGACTACCAGTTCCTGCCGTTCCTCTTCGGCGCCAGCCAGCTGCTGCACCACAAGTACATCACGCCGCGGGCCATCCACCAGGAGCTGATGCTGGAGCAGTTCGGGCGGGACTACCTCTACCTGAACCAGATCGTGTTTGTCAACAGCACCAAGACGGTAAAAGGCCTGCGGTGGCACAGCCCCATGCTTGACGACATCTCGAGCGCCCGGTCGTGGGAGAAGGTCGAGGGCGGCATGCGGAGGATGTTTGTGGCCGAGGTGCTGCGGAAACTGCCCGTTATGCAGCACTTCCTGTTCGGCTCGCTGGTCCCTGCCGCCGACGGCATGAGCGACCAGGCGCAGCAGCTCGGCGGGCTGCCTGATGAGGAGGAGGACGACGAGGGCGGCGAGGTCCAGGTGTTTCAGGAGGGCGGGGTGCGACATGTACACCAGCAGAACGGATGGGGCGAGTGCTGCGGGATCAAGGTACCAAGTGGTGTCGCTGCCGGCATGGAGGCGATGAAGCAAGGGCAACAGCAACTGCGCAGGATACCGTTTGATTAATAAAAAATAAAAAAACCAAAAAACCGGGCGCTGTTTGGATGATAGATGAAGATTGTCTTGTCAGCTAAGAGAGAGGGAGATAGAAAATTCAGATTGAAAACAAAAGATACCAACTGCTATCAGTACTACACAAGACCGAGCATCTCTGCATACTTGGTCAAGTCACTTGTCAACCTGCACAGTAAGAAAAACCAGACCCCGAAAGCAGAAATAGGGACCTTTTTTTTCTCTTTTTCTTCTTTTTTTGTTTTTTTTTTTGAGACCAGAGAATTGAATTTCAGTAGGCTAAGAGAATGCTGCTAGATCTAATAATATCAAGAAAGCCGTAGAGGTCGTGTCGTGATACCCAATAGTGGGAATGAAATGCAATCGGAAAAAAAAAGGATCGTAAGTAGCAAAGAGGCCGAAAAAGCCCTAATCGATGCTCGTGTGCATGCCATACCAATGCAATCTGCTTCCCTGCACTCATCATCATTTTCACACCATTTGCTGTTGATGAGGTTTTTTTTCTTTCTCTCTCTCGCCTCCTTCTCTCTTGTCTTTCCTCTTTTACCTTTTTTACCTTCTTCTTTTCTTTTCTCTTCCTCTCCTCGTCAGGTTGTTGTCATTCGTCGTCGTCTTCTTCTTCTCTGATCAATAGTCAGGAGTGCTAGTGATGTTGAGATACTTGTTCGGGCTCCCACAAGCCAGATCGAACCAGACGCCAGCGGCGTTCTCGTACAGCTTGCCGACGACATAAGGGATGGTGGCGCCGTAGAGATCGCAGCGGGCGGAGCCGGGGATGCCCTCCTCCTCGTGGAACTCGTACGAGGCACAGCCGCCCAGGTGGTCTGGGTTGTCGTAGATGTCGCAGAACTGGTAGCAGCCCTCGAGGGTGACCTGGACGCCGGAGCGGTTCTCGACCCAGGTGCCGAGGTAGTAGTCGCCCAGGGAGGTGCCGTGGACGTCGCAGTACGTGTCGGAGGGGTTCGGGGTACCCGTGGGCATGGACTGCGGCGAGCCGGTGATGGTGCCCGTGATGGAGGGCACGACCGAGGTGATGGGGATGGTCTGGATGGACGAGGCTGTCACGAGCGGGGTCATGGTGGTGGCGATGACGAAAGTGGACACGCTGGGGGCGGACACGGAGAAGAGAGGCGTCTCGGAGAAAGGGGGGATGGGCACGGGCGTCTCCACGATGATGACCACGGTGCTGCTGCTTCCTGGGTACTCGGTGAGGGTGGTGAAGGGAGACAGCGTCTCGGTGGGCGGCACCTCCACCGGCGCGGTCAGCGAGGTCTCGATGACGACGGCGATGGTGCTGCTGCTGTTGATGAAGCCCGTGAGGGTCTCGATGGGCGACAGCGTCTCGATGGGCGGCGACGGCGAGACGGTGAAGTTGAGGGGAGGCACAATGATGGAGAGAGACGGGCCCACTGTGAAGGTTGGCGAGACGGTGTTGGTGAGGGTGACATTGCTGGTGCTCGGGACCGGAGGCGGCAGCTCCGACGAGGGGGTGGAGATGCTGATGTTGACCAACGGAGGCAGAGAGGTGCTGATGTTGACCACAGGAGGCAGCGAGGTGGGAACAACCGGGGGCAGGGTCGAGATGTTGAAAGGGGGAGGGATCTCCAGAGTCGACGTGGTGTTGGGCGCCGCGGTCAAAGTCAAGTTCTCTGGGATGCCGGTGGGCACGATGGTGAGGGGCAGCGAGCTGATGGGAGGCGGCAGGGTGAAGGTGACGTTGGGCAGCGTGCCGGTGAAGTTACCAGTAGCATTGGCCACAACAGACGACGAGGGGAAATACGTGATGGTGGTCGGCTTGGTGACCGTCACAGTCACGTAGCGGATCTGCACAGGGCACACATTGACCGAAGTGGCAGAGGTGTGGACGCCAAGAGCAGTGGACGTGATGGTGGTAGGGTTCGCATCTGCATCCTCGGCGTCGCGCTTGACGACAGCCTCATTGTCGCCACGATGCTCAAGAGCACCGCTGAGTCTCTGCCAGAGCTGCAAAGAGAAAAAAGAGTGTGTGGTTAGTTAAATGTGTGTGTGTAAGAGAAAAAGAAAAAAAATAAGAACTGGCTGAGACTTTTTTTTTTTTATATATATTCTCAAATCTCTCTTCCCAAGACGAGACCTTGGGGGGGAAGGCTTTGGAATTTGCTCACATTTCTGGGCTGAGGGAATGCGGCGGCCTGCAGAGACAGCAGGGATCCCAGAATCCCGAGAAGCGCTTGTTGCTTCATATTTTTATAACGAAGGACCAAGCAACTTTTAAATATAGAATAATATCTTGATTTAAAAAAGATATTAGAGAACAAACAATAGCGAGTGAAGACTCCCCTGGAGAAGAAAGAGTGTTGTTGTGAATTTGAGGAAAAGGGGAAGGGCACTGCTGCTGCTGCTGCTGCTGCTCTGATGATCCTGATACGAGAGAGAGGAAAAGATGCATACTGAGTTGAGAGCACCTTCGAGGATTCTTATAGACATTCGACATGATGCGGACTCTCTTCTCTGGAGCTGTTGATTTCTTCTCTTCTCCTTCCCCTCCGGTCTGCCACCGTGAGGGATGACATTCGCAGCTGGGGCTTGGAAACTGTCTAAGTGACAAGGGATGTCAGTGTAGTGGCCGGGCACAAGGGAACACTCACACATCTCGGCCTATGCCCAGCAAGGGAGACGGAAACCATTGTACCACCTCGAGACATGAGGCAAGCCAAGTTCAGAAAAGTCCTGCACAGAAAGACACAATATGACTTTACAACACCCGCTATACACCTGCCCTGCTTTGATTCATTGGATTCATTTGCTGCTTAAGAGTCCGCCCTTGGTTGCCTAGTGTGTACACGGAACGGCCTGACTCCCTTCTCTCTGGACGGCGAGCTCTCGCCCAGCCGTCCTAAAGTCCTCGCTCCTGGGTCCAGACCTGAAACCTTTTTTCTCGTTTTTCTTCTCTTCTTCTGCTCTTTTCGTGTGTTGATCGACAAGGAGAGAACGCCACATGCGATAGGTGGGGTATCGAAACAAGGCTCACTCTGAACGCCGATGTTCCCCCATGCTGTGCTTTGCGTGAAACAAGAAACGCACTTGATGCGTTGATTCGCAAAAATAAAAAAAAAAACGAAACAAAAAACCTCCCCCATAGGCTTATGATGTGTCTAGCCCGTGCTGCAAGCTTCCAGTAGTAGCAAATCATGCCGTTAGGGAGAGACATATTGGCTGTAGTCATCTTTTTGCCTCTGAGACCCTGCCTCAACCTCGCCCTGATGTGCTGCGCTGCGCTGCCTTTTTTGTCCAGGCATACTGACTCCTGCAATTTGCCAGCCGTGTGCTGTGTGCAACAACTTTTTGCTCCTTTACTCAATCCTCCCAGATGGTCTCCAGATCCAGGTCGCCCCGTCGCTCAGCGCCACAGACACTCCACCGCTTGCGCTTGTCTCTGGTGCCAAATCCCATAATGGTCCGGCCCCGCACAGGCGTGTCTAGACTGCTGCGTCCCTTGGGCTCGCCTCCGTCCTCGGCGTCGGCTGCAGCCTTGAGCTGTGCGATCTTCTCTGCCTCCACCGCTGCCTCCTCCGCGTCAGGGGTGTCCGGGATGGTCTCCAAGCTGGAGATGCTGGGGCTCCTGGACCGCATGGAGATGGGTGTCGAGGGTATGGAAGAGGAAGGTGGGTATGCCGAGGAGAAGGAGTAATTGTCGCCGGCAGCAGGGTCATACGGTCGCTGTACCGGAGACGAGGCGACCGAAGACCACGACGAAGTAGTAGTAGAGGAAGAAGAGTAGCCCCCGGCGGTGGAGGAAGTAGAGGAGCCTGCAACATAGCGGAGGGGCGATGATGGGCGTCTATGCCGGACTGCTGGCGCCGATGTGATGTCCAGATTTGGTATGCTGCTCCGCTCGGACAAATGTCGCTCTGGGTCCAGTACAGAGCTCCGCGTGGGCGAGACTGGAGGGTAAATGTCATCTACAGGTTTCCGCATGGCACGAGACCGATGAGGAGACCCCGAGGGGCTCTCAGGTCGAGGTATGAGAATATGGCCCAAGCCATTCACACCAGGCAGTGACTGTGCTCGTCCCATGGGCGGGGGTCCCAGAGTGGCAGCCGACTTGGACCTCATATGATTGCCTGACAGCGGCGAGGTGGTCCTTGGCCGGTAGGGAAGGGCAGCGGCATTCCAAGTGGGAGAGACGGGGGAGGCGGGGGCAGGGTCGGTGGCACGCCGCATGGTGGGAGGTTTTCGAGGAGAGTCGAGGTCGGAAGCGAAGGCAGTAGCAGGAGAGGAGGAGGAGGGCGACGACGATTGGAGGGTATAATTGGAGTGTTGGAGGCGAAGTGTGGGAAGAGGTGCAGGTCGAAAGTCCTCGAGCTTCTCGGTCTCAGGAACGGACTCCATGTTGGCGATATCCCCCGGTCTGGTGGGTTGGCCAAGAGTGTCACCGTGAAGTCGCAGACATAGAGAGAGGAAAAGGTGAGGCCTGTCCTGATTCGCAGACGAGGAGACACGCACAAGCTCGCTGTTCGCTCGAGGGAACTGCTGTCGCTGCGGTGATCGATATTCGTGAATTGAGGCTGGAGGCTGGACTTGTGCGTATGTACGGAGGATTCCTCGACGAGGCGGTCGGACGAGTCCTTGCTACCTTAGCGAGCAAGACTGGCGGGCCAGGGGATGCATGTGCATGTGTACTGGGGGTACTTGGGACCAGAAGATACCACCACCAGGCATGCGCGGTATGGCGGTGAGTTGGAAAGTTGACGTTGAAGGCTGGGAGCCAACAGTCCAGGGAGGGGCTGTGATTGTGTGAGACTTTGTAATATGTCGAGGTCAAAACCTGCCCGTGTTTGTCTTGAGCGTTGCTGTCGTCCTAATCCAACGCGAAACCCTGAGCCATTTCAGCTCATCCTGCTCTTCTCTGTTGCCTCGCACTTGTGATACGACGACCGAGACGTCTCTTTCGTCCCCTTCAAATCGCTGGCTCTTGACGGTTGACGAGCCTTTGTTGGTATCACAACAGAGAGCACCTTGTTTGTCGAAAAAGTGTGGTGGTGGTTGGGGAAGGTCGAGAAATGGAATTTAAGAGAATGCCGGTTTGGGGTTGGCGGAGGGGCCGAGGATAGTCGAGTCAAGAGAAACGGGAGGCGGTTTAAGTCAACAATTTTGGCCGGCAGTGTCTGGAATCCTGTCTGCACAGAGACAGAGGCACAGGCAGAGAGGAGGGGTTGTCGCTGGGGGGATGATGCTGAGGGGCGTTTTGGGGTAAACGGTCTGCGTTGATCTCCTGACTACTGCCTAGGTGCCTTAGCACAAACTACTTAGTATACAGTTTAGCACACTTGGTGGCCCTTCACCGGGCCAGCAGGTGATCACCATGCCTGACAGCGGGGTGAAAAGTGGACACAGAGTTCGGGTCGGAAGGGGACGAGGACCCTGAGTCAGGCACTGACTGCGTTGATTGGAGACGCTCTACAGGGCCAAGTGGACCGCGGTTGGTCAACGGTAGGCCAAGAGCCTCTGACTACTGCGTCTGCCGCCTGTGCATAAAAAAGGAATGCCCCTTTTCCATGCTGACTTGGGGGGAGGGGTTTACAATAATCAAGAAGGAGCCACCGCTATTTCAAGTCGTTACCATGGTAAGTACTTTAAGTACTTATGCAAGAGAAGTTACTGCTGCTTTCCCCCTTTGAGGGTGCAATGCATGCGACCACCCAACCCACACAAATGACAGGGGAGAGAACCTGCGACGTCAAAGCCTGTTCGATTCGGTTTCTCTGAACCGAATACAACATTGCCAACCTGTCAATCTATGCCTCCATCAATCTGAATCACGGGCCGCCGACAACGTCACGTTTACGATAAATTGGAGTCATCTCCGATTCATATGACGAGTGGGCGACAACAAACTGACAGAGAAAGAGAGAGTGAGAGAGCATGACTGACGGTGGCGTAGCGCCATGGTTCATGGGACCATAGATTAATTACTCTTCGATCTCCTCACGTTTATGCGCATAGCCAACCAGACCAAACCAACCCACCGACTCACCGCGCAATACTTGACCATTAGCCAATCATATCACACGTTCCATGGCTGCAACATCCATCTCGAGCTCTGATCTATGGGGCAGCCATGTTTAGGTCTCGGCGGAAGAAAACAGAAGAGCATTTATGGGCATTCCACTCAAGCCATGCGGTGGGGCTGGGAGAGGAGAGGGTAGAAGCGACGTTACAGATCCGAGTCTTATGTGGCACATCACGATTCACGACAATCCGATATCATTCATTCTGTCTTGCCTTTTCTTCTCTCTCTATCTCTTCCACGATCCCTTCTCTACGGCGGGTGCAGCGGCTCGGAAGAAGAGATCCAAGGGAAAGGATTGAGAAAAGGAAAATAGGACAAGAAAAGGGGGGGGGGGAGCATAGCCGGCCACTCAAACGTCTGGAAAATTCTCTCCGGATATCGATGTTGGCACGCCCTCGTACGACGACGGCAAAGGTGTGTAGCGTGCGACCCCAACCACCTCACTTACATACAGTTTGATGGATTTGGGATTTAAAGCATGCCGATCAACCAACCAATCCAGGTTCAGAATGATTGCCTCGTCTCAGAGAGGACAATTCGCCCGTTGATCCACAGATAAGACCTGGGTCTTGTCTGTCATTCTCATCCAAGGAGAGCCGGCTGCACAAAGGGTCTTGAAGAGCCTCGGACGGTCGTTGTTATCGCTGCAGGTGGTGATGCGCTGGCCAAACTGCTAGACTCGGTCTGCGTCTCACGTCCCACAAGAGAGAGCCAAAGGTAAAAGTCGCTAGAGCTCTTCCCCAGCTTTCCTTCTTTCAGGGGGTTGCACCCGTACCGCACGGCGGGTCCCTCATGCCTTGCTCAGGTCGCTCCCAAAGTGGACCTCTACGCCTCCTCCGCCCAATGCGCCTTCTTCCCCCACTCGGGCTGGGTCGCCACGGGTCACTTGACCTCTTCCTGCTACGGTGCTACCATAGTACTATGGTACTACAATTACTGGACCTGGTACTCTACTTTATCTTGCGGGGCCCGGTCCGCACCGCTCCCACTGCTCGGGGACCGACTCCCTGCCCTTGTGTCTCCGGGTGTTTGTGGGTACCACTGAGACGGGGCATCACCGAGGTCACGGCGTTGTGTCACTCGGTCAGCCCGCCGACTGTGGTATGAAGTTGTTATGATGGGTTCTACAAAAGATGTCCATTGACATTGGACTGAGTTAAACTGTGCTGGATCCAATCTCAAGCCGCCACGGTGCGTGCGCTGATGGCCCGAAAGGCGCTCACTTGACTTGCTAATTGTTACATATTTCAGGTCTGGGAGTTCTCAAGGGCCAGGTCTGTCTGTGTGCACCAAAGGTAGAGAAACCATTGCATTCATCAGCCTCGACATAATATCCATACGCCGCCGCCATAACACCAGATATGTGATAAACCGCCCCAAAACCAACAGCCTGTGCCCCTCCCTCCTTGCCCCCTCTTTCCCCCCCAAAACCTCATATCAATCTTCCGGTTGTCTCCTCAGGCATGGCCCTGCAGACGGCATTCATTCTACGGGACACCAGAACCAACACTCCACTGCGAGTTGGATCCAAAGACAGAACCAAACTTATCCTTACGTCTGGCCAGGATGTCGAAGGGTACTATTGTGTGCTGCATCGGCTGTCTGGTGGGGGTGTCGAGGAGACCAATCCGTCCTGTGTAAGTAATTCAAGGGGAAAAAATTACCAAAAAAAAAGTGACAAGCCGCAGTAACCGTACCGTATACCGAAGAAGGGGCTATATTTCTGGAAAAGGAATGTTTGGTACAGTTGTCGTCCTTTGATCTGGATGGACGGGTGCGAGGTGCGTTCGTGTCTGTCGTTTCTCGGAGGGATCGGAGCTGGAGGGCAAATTGAAACAAATTGCGGATCCTTGAAGTGCGTGTACGGGGCGATCGTCACGGCTCTTGGTCGGCGGGCGCAACGTCATCGTGGTAAGGGTCCAATGGCTCGTCCAAAGAATCATGGCTCAGCCTCCGGGGCGGCGGCCTTTGCCGACCAAGGGCCAAAGCGAGCGGGTCAAGCCAGAAGCCGAGGACGCGCCATCCCCACGACGGTCTGGCATGGCCGGGCGTGCTGGAGAGGGACATTGTGGTGCCGGACCTCCTGTCGGAGTACGAGACGAGGCGGGAGTGGTCGTGGTCCAGGCCGAAGACGTATCTGGAAGGAAGCTCACTCATCCAGCGGACCACCGCAGGGCTGGGCGGGCCTCCTCTTCCCTCCACGTCGGGCTCGGTGTCGTCCTGGTTTTCGAGGTCGATACGGTCGGCGGAACGGTCCGTAGCGGCAGGGGGCCAGTCCATGATGTGAGCGACCGATGCCGTCACCAAGCTCAGCGTGGCGAGGTAAAGCGGAAGCCAGGCAACCAAGTCCGTCCGGAAGGGGCCTGCGGGGATGATGATGACCAAGAGGAGAACCAAACCTGGGGGCCCAGTATAGCATCCGGCCCTGCCCCAGTGGTCAGTGGTGGTTAGTGGTTTCACCAAACATGGAGAGGGAGAGAGAATGGGGGTGGGGAGGACCTGGAAGGAGGAGGTGTAGTAGGAGGAGGACTCGCCTGAGAAGTGCGTCGAGGTTTAAAAGATGCCAGACCACCGCAGAGAGCGCAAACGCGGGAAGGAGGCTGTGAAACCGGTGAGATGGATACATGACAGACGTAGTGAGGGAGGGCAGTGCATGACAGGCCGTTCGCCGCAGGCGCAAGACTCACACGTCGCAGTATCGATGACCCTCGGTGGCGCTGATGGGGTCGAAGACGGCGCACCCGATCATCACGCTACATGAGACGACGTTGGCAAGCCAGTATGCCCAGCGGCATCGCTCTTGGAGCCAGCCCAGGGCGCTGGTGAGTGTTTCCAAACCATGCCCCATTGGAGAAAAATAGTCTTGCTATGCTGTCATGGCGCAGTGACAAGAAGAGGAAGAAGAGTTGGGGGGGGGGGGGCGACAAAGAGAAAGAAAATAATCGCTAATGATGAAGTCTGATTTGTGTCCACTCAAGCAAAGTATTGCAGAGAAAAGTCAAGTCGGGGTTGGCGGGGGGGGGGGGAGGTGTGGAGTTGGCTCCTTCTTTTTTTTTTTGGGTGTGTATTATGAGTCCGAAGATGGAGAAGAGAATTTTCTAGGCAGACAGCCAAGTATTTAATACATACATGATGCTCTCTAACGCCTATTTGAATATGAGATTCTCGCCTCGGTAGACAAGCAGTGACTCTCACCGACCATGTGCTCGACGCCGCGACCGGACAACAGTCCACCCAGCATTGCTTCACTTTGAGGCAATTTAAGCGCCGGGCATGTGCCGCATGAGAGAGGAAGAAAATCAGCACTTTTCTGACCGAATAGGACGTAATAAGGGCAGCGAGGCGGCTGAAGAAAAGGGCAGAAAACATGCCTTGGCTGATCCTGAGGATTTGTGCACTTTTCCGAAGATGCGCTCAGGGCCAGTCAGCCCCATTGCAGCCTTGATTTTTTTTGGTTTGTCTTTTTTACTACCCCGGTTCAGCTGTGCTCGCGACGCCATAGTCTCGCCCTGGACATGAGAAGTGCACCTCGACTAGAGACATGCATAGGGCGCACACAGTGAGTCTTGTTGTCTGCTGGATAATGCTGCGTCGTGGGGATGTCATCCCAGGTTACGTGCTAGCGAGGGGGCGAACTAGAACAGCGTTGAGGGCGTGCTGTGGAAAGTGCTGAGAGATGGGATTCCTGCTGACATATGAGTGAAAAGCATCCTGCCGGACCCCTCCCCTGACCATCTTGTTCGTTATGAGAAGCAAGGTCAGTACCGTCCGGTGTCGACAGCGCAGCCATACCGAAAATTTAGGCTTGGAGGTTGTAAGGCTTGCTTTCCCCCTCCACACGACTCTTCAGGATTTGCTACAGTGTGCTGATCATGCCGCCAAGTCAGAGCCTGCCACAGTTCTCTGCTGGCTCCTGGGCGATGATATGCCTCTTTTCCCCTGATCCATGTGCTCGTCTGCCTTGGCCATAATATGCGCATGCTCCCTGTGTAGAGATGGCGGGGAGGAATCACCCTCTGAGGCTTCAGGAAACAGCATGTCTGGGTCAAGGTTAATACGTGGACACTGTGCAATGGGCAGTGTGCAAGTATTCCTTGAATCCTCACCCTGCGGCCATGGTGGCGGAGTCTCGAGAAAACAAGTCGCTCTCATGTTCTGTTGTGTGTAGGTGTTCTAGCTCTGGTTTAGCCGAGCCGTGTGAGCACAAGTCACACAAGTCACCAAAGGAAGCACTTTGAACATGGCGACTGCTGTAGGCTTTGGGTAGGCATTAAGTCCCAATCTGGATCCACGTATAAGACTTTCAACCAATGTCACCGCAGCAAGGAAGGGGAAGAAGTTGGCCAGTGAAGAGACTGCTCGGATTCTCCCATCCCCAAGTCGGTATGATACTGCCAACCATGGTGAACAAGCTGGTGATATCTCTCCTCCTATTCCTCCTCGTCCTTCAAGGGTTCTCCTGAACCACTCCAGGTCTCTGCCAAGGTGGACCAAAGGACAAGGGAAGCAGCTAGTGGATTCTTCAGGGTCAGCGCACAACATACTTTCGGGATATAAAGCTTCCTGAAGGGGGGAGATAATAATGCCCCGGGGGTGGGGGGCTGCTCACCTCCTCCAGTCGTAATACGCAATAGTCGCCGGCCTTGTCGAACATCAGCACGGGTATCTGCAGCTCGCAGAACTCCCGGATCCTGCACGGCACCAAATCCAGTCCGGTTAGTAGCATGATCTTGAGAAAGGGCCGAGACGAGGGTTACAAGCACCGCCCTCCACCATCATCGCCAGCACTACTGCTACTACTCACGTCTGTCTACACATGCCACAAGGACTCGCGGGTGGCGAGATATCCGTGGCGACAGCAACGGCCTTGAAGTCGCGATGGCCATCAGTAATCGCCCTGTTGAAGGCGACGCGCTCGGCACAGGTGCCAACAGGATAAGACGCGTTCTCCACATTAGCCCCAGGGATATAGACACCGAGCTTGGTCAAGACAACGGCGCCGACGCGGAAGTTGCTGTAGGGGCAGTAGGCTGTCTCTTTGGCCGCGAAGGCATGGCGCTTGAGGTCGTGGAGCTCCTGTATGCTGAGGCCAAATGTGCGGCTGGTGGCGTCGAGGTGCTGAGTGTTGAGGCTGGAGAGCAGCGGCGGTGCCTGTTGTGAAGGGGAGCTCATGGCTGGCGAGCTCGTGTAGGGTTCCAGCATGAGTGCTGAGGTTGGTTAGTATTGAAAAAAAAAAATTGAAAAAAGAAAAAGACGACTAGATTGCGGTCCGTAGAAGATGTGAGTAGTGGTTTGAGCAATATCGAGAGGTGTAATATTGTGGCAGTGAGTAAGTGGGTGGATTAGTGTATGGCCACGGGCAAGGGAGCTTGAGTACTTACTTGCTACGTCAGTCAATGAATTGGCAGGCGCAGATGAGATGTTCTTAGCTCAAGAACCGAGGCTAGCTGAGACACTGTACCAACACACTGGCTTCCCGAGAGAGTAATATGCAGTACACGGGCGGTGCCTTCCGCCCACGCAGTTAACCCCCCCCCCCCGCCCCACAAAAAAAAAACCGTCATATAAGGCACAGTATATGCCTTGATTTGTCAATTGTTATAATTATTCAATGATTTTCAATCGTCATTATCTGCAACATTTCTGGAATCCATGTTGTTGGTGTGATATAATCCATAAGTGATCTGAAAGAAACACGGTCCTGAAACTAATGCAGGGGACAAGCAAACTAGCAACTTCTTGGTGGCCTCCCCTAGCTTTGCTACCGTAGTAGCTTCCGTTGACATGAAGAAAAGAGATAGTTCAGGGTCTCGATCGTCAGCTGCTGGTGCAAATTTCAGGTTGAGAAGTAAGAAATGGCATTCAATCAATACATACAATAAAGACGTTGGAAGAGAAGACGATTCACAATCCATCAGAGCAGGTCCCCAGTTGAGATCTAGAGGCAGGGATTTTTCTCTAGTGTTGCCGTCCACGCATGGATTGGCGAACCCTTTAGTGGACCCACCTGCGAGGGCCCCGCCAGCCAGCGCTGAATCTATGGTACTGTAGCACGACCTGTCTAGGATGCTAGACTGGCTGAGTGCTAGGTTGTCACGATAGTGGGCAGATCTACTATGGCAATTACATGGTAATAGTGTCAACTGCCCCTGAAGGCTTGCGAGGGTGATCGCTGACCAGCAGCGTGCTCTCACTATCTGCCGACGCACGAACAAATCTCCCCTGGAACCTTAAACCCCCCAAGTGCCCGCCCTCCATTGTTTAAACAATCTATCACAATCTCGAGATGCACCAAGCACCTGCATCCTGTTGAGACATGCAGCCGTCATGACGGGAGCCCTGACATCCTCTGTGTACGACCCTTCCCTGCGCATCTACGTCACGACTCGAGTCCCTGCATAAGAAAAAAAAGTATCCTGTCAAACGACCCAGGTCAACGTTACACACACACGCATACACGCACGGCGAAAGCCCGACAGCCCGCGCCCGCCCGTCCTGCGCCCTCTTGTCTGTGCCTGCTTGGGCTTGGCTTGCCTGGCCCTAAGAGAAGCAGAGGAAGAGGGGTCCTGTGACCGAACACCGACGTCGATTACCCACGATCTCTCGTCCTCCTCCCCCTCCTTCCTCCTCGTCTCGCCATGGACCAGGCCGATGTTCCCGCGCTCTTGTCGCGCCTGGCCAGCGACGAGGATGCCGCCCGCAAGATGGCTGTATTCAAGCTGCAGTCCTCGATCAACGACCCTGCCTTTGCCGACGTCTTCATCTCGTCGGGAGGGCTTGTCATCTTGCGGCGGCTGATCATGAACACGGGCGGCAACACGCTTGCCTACTCGCTGCAGTCGCTGACCAGGCTGCTGGAGGTGGACATGGGCTGGGACATCTTTGAGGGCCACATGGCCACCGATCTCGTCGAGCGCCTCGTCGAGTTGGTCGTCACGAATCCGCTCGTCAACATCCTGCGGGGTGCCATGTCCATCCTGGTCGCTCTGGTATCTCACTCGCAGTCTGCCCCCAGCGGCAGCAGCGGCGGCGGGAACAACCATATCGCGGCCGCCGTCAGGACCCCTGGCATGTTTGGCTTCCGTGCCCTCAAGCCTGCCGTGGCCGTGTACCCGCAATTCTTTGAGCACGTCATCTCCCAGCTCCAGTCCGCCGACCACGCCCTGTGCGCCGCCGCGCTGATGCTCATCAACGCCCTGGTACGGGATGCCATCTCCAAGGAGGACAGGGGCGTCAGCGGGGTTAGTGGCGCCAGGCCCGCGGGCGAGGAGTGGTCCAAGTTCATCAAGAGGCTACAAGACCTGGGGTTAATCAAGGCCGTCTATAATCTAATGCAGAGCTCGGCCATGCAGGACCTGGCCCAGCCGCTGCTCGACTTCCAGAACCTCACCAAGGTCTTGCTGCGGAGGTGGAAGGAGGTCAAGGTCGACCTCGAGCGCCCGGAGCACAGGAGGGCGCTGAAGGGTCTGCACCTGTCCAGTGCTCCCGACAGGTCCTTTGCCAACGGGACCACCGCGACAACAAACCCGGCGGCAGCGACGACCGGCGAGACGTCCGGCAGGAAACACAACCCAGAGAAGTGGCGGAGGCTGGGGTTCCAGACGGAGAGCCCCGCGTCCGAATTTCACACGGCTGGCTTCTTGGGTATGATGGACCTTACCGACTACGTGCGCAAGAACGAGGATGGCTTCCAGAAGATGCTCCTGGAGCAGTCCACGAGGCCGCTCCACGAGAGGTGTCCTATCGCCCGGTCCAGCTTGGCCGTGTCCCTGATGCTCTATGAGCACTTCGAGGTGGACAAGGCCGACCTGGAGGACATCAAGGGTTACCAGGCCATGGACAACAGCAAGGGCAACGACAGGATGTTCAGGCCCCTCCTGCTGCAGTGGTCTCGGCTGCACACCGCAGGGCTCCACGCCTTTTTTCGCATGTGGAAGGCCACAGGTGCGGAGCGGGATGACTTTGAGAAGGTGGCCGAGCTGGTACGGATCCTCATCGAGCGGGTCATCGGCCAGGCCACCAGGATGAGGGACGTCTCGGAGGTCGAGGAGGAGCTACAGGACTACGAGTGCAGCCGGCTCCGCGAGGTGCAGATGGAGCTGCTCGACCTGTCCTTTGACGACCAATGGGGCGCACACCTGTACCAGGTGCGGGAGGAGCTGAAGCATGAGGCTTTGACCTTTGTCAAGGAACAGCGCATCCGCTGCCTCCTGCAGGGCTCCTGGTTCTACAAGCCAGTGCCGGCCCGAGACCAGCAGCCAGCAGAACACCAGCGCGAGGGCAGTGTAGACGCCAGAAGGCGGCTCTACCAGCCCAAGCCGTGGAGATTCGCCCGGCTCTCCCACAACAGGCGCTACCTGCACTACGCAGACTTTGCCGAGAGGGCACCGCCGGACCCCATACTCGACCACCTGGGTGACAAGATCGACCTCGGCACCATCAGCTCGGTCGTGTCCAATGTCTCGGCGCCGGGCGAAGATGCCCAGAGCGTGTCCAGCGGGTCCACGCTCAAGAACAACAACCATCAGCAGCTGCCGCCGCCGGGCACGCCCAAAGCTCCAGGTTTACTAACGAGCGGTGCTGCCCCGCCCAAGACAACGACCAAGATCACCATCTACAGCTACGTGAACCCCGAGGAGGCGGCTCGGGGCAGCGACACCAAGGAGCAGGCCGTGCTGACGCTGCACCCCATGACGAACTCGCTGGCGTCGGAGTGGCTGGACGGCCTGCTGATGCTGTTGAACCAGGCGCCCATCACGGCCGAGACGAACAAGCTAGTGACACTGGTCAGCGACTACGGGCTGAAGATCAGGCTGCTTAACGTTCGGGTGGATGCGGTGTACAGTGGACCACAGCCTGGTGCAGGTGCTGTGCCCAGTCGGGAGGGGTTGGATGATGATTATTTCTACGAAGTCTGAATAAGAAGAAGAACCAAGACGACGAAATACAGAAGTAAGCTTGAGCATCCTGGACAGTTTTCTTTTCTTCTCTTTTCTTCTTCCTCTCTTTCTAGTCTATGTCGTTTTCATGTACGCACGCGTATACCCCACCTTTGTTTCTCTTGTTGTTCTCTCTCTTACTTTTCTCTCTTTTCTCTCTTTTCTCTCTTTTGTTGAGGGAGGACATCTCTTGGTAGAGCATAGGGAGGCGTGGGAGCAATTTATTGTGGATGGTGGTGCTTCTTGCATAGCGAATGAAAAAGAAGGAGAAGAGGGAGCGGACGAGAGAGATTCAGTATCTCGAAACTATATTCATGTGCGTGTACATAACAACAAACTCTTGTAGCAACGGACGAGCCCGAGTCTGTATACAGGCTCGGCTGACTTCGATGTCAATTATATAATAGTCCCAGGTTCGCATAGATAGGCAAGACATCGCAGTGGGACTTGGATTCTTTGTGAGTTCTTTTCTTGAAGCTGTCAAGTAAGTATTTGAAACCATCTCGCATTTTCGATTGTTATGCGTGTGTACTTGCTATTATGTACCTGTGAATTGCCTGTACTTACCAAAGTATGTGCTATAGTACGTATAGTGTGTACTTAAGCACAGCGTCCGAGCGGCTGGGAAATCAATTAAGACCCTGGTCTTGTTTACACTTTTTGTGTGACTAGGGGTGTCCCCCCGCGCCGAGCCGCCAACCCCCCGCGGCCAGGGGTCCATGTGAGCTGAACCTGAGGCGGCTGGGTTTCTTTGCTCTCGTCTCATTCGTTCGTCATCATCCACCCGACATTCCTACTTCCCCATCACTTGGCCCAATCCCTCTTCTCCTTCTGCCTCGACATTTTCCCTTCTTCTACTTGTTCTTCTTTTCCTCTGGTCTACTAAAAATGTACAAGACACCCTCCAAATCACGGTCCTCACACAAAGCGCCATTCACACCCAAGAAGAGAGGCCTGTTTGAAGACGGGCTGTGGCTCTGTATGCTTTCCATCCTCCTTCCCTCTCTTGCTTCTCTGCCTCCTCCTCCTCACCTGCACATGAATAGACCGCCGTTTCTCCGTTCCTTAGCTGACTGTATATAATCTCCTCAAACAAAAAAGGCGACTGTTCCCCCCGCAAACCTGCCCTCAACCTCAAGGTCAAGAAGGAAGGCCCCAACAAGGGCAAGTCCTTCTACACCTGCGACGAGCGCAAGTGCGGCTTCTTCCTCTTCCAGCACGACGCCGAGCCCCGCGAGCGCGAAGCCCTTCTCAAGAACAACTGCCGCTCCGAGAACGGCATCGTCGCCAGGGTCCAGGCCAAGGGCGAACCGCCTGTGACCCCTTCGTTTGGGAGAGGGAACAAGACAACGATGACTCCAGCGACGGTGCGGCCTCAGCAGAGGACCTTTCGGGGTCTGCCTCACGCAGGCGCTGGCGCTGCAGCACAGAGGAGGTGGAGCCTGTCGCAGGACTCGGAGTACCTGAGTTACGACTCGGCGGAAGGGGAGGAGGCGGAGGAAAACCACAATGCCGGTGCGGTACGGCCCAGCGCGGGGGCCAGCACGCATGCACAAAACGGCAGCGCAGCGTCGAGCGGCACGCTGGGAAAATCGTCCGTGCCCAAGGGCTCTTCCTCCTCTGGCACCACACTTGCCCCGCCACAGACACCCTCGGCAAAACGCAAGCACCACGTCTTCCTTGAGGACAGCGACGACGAGTACGGCGGAGACGAGCTCGACGATCCAGACACGAGCCGCCAGCTGGCGCGGATCGCCGACGAGAGCGCGCGCAAAAGGCAGCAGCAACAGTGGGAATCCCTCGCGACACCGACCGCGCAGAGGACTGTCCAACGCGCAGGCGGAATCCCGACACCCATCACCCGTCACAGCCTACTGATCGCGGGTGAGGACCGTCGTGCTGAAGACGAAGAACGCACTGTTAAGAGGTTGCGTGTCCGAGACAGCACCCCTTCTAAAGATGGTGGCGACGCCCTAGACCAAGCCTCATCCGTGATCGGGGACGCCGCCACGCCGACGCCGCACCGCAACATCAACGTCCTCCTCTTTCCCCCAACAGCTAGCAACCCTTCCAACCCTGCTGCCGCCACGCCTGCCGCGACGCGCACCCTCACCGCATCGTCTGCGGTACCCGCCTCCCCCTCGCCTTTTAAGACACCCGCCGCCACAGACCATCCTCGCATAGCAGACGAGGTCATGTCTCTCCTGTCCACCCAGCCCATCTCCGAGGCGACGAGGCGCCACGTGCGCGCGGCCCTGGAGCGGCATGAGCTCCGAACCAAGGGGCTCGTCAAGGGCCGTGACGCCGCGCGCGCCGCACTCGAGGCGAGGGATGTGCGCGTCGCTGAGCTGCAGGCGCAGGTCGTCGGGCTGGAGAATGCGCGGCGCATGGACAAGGAGAGCTTGAAGGAGCTGAGTAGGGGCTTGGTTATGCTTTCACAGACTGGGGATAGTGCTTGAAGGGGAGACTGTGTGTGTGTGTTTGTGTGTGTGTGTGTGTGTGTGGATGTTTCTTCTTCCTCCCTTTGTTCCCCTCGTTTCTTCTACCCTCCTATTCTTCTTTTTGTTTTCTTGTTTTCTTCAAAATGTTTGATCACCTTGACTATTTATGAGTGGGCGTTATGATCTGGATACCCCCACCCTTTTAACTGGTTTGCCAAGTACGGACGGACACGCAAGACATGAGCGATGAACGAATTGACGACGCTGATTGCGCGCATCGCTATTTGTGCTTAGGAATGAAAATAATGGAAATGTTACCATCTCACTCAGCCAACGACCAACAATAACGCTGCGTAGAAATGTGAGAGACAGATCCAACGAAGATGATCATGTTTCTATATATATTTATATGTATATATATTCATCGTTGCTGAGACGGGATAACATCTGAACCAATTCCCATGGAACATTGCATCTTGCTGCAAGCTATTGCATGTGCCTTAGCCTGAGAGAGGTGCGACAAGGGTTTGGCAAATAGACTGAATGATGAATGCTTATTCCCTTTTGCGCCGTAGTGGGTATCTCATGCGAGAAATGCAGGAGTGTTGTGTGTGTGTGTGTGTGTGTGTGTGTGTGTGTGTGTGTAAAAATCATGGGGCCGCCCAATGCAGATACCATATCGCCCCGTATACTGTATGAAGATGCTCTGCCGCGTGGCTGTCCTCCTTCTTCCCGTTCAAGTCTGTGGGCCCCGTCCTCCATCCCCCCTCCACTCCCCAACACCTCCTTTTGCCAACTCAATGGCTTTATATGTTTCCCCCTTGTATCATACTTACTTGAATGTCTTCGATATCCTGGAGCCCTTGACTGGCGCCGGCAGACACCGGATAAAATCATCTCGTTCTGCGGTGAAGCGTCAGTTGGTTATTATATCTTGTATGGTCGGATGTAATTGATACAAAAAGAAACAATCAAAATTAAAGGACATCATCGACTTACGCTCCTCGCCATCAAATAGAATTGTAATATCATCATGCTCTCCTGGAATCTCTGGCATATCCAGACAAACAAAGGCCATGTCATCCGTCGGCTTCTCCCCATTCTCAGGAAGAAGAGGCAGGGGGAACTTGGCATCATCGATCTTGAGACCCATCTTGTCGCCCTTCTTGATCGACTCGAAGATGTCCGTCGCCTTGAGCTGGAAGCTCATGCTCTCTCCGTGGTGAAAGTCCTCAAAGAAGACGAGGACGTGGGTGATGTTGTCTTCCGACTGGACAATCTGTATTCTGGTCCCGGCTGCTTCCCATTTTTTGTAGATGGGGACGACCATGCGCCGCCGAGCAATGGCAAAGAGCGAAACGACCCCGTCGAAGAGCGGCTTGAAGCCCGTCAGTGCTTCTTGGAAGTCGTGCAGGTCGCGCTGGCTGGTGAAGGAGAACGAGCGGATCGATGGACCGCGGCTGGCGAGCTGCAACGCCTGGAATATCTCTGCCGGCAGCTGCTTGGCCACCTGAGATTCCGAAAGCGCTACAGTGATATCCTGTTGGGGTGGGCGCAGGATCTGGATCTTGGTTTTCTCCTTGACTGGGAGCCTGATCTTCAGCTCTCCGGGCCCCACATTGACCCTGTCGGTTATGCTGCCACACTTGAAGTCAATGATGATCCTGAGACGTTCGGCCAGCACTGTCTCTGGTATTTCGCCTTCAACGTCTTCGTTGATCACCCTGACTCTCGACCACGGCAGCGTAGAGAAAATGGGCGCCGCGTCGGACTTGGCGGTCTGGGTGATGGCAAAACCGGTGATGGGAACCTCCGAGAAGACTTTTTCGTCCTGTTGCACAAGTGTGCCGATGAGGAGACTGTGGAACCGAAGTCGCTCAGGCTCGTCATTGAAAGCCATGACCATCCTGCCGGTACTGCCCCCGTCATCAAATCGCAAGAGGAGTGCAGGTTCGTTGTTCTCACCCCGCAGGAATCCAAACTGGACAGGTACCTGGGGTAGGTACATATGGTTGACCGCGCTGAGCAGCTTCGTCGACGGCCCAGTCACGACGGCAAAGCGGAAACCGCGATGATGCGTCCTCTGTCCCTGGGGCGAGTTCTCCTTGGCGATCCGCTCAAACAGTGCGACTTCACAGCCAAGAACAGACTCTCTCGGGAAGGTCATGGACTTAGCATTCGAGTCAAAGTACTGAAAGCTGCGCAGTTTGGATTTGAAGACACACTGCTCCTCTTTCCGCGGCTGAAGCGTCGCGAGCGCCTTCGCGCTGAAGTCTTGCAGGTTCCATAACATTTTGAAGTCTTGAGGCTTGCACTTGATGACCACGAGGAAGCCTCGAGGTAGCTTGAGCTCGAGGGCGCAGTTTTCCGGGCGCCACTTGACATCGTTCCAGGTCGGCCCTCCCTTTTTGTTGCTCTGGATGTGTAGTTGCACGGACCCATTTTGGCTTACAATACAGAAATCGAGACTGGTCTGCGCCGGGGACCTGGTGACCGAGAGAAAACAAGGGAAGTGGAATTTTTGGTCCTCTATGCCCTGCTCCATGAGAAGCAGGTCAACCATATAACGGCCAAAGCAGAACAGGTCCTTCGTATCACCCAGGGGTAAGGCAGCAAGGAGAGGCAGCTTGGTGAGGGATTGCGATGCCGCGATGGAGGAACCCCAGGAGCCCCATAGCAACGTGATGATGTCTTGATTGATGGCCGGATACTCGACCCATATCGTCTTGTCAATGGTCTGTGGCAAGAAAGGTTCCTCGGGCGGCAGGAATCCGTTGCGCTTCATGGAGGATGACAGCTTTCTCAGCTGCGACATGATAGTCTGCCCCACGTCTTGCACTTCGGCATCGACCGGACTGCTCCTGGTGCTGAGAACCGAGGGCAAGACCTCCTCATAGATCCACAAGGCCTTGGCAAGATCAGCGTAAGCTTGTTGACGGGCCGCCTGGAGCTGACTGGCATGTTGTGGGGTCTGCGGCTGCTCCCTGATGGTTATCTCGAGGGTCATTCTGCCTTTCAGGAACCACCACAGAGCTGCCCGGGCGAGATCATCCGGTGGAGATGACATGATTGGTTTGACAGTCTCGGCCTGCAGGCGAAACAGCTCGAATAAGTGCCGTGTCCGTGCAGTGAAAATCTCCAGGGCGTCGTCGGCCAGTGGCGGCGCTGCTGCCATGTCTGACGCAGTACCTCTCTTGTTGGGAGAGTCCCCCAGCCTGGGATCTCGCGCTGAAGACCGTTGCTGGGCCATCACTGCGGCAGGACTACCCTGTAGAGACTGGGAGTAGGTAGACGCAGGACTCTGGTCCAGCCGCGGCCGCCTCTGCTGCTGTAGCTCAGGAGACCCAGCAATGGACGGCGGCATCGAACCCGGATTCGCCTCGATTGGGGTTGAGGGGCCCGCAACTTGATGTTTGGTCTCTTCCCATTCATGTTCATTGCTGGTGCTTGCTGACCTGACTGCTTTTGCGAAAGCCATGCCCTCTGCCTGGCGCTGTTTGGCCTGGTTGATCTCGATGAAGGACTTCCTCTTGTCGTCGTTCGAGATTACGGAGTTGTCCAGGAACTCCGAGGACGAGGTATTGCCAGCCGGCACAGCAGGCAGGTCGTGGGAGGTGGGCGGTGGTAGAGAAACAGGTGGAGGCGGAGGTGGGGGCGGCGATGGGTCTTCCGAAATAGTAGAGTAGCCGGTCTGGGTTCTTCGAAGTACTGGAGGGACAAAGTCGTCCTGTTTCGGGTCCGTGTATGCCCTCTCCCTCTCCTGCTGGAGCTGTGCGATCTTCCTCGCCTGTGCAGGTGGAGGAGCAGACTGCGCCCTCTTCCGCTTCGCTATCTCTGCGGTAGGGACTGTACACTCGTCTCCGCCATCTCCTATGATCTCGGGAAAGGTATCGACGAACCTTACGACAAGGCCCCTCTTATTTCTACGCCTCGTGCTCGGGGGACGTCCACGCATAGCAAGCTGCTGCTGCTCTCGTGGCTGCGGGTTCAATTGATAGGCATTCGGCGGCTGCTGCTGTTGGTGGTCACGGACGGGGGTGTTGACCTCGAGAGCGTTTGGATACCGGCGAGCATTGGAAGTGTCGAGCTTGGCCAGCATCTGGGGAGCGGCATGCACGACGGGGAGGTTGTCGTGTGGAGAGTTTTGGAAGAAATTGCTGAGGTCGTCATTTCCTGGGGCGACCTCGTTGGGATTCGAGACCTTCCTCTCGCGACCGAAGAGCTTCCCCATGAGACGGCCTCTCTTGGACTGGCCTTCCGACTCCATTCTGCCCCTCGCCGTTCTGGTCCTCTGCTTATGAGCCTGGCGATCGTGTGAGAGAAGGAGGACGAGGACGAGAAGGGCGAGATCTTGGGGGGGAGGAACAAGATGTTGACTCGCGTGCCTATCAGACGAGAGTTGGGAGCATTATAAACCGCCGCACAGGAGCACGAAGATTGTGTCTGTGGGGGAAGAGAGGTGTGCCTGCTGGACTAGATGGGTGAATGATCTGGCTCGACACGATCGTGTTCCAAGGGAGGGAGGATGGTTTTGGCGGTGATGATGTCTGGTGGAGAGCGTCGAGGGGGGCGCGCAATCGCTGTCGCGGTCAGGGTCAACGACTGTTGGTCTCTCTCTCTCTCTTTCTCTCTCTGTGTGTGTGTGTGTGTCGGCCGTCAATGCCCTACCAGTCAGTACCTTATGCCATGCTTGCCCTCCATCCAGGAGCTGACGTTGCAGAGGGAGGGCCGTTTCAGCAACGGCTGGGGGGTTGGAAGGGCGAAGACCCCTGAGGCCCCACGACCGACGCCAATAGGCCACTCGCTCACTGATCGGGTAGACGGTAGACCCCGGCCCCCACTTGCCATCCCCCTCCACAGGGTCTCTCTTTAGGGCAGTACTACTGTGTACGTAGTACTATAGGTTAGTGCTGTAGTCTTGTTTATTTATACTTAGCACCTGAAAGGTAGGGGCAGTATCCTGGCACCAGGAGACCCAAAATCTTTTGTTGTTGCATCTTCCCCCTCCTTTCTTGCAATTGGCCATTCCCAAGCCTAGAAAATGCATGAAGTATGTTCAGTTCTTTCATTACCTTATTGTTAACAGTAGCCACATCGATATATATGCATCGGAATGTAGGTTTCTCAGAGTCGATACACTGCAACAATTGGCGCCTCGAAAAGCCACTACAGGTGCTGCTGCTGCTGCTGCTGACAGATCATCGTTAGCGAGAACCTTGTACGCCTGCCAAGGCGAACTACCCCTGAATGTGGGGTCGGCCTTATCATACACATATAAGGTTAGTATCTATCTGCACATGTTCAACAGCGCCTTCATCCCATCTTGCTGACTATGCAAACCACCAGCTACTATGTAACACTGCAGCATGGTATATATTGTTGGCTCTTGTCCTCATGCAAGTCTATGATGTAGGGACGCATCTGCCCATCTTATGTTTGAGGGATTGCTGGACTGCAGACAACCCTGCGTAAGAGATCGCTCCGGGGCGAGATGGCGCTTGAGCCAGGTCTGAGTTGCCTCGTAGGTTTCTAGATGACACGCCATTTAGATTGCGACGGCTTCCCTCATTTCACGCAACAGTAGCGAGGAAATACTCTCCTCCTCGCTAGCCGTTAGCCCAGGAGCAAGGGATCAGTACTGAGCACGGCGCTAAATCTGAGCGCTGACAGTCGCACCCGTTTGTCTCTTGGAAACATCCTCTCGTAGATGTCTTAGTATCAACACAAGTGTCGAGCCCACAGAGACAACAGACATCCATTAGGGCTGCTTCCACACGAGGCTGTCCGGCAGCTCATCTTAGTCGGAGATGTGATGTAGGGTTGGCGATGTATTTTTGGGTGTGCAAGCCTGTGCTGGCGAGTCATTCTGGGGTGCCCTCTGCAGGGCTCCTCACCGAAAAGTATCCCACAGCATCTGTCGGGATGAACGTGTAATCTTTCTCTGACCATCGTCACTTCCCATAGTTGGCCTCATCGTCAGTCCGCCCGCCGGTGAAGGACTGCCTCGTTCTGCTTAATTCTAAGTGTGAAGAGTAAAGAGAGGGAGCGGCCCGTTCCGTACAATTTGGAAAAGAGAGAGGAAGGGCGAGGTGAACAAAAAGGAGGCATGGAAGACGGGGTCGGACAGCCGGACAGCCGGACTTTAGTATGCGCTCCGAGGTGGCATATTGTCGCTTTCGTGCCTTAGTTTCAAAAGAGACGTCATCTTGCTGGACTGCATCAACCCTCGCCAACCGGCCGCAATGGGAAAAGGGTGGACAAGGCAAATCAAAGTGACATTGAAAATTCATTGGTGACAAAGTCAGCATCGTCGGCGATTTCGAAACTTTGAGGTGCCTACTGTGTCAGAATGTTTCTGTACCGCGGCGTCCTGTCACCGTGGCTGGCTCAACTTGTAATATATCGCTTCTTGTTGATGAAGATGTGACTGGCTTTCAATATCTTTGTATACATAGTTGTTTGACAAGGACACCTACCTCCTTGTATGTGAGTGCTGCCACTGTGCAGGCTCGGGTTGTCCGGGTTTTGGTGTTCATGCAGAAGAGGACGTAGGCTGCCTCCGTCATGAGCCTAGTTGCTGGGCCGCCTAGCAACAAGTGACCAGGGGCCAAGTCAGTTGGGGTCATTCAAGGCGTCCAATGATCAGAATCGAAGACAATTCCTCCTTTTGCCCTTCTCCCCCTACATGCATGCGTTCATTGAGCTGTCACAAATTACAGGGAGTTGAGAGATGAGATCCGACAGCACGGTAGGCCGTTGGCAGACCGGGAGTTTCAGAGCACCAAGGATATGACATAACAGGCAAGCCCACTGTATTTGTACAGAACACATGCAGCAAAGAATGGCTTATAGAATCTACACTGTCGAACAAGCAATGCCTGGCCAAGCTTTGAAGGAGTCACCTGCAAAGCAGAGTGACAGGGATAGGCCGACAGACCGGCGGAGCAACGTCATGGGCGGTAAGCGGAGGTAAGTGCTAAAATACAGCTTGGTGCCCCGCCAACTGCTGACTACAATATGATGAGGAGTTGAGAAACGGAGAGGGAGAGCCCTCTTCTTCCACCCTCCGTCATTCGGGCTAGGCTGAGCATCCGCCTTGCCTTTCAGCTACATCACCTCGACCAGGCCTCTACATCCTGCTCTAACTTTCCCCCCTCTTCATATCTACTCAACAACCTCTCCCAAGCGACTTGCCCTACCGTTCAGCACGGTGCCTGCGTTCGATACTCTGACCCCACCAAACAACCTATCTCGACAAGAGGGGCAGATCAAGCCCTACTTGTCACCTTGCTATGACTATGATGGGCCTCGTGTCCGGCCGTCGACGGGCCACTTCGACAACCAGTACGTGATAGAGATAAGGTCTTCTTCCTCTCTCGGTCCACTATACTTTGCATCACCAGCGTGAACATGGTCCCTACGTACCGCGCTAAGAAACTAACGAGACCCTCCTGTCCAGGCAGCCGAGGATCCACGGACGAGGGCAGAGGCGACGGTGGTGACGATGACACCCAGGTAGTCGAACCCGATCAGGGCAATGTGCTCTCCCACATCATCTCCCAGCTCAGGCCTGGTGCCGACCTCAGCAGGGTGACCCTTCCCACCTTCATCCTTGAGCCGCGCAGCATGCTGGAGCGCATTACAAAGTAGCCGCCCCCCCTCCCCCAAAATCGAAATTTATGGAACGTTTCCCCAGACTGACCAGCATCCCTGGATAGCTTTATGAGCCACCCTGAGATGCTGCTGCCGATACCTGAGATTGACGACCCCGTGGAGAGATTTGTGTCCGTCGTCAAGTTCTACCTCAGTGGCTGGCACATCCGTCCTCCTGGAGTCAAGAAGCCGCTGAACCCCATCCTTGGCGAGATATTCACCTGTTACTGGGACTTTCCGGACAACACACGAGCATACTACATTTCGGAACAGACCTCGCACCACCCTCCGAAATCGAGCTACTTCTACATGGTCCCTGAGCACCACATCAGAGTTGATGGTACCCTGAAACCGAAGAGCAAGTTCCTCGGAAACTCAGCAGCAAGTTTGATGGAGGGCACAGCTGTCCTCACCTTCTTGAACCGGGGCAAGAATCCTCAGAAGGGCGAGCGCTAGTTAGTACAAGCCGATGATTGTTTACGGGCCTTGGGGAACTAACAGCCTTCGCAGTCACCTGACACAGCCTAACATGTACGCGAGAGGAATCCTCTTCGGCAAGATGAAGTACGAGTTGGGAGACCACAGCGTCGTCCGATGCCCCGAGATGGGTCTCGTCGCGGACTTGGAGTTCAAGACAAAGGGCTGGGTCGGTGGGATGTATAATGCAATCGGCGGAACAATCAAGAATGAGAAGACGGGCGAGGTGCTATACGAGCTCTCTGGGCTGTGGAGCGATGAGATGTTCGTCAAGGATCTCAAGGTATGTATCACAGCGCACTCTATTCCCTATACACCCACTCGGTTGCTAACCACCACGCTACAGACTGGTCACAAGGAGATGTTTTTCAACGCACATCGTTCGAAGCCGGCACCCCCACAAGTCAGGCCTGTTGAGGAACAGGAGGAAGGAGAGTCACAGAAGCTGTGGTTCAAGACCGCACAGGCCGTCAAGGACCGAAATCACGAGCTCGCTACCGACGAGAAATCGAAGATCGAGGATGCGCAACGAGATGAGGCCGCTAAGAGGGCTCAAGATGGAGTCGAGTGGCACCCACGACTGTTCAGAAGGGTCCAGGGCGGACCGGGTGGCCCTGAAGAAGGAGAGGAAGATCTAGAATGGATCATCAATGCGCAAATGTGAGTATACCTCAGGTTTGCGGAGGAAAGGAAGGGAGGCGTGGGGGAGTTAACCCCTTGAACACCTGTACTGACTATACCACCAGCGACAGCTCCGATTCGAAGAAATGTGCCGAACAGATTCTGGCGATCTACCCGATTCTTCCAGGACAGACGGTGAATAGAGCGCACTCAATTCCCCCAAGGGCATCCGGCAGCAAGCCAGCTGAAAGCAAACCAACCCCTGCGCAGCCAGCTCATGAGGACCTGATAGACTTTGGCCAAGACGACAGCCCAGCAGAGCCACCAAGGCCAACCGCGGTACCCTCCTCCAATGAACCCAGGATGGAGAGCACCGGAGAGATCTCGGGATTGTTGAAGAGTACAGGCAAGCCCTCAGAGGGACCACTCATTGATTTCCACAACGACCTGAAGAAAAACATACCCAACATGACGCGATCGGACACAGCAGAGTCAAATGACGTCTTTGTGGACGCCAAAGAATAAGTAGAATAGGGCAATGTCTCCAGGTGATTGGGACTGGCACAGGTGCAAAGACAAGAAAGACCGCGGTACATCCGTAGAGCACGGAATACGAGGACGGCGTTTAGTAGTGGTAATATCGAGGCTCAGAAACGGACATTACATTGTTGTCTCTTCAATTTATATCTCTTTTCAAAGAACACTCGGAAGAAATATCTTAGCTCGTTGAGGAAATTATGCTGTCCAGAGAACCGTCTGCCCATCAAATGCCTTGCATCATCACATGCCAGAGATAAACTTTGTCTCTCTTTTATCTTTGATATCCCCGCCAACCCGACGCCAAACGCCTATACTTCCTTGCCGCTATCCTCTCCATCAATGACCTGAATGTCGTTTACGGATCTTTCACCTGATCAAACGGCTCTTTTTGAGTCACGAGAATTCTGCAACTCAGGCCGTGGTGGGAACCACCAGCGCCGCCATTCGAGCAACCAACATGATCGTCTGTGGCTCTCCAGCGCTTCATGAATCGTCGTCAGCCCCTTTTGTAATGATCTAAGGCTCCGGTTGGGGCGTCCCCATTCACAGGAGCACATCCCGCCCACACTCCACACAGGTCGAGGGCGGTGAGCTTATGCCAGATCGATGAAGCCCCCTCCAGAGCTGTAATCACCCTTTTTGCTGACGGGCCCGAAACCGAACCCCTGTATAAAGTGGTCTCTTAGTATCTCCGCCTTGTAGGTTCTGGGCTGGGACTCCTCGAAGGGGTCTTGTTATCTCTGCCGCCGTCCTTGAGCCACTTCTTGGTGGCGAGGGTCAACTCGCGGTCGAGCTCGTCGCCAGGATTTTTGCGGTGGATGAAATTGCAGAAGCCGCCCCGGACACAGCCCTCGCCGCTGTTGAGGCGGCAACAGGCCTCGCGAAAGTCGGTGACGGGGCTGAGTTCGCAGTAGATGGGTCGGGCGGCGTACCAGCGCGAGTTGAGGTCGTCGCAGGCCTTCTGGGCAGACTCCTCGTACTTGAAGCGGGCGTAGACGTTGCCGATCAGGTGGTCGTTGTTGTTGTCGCAGACAACGAGCTCCTCGAGCTCGCCGTACTTGCACATCTCGCACCAGACGTCCTCATAGAAGGCGTCGAAGTGGTTCTGCAGCTGCGAGGGGTTCATGCGGTTCTTGGGGTCGAAGGCTGGGTTCTGGTACAGGTTCGGCATCAGGATCGTCTGGCTGTACGAAGGCTTGACATGCTTGCGGGAGCAGCGGTCGCCGTGCCGGCAGGCGCCGATCTTGTAGTAGAAGGAGCAGTTGACCTTTATTTCGAGGCAAGGAGAAAATAAATGTTATGTTAGTAAGACTTGTCACGTTGAGGGCAAGGAGATGTAAGATGAAGAGTTAAACTAACCTTGTCCTGCTCAGTACCAAAGATACTTGCCAAATAGGAAGCCATTGTGAAGAGGTTCCTGTTGTGTATTTGCTGCTTTCTTTATGGTTATTCCTTGGGTTGGGAGAGGATTGTGGATTGGGGAGATTCGCGATGTTTGTCGGCAGCAGCAGTTGTAGCGAGGATGAGGTTGATCAATCGCCATGTGCACGTCAAGGCGACATTTACGCGGCGAGCGGCTTTGAAATTCTACACTAGCCACAAATGAGTGGAGACAATTTCTAGAATGCGCCACAGCTTACTAAGGGAGACCAGTCCCCAAGTGAGTGAGTCCAACAGCTGCCACTTCTCTCCTTATTTATTTACGTTTTATTGGAGGTGGTAAGTCATTACACCACGAGCGATCTCAGTCATATATCATAATGTCCTCCTTGCACCAAGGGAGCCGAACCGAAAACGTTCACAATCCATGATAACAGTTGGACAACGACCTTATTCTAGGGACGAATGTCTTCATATGCGCCTAATGAACCCTCTCCAGTCTCCTTCTATTTGGAAGCAGTAGTGGGGATGCTTTGATCTACCGTGTCAGGGACCAACATCTGCCCTTGTTCAAGATTGCTTTACCAGAAGCAATGTTTCCAGAAACCTAGATAGCCTCTTACACCATAGCATCCTCAGAGAAGAGGTGAAGAGGACTGCATCTTCCCACTGGTCAGGGGACCCCACAGAGCACTGCTAGGAACCACTGCTACTATGTATGGCATACTCAGCAAGTGGAGCTTCATCCACTGTCACGAGTAGGAGGGCCCCTCAGGAATATTTATCAATTGTGTTGTTGGCAGGTTAGCATAATTGCTCATAAATCATGAGTCTCTCGTTGTGGTAAGACAAATTTAATGATCTCCGACAGCCCCTCCTCCACGAATCAATTCGTATGTGAGTACATATCACGATATGCATTCCCAATGCATTCCATGTGCAACGACACGCCGTGTTCGAAATGCCAGAGAACTCTCTAATCAAAATTCAAGGCTGCCTAGACTCAGAGTCACATTGCAGGATAGAGATACCAATTCTTGTCCTTAGTGACCCAGGAGTCAAGCTGAGGGTTCCTTTCCACCGAGCAGGAGTTGTGCCAGTGGCTTTGAGCATCTAGCGCAGAACAGCTTGTCAAGCTTGTCCACATACATAATAGACCAGTTGATGTGGACCGCGGGGGAGGGATGTGGAACCAATACTATGGTACACCCCATTCTTGTCTAGTTCCTAGTTCAGACGGTGTCACCGTGAGTGGGAGCCACAAGCCCACCTACAAAGTACATACTCTAGTACAAATGGTAGTATGTGTGCTGTAGATCCGGAAGAGGGAGCCGTAAGGTTTTTGCAGAGCACAACGATCTCAAGCCATTCTTTAATCCGACCCTTGTTGCAAGCACATTGGCTAGGAGCCATCATCAGAGCTTTGGCTTACAACAATTTCTTCATAAAACAACACGAGACAAGGTTCAAGACGGCCCTGATGATGTGAAAGCAACACAGTAGTAATACAGAATTAATTTAAGCAGGACTCAGCACAGCAGGGGGTGGGGCTGGGGCTGGGGCTGTACAGGTGAACTGAGCCTTATCAACCCAGCAGCACGGCAGCAAGATTCCGTGTGGGAGCTGCACCACAGTGGCAGTGGTGCCATGTGTGCACTGCGATGGACCCCTGTAGCTTCGGGTTTGGGGGGCTTGGTCCCAGACAGAGTGTGTTTACGTCACTCCTGAGCAGCTCCCTGTTTTCGGACAGGGTCCTTCTTGGTTCGAGAACAGATGCTGCCGAGATGTGGTCTTGTTCGATCACATTAGAACAGGCTTGGGAGAACTCTGATAGGCAGTACCACACAAGGTACTGTTGACACCAAGCTCAAACAGCTCAACCTTGCGTGGCCAGCGTTCTACAAGCTTTTTAGTCTCACAAGTAGCCAGCGCAGCCCCCCATCTTTCCCAGAAACCCATTTTACATGTTTTCCTTTACAAACCAGCCACCCTATCTTACCAACTGGTCCATCCTCCCCTCGACCTCCTCGTCGTCTCCCGCACCCTCTGCTTACAGCTGTGCCTCTCCTCCAACATTGCCAGCATTACTAGCACTGCAGCCGGGAGACGCACGAACAAGATTGTGGTCCTGCCCCCCAGTCTCCCTTTCACATCGAGCGCAACCTCCTTCCGCCCAGCCTAGATTGAACAACCAATTGAGAATCACACCATGGCGACAGAACAAGCAGCAGAAGAGCTGAAGCAGCAAGGAGCCATGGAGGCCTCTCGGGATCCAGAGAGCTCTGTCACTGCTGAGGATGCGGAAAAGAAGATCCTAGAGGAGACCAGGAGTGCCGGCGTTGCTGCCTTCAAGTTCAACCCGGATGCCAGTCCGGCTGAGAAGAAGGCGCAGGCCAGAGAGGTGAGCAGATGAGGAAGAGACGTCCTGCCCTCTTCCCTCTCTTGTTGGTCACGCATCTAACAGCTGTCCCTTTTCACCAGGCCGTTCCTGAAGGCTTCCATTCCAATCGGCGCAAAGGTGCGGCACTCGTCACCGACCGAGACGGCGGAGAACCCGATTACGACATCCCCGAGGACTCCAAGGCCGGAGCCATTGAAGTTTCCAAAGATGCTGGCGGGAGAGCTATGATCGATGGGAAGCCTGCTGATGGCGGGCCAGAGATGGGGCCCCAGACTGGCTGGGCTCCTCAGTTTGGCTGGCCCGTCGAATCTGCCATGGAGGGCGAGAGCTTGCTGGATCACCAGACTTGGCTGGAGGGTAAGATCCCGGACAAGTTCTATGGCGGTAAGTCAATCAAGCCAGGTCTCAGCCTTTCGCCTACTTTGCGTATATACTGACTGCATGCTTCCAGATTGGTATTACAATGCTGCGGTAATTGCTTTTGCCTGCATCTCCTCATGGTTTGTTGCCGTCCTCGGGGGTGGCCTCGGATGGGTCTTCACCATCATGGCCTGTTGTGCGACCTACTACCGAACCTCCCTTCGGAGGGTCCGCCGTAACTTCAGAGACGACTTGAACCGCGAGGTCAATCTCAAGAGACTGGAAACGGATACGGAATCTCTCGAATGGATTAACTCGTTCTTGGTTAAGTTCTGGCCTATCTATCAGCCTGTTTTGGCTGCCACCATCATCAGCTCTGTTGATCAGGTCTTGAGCGGCGCAACCCCTGGGTTTCTCGACAGCCTGCGGCTCAAGGAGTTCACCTTGGGCTCCAAACCCCCACGCATGGAGCACGTCAAAACGTACCCCAAGGCCGAGGACGACGTGGTGATCATGGACTGGAAGTTCAGTTTCACCCCGAATGACACTGCCGATATGACCTCCCGTCAGATCAAGAGCAAGATCAACCCCAAGGTCGTACTTGAGATCCGCATCGGCAAGGCAATGGTCAGCAAAGGCCTGGACGTCATCGTCGAGGATATGGCGTTCGAGGGCATCATGCGGTTGAAGATCAAGCTCCAGCTCGCCTTCCCTCACGTCGAGAAGATTGAAATGTGCTTCCTCGAGCGGCCGACGATTGACTACGTCTGCAAGCCGCTGGGAGGTGAGACGTTTGGGTTCGATATCAACTTCATTCCTGGTCTCGAAAGCTTCATCCTCGAGCAGATCCATGGAAATTTGGCGCCGATGATGTACGCACCGAACGTGTTCCCCATCGAAGTCGCCAAGATGCTCGCAGGCTCCCCGGTTGACCAGGCCATTGGCGTGGTTGCTATCACTCTTCACGGTGCTCAGGGTCTCAAGAACCCTGACAACTTCTCTGGCAACCCAGATCCGTACGCCGTGGTCACCCTGAACAAGAGACAAGCACTGGCGCAGACCAAGACCGTAAAAGACAACCCGAACCCCCGTTGGAATGAGACCCACTACATCATTGTCACATCCTTCAACGATACCCTGGATATTCAGGTATTTGATTGGAACGAATTTCGCAAAGACAAGGAGCTCGGCACTGCGTCTTTCTCTCTCTCGAGCGTCGAGGAGATTTACGAGCACGAGAACGAGCGTCTTGAGATCAAGTCGGGCGGCAAGGCTCGCGGCGCCCTCATGTGCGACATCCGCTTCTTCCCCGTCCTCGAGGCAACAAAGGGCCCAGACGGTACCGAGGAACCCCTTCCGGATACACCCACTGGTATCCTGCGCTTCACTGTTGAGCAGGCCAAGGACCTCGATGGGTCCAAGAGTCTTGTCGGCCAGCTCAACCCCTACGCCCATCTGCTGCTCAACGGTAAGGAGATTCACACTACCAAGAAGCTGAAGCGGACCAACAACCCAATCTGGGACAACGGCACCAAGGAGATCCTGATCACAGATCGCAAGGCTGCCAAACTTGGCGTCGTCATCAAGGATGATCGCGACTTAGCTGGTGATCAGATACTCGGCACATACTCGATCAAGCTGGAGGATATGCTCGACCTGATGGCCAAGGGACAGGACTGGTACAACATCTCTGGCGCAAAGACAGGCCGTGTAAAGATGCAAGCGCAATGGCGGCCCGTTGCACTTTCTGGCATTGTGGCCGGAACCGGAGGCTATCAGACACCCATCGGACTGATGCGCTTTCATTTCCAAAGTGCCAGGAATCTGCGGAACTTCGAGACCATGGGTAAATCCGATCCGTACGTACGAGTCTCTCTGTCTGGTATCGAACGAGCTCGCACTGTTACCCACCGCAATACGCTCAACCCCGATTTCGACGAGGTTTTGTATGTGCCTGTCCACTCTAACAGGGAACGACTTCAAATCGAGGTCATGGACGCGGAGAAGATGGGCAAGGACCGTAGCTTGGGTCTTATCGACATACATGCTGCCGACTACGTACATCAGGACGAGAGTGGCGAATACCTAGTCCATGACCAGAAATCTCTTCACGATGATGGCCTGAAGCTTCATGGAAAGGGTACCCCGAAGGGCTTGCTCAAGTACACTGTCGCGTTCTACCCAACTCTGAACATTGCGGATCCCGAGGACGAAGAAGAAGAAAAGGAGCAAGAGAAGCAGGGTGATACAGCAGTGTCGCAGAATGGCGACGTCAAGGCTTCCCTAGACGTGCCACGACCTGAGAACCCTGGCAAGTTCTCGTCCACGGTTGGTGCTGCATCTGGAGACGCAGACAAAGATGCGGCCCGGCCCGTGACACCTATCTCGCCTGTGTCCGCTACGATGCCTCGGAAGTCGAAAGACGAGAGACAGCCACCAAAGATACACCTCACTCCCCAGGAACTGCTCAAATATGAGTCCGGTCTCGTCATCTTCAAGCTCATGGACGCAGAGCTTCCACAGAGCAATTCCCGTGTCGAAGTCTTTGTTGACGACATGGCGTTCCCATCTTACGTGTCCTCAACCGCCAAGTCAAAGACGTACACATTTGATGAGATGGGCGACTGTATGATCCGAGAGCTAGAGTTCTCAAAATTGACCATCAAGATCAAAGAGAAGGGCGGCAAGCCCGGGGAGGATGATAGGGGTGACCACACTCTGGCCCAGCTCACAGGCAACACTCTGGACACACTCAAGCAATGTCTCGTAAGTCTTGCACCTCCAGTGTTGCTTTTTCATAAAACTAATTTCTCCTTTGCTAGAATAACCCTACTACTCTCAAGATGAAGGGAGAGGATGGCAAAGTCAGTGCCGTCAAGGTCAGCCTCAAGTACATCCCTATCAACATGAAGCTTGATCCCAGCGAGAGCATCAACAACATGGGCAATCTGAGAGTGGATGTGCTGGACGCTACGGACCTGCCTTCGGCTGATTCCAACGGCAAGAGTGACCCTTACTGCAAATTTGAACTGAACGGGCAGGACGTGTTCAAGACAAAGGTGCAGAAGAAGACGCTCCACCCAGCTTGGAATGAATTCTTCGAGGTCCCTGTCCCTTCTCGGACCGCGGCCAAATTCAGCGTCAAGGTCATGGACTGGGATTTTGCCGACAAGCCAGACTTCCTGGGCGGTGCTGATATCAACCTTGAGCAATTGGAACCGTTCAAGGCACAAGAGGTCAATCTTATACTGGATGGGAAATCAGGTAACCTGAGGCTGCGGCTCCTGTTCCGTCCAGACTATGTGACGAGGCATAGGCAAGGCACGTCGACTTTCTCGGGCACCTTTGCTGCACCAGGCAGGATTGTTACTGGCGTTGCAGGTGCCCCCATCAAAGGTGCCACGGGGATCGCGCACGGGGTGGGCAAAGGTGCATCGTTCATCAAGCGTGGCTTCACCGGCAGAAAGAAGGATGATGATTCTATACCAGAATCACCAGCCGGTGGTCTCGCGGAATCTCCTATTGTTATCAATGGCGCCGATTCCACCCCCGGCGGTGGCCTCAAGCGGTCGAACCTGGGCATCTCGGATGCCGACATGTCACCAGATGCTTCTCCCAAGCTAGCGCTGGGTGCTACGAACGGGCACTCCCGAACTAAGAGCTTTGGCGCTGCCTCCGCGAACAGTGGCATTATCCCCGGCGCTGGTGCCGGCACAGCGACATTTACCATCGTTTCAGCCTCTGGCTTCCCGCCATCCTCGGATGTGTATATTGTTGTGCAGCAGAAAGCGCCGAAGAGTAAGACCGTCGGCAAGACGAAGCACCACAAGGCCTCTGACGGCGTTTTCAGATTCGGGGAGACCTTCAAGTGTGTGTGCACCCCGGAAGCGTCTTTCGCGCTCCAGGCCAAGGAGAACCACACCTTTAAAGGCGATGAGGACCTTGGTGAGCACTTCTTGCCTATTGGCAACGACGAAGAAAAGGAATACCCGGTTGGCGACGGCAGCGTACTGGTGAGGTCCACGTTCGTTGAGTCGGAGGCGGCCAATGGTGGCGGCAGTCTTGCCCCCACCAGCCCTGCGAGACCCTTCTCCCGGAAGAGCTTCAAGAACAAGAGGGACAGCCGAAGCGTGAGCAGGGCCAGTATGAGCCGCGACTCTACACCGAACCCTTAGGGAGGGTCCCTGAAGGGCATGTTTTCCAGGGAGTCACTGAGAATGTCGCCCGGCTCGCGGAGCCCGGAGTAAGAGGAGAGCTCCCAAATGTTTTCCGAGTAGCGACTGTTTTGCCATCATTCGGCCTTCAGGCGCCTTTCTTTCCTCTACTCTTCTTTCAACGTTAATCATACTATTCCCAGTGTGTCTTTCACGATTCCTATTCTGCCCGGTGTCAGGTCTTGGTATGGGTTGCGAGGCAAAAACTTAAGCTTGTTCCACACTTGGTAATTGAGATGGATGGACAGGCCTGGAACCAGAGCGCGGTAATACCCAAGTCTGCCTTGGAGACTTGGCAATCATGATCCCTATTGATGATTTCTTTTCTTGTTTTTTCCCCCGTCTCTTTGTTATCGATGGCATACCATTAGCACGATTGTCCAATACCTACGAATGATATATCATTATCACACCAACATGTCAAGGACTACCGCGATAATGCATTATGTTCATGTTGACCAGGGAGGTGAATTGTGGTGGGCTCCCAGCCAGGCGAGAACCCCCGCTCTGCTCTGCTTGGGAATTGTTTCCCAGCCTCGTTTGGAGAAATGTTTGTCCATATCCAGATGATATCGAACAATCCACAAAGTAAGGAAAGATACTACGTGTTCGGGCACATGTTTTGAAGCGAGTATGATTTTCGTATCGTTCATATGGGAGAAATTGCTCACATTTGACTAGCTCCAGCTCATCATGGTCATGATTCTCGTCAACAATGAAGAAAATAATCCTCGACTTGAAAAAAGACGAGTGGTTATTGACGCAAGAAATCCCAGAGACAGGAATACAGAACAAAGCAACTCAATATGAAATCATAGAAGACAAACTGACAAGTAACCTTTAGACTAAGAGATCAAAGAACAAGAAGGAATTCGTAAAATCGTCATCCGTCAGGTCCGCCCGTTCAGAGACAATCATAACAACACTCGAACATAGATTGCGCAGACAGAGAGAGAGAGAGAGAGACAAAAGGCAGAAGAGGAAGGAAAGAGAAAGAAAAGAAGAAAGAAAGAAGAAAAAATGCCCAACAATTCAAAAAGACATATTCTGGTGATCCTCATTTGCCCTCCTTGACACATCCTCCATTAAACTTTTTAATGTGTCTTTGGACATTGTCCGGCCTGTCTGCAGTATATCCACAGTCCTCACACACTATATTGTTGATAGGAGACAAACCAGCCAGTTCGGGATGCTTCGCTGCCCACGAAGCATGGTTAGACCGTATATGGCGGTCCAATTCTTTTTTCTGTGCATATTTCTTGTTGCAAGCATCATGGGGACAAGGTCGATGAGGATTGTGGTTTCGGTAATGCCTACTGAAAGAAGAAAAAAATTACGTATGTGTAAGCTTGCCGCTTGGTAAAAGGAAAGGAAGAAGACACTTACGTCAACTTATCTTGCGAGGCCACGGACTTGCCACACCTATCGCAGATATAGCTGTTACCACTAGGGACTGTCGAGGGGGCCGGCTGGCCTGTTGTCAAGGAGTGGCTTGTGTATGGATTGCCTGGCATCTGGCTATCGTATGCGTGCTGTTGGGGAGGAATCGAATTCATCTCAAGAGGAAATTGCAAGGAATTCTGTGCTGCTGCTGCTGCTGCTGCTGCTGCTGCTGAGGAAAGAGCTATGTCGTAATCAATACCCGTGTTCAGATCTGCGTTGTCGTACGGGGGAGAGATGTTGTTCGTATAAGTGAAATCATGCCCAGAAAAAGTGGTGGGGCCGCCGCCAAAGCTATCATTCAGGTCTGGGAGTTCCGGCACTCATGCGCCCGATACTGGGCCACCAGAACTTGCGTAGGATGCAGTGTTCACGTGCCCGAAAATTCCCAGCGAGAAGTCAGCTTCAACGGACAGCGCGCCAGGGTTGATTCCGGCGTCCAATGCCAAAGGAATTCCAGCGTTGCCACCAGCAGGCCCCCAGACGTTGCTGCCCTGGTCTACACCACCACCAATACCAGGGTCGAACGTGCCAGCAGCAGCGTCCAGGGCTTCAGGGAAGAATGATGGTGCACTGGCCTCGAGGATTTCACCTGGCCGAGGTGATCCGATGGACCCGCCTAGCATCGGATCGTTGCTGTGCTGCACAAGGTGTCTTCTTCGGGACATGCTTGGTGCTGCCCAGGTGGATTTTTTCTCTTTCATGCGTCTCTATCCTGGTTTGTGGCTATCAAATTGGGTGTCAGAGTCACACCGTATTTTGTGTGTGTGTGTGTATAGGTGTGAGAGGCCGTCTTGACGCCGATGGAGACCACCATCTATGTATGTAAAGCATCTGGGGAAAGGAAAGGAGGAAGGGCGGGGCATTGTGGACGCCGTTGACTCATCATAATACGTACCTCTCAGTCTCACGAGACCTCTACTTGAAAGTCGACAGCAAGTATAACTCTGTGGCTTGCTTTGGGAAGAAGTACCCTTGATGGTTGTCTCAATAAATGATTATGTTCCTCTCATGAAGTTTGATTCATTGCGTGGAGGCATGAACAACAGTGATTAGAATCAGAGGGGGTTACATACTTGCGCACTTCTTGTGACTACTACAAATTGCTGTTGCCTTCCCATAACCAAGAGAACAAGCTGAACGATTCGGTCAGGTGGGACACAGACTATTTTATTATCATCATAGGGAGAGCGAGCACAGGAGAGGACGTGAGCGACCCAAACTTTTCAAGGCTTCAAGGTTGAGGTAGAAGGGACGTCGATTCTAGCAGGTTCACTGGCGCTGTAGGCTACACCGCTTGTCAAAAGTGCTTCTCTCGTTCAAGGTACTCATCCTGAGAGAAGAAGTAGAAGAAGAAGGAAAAATAAGATGGTGACACCATCTCATGTATCTGTGTGAGGCCGACGAGAGTGTGACATGCTCAATGCGCGTGAGACATGACCACATCTGTACCCGCACAGCCTCAAGCAACGGTCAGACCACATAAGTGACATATTAAGTACTTGAGTACATACACGGAAAAGAAGAAGAAGAAGAAGAAGAAGAAGAAAAAGGAGGCTCCTCACAACCCGCATGGTCCATTCGGCCATCTCATTGGACATTGGTTTCAGTCTAAACGATGGAGCCGCGAAGTAATTCAGGCAAGAGAAAGAGGAGGGCCTCCTGCATGGCCTGGGTGGTCTACTCGCATATGGGTTATATATACACACACACTTTTTACATTTCCTGGAGAAATGGATAATTGTTGTCCATGGACAAGACAACCACTAATGCGCAACTGACCACGTCGTGCGCGGCCAGCTCACAGATGACACCCAGTCCAAATCCTAGCTCGGTCGGCCTCAGACAGGACGCCTTGCGGTTGGTTGGACGTGCAGGAAGCAGCTGTCGCTTCCATTGGCTGCTGGACGGATTGGTGGAGAGAGGGGGGCCCCGGGGAGGGGGGGTGGCTTGGACGGGAAATGCAGTTCTGATGCAGGCTGAGAGACAGAAAGAGAGAGAAATACGAACAAGCGATGTTGGTGACAAGGAATAGAGCGAGTAAATAAACCCTGCGTTTTTACACATTCAACACAATGAAAATTGAAGGGGATGAAAAAAAACTCCAATACTTACCAATTAAGGGTACTGGGCTGCCTTGTGTTCTATTGCTCAAGTGTCTTTCTTGACTTGCATTCAAGAGTAAGAAAGTTGGATAGTATCGCTGTTCATTTTCCTCAACCATCATCAATTGAATTGCTACCTATCTTCTTCAACAAGTGCTTCTTGCACAATATAATCTTCTACCAGCTCAATGTCAGAAGATATGTCGCGTACTGAAAGTAATGGTAAGAAATTAATGACTGCCCATGCTTGAAGTGGAAGAAGGAGAGAGAAAGAGAAAACAAACTTGGTTGTAATTATGGCGACTGACCCTCGAAACCCATTCAGACTCATCACCCCCTCCTAGGGAGCTCGTAGAGCTCAGGGCCAAAGTCCGCACCCGGTTCTACGAGCCCCTCGTCCTCCTCCTGGCAGCCACGCAGGCATGCATGCACAACCTCGCCCCCAGGGTACCGGAGCCCGTCCCGGACAGGTTCCACCGCACCACGGAGCAGCTCTTTCACGACTTCATGAACAAGCTGGCCCAGATCTGCGACAACAAGCCCGGGGGCTCGACCGTCACCTCGGTGGTGGCCCTCAGCTTCCCCGAGCACGTGCAGTACCGGCTCGCGTCGAACCAGCGCAAGCCGGAGGAGCTGACGAGCCTGCGGGGATACCTGATGGACGTGATCCAGACGCTGCAGGAGTGGACCGAGGAGACTGCCAAGCATGACAAGATCAGGGTGCTGCGCAAGGTCGTCGCGTTCAACAGGGCGAGGTTGCAGGTCTATGTCAAGTCCGTGGAGGAGAACTCGGCGAAATGCCTCGAGACGCCGGACCTGAATGATGTGATCGTCAAGAAGCTCAACGAGCTGCACAAGCTGTCGTCGGCTGCCAACAACAAAGAGCTCGACGAAGATACTTGTAAGTCGTTTGCATTGCTATATCTCCTTTTTCTGTTCCTTCTTTCTTCTGAAAACAAGAAGAAGAAGAGAAAAAGAAAAGAAAGAAAGAAAGAAAAAAAAACTAGGAAAGGCGGTTGATTCACTTCATACCTTTGTCAAGTTAACGAAACAAATTACACGATTAATAGTCTTCCGGCACTCCTTCCTCCTGATGCATTCCATCAAGGAGCTCTCCAGGGCCAGCGCCTACAGATTCTTCCGCGACAAGGCCAACGCCAGCCAGGCCAGCGAGGTGTCGCCCTGGGCAGAACTCCGCCACGCGGCCGGGCGGCTGCTGTCGTACCTCGAAGGCGTCCACACCCTCGTGGACGCCCGCTCGGTCGCAGGCTGGGAGCGGCTCTTCTACGACTTCCAGGTCGTGTGCCTGCCCTCGTCGCGGCCCGCGCCCAACCCGATCATGCGCAGCCGCAAGAACGCCACGGCCGCTGAGATCATCGGGCGCATGTCGTCCGCCCTGGGCGCGGCCGGCCTGGCGTCGTCCCTCAGCGGCGCCGAGGAGCTGCAGCAGTTCCAGCTGGACGCCAACATCCGCGCGCAGACCAGCAAGGACTCGTTCAAGCCCATCGTGCACGCCGAGATCCTGGTCCACGAGTCCATCGTCAACGACCCGGAGGTGCGCGACCTGCACTCGTCCCGGTTCTTTGAAGGATACAGGTACATCGGCACCAGCAAGCCGACGTGTCGGCTGTGTGATTATTACTTTCGCGCCGTGAGCGACGGGTTCCAGGTCCGGCAGACGCATCGGAACCTGTATGTCAACTGGCGCGTGCCGGATGTCTACACGGACCAGGCCATGTTTGGGGAGAGGGAGGCGTTCAAGAGGCGCGAGGATATTCTGAACCACATGGTTGAGTTCGTCAGGAAGGATGCCCAACGCACACTGTCTGACAAGGTGCCGGAGACCAAGAGGCATGACTCAAATACAAGTGGCACGTATAAGCGCACATTCAGTGTGGGGTATAGCAGCAGGGTCGAGAGAGATGTCGATGATGTTGTGTCGAGCATGAGTACTCTTGGATTCGATGATTAAAAGGTGAAATGATATAACGACAGGTTCTCTCCTGATTTGTGCATTATTAGGATATTTGTTTTATGTACTTTGTAGTAATGTGTAAGTGTGTCTTGCTCTGAAACACTGGATGCAGACCACTCTTTCGCAAGGCCTTGTGGTATCGCGTCTATAAAAAAATCCTGTCCTCAACGCCGTCCATGCAAAGACCACTCTATGTCGTATCAGCTGACCCCTTGCCTGCTGTATCGCTAGTACAATTCGTTTTGTATATACATGCGAGATCGTTCCATCGTACAAATTTTGACCACGTCGTTCGGTCGTGTGTATCTTTTTCGCCTCCCCATGAGGCTTCTTGAAGTCCTTTGTTGCAAAGGAGGAGGAAGAGCCATTCATCACCAGCGGCCAAACAGTGCCGTGAGGATGAGGAAGCTGAGGGGGCCGCATAAAAGTGCGGTGTGTGGAGCGCCTGCATTCGTTATTAGCTCATTGTCTTTCCTTCCCATTCTCTTCATCCTTCTAACACGTACTTATGGTAGTTGCTCCTCCATTCGGCACAATCTTGCCCTCCGAGGTCATGTGCCAGCCGCTGGGGATCGACGACACCTCTATGGTGGAGGTGGCGGTGGCCCCAGCGATACCGCTGGCGGGGAAGTCCGAGGTGCCCGTGGAGGAGGCACCGCTGATGCTGGTGACGGTGGCGGCGTCGTCGGCATTGGCGTTGATCTCACCACCGACGCTCTCGATGCTCTGCCAGAGGCCCGACTCGTTGCCGTACTTGTACTCGGTTCCCGTGGAGTAGTCGGTGACGACCAGGCTCTGCACGACCATGGAGAAGGGCCCGTCCGAGTAGTCGGTCTCGCCGCCGGCCCACGAGATGGTGCCCTCTGCGTTGCTGGGGTCGCCGCCGGCCCACACGCCGACCTTGAGCTGCATGGGGGTCTGCGGGTAGTAGCCGTCGGCGTCGGCGTACTCGAGCAGGCGGACCTGGGAGCCGGCGACGGACCAGATGATGCGGTCGGCGGTCCAGTCGACGGTGTAGGTGACGAAGTCGGCCTGGTTATCGGGCGTGGTGACGGTGACCTCGGCGTCCGAGGCTCGCTCGCCCTTGCCAAAGTACATGGTCTGCATCTCCTCGTTGGCCACGCCCAGCATCTCCATGTCGATCTCGTCCAGGTCGTCCGACTGCAGGACCACGGAGCTGACGATGCCCGTGCCGTTGGCGCACTTCATGGTGATCTCCACCTTGCCGAACATGATGTAGAAGACCGAGTTGAGCTGAGGCGCGTCGCCCTCCTCCGTGATGGTCATGGTCACCCCGTCGGAGCCGTAGGTAGGCGTGCCGCCGCTGGCCGTGAACGAGTTGACCTCGCCCTGCGTAAAGTCCACATCCACCTCCATCCCCAGCGCCTCATCGGGATCGCATGCTGCGCACGAGCTCCTAGTCAGTTCTGCCATCCTCCCCAATAACAACAACAAGAAGAAGAAGCTTGTAGCGGCGGTTGCTTACTCGTCTCGGTGGGATTGCAAGACGTGCTTGTCTGTGCTGCGGAGAGGCTGGCGGCCAGTAGAGCCGTGCTTGCTGCTGCCCATATCGACCTCGAGACCAGCATCTCTGCACTTGATCAGTTACTGCAAGGCAGGAAACTTCTTGTGTGTCGCACGCAATGGATCTCTTTTCTCTCTTCCTCCACGCCGCAAGGTTTCTCTGTATGGTATGGTTATGGTTGGTTCAGCAGGCGATGTCCTTGCCGTTCAGATAGCTTCAGTTCTTCCTATACCAAGTAGACAAGGGAGGAAAGGAAAAAAGAGAAAGAAAGAAAAAAAAACTTTGTGATTGTTACACCAGTTCAACGGTTCGTGGCGCACAAGGTGGTTGCAGGTGTACAATATATCTGGCGTGGCCCTGGCACACGACTACTTTTATGCAGGGTTTCGCGGTCCAGAACAACGGATCCTCCCAGCCTCACAGAATCGATTCTTTTTAGAAAGCAGCGTCATCATAACATAGCCGAAACCCGATAGTACTACCATAGGATCATCCGCATGTGGGTACAGCAACAGTGCCGTGGGTTGCAATGCAGGGTCGTCCATCTTTGTTGTGTCTTCAGGAGGAGGAAAAAAGATGGTGGTTGGGGTTGAGGCTGGGCACACGCGCCCACTGACCGGGGGTTGCCCCATTTCCCCCTTAACCCTCCTAACAGATCTACTGTCATCCTTCTAGTAGCTGTGTTAGTGTACCCACTGCACCAAGTGGTCCGCACTTATTCAGTGGGGGCCTCCCTCTGACGTCTCTCCAGCGAACACGCAACTATTCAACGTCGACCCAGAATCAAAACAAACTCTGGCCCCAGCTTCCCACTTTCATCGACAGCTCCAAACAGGAATGACATATGACAAACCTGTGCTGATGGTGGTGACATCAGAGTTGGTAGCTTCAAAATGACTTTACTTTCAGGGTCTCTTGGTTGGCAGGACGACAGACGATGACAGGGGCAAAGGCCTGGCTGGGGGCTCAGATCCATCCTCGCACTTGGAGGCTCACTCACCCGCACTGGATCCATCGTCTGTGGCCCTCTTTTGGCACCCAGAACATCGCGATGTGGGTATCTCGTCAGACTTACACCGGCTCCTCCCCGGATATAGATGCCGAGTGGGACGCAGCCTCTGGGACGACAACAACTGACTGATGCTCGGACATCTCTTACAGACCGCCTAAGTCGGCACAGGAAAGCATGCCGGCATACGACCGCCGTATGGTGCACCTGCAGAGCCTCCTAGTTCTCCTGTTACCCTTTGGTGCAAAGGAACACTTGGATTATGTTATTTCAAATCCCATACAAAACACAGGCTCTGTTGATGCAGTACACCTTGTTGTCGCCTCTACCATATCACTCCATTATCAACGTTGGGCTCAAGCTCTGCCAGTCTTGATGTACCATGGTAATTGCAAATCATGAACGTGTTTGCTGATGGGTCATTGGCGGTACCCAGAAAGCCTTCTGAAACATCTGATTCAACCAATGTGCTGGTTCTTCACGTGGGTCAAAGCCTTGTGTCACGTTTTATCTCGGATGCCCGCTGAATCAAGTACATATGCAATTCGAGAACTACTGCAATCAAATGTTATCAGCGCATCTCTCTCGGACCAAATCTGTATTTCCACCCATATTCCCCATCCTGAACACGCACTCTTTTGGTATAATTTTGAGCGTATTAAGAACACGCATGCATAAGCAGAAGGACCATAAGGAGAGTAAGCGTTCCGCTCTTCTGAGGATTGATCCCTCTTGACCTACAGAACCTCAGTCGCAAACAAGGCTCAGCCCAGAAACGTAGCCTTTTCATCATATGAGTACTGCTGCTGCTGTTGCTCCTCCGTGTCCCAGGAGGAAGAGACTTCCCCCCTCCCTCCCGCCCACCTCATGAGATAATGCCCACATGGGCTAGCGAACATGGCCAGGCAGAGAGCCCACGGCAGATAAGCCAGAACAATCATGTCCATACCAGCCCTCGCGAACCCCCCTGCCGTGATACAGGTGAGGATAGTGAAGATGAAATACAACGATTGTTGTGGCGCGTCTTGCTGATGTCGATAGAGGAAGGACGAGACGCAGACGCCCAGCACGAGGCAGGAGCCCAACATCATTCCTGGAGAGAGCTGCCAGTGGACCAATTCCAGTTGAGCTCCACAGAAGTCATCTCCAGTGGACCCAGGGACCGTATGTTGACCGAGATTCATAGTCGAGAGAAGAATGGACCTGGTACCGAATGGGATTAGAAGTACTCCTAGAAGATTTGGTTTCGCCCTTCTCCAAAAAGAAAGAAAAAAAAGTTCGGAAACACCAGTTGGTTCACAACAAACCGGTTTGAGGCCGTAACGTATAAAGTCGTCACCAAGGAACAACCAATAGCTGGGGTCAACTCGTTGGCGACTTGGAATTGTCCACAGGAGTACGTGCCGTTCCCAGCTGCAAGGCGGCGGCGACACTTGCTGTATGGAGCCGATGTTGAAGCAGTATGCATTGCCGATGGGTAAGAGTAGGGAGCCGTAGAAATACACTCGGAAAAAGACTACTTGAAGTACTCAAGTGTTTAGTTCACTATCAGAAGCAGACAGTGTGCATGTCCGTAGGCTGTCCTTCTTTTTATAAAAGCGTAAGGCATCAGTGTATCACTCTCTGATCTTGGCGGGGGGGGAGGGGGGGGGCGTCGCTGCTCCGAGAGCCTTTTCCTTTTCCTTCTTCTACCTCTCCCAAAATGTCGATCAGTCGTGTAAGTAACTACACGATACCACTTCAAGTCTACCAGTGAAGAGCGGGCGTGAGACCAAGGGACAAAGTGCAGTTTGACCGGGCGAGGGTGCTGGCAGGCTGGAAAGAGACAATCTAGTGTGATAAAAACTATGTCACATTACCACTCACAAGGCTCAACTTGGAGGGTCGCGGCCGATAATGCTTTGAGGTCCAAGTGCGTATTGGTGTGATCGGGTATCAACAAGGCAAAGACGAGGCAGACATGCAGGCTGACTGGTTCGCCAATGTATCTGCGTAACAATCGGGCGCCAATTTACCCCCCTGGTCCTCTCAGCCTGATTTCTCTCTCTCTCTCTCTCTCTCTATCTTCTCTCTTGTAGCACCAAGAGAGTTTCTAGACAATGCAATTACGCACTTGGTCGCTGAAGGCAGTGAGATTAGTAAGTGCATGAGAGGGTGAGAGAGAGAATGAGAGTTGTGGCAGGATCTCTCTGGTCAAGCCTTCCCCCAACGGTGGCTTTGGGGTTCGATATGTGACGCAATTATGGCCTGATAAGGAAATACCTTCCAAGGTTTCCATGCTGACTACCGCCGTCATATGTAGGCAAACATGATGCCTTGAACCACGATCGCAGGCCTCACCGGCGCTTCAACGTCCGCCTATTATATCCTCACGCTTGCTGCAATATCGGTCACAAGGTGTCAGCTCCGCTCTGCACGTCAGATTGGGTAGCAATACCTTAAGCAGAACAGCATCACCGTGGTAGAGCTCTCTGTCTTCCCCACGGTCTCCCCCTCGATCCCCCCCTCGAATCTAGATATTGAAAGGTCGGGTTCCCCCCCCCCCCCCACATCTCTTTTTCTATTATACATCACATCCCCATGGGGGCTCCATTTCTAATCCAGTAAGGTAGTCTTCCTAGTTGCAATTGCAATATTAAAATAATCAATACTCCCCCCTTGCACGGCACTGTTGGGCATCGTTATGTCAGTTGGATATTTCCACATTTTGCCCAGAAATACCAATTCTTTATCACCTCCAAGCCTTTGCCTTCGTGTTTCTTTTTCTTTCTCTTCTTTCCTTCCCTGGCCAGTGCAACTTGATCTATCCACAATTGTACATCAACACGCCACCTGATCATATTGTTACTCAGCATCATGGACGGCTTCTTCTATTCGCACACCGATATCTGGGCTCGGATCCGCCGCTGCGCCGAGCCAACCTTTGGCGGCCTCCTCCTCGGGTCAGCTCTGTCCTACGTCCACTTGTCCCAAGAAGACAAGTACTGGAGTGCAATGTAAGCCTTTCTTGTTGAAAAAGTAATGGCGCATTGACCGTTTCCCCCAAAAAGAGCAACGAACATTCGCAGGGCGTCTGGAAAATGGCATATCTTGGGTTCAAAATAAATCAACCACACCCCCCAAGTCATTGACCATTTCATCCCTGCGCTCTCTCAACAGTCGCATTGATTAAATCGTCGCTACGCCTGACCCGCGCCGGCGCCCATTCTTGGGCACTGCGAATCTCGACACTCTTTCTCTGTCTCTCTCCGCGCCCACCTAGGGGCTTTCCATTTGGTTGTGGACTTCTGGCCTCATTCAAGTCACTATTAGGGGGTCCTTCGAGACGTTACTGGGCTGGCGAAACACAAACGATCTAACATCTCCGGCTTATCATACTAAACATATACACAGATCACTCGCCATATTCTTCATCTCGGTTGGGAGTTTCAACATTCTGCAGTTTCCCAAGATTGTCTTGTAAAAATTCCGCCCCCCTCCCCCCTTCTATTCCCCTCCGCATTTCTTCGCATGATTGCATCTGTATCTGACTAGGCTCTTTAGGTACGGCCATTACACTCTACTGATTACCATCGTAGTGATGGTTCCCATCATGACGCTTGGACGCACCACGGTTGAGGAACACACCCGGTTTCTGCCCCTTTACGTGATGCTCTTGACCTTCCTGACCGCTGCCTGGCCTTCCATACTCACGGGTCTGCGCTGCTCGTCGGGCATGAGGAGCAATGCGGATATAATTCGTCCACGTGACCTGCCTCGCTGGTATCACGCCCCCTCCTACTATATCGACATTGAGAGTGACCCCGATCTTCTCCCTCTCGCTATCGTCCAAAATACGTCGACAAATTCGCTTCTGGGGCCTCAAACAAGAGAAGAAGCCCAGTCAAATCAGGACTTTCAGCAGGCCGATATGTCTCAGCCGGACGAGACTCTCCAGCCTGCACAGGACCGAGAGCCTGATGTGAACGGACACCAGCCCGCTTCTAACCTGGAGCCCGTTGCAGATAGTCAGCCACGGCCTATTTCACCCGCTTCTTCCTCCAATATGGCTGCCCCTGGTGCAAGATCTCGTTCCGAGCAAGGCATACCACAGCACTCAGCTGCCCTGAGGGTGACTGAGATTATGTGCATGGGTCCTTCATCAGTTTGTTCACAAGAGTCCCACACAGACACGAGCATCTCGCTTGGCTCAGCCGCCTCACTGCCATCCCGAATGTCAGACGACGCCGTCGTATTTTTCCAGGATGAGGTCCATACCAGGGGCCGTCCCCCACACACCACTAAGAGGAGGGAATATATCGCAAATCTGCAACGTCGACCCGAGGAAGCCGAAGCCCGTGCTGCAGAGCTGCCTTCAAACTTACCCCGTGCAAGCCGCACGTTCTAAAAGTGCGTGGCCATCATGTGTTTGGTTGATTTACCCTGGAGCATACCGTCAAGAAACCAGAATCTATATCCTCAGGAATCCCTTGCGCCAAGGATTTCGCGTCCGCAATAGCGGTAAATTTGGTCCGTTTCTCAGTTGCGAACCCTCTCTGGAGTATCTCTCTGGATCTCTCCGTCTGGGTCTTTCCCTTTGGATCTCTCCCTATGGACCTCTCTCTCTCCCGCAAGTCCTGCTTGCTACCCACACACGCTACAGTTTCCCTTTTACTCTCGTTTAATGTCTTCTTGAACCTTGCCAGACCTGGCAGTTATGGCCGAACACCTCTTTCTGGGACTTGGATCCGTACACCCCGAGGCTCGTCGATTAATACCGGATCATCATTCTTTATCAACAACACAAGCCACCATGATGTTTTTTTTTTTTCTTTCTCTTTCTACTCCCTCGTCTGGACCCATCATCTCGGGACGAATTTCGCGTCGACAACTCGGAGGATCTGGAAGGGAGGTTGGTGGACTCTTGGGCTTAGAAAAGCAAGATTAGTTTTTGCCTACTTCGACATCTTGGGTGGATACACAGGCTTGGTTTCGTTTTGAATTCCTTCTTGTATATATAGGGGCTTCTTTTTCCCTTTCGTACCTCGCGTGCTCACATGTCATCATGGAGGGTTTTATTGATATGGCTGCTGGATGAGCCTTTCTTTGGGAGTCATGGTGGGTTGGGGGGGGGGGGGAATTTTGGGTGGTGCTCTGAGCGGAAAATTAACGCCACGAAGACGGACACACGCCACCCCAGATGGCTTTGGCTTCTCTACCAAACAACTCTACTGGGAGAACGGGACGCCAACACGCCAATACAAGTCAGCAGAGAGGACCAGTTGCCTACTGGAATCTCTTGATGCGCCGCTGGCTTGGTTGGAAAAGGTCGGCGGATAGATAACTGACAGGAAGTTACAAGTACTGAAGACGAGTGCATGTTCACAAACGCAGCGCTCAGTGCAGGTGACTGCACGGCAGCAGGTCTCTTGGGGAATGGCTAACTGCGGGCCAGTCTCGCCTCAACAAAAAGATGGATACTTGTAATCAATAGAAGGACAAGACAGAAGGATGACTTTGAAACGCTCCTTTCGATCCACAAACCCCGCTCTCTGTTGTTGATGGTGAAGCACATGGCTTGGTCGATTTCCATTTGTAGTCAGAGAGGCGGGGCGGATCTCTGAGATGTGATGAGCGTCGAAATCTAAACAGGATAGATGTACTACTATGCAGTACGTACTCGAGGCATGGGGTGTGTCTGCTTACCACACAAGCTCTAACACGTGTCGTCGGACGTCGGCCTTTTCAGAGCACAAATATATGGCTTCAAGTCAATTTCGGACAATCTAGCTCATTAGGTTTCGTTTGTAGCAAGCTGGATGGAAGCGCCTCGTGATATTGGTAGGATTTGGAAAAGCAAAAGGTCACTGAAATCCAGCAGTATGGATAAATATTCATTGAGATATCAAATCATCGCTTTATCTGCAAAATTTTCCTGTTTGTTTGACTTTTCGCGCCGAGACTTTTCTCTCTCAGGTTGTCCTGTCTGTCTCTTCTGTCTGCCTGTGTCCACAAACCTTCTTGCCGTCTAGTCAACCGGAAGGAGACCAGGTGATCTGTCCCGGTCATGTAAATCTAATGCATCGTCTATTCGGTTAGATGAATCCCTAAGTTCGCCGAGGGCTCGGCCAATACCGCATCGCAGAAGGCCTCCCAGTCACATGCAGTGATCAAAAATCTGGGCTCCCAGCTTTGTTGCACCCAGTTTGACTGGCAAGGCCGTGATCAAAATTTTGTTCGACCAAGTCATGGCTGGCAAGAGATTTGTTAATGAACGTCGATAATACAGCGCAGCCGATGTTTGCTGCGACTTAGCAAGTCAGTGTCAGCTCTAGAAGCTTTAGAACTCCCAGTCTGGGTCGTCCCCGATGGACTGAATGGCCCAGTTGAACTTCTCACGCAGGGTCTTTGGGAAAAGACGCTCGATAGGCACACCCATCTTATTCGAGAAGACGACGCTGAGGCGGGGGTCGATGTAGTTCTGTGTTACCACTAAGTCAGTACATGGTCTTTCAAGTTATCTGCAGTGTAGGTAGACTTGCGATCTTGGAGGTTCCCAGGGCAACCTCCTTGTTGCCCTCGCGGTCGGCAGATTGGGCTTCGAGATTCTTGATGCGCTCTTCGATCTTCTTGATCTGGCCCTCGAGCTTCTCGACTGTAGGACCCCTGCCTTCAGCCTCGACCTTCTTGGTTTTGTTCTCCTTCTTAAACTTGGCCTCGAGCTCCTTGACAGCCTTCAGGCGCTCCTTAAGCTCCTTCTCGGGCATGGGCTTCTTCTTCTCGGAAACCAGCTTCTCGTTATCCTTCTGGAACTTCTTGGTGATCTTGGTGCGTTGCTCCTCGATAAGGAATGCTTGGTGTTGAAGAACCCATTCCTCGGTTAGATCTTCCTCCCTCTCAAAAAACTCGGCTCCCTTCTTTTTCTTTTGCTTGGGGTCGACGTCCAGAATCATCATCTTCGTCCGCCATTTCTGGTACTTGGCACCTTTGATCTGCAGTCGAGACGTTAGTAACTGCAGCCCGCGGAACGTGTCGTGGGTAATGGAACTCACACGATCGGTCATCTTCTCCATCTGCTCCTCATGTTTGGCACCAACGCTACGTTTGTGGTTGCAAAGAATGGCAACCTCTCGATTGCAGTCGTTGTAGAGCTTGACCTTCTCGTTAATGGTCTTGTTCTTGTGCTCAGCCGGGTTCAGCTTTTGGAGGAGGTTGGACATGGTGTAAGAAGCGTTGTAGGTACGGAACACCTTGGCAGTTAAGCCTTCCATGTAATTCGACAAGTGCTTGTTCAATTGCGAGGTCTGCGCAGGTCAGTATTCATCAAACAGTCAACATTCGTTTTGGGCGGATAGACTCACATTCACTCGATCAAAGATGTCGTCTCCGTCCTCCTTGGGTGGCTTCTTGAACATCCTCAGGTTCTTGAAGACTTGACGGTCCACCTGGCATTCGTCGTAGTACCGAATGCTGTCCTTTCCGAGGAAATCGAAAATGACAATATCTGGCTCCCGAAGGGTGACGTGCTCGTATTTCAGAGAACAGCAGCCCACAGTGTCGGCCTCGTTCTCGGTATCCTTCTCGTTGCCGGCTCTGAGGGCGAACTTGTCGATCAAGTACATGGCCGTGGCCATCTGACGCTCCTGCATCTTCTCACTCTTCAGCTTCTTTTCATAGTCTTTGCGAATGAAGTCGATGCGCTTCTTCAGCTCGCGGGCCTTCTCGAATTTCTTGAAATCCGCCTTGCCCTTCACGGAGGCACTGGCAGCAAGCATGACATATTTGTAGTTGCCATTGACGTTCTCCTGCCACATGGCCAGCCAGGTCGCTTTGTTGTCATGCTGAACGGCCTTCCACTTATGCCCTGCGGGCGGCTCAGGTACCTTGGCCCCCTTGCCAATGTTGATGGTGACCTGTTCTGGCAAGACTCGCTTCTTGATCTTGCCGGTCTTTGGGTGCTCACCGCGGCCACGGAAAAGCCCAGGTGGTTCAACGCGAAAGTTGCCGACTTTCTCTTTGCGGCCGTCCCACTTGCAGTACATGAACGGTTCCTCGACTTGCAGCCTCTTTTCCTTCTCTGCCTGCTTCTTCTCCTTCGACCACGCCTTCTTCTCCTCAGAAACCTTCTTGAAGTGCTCGTACATGGGCTCGAAGTTAAGTTTGGCAAAGTCCTTCACCTCGACCTTGTTGCCATTCTTGTCCTTGGCCCCTCCTGTCTTTTTAAGAATAGCAGTGAAATCGGTGAAGAAGTTCTTCTGGAAGACCGGATTCTTCACGTTGTTCTCGGAGTTCAGCATGAAGCCAAAATAGGATGCGGCCTCCTCGGCGTCGACGTGAAGTTCCAGGGGAGTGCCGTCGTAGTAAAGCCTCACGCTCTTCGGCAGAGGCTCGTACTCGGGAGGGAACAGAACACCGCTGTGTTCGAGCGTGTTCCACTTGACCGTGTCGTCATCGGGTTTTTGCTCATTCCACCACTCATGCGCTTCCTCATCATCGTCTCCATCATCTGGAGATTTGGACTTGGCCTCGACCTTCTTTTGTGCGGCCTTGGTCTTAGCAGGAGCCTTTTCGGTTTTCATGCCATTGATTTTCTTTGAGACGGTGCCGTTCGACTGGCGCTTGGACGTCTTCGCGATAGGTTCATCGTCAGAAGAGGCCTCAGCCTTGATAGCTTTCTTAGGAGCAGGCTTCTTGGCCTTGGCCTCCTTGGCGCGGATAGCTTTCGCGTCCTTCTCTGCCTGTTTCTCGATCTGGGCCTTCTTCTTGGCCAGCTTGACGGTAAGGGGTTGGTCCTCGTCGGACGAGTCCTCGGCGGGCAGAGACGTCTCATTGATAGAGGGGGGCAGCTTCCTCTTCAGCATGGGCTCGTCATCGCTGTCGGACTCATGCTTGGGGGCTACCTTGGGTCGCTTGGCCTGGATCTGTAGGGTCAGAGCGGAACGAAGTGGGGAGGGGCGAGGAAAGGTGCGAGGTCGCCAAAACGCAGTACTGCCGATGATATTCACTTACCATAGGGGCATCGTCGCTATCCGACTCGTCCTTGTAGCTGACGTTTTTGGTGATGGAGGTGCGCGCTTTCCTCTTGGAGGCCCCATTCGGTTGATCTATGTCCATTGAGTCGCTCGAAATGGGGCCATTGCGGATGGAGATGCCTGCGGCGGAAGGCTGGCCCCTGGCCGGGGAGAAGTCGTCCATAGCCTTGTCTTCCGACTTTGATATCTTGGAGGCCGAGACTGCAAATGCGACAAGTATATCAGCACCACGCGGCAACAAACTTTTTTCTTACTTTCCTTTGTCTCTTTTGGGGGGACGCAATCCAGATAGTTCTCGGCCTGTGAAGGTGGGAAGGGGCCAACAGAGTAATCTGACACGTAGGCGAGGGGCAGGATCAACGTGTTGGCGAGACTGTGGCTGGCGCGTGAAGAGGCCCTCATAGGCGTACTTACGGTATGTGCCATTCGACCGAGCCAAAGGCGCATCATCGTCTGAGGAAGACATTGCGGTCGGCGGTGATGAGGTATTGAGTGCTCGAGGTGGTGGTTGTGGTTCGGTAGTTGAGCTTTCGCTTCGGAAGACGTGGTGGTGCCGGTCTCGGTAGCGCGGCAGGGCGCCGGTAAGCAGGAAGCAAGAAGAAGGAAGGGAGGGCTGTGGAAGACCCGAATTCGTCGACAAGGAGCGCGAGAGAAAGGAAACGGACGAGGTTCGGGATCCGAGGTGACCTCTCCAGAGGGAGGAAAAGATTAGGAGATGGTTACTTATGTAATTGGACAAACAGAGGCTGAGCCGGCTGTGAGGCCCAAAGCTTCGGTCAACAATGTTGGTGGGTGGAAAGGAAAGTTCCAAAGAGACAGGGCGAGGCGGGAATGAAAAGACGCGAGAGACAATGGCCTCGTCGGGCTAGCACTTTACTACTACTTGCTGGTGCTGCCTGCTGCTGTGTGCTTGGTAGCTGGGCGCTGCCATTGACCGCGACGGGCAGGGACGGCGCAAAGTTTAGCGTGCAGCTATTGTTGCGAGCCTTACTAAGTCTGGTAGAGACTCTAGGGGTGGGTCGAAGGATCCAGCACCATCACTGGACCGCTACCAAGAGTCGCCTTGCAAAGCTGCTCACAGGGCTGTCGGAGTGCAAATTTAGCGCTTACCCCCACCGTCAGAGCAGCGAGCCTTCCCGGGAAAACACGTGACGGTGACTGCCGGCCTCTGAAGAAGCAACGGGGTCTCTGCCTTGGATGCTTGATTGACTGAGAGAAGTTCGTTGCAAAGCCCATCCATCACCACCTCCTGTCAACCACAACCGATTGGTCGCCCTCCCGATCAATTGGCCCCTCCGAACGATTCTGCTCAACTGAGCCCCCGTCAGCAGAGCAGTTCTTTTTACTCAGACACCACCGTCAAGATGTTGTCCAGAGCTGCGCGACCGGCTCTGCGAGCTGGAGCTGCAATTCCCTCTCGGTACGTGGTGGTCCGCGCCTGTCGACGTCACCCCCTCCCCCCTTCGAGTGTTTAAAAAAATTAGGCCAGGGGTCTGGTGAAGGGAGGAAGGACAGAAAGAAGAGACAGAATGCATGCCGAGGATGGGAAGGATTGTTGTGCAGCAAAAGCCAGAAGAAGCTAACCAATATGCCTCATCACCACCGACAGCGCCGTCACATCCACTCCCAATGCCGCCGCCGGCTTCGCAACCCTGCGCGAGATTGAGGGCCGCCTCAAGTCGATCCGCAACATCGAGAAGATTACCAACACCATGAAGATCGTCGCCTCGACCAAGCTCGCCCGCGCCCAGCGCGCCATGAACCAGGGCAAGGTGTACGGCGAGACCAGCAAGGAGGTTTTCACCCAGGCCGAGACCAAGGCCCTCGAGGGCGAGGACAAGAAGACCCTGCTCGTCGTCTGCTCCTCCGACAAGGGCCTCTGTGGCGGTATTCACTCCGGCATGTCCCGTTACATCCGCCGCCTCTATGCCGAGAAGCCCACCGCGTACGAGCTGGTCATCGTCGGCGAGAAGTGCAAGGCTCAGCTGTCGCGTACCCAGGCCAAGGACATCCAGCTCACCTTCGCCGGCATGGGCAAGGACATCCCCACCTTTGCCGATGCCCAGGCCATCGCCGACCAGATCGTCCTCCTGCCCAACGAGTATGCCGAGGTCAAGGTCATCTACAACAAGTTCATCAACGCCCAGAGCTACGAGGCTTCCGAGATCGAGGCTTTCTCCGAGGAGGCTATCCAGGCTTCGCGTACGTGATCTCTTGAGTCCTCCCATCGTCCTTGAGCAGCTTTCCGCCCGGGCAACGTCAGGCTAACACCAGCTTGCAGAAAACTTCTCCGCCTTCGAGATCGACGAGGAGCTCCTGCCTAACCTCCGGGAATACTCCCTCGCCAACGCCATCTACTGGGGTTTGGCTGAGGGTCACGCCTGCGAGCAGTCTGCCCGCCGAAACGCTATGGATGTGAGTGTTCTCCAGGCCCTACTTTGAGACGCAGATGACCTCCTGGCTTTTTGTCTTTCTGGGACAAACGCAACTGATACTTCATTCACAGAACGCCTCCAAGAACGCCGGTGAGATGATCAACAAGTACCAGATTCTCTTCAACCGTACCCGTCAAGCCGTCATTACTGGCGAACTGGTCGAGATTATCACCGGTGCCACTGCCTCCGCGGACATGTAAATAGACTTCAGGCCATATAGAAGTGTGAGAAGGAGCAGGCGTGGTGAAGGAAGCTGGGTGTTGAGATGCCGGGAAGGGCATGCAAAATCAAAGCAGATGTTCCCTTTGTACCACTGCACATTTTGAATGAAGGCTGCAACATCTTATGCCCATGTACCAAGAACAGTAGAATCAAAATGAGGATTCAAAAGAAGAGGATATGCATGGCATTTATTATGTTTCATGCGTGTGTGTGTGCGCGCGCGTAGTCACTACTTAAGTAGTTTCTAAGTACATTCCCAGGCTTACCCTCTCCCATGCCACATGATTGGCTCCAGAGTCCACGAAAGAAAGGACTGCATCAAAGGAAACAGTCACATCAAGGTCATTCATCATGAGAAAGCCCTGTCCCTCAACAACTATCAATTCAGCAGTGGCAAAGAATTAGTGCTAACCACGCAAGGTCCATATGAGTAGCTGCTCCAACTCGCTGTTTCAGCATGCCTAGAACTATTCATAGTAACATATACATCTTATGTGTACCTGGCTGGCAGTCTTCAAGCTATGTGTATGATCTGCCTGCCTGCCTGCCCAAAGCCACATTGGCCAAGAAGAAAGTGAAAGAAAGGGGGAAAAACAAGTAAAGTAAGCAAAGACGACATCACTCGTCCACCACCCCCCGGTATTATGCCGAAAAACACCATCCATGCGTGCTTGATGCATCGGTATAATTCATAAGGTCCTCCCATGAACCCTTCCCTGGGTCCCCCCCCCCCCTGCGCCATGAGAAAACAGAAGAAGAACAGGGCAAGAAACAAGGATCAAGCTGCGGCTGCTGCTGAGAATACTCTTCCCCTCCACCAGACCTAATGTACTCAGTATGCTTGAGCCCCATTCGTCATTCCAGATCGACGTCACTATCGTCCTCCCGGTAACTCTCGACCCGCTTCACCCTCCTATTCCCGTTCATGCTCACACTGCCCGCTACCTCTTCCGGTCCAGGGACACTAGGGTGTTCTCTAACATATTTCTCCCTCAGCGCGATGGCATCCTTTTCCCAGCGCGCCGTCGCCTCCGTCCAGTCCTTCAATGCTTGTGCATACGCCTTCTTCTGCTCGTCCGCCTGGTCCTCAAACGGCTTTCTCACCTCCGGCGCCGCTTCCTTCCACATCTTGGACGTCATCGTCCGTACCTCGTTGGGACTTGGCTTGCCCTTGTCGGCTCTACGGCCCTCCTCGCATCTCTTGCGGCCGTCCTCGTAATGGACCTTGTTAAAGAGGAGGTAGGCATTGCCTGCAACCTTTGCTGGTTTCAGCGGGTAGTAACCGATTTTCGACTGGATGTGTTCTGTGATCTCCATCTCGTAGGCTTCGAGACGTGCGCGGGCTGGGTCTCTGTTCTGGGCCTTGCGCTTGAGGGAGGTTGTTGTTTCGCGGGGGAGGATGAGAGGCGAGGGGATTTCAATGGGACCGAGGATCGCATCGAGCACTTCAGAGGCAGCACGGAGGCCAGAGAGGTAAGCACCGTGAACGGTGGCAGGATGGGTGACGGTGGTGTGCTCGCCAGCGAAGTAAAGGTTGCCGATGGTTCTTGCCATGAGCTGATAGTCTTCGGCTTTCATGTTGACTCCAGCATTGGAGTAGCTTCCTCGTGCGAAGCGATCTGACTCCCATCTTGTCACGATAGCCTCAAGAGGCTGCGTGACGCGGGCGCCGTATCGCATGCGGAGGACCTCAGTCGCTTCTGCGATGAGCTCATCGTTCGGCGTGATCTCCGTGTCGTACCCAGCGTCGCCTGCCATCAGCGCTAGTAAACAGGGCATGCCGGTCGTATTGGTGACGTTGAACCACTGGAAGAAGCGCCCGCGACGTGGGGCATAGTCCTTCTGGTTCAAGCTAAGACGATTGGTAGGAGTCTGCAACATGCCAAAGATGTCCCTGTCCTTGTCCCAAAAGGCCTCCTTGTAGACAAGAATGACCTTATTCAGAACACCGAATCCAAGCCGCTGAATAGCCTCTGTCTTCCATGACGGCAGGGGTGGCTGGAACTCGATGTTTCCATGCTTCAATACACCCAATGGAATGGTGTTGACGATATAGTCAGCTTGAATCATGTGCCCATCTTCCAAGGTGATTCTTGCTGGACCTGTTGAACCTTCAGGGGCATACTTGATGCGCTTCACAGCTGCTCTGTGCTGTATGTTGAGTGGTGCTGGGAGCATGGCAATTCCTCGTGCGACGCTCTGGTATCCACCAACAACCATGGTGTGCTTCCCCTCCCATTCGTTGCCAGCATCAATGTCCCATCCTTTGATGCTGAGCCTGTTGAGATTGGTTGCATTGCTGTACTCCAAGTTGGCTATGTGCCAATTCAGAAGTCTAAAATCTTGGGCATTCAGATCAAGAATATTTTTATGTTGCATCAAAGCCTCGTCAACAACGGAGCCCAATGTGGCTTTGGCATTGCTGGCTGTGGCATCCAGTTCAATGTCCCTGGACTCGCTAACCCCTGCTTTCAGAGGCCAACCTAGAGATTTGACTTTGAAGGCAGCCTTAGTCGAGCCAGGCGTTCCTGGCTCAACATGCACCTTACCGGTCATGCGATCCGTTGACACAGGCACGAGGTTGACTTGTGGTGCGACATTCTGCTCGGAGACTGATGGGGCATGAGGCTGTGCAGCAGTCATCTCTTCTACCAAGGCGATTGTCTTGTGGCCTTCTGCAGTACTATCTCGACCCTCGTCCATGAGGTCGCGATTCCCTTCGATGAGCTTCGAAGGTGGCGGCTTGAACTTGTACTCGCTCACACGGTCCAGGCATGCGTTGAATAGCTGCTCCACCAACTGGTCTCGACCAGGGTCGACGGCTGTGCCGTTGGCGTCGTACAGGGACATATCGCTTCGCAGGCAGTGGTATGGCAGGCCCAGCTGTCCTCGCACAAGAATGTTCAGTGGGTTGCCCCTATCGAAACCGGTGATGATCATGCCGCCCATCTCCGCTGTAAAACGTTTTCCTCGCATCACCCCTGGCGCCGTATCTGGCAACGATTGAAAGGCGCGTGAATAGACTCGTCCACCGACTCGATTTCTTCCCTCGAGGACGATCACTCGAGGGGGCTCCTCGCCCATGTCGCGAAAGCGCTTAGAGTACTGCAGAAACAACCCCTCCAATTGCCTTGCGGCGGACAGGCCAGAAAACCCAGCACCAATAACCGCGACAGTCCTTCTTCTCTTTTGCGGTTGTGCACTGTGGGTGACCTTCGCTTGTCGAACTTCAACACAACCGTAGTTGATGAAACCTCGACGTACCAGCCAATCGAAGCACACATTGGCAACGTCGAACCAACGTATGTCTTTGGCGCAGCCAATCGCCTCTTCCCGCGTGACCGCAATTTGTGGATTCCTCACCCAGAGCCTTAGGATGCCGTTTCGAATGTTCAGATATGTTGTGACCTGCGCGTGGCTGATGTGGGACCGAAGCATATGATACTCATCCTGGTGCAGCGCGTACGGATTCAATCTGGAGTTCTCGGCCGCCTCAATACACTCCATTGCATACTCTTGTGGCGTCAGGTCTGCCGGTACGGATACCTTCGGTTGCACATTGAATTGTATTCTTGGTGCTGATTGCGTTGGAAAGGTTTGAGCCGGGCCAAATTGACCTGTAGCTTCTCTCGGGCTATCTGTATCAAGTGGAGTCGTCGCTTTGCTAGAGACTGAGGATGGTTTCGATGATAGACCTGATCGCTCAGTGAGAGCCGATGCCGATGATGCGAATGAATGTCGAAATTGCCCAATCAGATGGCTCAGAGCTGACTTTGCTGGCGTTGGATCAAGACGCGACGCCTCCGTAGAATTTGGGTCGCCTGCTGTACTAATTTCGCTGAGCTCGGACTCTGAAGGCTGATCAGTCGCCCCGTCCGGGACTCGATTTACGTTCGCAGTGTTGGATGATGGAACTGAGCTGTAACCACTCTGGTGTCCATTCACTCTAACCTCTGCGGATCCTGAAGTCGACTCTGGAACTGCTTGAAAAGTCCCATCTACCGGTTCAGACTTAACAATCTCCGGCTCCAAGGTAGCCAGTTCGGATTCGGTGGGCTTTGTGGATGTGAGGTCTGCTTTTTGGGGCTGCGCATCTTTTGCCAGGGTCTCGTGAAGCGGCGCTTCGAGTGCTTCGGGACTGCGATCGCTTGAGACTACATCAGTTGATCTCGGAGCCTCGATACTGCCCGGAGGTGATGCCTCCGGATCCAGGTCCATCGGTTCACTTTGCTCGGACGCCGAGCATGAAATTTGTGCTTCTTCTGCCTCAGCAGCAGCAGTAGCAGATGCCACCTTTGGTGCTTCTAATCGTGTCTGGACATCCTCAGCCTCTTTTACTGGGACCCCTCCATCCGCATGTGATGGTTGAGTATACATAGCTCCTTCTGCGTGTTCCAAAGGAACGCCCTCTGATGGGGCCAACCTTCTTGGAGGTTCCGTTCTTCCAATTGCAGACTCAAATGCAGAGCCCAAGAGGTTCGGGTCCGTCTTTGAGATATCTTGTCCTGTTGGTAATGGACTCAACACAGCTGGTGCTCCCGACGACACAGAGTCGACCTGCATGGTATCATCAGACGCCGAGAACTCTCCATCGACGTCCATGGTTGCTGTTCTCGTTTGCTCGTCGGGTTCGGTAACGAGTGGAGGTTGGGCGACAGGATCTGGTTCGGCGAGTCTTGGATGTATAGATAATGATGGCCCCTCTACAGCTGTGTCCTCTGCCATTACTTTTGGAGACACTGGCTCGACTACGCCTTCTCCCACAGGAGTTAAGGCTTCAGAGGCGTCATTTCCAGCTGAGGGTTCAATAGTCTGCTCATCCCGGCTGCTGGTGTCTATCGACTCTGGCTCTACCGAGGGAGGCTGTGGTGTCAACTCCTTTGCTGAGGTGACTATTGAAGATGCGGTCTCATGGGCATGCTGAAGGACGTCGAGCTCAGGTCTGTGAAAATACGGTTAGGGAGACCACAAATGAGAGTCCGCTATCTCCATCAGAGTGGGAAGCAGGGAGGTCACGTGGGACAGCCCGCAAGGGATGCAACACAACTCACCCAACAAAGGCCGCTGGCGTCTCCAGCACCTCAGAATAATTTTCGCTCATACTTTCCAGTTCGTCTAGGTCGTCGGTGCTGACGATGATCTCGGCAAGGATCTCTTCTTCCAGCTCAGGCCGCCGAAGTTGGCCCTGAGGTGCCCTCGCCAAGTGAGGACGATGAGGAGAGGTAGCTGTCTTCCCAGAGGCCTTGCCACCGCTGTCCCGACGTGATGACGGTGCTATAGCCTGTTTCTTGTGCACGGTTTCAGAGCATGAGGGCGGAGACGTTGAGACTGGTGATATCAAGGCGTTTGACCACGAGGGTGTAGATGTGAAGCTAGTGCCGAGGCTCCGTGTCGTTCTTATTCCAATACCGCAGTCCTGTCCAGATCGAGGGGTCCGCGATCGCGTTCCCATTATGATGCCGGAAAGGTCGATTTATGCTGGAACGGCGGGATTTGGGAGCCTCGGTGTAGAGAGGGAGAGAAGCGGAGGGTGTGATTGGGTGGTGTGATATCGATCCAGGTCGAACCAGAGCTGACGTCGGAACCTCGATTGGAAGACGGGTTGAGATGGGAGAGACGTCGTTGAGGTCCGTCATTGAGATACCACAGCCGCTCAATTGCTCACATCGACGATGTGGCCACCATCAGGTCCCATTGATATATGCGTGGTAGAGACTTTTGCCCCTCGGCGCGGGTGTGTATTGGTGTGGTTTTTTAAGTTTGGATGCTCATGCGACAGGGCCGTGCAGCCTCATTTTCCTAGTTGGGAAGTGCTCAACAGCCTATCACAGAAACATCAGCAAGAAGGAAGACGGCGACTCAAGGTGATGTGTTGTGGCTGGGCACCCAGAAGTGATGAGGGTCTCTAACGAGGGCCTCAAGGAGGGTTCAAGGATGAAGCACTTGAGAGGGGCGCCAGTCTAGGCATCGTACCTGCTGATTTTCAAACTAACCCAGATCGGAACAGACCGGGACTTAAGAAGCTCAATTGAGGATGAATATATGGATGAATTGATGGATGTCCATCAAAGAGGGCAGACAATACGGCAGTATGTGCAGTTTCCCAAGTCTCAGCAAATGCTGGGCTTGACACAGCCGAAAACGAATCTTTACTCCAATGAAGGAGCTAGGATGTCGAAATGCGACAGTTAGAATTGCACGTGCGTGCCAGTGGCCCCTCAGCCGTTCGTGCTAAAAAAAAACACCCCCCGGGGAATGATACACGTAAACTACTCGAGATACCATCCATGATCTCTGACATGGTAGACTTTTCTTCCTCCTCTCCTTGTTTTTTATTCGCCTACAATGTGGTCTTGAAATCTCTTCACAATTGAAACCAGCATGTTTTGAGAAGAAGAAAGAAAAGAAACGAAAAATCAAAAGAAGGTTCTTTGCTCTCTTTTTATTTCTGTTGTATAATTTTTCCTTTTTCTTTCCTTTCTCCGCCAATCCAGTATTCACCTTTCATCGCAATGCTCGATTCTTTCCCTTCTCGATGCCCAAAACGCCCACGCCGGATTATCAAGGTATCTGTGTATTTGCCTGCAAGCCAAACAAACAGCCGACCATCATCTGAACCCGCCGCCTCACTGGGCCCCAATCCAAGCGACATGCGAGATGGTATATGCCGTCTTTTCACTGACAAAGGGCCAGTCTGTCCCTCCTCAGCTCTCAGTCGGCCGAGGTGTTGCAGCCGCCTGGCCAAACGAGCCCTTCTCGATCGCCGTTGCCATCATCTTATTGCCGCTTATAATCGACGTCGTGCAAATAACGATATTCCTCCGCGCTGCGTATAAAGGAGCAAAAGTCAGTATTGGGCGATATGGAAACGACCTGGGGAACCAGTGTGTGGGTTTGAATGAAGTCACACAAGCGGCACAACGAACCTTCTTCCTGTCTAGCGATGAACCGCAAGGCTGCGATCTCAGTAAAAGTCACGCCGCCCACAAAGACAACAAATACCGTCTTCTTCTGGCCATTCCCGGAAAGGAGGGTGCGGGCCTTAACCGCCTTATCTTCTCCCTTCTGCAGCTCATCAAAAGCTTGCCCACGGGCGTTCTTCACTGCCTCATCAAACCCTCTCCAGCCTTGACTCCCGGTATTCGTCCCAGCAACCCCTGCTGCACTACCCCCTTTGATCATGGAGAGAAGGTATTGCTTCTGCAGTATGCATTGCACGAGCCGTATCGACAGTGGCGCATATCCGCTGTAGACGTAAGCCACATCATTGGGGTCGTGCTCGTTGACCTCGTCCACAATGAGTCGCAATTGCTTCCGTAAGGTGGCATAGTTGGTCTTGTTGCCAGCTGAGCCGGATGAGCCACCCATGGAAATCATCGATGCCATTGGCGATGATCTAGGCAGGAACAGTTGTAGTTTTTCCAGATTGTGTAGAGTCAAAAGGTGCTGGTAACCGTATCCCTGTAGAATGAGCCGTCGGAACTGGTCATATTCTTTAGTCTTGATACCGCCGGATATGCAGGAGTAGATGCATAAGAGCCGCAGCACCTCGGGCAGGGGCGTGTCTCGAGCTATCAGCTCCTCGATCGAGTCGAGCTGAGACGAGGGATCAGCTCCGGCGGCAAGATTCTGCTGGACCTCAAGGAGCTTGCTGAACTGCTCGGTCCGGGTGTACTCCCTGATCTCTTCTACCAGGTTTGTGTGGATGTTCAAGGATTGTTGCTCGGCCTGGTAGCCTGGCAGCTTCTGCACAAAGTCACGGAGTTCTGCCGTCGACTTTGCATGCCGGCTGTCCAGGTCAGTCTGCAGGCGACGGGCCGCCTTGTTGAGCAGGTTTCCGACGATGGCAAAATTTGTGTTCCGGAGCTGGTCGAACATCTTGTCTGACGAATCAAGTAGGACCTTGCGCTTTCGCGACTGGTTGCTGGAGGCTGGTGCTGCCGATGCGGTCTGGGCCGGCTGCGCTGGGGCCCCTACAATGGTCGAGTCAACTTCGGTTTGGTTATTCTGGATCCCCCAGACCTCGTCTATCAGGCCCTCGTACGTCAGCTGTGTGAGGAGGGGCGTGACCATGTCAACCTCGCGGTCAATGATAATGACGCTCTCTGTCGTTGTGCTTGGAGTGAGACCCGTCTTGCCAGATTCGCTGGAGATCTCACCCGCGAGAAGCTCCTGGCGCATGCGGGAGAGCAGCTCAGCCAACCTCTTGGCGTTATCACCCTTCCCGGTGATGCGAGGAAACAGGCCATGCTTCTGTTGGATGCCCATGAGCGCCTGGGCGAGTAAGAAAGTAGGCGTCGGGTCTCTTGACAGGTACAGGTCCTGGAAGGCATCGTCGAGTTCCAGGGAGAGGACATCGCGCTCTAGGGGAAAGAAGTAGAGTGGGAGTTCCGATATGTTCGCGTCACCGAGCACACCTGCCTCCTCCAGAATCTTGTCGGACACAACCGCACGGCGTGGCACCCAAAAGATGTGGAATTCATGGCCGGTCTGGCTTTCGCGTTGCAGGCGCCTTATCTGGTCTACTGGGATGTCAGCGAGCTTGCGTGGCATCCCTGAGAGCTATCAGGCGCCAGTGATGCTGAGGCTGCTGATGCCTCATGAACGGGTAATGCCAACCAATGAGTCCATGAAGCTTTACTCTTCGATCTGGACGCGTGATATTCGTGAACACACCAAAGGGATGAAGCTCCATGAGGTGAGTTGGTATCACTCTAATCTGGGGGTAGCTCACCTGCGATGGCCTGGGCATGCCGGGCGCACTCCCCACGAGCAATGAAAACAACATTGCGCTGAGTAGTTCCCACATTATTGCTCTCCAGGAAGAAGAACTTATCGACACCGTAGTCCTGGAGGGTCGAGACCTTGACCACGGTTCCGATCGGGCCGGCGAGGCTCTGCTCAATAACGAGGTTCTTCTTGCCCTGGACCTAAGAACAGGTGGAACGCGAAAATAGGTCAATGAAGCTGGCCCCTGCCAATGAGCCTTGCGTTGCCGCGAGAGGAATAAGAAGACGAAGGTTACGCCCGGATGTGCCCTTACTTACTATCGACAGGAGGTAGAGGAGATCCTTTCGAGCTTTGTCTTTGATCTGTTCTGTGTCGAAACCAGCCGGAGGAGCCATGGTGGGCTCTCCATGAACCGCGCGAGGTGACGTAGATTTGGGGAGTGAAGACAGCACCGCGACTCGCAGGCGCAGCAGCGCTGAAGAGGGAACTGGGCGGTAGCTCCAGGAGCTTGCTGCCGTTTTCAGCAGGGGCCTCGTCTTCCCCTCCCCCGCTGTTCTAGCCTATCGCTGCCTGCCGAGGCTGGCCCGCCTATACCGAAGCCTCCAGGTCCTCTCGGTACAGGAGATGACATAACTCTGTCGTAACAACAAGATGTAGCAAGATAAGGATGACATCTAGATTGAAGTGCTATACTTATTTACGCAAACAGCCAATGGATCTTTCCAGCATTAATAGCCTTCCTCATTGTTTTCAAAGTTGCTCTACGCAGGGCAACCTCTCGACGGTGGGTGCTCTAGTGGGCAAAACCAGCGTGCCCGCCAAACTGATACCACCACAACAAATTGCCCCTCTAATGCAACTCCCCAACACTATGCATGCTGATGCTCCCGCGCCCAAAGCCTTCCTTGAAGAAGCGCCTGAGAAATTCAATACGTCAACCTACCTACCAGGCTTATATCTCTGCCGCCCGTCATGTAGTTATGTGTCGTCGGGGGTCTCCATGCCTTGCATCTCATGTCGTGGGAAAAAACACACTTGCCCCTCCAGACGCCTAGAACTAAAAGAGCCGGTGTTCCAGCCAGTCCGTCAGACTCGTCCTCGTCTACCCTTACACCTTATTGTCATGGTAATAGAAGTCGATGTCTCTTGGCCGCAGCTGGTTGCTCCTGACGAATTCCTCGTCGCCGGGGGGCCGCTCGTTCTTCGTATTGCCGGTCAACATGCTCTGCAGGCTCATGCATACGCTCTCAACATTCTGTACTGGGCTCCATCCCTGCTGTCCCAAGAGGTCGAGGCAGATGATGCCATTCGAGTAGATGTGAGGGTGTATAGGTATCGGCCGGTCCGCCAGCTTCGCGAAGGTGACCTCAGGGGGCTCTATCAGGAATCATTTTAGCCAATCATGTATCTCAAGAAAGGGAGGGGTGACAGGTTGAGAAGTCGTACCGATCGGGTACTGGTCTCCAAACTTGAAGAGCAGCCTAAAGGTCCTATCAAGGTAGAGGGGGTTGTTGTCTAGCACCTTAATGTCCAGGGACCATTCCTCGAAGTTGTCGGCAGATATGAGGGTGATACCGGCAGGAAGCGAAGCTTGTATCTTTTGAAAGCATAGAAGTTAGCTCACCACTACCAACTTTAAGAGATCCAAGCCAAGGTGCAAACCAGAAGAGGGAGGGAGGGCATGCGAGGCGGCCTCAGATGGTCCATTCTCCCACCCAGCTTGAGACAGTGCCGGCGAGGAGCGGGATAAACATGTGCAGATATGTACCTTGGCAAGCTCCTTTCCAAGCCGCTTTGCCTTGAAGGTTGTGCCCATCTTCGGAATGCTGCAGTAGGCGCGATGGACTTCGAGATATTGATCGAGTATCGAGGCGGGGGGAGGATGAGAGAAGGGCACGAGGTGAGTCGGGTTGGTGGGGTTGGATGGGGAAATGGAGTCGGCTGGTAAGACGGGCGCAGTCAATCAACAGACTGCTCAATGATGGGCCTGGAGTTGATATAGGATGGAGACGACGCCACAGGGAGAGCAGATTGGGGTCAGTGCTCAGGTGAGTCGAGAAGCTGACTGGTGCGTGGGGTGAACACAGTGGTGTATGGGGTGTTGTGATCTACTATGTAATGGAGGTGGAATCTCTTAGGAATTTTAGGGATGCCGCATGGAGTCGAGATGCCTCTTGGACACTTGCATTGCTGCAGCCTGAGTGGCAGCCTGGCGGTTGGAGCCCAGGGCAGGTCAAGGGACCTCGGCAGCACCAGCGCTAAATGGAACGGCTGAAGATCTGCGTTGGATGGTTTTGGAAGCCTCTATTCAGCGGTTCCATAGTTCAGAGTCCAGAATTGTAAGGTCAGGACGTATCGAGAAGCAATCATGATTCGAGTATCTGTATGTCTTCATGGTCATGAAGTGAGGCAACTTGACTGGCCTGGGACAGGATCCAGTCACAACCGTCAGATAAATCTTGCTGTGTGGCTCAGTCACAATGTGGGAGGGGTTGCGCAGATGTGGATGGGTGAATGGATAAATAAACTGGCGGGGTAGTGATCAGTAAGGTCAAAGTACTATGTTTGTGGCGCACATTAAGATATGGGCCTCCTCCTACGATGTAATCAAATTACAAGGTGACACATTTGCTAGGAAGAGAGAGAGAAGAAGGAAAGAAAAGTGGGTGCTATTGATGGCTGTGCTGAGGTCTACTATGCACTATCGTACTAATTGCCAGAGCTCTTTTTAGAAACAAGGATGGCTTGGTGGATTGCGGAGGTGGGATGCGGTGGCCGCCTGGAAACCAGGTGTGGTGGTAGTGGTGGATGACTGTAGGAATCTGCCTCTCAATTTCGCCGTGCCTCCCAAGAGGGCTGGTTCGCTGGCGCTGCTGCTGGCGGAGCAGAACAAGCACAGTGTCTGTGTGGTGGGTGGGTGTGAGGCTGAGCTGATTTCAACCCATCAATCATTTTATACATAGTACATTTTGAAGGCCGCCCGTACCAACCACAAGGCTCCTTTTTTCCCTTCTTTCGTTAGCTTCTCTCTCTCTCTCTCTTACTTATAAGTCTTGTGCTTACTACAAGTATAGACAATTTCCTCTGGACATCTCAACAGTTTTCTGTGCCAATCCAACGAGATTTGGGCCCTACTACCACTATAGTACTTATCCGCACAGCGCGAGCGACAGTTCCCCACGCCCAGATTTAAGGCCCCCCTCCCCTGTCTGGGTTCACAAGCAAACACATCATAAGCACTATCACAGCCCCTCCTTTCCCCTGGTCTGCCCGCAGTTGTCAGGGACCACTTTGAGCTACAGGTACAACCAACCCACTTGCATCGTGCGCCTTCTGCGCTGTCTCCTCCTGTTCGACTGCCAAACCTGACCTCGGACAGCTAAACGGACCACCTCACAGCTCCTCCTACTTACCTCCTCTCAGCAGTCCTTGACAAAACCGCATTTGTCCTCGTGATACCCTCCTACCGTCCTCGAATTCTAGCCTGTCGCGCCTACCTGGCAGTTTGTCGCGCGAGCACCCAAGCAAGCCTGACTGTGCCCCTCACATCGAAACCTCCTACGAGCTCGATCGCCCCTACTTCGATACCAATTCTTCTGCACGAAGATCCGTACTCAAGCGAATATGAGTTGTGAGTCCCCCGCCCCCTCTCTCGCTCTGTCTATTTACGTGGGAATGCCCCTCCTGCAGCGTTGTCCCCCCTATCTCGGGAGCAGCAGGTCATCGCATTGAAACTGCGTCGCCCCCCCCCCCTCTCTCTGTCATCCTACAATGCCCCTTTGATTCGTGCCCAACATGCTGACCGCGACCCCTCCTATAACAGTCTCAACTATGCTCAACCGGCTGCACGGCCAACCTGAAAGTTACGACAAGAAGTATGTTCCCAGGCCTGACTTTGCTCGTCACCACGATCGGTCTCTCTAATAGTCTGCTGCGACTAGGGCCAAATACCGCTTCGGCAGAACACTGGGCGCAGGCACTTATGGTATCGTCAGAGAGGCCGACAGCCCAGATGGCAAAGTAGCTGTCAAGATCATCCTCAAGAAGAATGTCAAGGGCAATGAGAGGATGGTGTACGACGAGTTGGAGATGCTACAGCGTCTGAAACATCCTCATATTGTCAAGTTTGTTGACTGGTTCGAGTCGAGGGTGAGCTCTCCGGTGGTCTTGCTCTGACATGGGAATATGGCGGCTCACATGCAGGAACAGGACAAGTACTATATCGTCACGGAATTGGCGACAGGTGGCGAGCTGTTCGACCGTATCTGCGAGCAGGGCAAGTTCACGGAAAAGGACGCCTCCCAGACCATCAAGCAGGTGCTGGGCGCAGTCGAGTACCTCCACACCAGGAACGTGGTCCACAGAGGTGAGCACACGTGCCCCTTGGAGGTCGTGCATGCGTACGAGAAGTAGCTAACAAGAGTGAAAACGACTCGCAGATCTCAAGCCCGAAAATCTTCTTTACAAGCACAAAGCTCAGGACTCAGAACTAGTGCTTGCCGATTTTGGCATCGCCAAGATGCTTGACAGCAAAGACGAAGTCCTGACCACCATGGCGGGATCGTTTGGGTATGCGGCGCCGGAAGTGATGCTTAAGAAGGGCCACGGCAAGCCCGTTGACATGTGGTCCATGGGCGTCATCACCTACACACTGCTGTGTGGCTACTCGCCGTTCCGCTCCGAGAACCTGCAGGACCTGATTGAGGAGTGTACCAGTGCGCAGGTGGTCTTCCACGAGCGTTACTGGAAGGATGTTAGTGACGACGCCAAGGACTTCATCATGTGCCTGCTGAAGCCCAACCCCGATGACCGGTGGTCTTCTGCCGACGCCATGAAGCACCCCTGGCTCCGTGGCGAGAGCGCCACGGACCACAACCTGCTGCCCGAGATCAAGGCCTTCATGGCCAAGGCCCGCCTGCGGAGAGGTATCGAGATGGTCAAATTGGCCAACAGGATCGAGGCCCTCAAGATGCACGAGGACGACGCCGAGGACTCCGACATACCCAACGTCATCCCCGCCGACCAGGCTGCGACCGTCGATGGCGCGAGCAGCAGCTCCAGCAGCTCGGCGCAAAACCCCGAGGGCGGGAGTAAGCTGGCCAAGAAGCTCAAGGGCGCCATCTTCCGCGAGGTCGTGCTCGCCAAGGTGCGCGAGATGAAGGAGCAGGAGCAGACGTTGAAGGTGGCAGAGCAGGTGGAGAAGGATGCCAAGCGCCGCAGCTTCCACGAGTGATCCGACACGGTCCATGTCATTTGTGGTGGATATGATAGAGCCGAGGAAGAAAGCAGAGGGGGTTCTTCATTGTCGATTCAAAGTCATGGAGTACGGTCTGCGGTCCTTGCCCCCTCCTACCTTCTGTCTTTCCCTTCTTCTCTCTTCTTGCTGTAGAGCCTGGTCCTTTGTTTCAAAATCCTTGCACATGGTTCACTTGGCCATGAAGCCGATCATCGCTTTGCTGTGCTCGCTTGGGATGTAGCTGGCGTACATTTTGTTTCTTTGTTTTCTTGTTTTTATCTGGACAACATAGTCTTCAGCGGTCGAAATAACCTGGGGGTTCGATGCTGAAGGAGTATCGTGACAGGTTGGGGAAGGCACAATGAAAATACAAACAGGCCAGTATTGGCATTCAATGTATGAGTGCACACATTGCCCCACAGGCCCATACAAAGCTCGACACGGGTCTATTATCCCCCGTTGAAGATATCGGTCCCATACTATGTTGAAAAGTAGTATGTTGAATAGGTCGGTCTCCCTGATTGCATTACGGGCCAGACCGCCATAGTACTGCCGGCTCCTTCCCGTGCCTGACCACCTGGACACGCTGGGCAAGCAGTCAGGTGCGTGTAAGGCAACGATATGATAGCCGCCCTGAGTCAGTAGGTCGCATTGAAGGATCGTGTTACAGTGCTATCGTGATCCGGCATTAGAGAGCGACGTAATGCCTGAGTGAGAAGTGGCGCGCAAAGGAGCTGGCCAGGAATCCTGCCTGCCATGTCAGGCCAGGGCTGTATGACGGTAAAACGGTCATATAGACGATCCTAAGACTCATAGACGGTATGTAGTATTGTATAACAGTATGATCCTTGTTGCCCGATCCTTCCGCAGCCCACAAGTTTCTAGCAATAGAGCTTTACTGCGACACAGGTATGAATCACTACCTTGGACCACGATTTACTTGTGCTTGACATAATCGATGTCTCCTTTACAAGTCTAACTTGCTGATTCATTCCTTGATTGAATTTCGTTTAGAGCCGTGAGAAGCCATTGTAGATCGGTAATGAAGCACGGCCGTTCAAAGTAGTTGCTGTGTTGTAATGGGTGTGGTTATTTTCCGTTTTATTTGGTAAGAGGATGTCAATCCTTTCTTTCACCATGTCGGCTGGTTCCCGATCCTTCTGTCCACGACTTCGGCTAGCAATTAGCCTCCGTAGCGCTGGGCATTCCCTTCCTACAAAACAGAAGAGGCTTTATATTTGGAAAATGGTATGTGCTCGAGAATACAATATTTCGCACCACTGGTCTGCCCAAGCCTGGTCTGCCAAGGGAAGGCCTTATACCACTCCAGCTTAACGGGTCCCACTGCAAACTTCACTGAGTGGACACGTCCAGCCACTGAAATGTTTGGGCCTGTCAACAGTACCACCACATTTTTAGTAATATGTTACATACCATCTACCTTCATGGTCATCTCCCCTTCCCCCCTTCCCTTCTCTCTTCGATGATCCGTCCCATCTGCATAAAGTACTTACTTAAATATACAAAGTGTGGCCGGCTGCAGTCATGGCACACTAGTGATCCTGGGAACTCCACTGTTCTTATTCCCATCTTCCCTCAGCCTTAAGACCCCTTGTCTGGGTCCGAATGCTTGCTGGCTTTTCATAACGTTCGACAGTGTCAACAACATCTCCGCATAGAGAGGGCTTGCCCCTTCTATGGCTCCTCGCCGAGTGCCGACCAGTGTATCCGGGTTTGTCCTGTTTCCTCTTACTTGGTATCCCCCCGCTGGACCATTTTTTTTCATCTTCTTCTTCTTCTTCCATTGTTTGTGTCTTCTAAATACAATTACCCTCAGCTGTCCTTGCTCTAACTCAGGCGGTGCAAGTTTGAACGCACTTGGAGGTGCCGAATCACTACAAAGGACCAAAGCTCCTTGTGGATAAATTTATTGATAACTCCAGGTATGAGGAGACGACTGTCTGGTCCGGCTTGAGACGGCTGATCGATTCAACAACAACAACAACAACAATAATAATAATAACAACAACGACAACAAGAGGACAACGGCCTCTTGAGGGGGGAAGAATTTTTATTACTCTCATGTTGAGCCCCTCTCTCAATCTCTCTCTCAGGCCAAGTTCTCAAGACAAAGGATGAGCACTTCTCAAGACGAAGACACGCCACCACCCGTCACGGCCCTCACGATACGTCCTTGTAGTGCTGCGGACAAGGCGGCCGCCATTCGAGAGCGAGTATGGGCACAGCATATGCCGAGGATACGACAGCTCTATGTGGATGAGGGGAGGACGCTGAAGGAGCTGATTGAAATCATGAAGACGGAGCATGATTTTGTAGCCTCGTACGGAATGAACCAATCCCGATCTCTCCTCTCTCGCTGAGAGAAAAAGAGTCCATCTCAGCTTGAAGCGCGATAGATTATGCTGACAAATATGTCCACTGCTCCTTCTTCTTTCCTATTTTATAGGGCCAAGATGTACAAACAGCGACTTAGGAAGTGGAACCTTCGGAAGAACATCCGACTTCACCTACACGAGGACGATCCGGGTTATGCCGCGCTTGTCGACCTGCTGGGCGAGGGCAGCAGAGTGCAGCAGCACAGAGGAGGAGGGTCGTTGTCCTCCTCCTCCTCCTCCTCCTCCTCCTCCTCAGGTGCCAAGACAGGGCGGCCAGTGTCAACCGAGATCCAGCTGGCGACTGGCCAGGTCGTCGACCTCGACCGGCTTGCTTCCCACCTGAAACGCAAGATGTTCTACAAGAGATATACCTCCCCTCACGGGCCGGTGACCATGACGAACCCTGTCAGGCCGCCTGATGGGTTTTATATGTGTGAGGAAGTGCTAAACAGTACTCGCACATATATCGTAAGTCTTTTTCTGGTTTTTTTGGTTTTTGTTCTCCTCTTTTTGTCTCTCCCCCCCCCCCAATAAAATCATTGCCGTCAACTGCTTAATACCCCAAGGCTGACCAACATTTGGTGGGGGGTGGGGGGAGCCTTACCCAACACAAGATTGATCAAATAGTTTGGACGATTCAGAGACACCCTCAGCACTGTGAACGAGATTGACAACACACGTGTGGTAGACGCGCCCCTGGCGAAGTGGAACAAATTCTTATTCACCCTCCGCGGGCCCCTCTCGTCGCCCAGGCGCTTCGGCCGCGTGCTCACCCTCATGCGCCAGGCCCCCGAGGAGCTGCACGACCTCCTCGCCAGCCAGCCCGCCTCCCTCCTCAGCAGCTTCTTCATGTTCATGGTCTATCTGACCCGCTGTCTCCAGTGCCTGCAGGATCCAGACGAAAAGCGGCAGTTCTCGCGCGTCATCAGAGCCCTGATCAGGTATGCTGCCGCCCTTGTGCCGCGTGTGCCGCAACAGCAGCAGCAGCAGCAGCAGGAGGAGGAGGAGGAGGAGGAGGAGCATGGTGGAGCTGCCATATTTACACCGTCGTCGTTATCATTACCGCCATCATTGCCATCATCACCATCGTCGTCGTCATCGTCGTCGCCAGCGTCATCACCGACCGCTGCTGGTACAACAGTCCCGCTCTATGGGCCAGGCCACCCCCTCCCACAAATGCTACGTGCGCTCGCGCGCGTCGACGACGACCAGCTATTCCCGCTGGCGCTCAGGGCCTGGAGGCTCTCGTGCCAGAGCTGGGACGAGATCGTGCTGGCGGCCTCGTCGCCACGGGAAGGGTGGCCAGCGGCGGACCTCAACACACAGCCTAAAGGGTGCTGCGCGACGGTGAGCGACTGGCTCAACTACGCAGCCGTCGCCCCTGCCTCGGAGATCCCAGCGGCCACGAGCGAGATCGTCAACAGCACGCTGCGCGCGCTCCGCCAGCAGTACAGCGAGCAGAGGGCAGCGGCGGTGGACGAGATGTGGCGGTACGCGGAGGCGATCGAAAACCTCACGAGCCGGGGGGAGCTGGCGCCCAAGGAGCTGCGCGAGTTCCTCCTGCACAACGGCATGACGGAGGTGTACCTCGGCGTGCTGGAGGGCGTCGAGCAGGACAAGGCCAACGTGATGCTGATGCGGTCGCTCGAGGACGGGCGGCGGGGCCTGCGGTTTATGGACTTCCTCGAGGATATCTTTTGGGAGTGGGGGGACCATGAGAAGAGCGTCGCGATGGCGCTGTGGAGGGCACGGATGACGGGGGATTTATTGGGCGGGAGCGCAGGAGCATAACAGCTGGGCGGATTGTAAAAAAAAAAAAAAGAGGGAGAAAGAGAAGGTGGGTGTATGCATGTCAGAATAGTCGACCTCTTGGGCATGTGTGTAGTCATATGTGGGTTATATAGTCAAGACTCTGGCCAAGACGGTTTTGAATGATGATAAACGAAGATAAACTGCCCAAAATGTAGGCAAATTCAATGATCAAAGAGGAGACAAATGTTTGTCAAGTAAAATAAGTACTTACTCAAGTACGTCTGGCCAAGAATCCTGGGTGTATTGACTCTACAGTATGCAGGCAGATAGTGGACATCTCAAGGGTTATAGCAAGAGGTCCCATCCCGCCTCGTATATTATGTACCACGAAACCCTATTCCGTCAAGCATATGTTTTTAGGGGCGTAGACTCATTGGCATGGAATCTGTTATTATCAGTTACAGTCATGTTTGTGTTCCTATGCTATTATTCATTATAGATCACGTTGCTACTGGAAAAAGCCCAGGCGACCAGTCAGTTCTACACTTCAGATTACCATTCTCTGATTCTTGGTCTCTTCTTGCTAGTTTTCGATCAGCATCAGACTGCTATCAAATCGATTCAATGCACAGGTACATTGGTTGGCGTGCGGTAAAGACAGGAGAAGAAAAAGAGAGGGAAAAAAAAAAGAAGAAAAAAAAGAGTACAGCAAGAGAAAGTATTAGCACTCAATCTATTTTCCTGAAACGAGTTCCAGAAAATTTGTAGTAAGTGATAACGTGTGTGGAGGATCAGCTGGCCTGCCCATCTGTACGACATACGTTCATAGACTTCACTAGCACACTATTCAGACAACTGGCGTCCATAAGCCCGACATTCACATGAAAGAGAACCAGACAAGATGATGTGATAAGCAGGCCGGCCCAAAGACCAGAAAAAACCCAAGCCCTAGCCTGGTCAAATTATAAATTCATCTGCGCATAAGAGCGCGTCTCCACGGTACGCAGTTACCGAATTCCTTCCCTCCCCCTCATTCATGCCTCCCTTACTTTTTGGTATATATGTTCCCTCTCCCAAAACTTTCCCGAACCCCATCCCATGATATCATACAAAGAAATACACGTGTAGGGTTACAACCCACCCAAGGTCTCTCAATGAACCATAAAATTCCCACCCTATTGATCAGTCCCATCCTCACAACACTCCCGAGAATAAAGAACAAATGCCAGTCCCAGCCCGCATCCCACCACACACATGTATACATAAGCGCCAGTGAAAATCCAGGATATAATGAATTATGGCCATCCCTTCTCCCCCGTACTTTACTAGGTCTGGCTCAGCTCCTCCATGACCACATCGCATAGCTGCTCGTACCTGCTCGCGTCGAACCTTTTCCTCTTCCACCCGCTCATTCTGAGCCTGTCGATCCGCGCCTGCCGGTCCTTGCTCCGCAGCTCGTCCAGCTCGCTGTCGCAGCTGCTAGCGAAGCTCATGCTGCTGCCGCTCCGGCTCCTGCCGTAGCTGGTAGCGGTGCCGGCACTCTGGAGGCTCAACCTGCGGAGTGACGCCGCCATGAGCGACGCCGTGTCCTGCAGGACCGGTGACTCGGGTGGTTGGTGGTGACCCTCTTGCTGCTGCTGTTGTTGCAGGCGGAGGTCTGCCTCAAGGATTTCGTCGAGCGCGACCATGTGGCTTGTCACCTGCGTCTTGAGCGAGGCCAGCGTCCCGCAGTAGCGCGCCAGCGACCGCGCGGGCTCTACGTCGGAAAGGTCGCCCTGGACATAGAAGGGGGGAAATACCTCCTCGCCCTGGCTGTTGTCGCCATCGTCGGTCTCGCCGGCGCTAAGCTCCTCGCCCTCGCTGATGGACGGCATCGGTGGCGGCGACGAGGATGATGCTGGTGGTGCCATTTCCACCAAGTCTTGTCGGGAGGCGCGCTTGTTGCTGCTGCTGCTGGTGGGAGCAGTGTTGGAGACCGGAACCTCGGGCAGCTCCTGCCGCATGGCGCCGGCGGCAAAGTACTCGTCATCGAAGCCCAGAGTGGGCGAGTCCGGGCGGATCACAGGCTCAGGCAGCGTGAACGACCACCGGGTTCTGTCCCGTGGCAGCTCGAACGAAACCTGCTTCTTCTTCTGGACCGCCTTGCCGCAGCTGCGGGGGTCCTGGTGGTGGTTGTTGCTGCTGTGAAGGGCCAGGCTGGACTTCCTCGAGATGGTGGATGTTGGCGTCGCGGCCCCGCAGTCCGGGGTCCAGGCGCGAGAGGAGACGGAGCCTGAGGGGGAGTGCAGGCTCGGCAGTGAGGACGCGGCGGAGCTGGATCTCGTTTGGGAGGAGGCGACCTCCTCGGCCGTCCGGATGAGAGCTGCGGCGCGCTCGTAGTGAGCCCGGGCCTGCTGGAGGAGGCTGATCCTGTAGGATGAGGCGGGGGTGAGCGGTCGGGCGCACATCTCGAGTGATGTTGCGGCGTAAAAGCTGAGGCAAATCAGGTACGCTGGCTCGACCACGGACTTGAGGTACGCACAAGGTCAGTATACATAAGCTCTTGTGGAAGGGAGAGAAGAAGGAATAACACGTACCGTGTTCCTGAGGTTAGTCAAAATCTCATTGCACCGTGCCGAACACGCGCGGAACCGCCGTGTAACGTGAAATCGTTTGATCTCGGCGATGGATCGTTTCCACTCGGCCGACGTGCTCGGGATGCTGGGCAGGGACGCAGGTATCTGCTGAGACTGGCGCTTCAGGGAGGACTTGACGGGTGGCCTCGAAAGTTTTAATATGGGCGTCACATCGCTGGCGTTGCGCCTGTGCGCCGGAGATAGCGGAGGTGAGTATGAGGCACGCCTGTTGGAGGAGACGGACGGCCTGGAGCCGAAGCCCGATGTCGACGTCGGGCTGCTCAGCATGAGTGGAATCAGGCCCTTGGCCATGGCTTGTGTTGATGCTGCCTGCACCGAGGGGCTGGCAGCTGGTGGACCTGAGCTCGAGCGGTGTTGAGGAGTGGGGATGCCCGTCGAGGTGGACTGGCTGTCCTGGAGCTCGCTACGGGAATATGGACAGCAGGAGGGCGCATGTATCTATCCCACTCGTGTCGAGATCGGCGTAGACTTCTTTTGTTGCTGGATCTACCCCTTCTATGAAAGACCGGACAAGGGGCGAAAGAAGAAGAAAAAACCCAGAGAATGAGAGGACGATGGCGTTGATGACGAAGTGACGAGACACCAAATGGGCGTTTGTGATCGAGAACACCCACTGATGATCTCCTCCGAGGAACAACCAGATCGTCGGGCTGTGTAGTAGTTGTTGTTCAAGGTTCCAGTGGGGAATACCTTTGTGTGTGTGAGAGAGAACCAGCACACCCGTGGGTCTGGGGACGAGAAACCTGGCTCGAGCAGATCTGACGAGAAGATGGACAATACTGAGTCGAGCTGATCGCTACAAGGATTGCATGGATCGACAAGGTGGTCTCAGAATCTCAGACATACAACCCAATATTTATTCTGAATGTCGTGGATGTGGATGACGAAATTCGGGAAGCTGTCCGGATGAGTGCTTGAGACAGGTTTCGCGTATAATAGTAGAAGGACGGGGAGCGGGTGCTTTTTTCGGGACTTGATAGCTGTCCTGGTCTTTTGGTGGGGGGAGGGACCAGGGGATAATAATAACAGAAAGAGGGAGAAAGAGAAGGAGGAAATAAGAGGGAAAGACGAATTGGGTGCTAAAGAGGACAGGACGACCGGCTCTTGTGGGAAGAAATTAAAAGTGGATAAAGGGAAAAGTGTATGATCGTCGTCGACCGTCTATCTGATTTTGAGAGGTAAGAGAGAGAGAGAAAGATAGTGTGTGTGCGTGCTCCCAACCGTAAAGGGCAAGTCGGGGATTGGTTGACGATCACCTCGGAATGAAGATAAAAGAAGATCAGGACAGGATGGACACAGGCCTCGTCTGTCAAACAAACAAAAATAAGAAGATCGAATCAACGACTTCTTCCTGATTGACCTGTCGGCTGAACTGTAACGACGCAAGAGAAAATGTCGAGAATAGAGAGAGAGAGAAGAAGAAGAAGAGGGAGAACAGGATTGCACCAGAGATGAATAATGTGCGGACAACCCAGCAACAAAAAACAGCAATTAAAGGAAGAGAGGAAAAGGAGAATAAGACGAAATTGAGCCAGCCCGGCACGTCGAAGCCCTGGATGAGCTCGCGTCAACAAACCACACCCTCCACCCCTCCGTCCGGTGACCTCGTGTGCTCGTGCTCAAATTACCTTGTCGTAGTAAAACCTGGCGCCCACAATCCCACAATCATCATCCATGAGGAGGGGCCTGCCAAGCAGAACCGAGAAGTTCCCACTCTACACGTTTTTTTCGAGGGTACCTTGCAGAACCGCCTGCATCCAGATGGAGGAGGAGGGTGAAGGGGTGTGAAGGGTGGAGAGGACGAGGACCCAGCTGCACGGGTCCCTTCCTGACCTCCTCTCAATCATGACACCCTCTTGCCGGCCTTTTGGAGAGGGGGGAGGGAAAAAGAGAAACCCCCCCCCCCCAAAGAGGAGGCAGGCGTTTGCTGCTGCTGCTGCAAGGGGGTTGGTTGGTTGGGAGGTGGAAGGGGGTAGCTCAGGTAGCTCTTTCTCCCTAGGAGGAGATCGATCCCGGTGTTCAGACAGAGCAAGTACGATGGATACTATTGCCTCTTCGGGCTGCTGGCGGCCAGGGGGGTGGTTGGGATTGGGCTCGCGCAATTTCTGACAGCTGCCACGGTCAACCCGGGTGCCATCCATACCATGTGTACTAGAGCGAGAGTAGAGTGGTACAGGACATACTGTGGTACAAGCATACTCTATCGTCGTAACAACAGGGCTTACAGTGCTAGTGAATCGCCAGTGGACGGGGTGAAACCGTGACAGGCGCGAAGCTAGGGATCTACCTGCGGAGCCCCTTAAACCCTCACCCTATTGCACACCAGCGCACAGGTACCGCCGACGCTCAGATCCGTGAGTTCGTATGATACTTTACTCACTATGGCAGAGATGGCTTTGCTTTGGCGCTCAGTTGTCGAACCATTGCTTCTAGCGGGCTTGAAAGAATTTGGACGAATATAAAGCTAAGCAAAATAAAACAAAACATTGTCGTCCCTCGGAGGGAGGGGAGAAAAGGAAGAAGGAAAATAGGAACAAACCTGAACAGTGCATCGACTCCTATGTTGTACATAGCACGTACAGTAGTACATACTTACATAGCGCTACGGATCATCTACGCTAGTATCGCATCAATGCCCACTGCTACCTCACATCGCCCCCAAAAAAATCCCATAGATGCGACGAAGCGATCTCTCTGCCTCTCTCTCTGGTAGGTAGGGTGGGAAAGGCGGTTCATGAAACTACTGTAGATGCAGATTCAAAACAGTTAGTCGCCTCCATTGTTTGAAGGAAAATAAAACACAGTACTTGCAGAGAAAAAATAGAAATAACAATTTCAAAAGAAAAAGAGGCTCCAGCAAAGAGGACGGGGGGGGGGGGCCACTGACTGGCCCTCCCACTCGTTCATCTTTTCTAGACTTCTTCGCTTAGCACACAAGCGAGCAAGCGAGCAAACGAGAAAAGAATAAGAAAAGAAAGGAACCTCCACATCGTCGCCCGCAGGCCAACGCTGCTCCCCACGCGATGACGGTCTCGACAGCTTTGCTGTTTTAATTTCCGGCTCCGACCCCACGAGGCGTGCCACGGGGCATCGCTCCCCCATTCGTCGAGGTCGTCGTGAGAAGAATGACCATCCAGACTGGGAAAGAAAAAAAGACAGAAGAGGAAGGGACACAGAAAAAGAAACGGAAAAAGATAAAGGATGCACACTCTATTAGGTCCTTACATAGTTGGCCGGGCAGTCACTACATGCAGTCATCAACGGAGAACGGAGTCCTCCCCCTTTTCCCTCGCCCTTTCTTCTTTCTTCTTTCTGTTTCTTCTCCCCCTCCCCCCCCTGCTTACTTTTCTTTTCTTTTCCACTTTCCAATGCCATGAATGATTGAACCTTCAACACGATCCCCACCTCCGAGTCTCCCGTGATAAAGCAAACAGGATGCTCCGCCCTCACGGCCTTCCTTCGCCGTTGCCGCTTTCCACCTGGCACCAACCTTTACGCAGGGCGAGCAAGGGCCGGGAAATGACCCTCCTATCAAAAATATCAACTCCTAACCCTTCTCTGGTTTTATTATTATTATTATTATTATTATTATTTTAAAAAAGCAATCATGATTTTGAATCCCCTTGTCTCGTAGACTCCTTTTATCGCTTCCCAGCAGAGATGAACAGAACAAGGGAAAGACTACTGCATACCACAGTATATTGGTTTAAGCAAAAAGATAACGCATAGTAACAATGGTGATGAACGCTCAAAAGCCGTCGTTGCCCCTTGCCCACGTCGGCAGTCAACCAGATCGCTTTCACTCCGTCTCCTCCACCCCCGAGGAAACGGATCTCTTCTTTTCCCCTTTCCTTCAGCAATCACCGAAAGAAAAGCCCGGTACCGAGAAACGGGGGATCCCACCTCGCTCCCAGCTCAAGTACTACGTAGCACTACACGGGCAGTCAAAGCACACTCCCCGCCCCGACCTTTGACGTCGTGGTACTATCTATCTGATACTTTATATCATAAGATCCCTCGATGACTGCCAACCCCCTCCTTTTCTGGTGGGTATGGATAATGGGGCCGCATGTGATTCTATGTCTTAAGGACATGCGTGCCCCGCTCTATTCATGAGCGGGGTTCGGTGAATCTGTGCCTATAGTTTATGTATTATAGTTAGTTATCAGGAACCTCACTCTACACCGCTGGAACGCTTGGGGGGGTGAGGAGGGCAAAACAAAAGCCAGCCAGGTTGTCATTATCTCCGTAGGATGTTAAGGCTGCCAGCGAGGCTTAGAAGATGGGATACTCGAAATGTGGTCTGTAGAACAGCTCATTCGGTTGGCGTCTTACATGCGACGGACGACGGACGACAATGTGGCTTCTCGTGCGTTACATAGCTTCGGAACGTTGCTCTGTAAGATCATGGGAGCTCCCTGTCCAACAATCCACGTAGGCTGCAGGACGAACTCTCGTGTGATGGCCTGTCATGAAACACTTTGAGCGGCATGTTTCTGAACGTTATGTTTATGGCAATGTACATCAGCTACATGGCGGTAGGACCCGTACAGCTTTTATGCGCTAGGAGCAGAGGTTGGCGCCGCCGCCTCTGCAACAGTTACATCCTCACCCCTCACACCGTCTACCACACGCAGACCCGAGGCACTCTGTGTCATCTGCTCGAGTCGGTGCATCTGGTCGAGGCGGCGGCGGATCTCACCTACAAGATCGGTGATCGCCACAAGCACGCCCTCCTTCTCAGGGTGATTCTCGCCCAGACCCATTTGCTTGAGTCTGTGAAGGCACACACGGTGTCAGATGACGACGTATCATATGAATAAGGGTCAGGAGACTTACTTGACCTGGCCTGCAGCTAATTCCTCCTCGCCGAGAATGACAGCGAAGGGGACCTTGTTGGTATCGGCAGCTTTGAACTCTGCAGTGCCATCGTCAGTCCTGTACATTGAACCTCTAAGGGGGGTAAACCGAGTTCGCAGCAACGTACGAGCTTGAAGCTTGGGTTTGACCTTGTGCAGCATCTCCGTGCTGATGCCGGCCTCCCAAAGCTGATCGCAAATCTTCATGCGGTCCTTCAGCATGCCGTCAAACCCTTTGCCGCCAAAAGCCATGACAAACACATCGGTCTTGTTGGGTCGAGGCTCCGCCGCCTTCTCTGCAGCCATTCGTGCTTGCGTAATCGAGTATATCCTGTCCACGCCGAATGAGATACCCACACAGGGAATCTGGCCTTTGCCCGAGAACATGCCAACTAGGTTGTCGTATCTGCCACCAGCAGCAACGCTACCGACACCAACTGTCGGATCGTCCGAGCGGTCGTCGTCTTCCGAGGATTTGCCCTTCTTCTTTGGTTTCGACTTCGCTGCGGGTGCGGCACCATCAGCAGGTGCACTGGGCGCGGAGCCCTCGGTGACAACTAGGATCAATATCAGTATTTGAGAAGCCTGGCAGGGGACACTGCGTGAGCAGAGAGACATACCTTCGTAGATGATGCCGGTATAGTAATCAAGTCCTCTGGCGAGACTTAGGTCGAAGGAAACAGCGTCGAGAGCACCCTTGTAGCAATCTAGGTACTCGAACAGCAAGCCCATGTCTGTCATACCCTGCTTCATGGACTCGTTCGCTGCCAAGGATTCGTCCTTCTGCAGCTTCTCCAAGAGGTCCTTTCCACCTTTCAAGACGACCCACTCGCCAATTCTATCTGCGACCTCCTCAGGGAGTCCCTTTTCGCTGACCATCTCCTTCTTGACGTCTGCCCATGGCATCTTGTCGAGCTTGTCACTGTAGCCCCCCGTCAGCGCACGAATCCAAGGCAAATCTTGAAGGGTGTAACTCACACTGCAGAAGATATGCTCCGAATCTTGTCTTCCGGCACGCCGCAGACCTGGAAGATACCGTCGAGGATCTTGCGGTGGTTCGTCTTGATCGTATACCTGCCGTTCCATCCTAGAGCCTCAAAGATCTGGATGATAATCTTGATGATCTCGGAATCAGGTATCATAGCATCATATGTGCCAGCGATGTCAAAATCGCATTGGTAAAACTCTCGCATGCGGCCCTTTGCAACGGCGGGCTGGCTATTGACCGTTTCAAGTCAGCACGTGTGTCCCCTATCGTCCCACCAAAATTCCCTAGCTATTATATCAGATTGTAGAGGATTGGACACGTACTCTCTTCGATAGACCTTCGCGATGTGGTACCGCCGTATCTGCTGCAGACCGTTCTGCGCGACATACCGTGCGAATGGCACCGTAAGGTCATATCGCAGGGAGCTCAGCTCGCCGCCTTGGTCGGCAAGATCGTAGATGAGCTTTGAGTCCTCGCCATACTTGCCCGTCAGGATCTCTTTGAGCTCGAACACTGGCGTGTCGATCGTGACCGCGCCGTGGCGCTCGAAAACGGTTTTGACTGTAATAGAGAGGGTTGTAGTGGTGAGCAAATTGCCTTGTCTGATCGCCGCCCACAAAAATCCGACGTAGACAATGAAGAAGAGAGAGAGGGGGGGGAGGGCGGTTTCTCATAGAAAAGCACCTACTGGTGTTGAAGATCTTCTCGCGCAACACGATTGCCTGGCCGTCCCAATCGCGGGTGCCTTTCGGCGTCTTTAAGTCGATCTTCGCGGGCGCCATGGGGAATTTCTCTTCCAGTCTCGTACTTGAAGTTGTAAAGTTACTGCTCCCCAGGGAGCGGGTGCTTCCGTAGATCGTAATTCGTCTCGAAACGTTCGCAGCTGTGCTCCTCGTCTGCAGAGGTCCAAGTCGCGAGATCGCAGTCGTGGTTGGTGGGGCTGTCACAGGCCTGCAGACACTCGTGAGGTTGGCGATCCGCATACAGGTTGTTCTTCGTTTCGCCGGTACGAAGAGATCTTCACAAAGAATGGGTGGAAAGCGCGGGGGCGGTGGGTGAGTCAAAAGGTGGGACAGTAGGAAAGTGGGCGGTGATGGCTCTAGTTGCACTCAAAAAAATTGCCCACCCCTGCGATGCTTGGAGGGGTAAAACGTCAGGCTGTTCAGGTACGGTGTCTGGATTGGCCAGGCAGCTTAATAGTGGGCCATCAGGGATGTGAGCTGCAGCCGTGCTCCTGCATCCCATTCCGAAGAGCCAGAACCAACAACAGCAGCAGTGGTAGGAAAGGAACAACATTTAGTACTACTGTTACATCCGAGCTCACATTGAATGCATCTCCATTTACACACGTTTCGCAAGGATATGATTTGCTAGTCTGGGGGTGGACTGAATGGATTCCAGGACAATTCACTTTCAATGGAAAAGAGGGGCAACATGTAGAACAATTGAACAATGTTCATAACTGAACCAGAGCTTCTTTTCTCGACTGCAAGAGATGGCTGCCAGGGCCACAGGGTGGCTCCCTGTGGTGAAAGAGGTGGTGTAATATCCTCACCTGGCCGATCCAACTCGCACCTCAGACCAAACAACCCCCCTTTATGCCGATCAAGGCCAGCATGGAAAGGCTTCGTACCAGAATTGAAGAAAAGAAACATGTCCCGGAACACATCTTTTTCCAGGTCCCACCACCCTGTGTCCCTCCCATCCTTGACCCTCAATAGTGTACATTCAAAAATGGGTACATGGCCTGCTAATTAGACCAGAGCAGGCGACTGGTCTCCCCCCGACTTGTCGTTACAAGCAGTAGTTCAGGTGAGAGTTTGAGCCATCCGATTCCTCTGGTGGCAAATGAACCTGCGAATGGGGAATGAAACCTCCATCACTGTCGCACTGATCCGGATTGAAACCAGTCTTTGAATGCTCCGTAGCCTGAGAATAGATATCCTACTTGAGGCTCTGCTCAGACGTCCCACTCTTGCTCCTCGAGATCAGCACCGTCGTCACTCAGCGCAGCAAAAGAGGACTGCGTGGGCATGGACTGAACCTGAGGCCGTCCATTGCTAGCAGTCTTCGTCTTCGGAGCTGGCTGAGACTGAACGGGGGCGGGCGCGCTGGCCTCGTTGGCAGATTCGGAGGACTCGCTGTTGGCCACTCCGGCAGCCGTCTTCTTGTTCTTGCGAGACTTGACCGAGACCCACTGGTTATCCTCCTCATCTTGCTTCTGCAGCATGGCCAGCTGCTCCTCCTCCGAGTAGGGGACTTCGGCTGCCCAGTCGGTCTTGTTTCCACTCTGCTTGCCGTTCGTCGGAGGTGCAGGGACGTCTGCCTTCGGGATGCTGTCGAAGGTGTCCAGAGGCTGGAGCGGAGCGGCGGCATTCTTCTGGGCGAAGTTGCCGTTGGCGATGTTGTTTGCCCACGCATTGGCTCTCTGGGCAGCCTCAAACGCGACACCGTCCTTGGCAGCTCTGCCCTCAGCCTCTCGCGCGGCTCGGCGCTGGGCATTCTCCTTAACCTTGCGCTCCTTCTCTTCCTCTTCGCGTGCGGCCTTCTCCAGCTCTCTCTTCTTGCGGTTCTGTCGCTGCTTCTTGGTTTCGGCTGGCTGTGGGGCGCTGGTCTGCTTGGGCTTCTGAGCTTGCTTTTCCTCGGTGCCAGTCAAACGGAGGACAGAAGGACCAGATCCCTGAGGCTCGAGCATATCGGAAACGCCAGTGGCATCATCAGCGGACACGGGAGGCGAAGAGACGGAAGACTGGTCGTCATCGCCATCAATGCCGCCGGTAGAAGAAGGCGCAGACGCCTTTGCGACTTCGGACTCTTCGCCGATGATGGCCCTGGCCTTCGACTGCTTGACCGACTTCTGCTTCTGCTTGACCGGCCCTTGCTTCTGTTCGAATTTGCTCTCCTTGTTGCGGGCCATCTGCTGCGCAAAGGCTCGGTTGTCGACATCATCGTCAGGGGCAGGGGCATGGCTGCTGGGCTTGGATTGCGTGGCGGGCGCGGCAGCAGAGGCATAGCTCTTGGGTTGAGCCTGTCTGGCCTCGGTGGTGAAGCTCTCCATCCGTTGTCGCTTTGCCTTGTTGTCTTTCTTGGGCTGGCTCGCCTGCTTCTCTGTGCCTCTTGACCGTGGAGGGGTCGGCTTGAGTGACTTGCGCTTCTTTTGCCCCTGTACATATCGCTGCGCACTGAAAGCCACAAGGGCAAAGATGACTGCCCAACCGACCACGGTCTTGTTGCCGAGACTAGAGATTTGGTTGCCCATAGTGATGACACTGGAAGGAAGCACAGAGTGTGTGACGGGAGGTGGGAGAGGAGTGTGGGAGGTCGACAGCGTTGGGATGCAAGATATCTCCGAGGGTTGTCGAGGTCGTGTCCTCTGGTTGAATTTCTAGGCTGACGAGTTCAATCAGGGTGATGTCGAGTGTGCTGGTGGGTTTGATGATGTCGAGTTGGTGAGGTAGCCCTAAGAAGGAATATGCCTATCTGTCAAGGTGGTAATGAGGGTCAGCATTAAGTATTAGGTGGTGTGGATGGAGGAGATCGAGGGAGAAAGAGATAGAGAGGGTCTTTGGTGTGAATTTGGCATGAAGGCTAGTGGTTTGATATGTCGATGCAGTGACTTGACCTTCACCTGACTGACTTAAGACAGGGGCACTGACCTCACGGGTTTGTTCGCTGTCAAACTTGTTACTTGGCTCCCTTCTCCAAGACCACAGATGCAGATGAAGTGCCGAGGGGAATGCTCAAGAGCAGGCAGACTTTTGCAAAGGTGACAAGAGAAGATGCGTGATATGGTACTGGTTCGGGCCCTGAAGAGGCGACACGAGGTTATGAAAGGTGGCTTCAAGCAGCTCTAGCAGTTGCCCATTCGGCTCGGTGGAGACTCGGGTCCATTTAAAGCTATTGGATGTTGAAATGGTAGTGATAAACCACGCTAAACCCCCTAACCCCTGCACTCTAAGGGTTGCTCTGGAATAAACCCTGTTGCATTGGATGGCCAGACCTAAGTACCGCAAAGATGTCAATATTTCACCGAGAGCATTCAACATTGCCCTAAAAATGACTGAAAACCGTGAATGTGGAGGGGTTAGAGGTATTTTTTATAACCAATTCACATGGGCAAAGTGATTTGAAGTTGTGCTGTCCAAATTGCAGCTGGTCATCCAGGGCTGCAGAGGTAAAAGAGGATGCCTTCGTACACGCGTAAATCCGAGTAAATCCATAATATAAAAAAAGGCTGAGACAGGAGCACTACAGAAACACACAGCAGGTCTTGTCTCGGTACCACAGTACCTATATTGTCTGGGCCATGCACAATGTTTCCCCCCTCTCCACATAGAATCAAGGGGTACCAAGTCCCAATCTATCTCCTAATTGATTGTCTGGTTTTTGTAACTCTTGCTTTCTTCCCTTTTTCCTTGCCTTATGAAAAATCCAAGTTCTCCTGGTACTTGCTCAGTAAGGACCACCAATTGGCAGTTACGTTATTGCTAAGCTCTCAAGGATGATCTAAGTGGATGTCTTATCGATGAGCTATCAAAAATGGACCTTATTGCCGCGGTTGCTCTCTGGTGCTTTGTGGACCAGGGGCCACTTCAGTGCCTAGCTGCCGGGTCGTATTTCACAGCACAAACACTTTTTCGATATGAAGAGCATTCTCACCACGTACACCTTTTGTAATCTGATTCCTGTTTTCAGAAAAGCTTGATTGTCTTGTTTGCACAATCCTCAAGAGTCCAAATATATATTTTCATTGTCAGGCAAGTCACTGTCTAACTGTACCTGCATCTCAAACAAACCCTGCTCCGGATGTTGGGTGGCATCCAGGCAGCACACCTGCGCTGCTCTCACCCGTACGAGGAATCTGTCGAGAAAAAAACTCGATCTGGTTCTTCTTAAGGAGCTTCTTCGTTGACTGTTGAAGACGTGCTAGGCATCTATAGGAAGAATCAATCATCATGGACCCAAAGAACCGCATCATAATCGACACCGACCCAGGTGAGCCACCTCCACACACCCTCACTGCGGCAAGTGTTCAGCCGGCTAAGCAGCAGCACAAACAGGTGTCGATGATATGCTCGCCCTGCTTCTCGCTCTCACGGCGCGTCCAGACGAGCTCGAGGTCGCCATGATATCCGTCACCTATGGAAACGTTCCTCTGCAGAGGTAAGTGGGCGAGCGACTTTGCGAGAAAGAGAGAAAGAGAGAGTGTGTGTTTCTCCAAAATAGGCTCATGGTGTACACACCTGCTGTGACCAAGCATCCCGATTTTCCGGATGAAACACCAATGTCGGCAAGAACGGCATTGGCAGACAGGGGCTTGATGGCTGAATCGGGTCTTGTTCTCTCGCTTTCTTCAATGTCTGGATCACTGACACACCTCTTGTTGTACACAGCTGTCTGCGGAACGTTGTGGCGTTGTTCCATGTGCTGGAGAAGGAGAGCGCATGGCGGAAACAGGCCGGCAGGCCTGAGGGGTATGAGGCGCTGAGGCACTCCAAGCCTATCGTGGCTGTTGGCGCTGAGCATCCCTTGCAGGATGAGATCCTGGCGGCGGACCATTTCCATGGTGCCGATGGATTGCATGGCGTCCACGAAGTTGTGAGTTTTGACGCCTGTTCTTGTTTGCTATCATTCTTGTCGTTGTGTAGAAAAGAGGGCGAAGGTAGAGAGCGGGGCTGACACTGGTGTTTATTGAATTGACGGGAAATAGCATCCTGATCTCTCACCGGCAGACACATGGAGGTCGCTATTCGACCAGGATGGCACACACGCGACATCAGATTCCGTGGACCTGCCAACATACTCATCTTATTTCACAGCCTCCAGTGTGCCTGCACACAAGGAGATACTTCGACTCCTGAAGGAGAGCCCCGAGGATACTGTTACTATTGTCGCCGTTGGTCCACTGACCAATGTGGCACTAGCAGCAGCTGAGGACCCGGAGACCTTCTTGCGCGTCAAGGAGCTGGTTGTCATGGGTGGAGCCGTACACGTGCCTGGCAACATCACACCCGCCGCCGAATTCAACTGCTACGCCGATACCATCGCCGCAGCACGTGTTTATGCCCTCACGTCACCTAAGCCCTCCTCCACCATGCCGTTGATTCTTGAGGGTAAGCCCTTCCTTGGGCCGTACCCAGCTAGACTCCCTAGACAGCTCAAGCTCAGCCTCTTCCCTCTTGACATCACCACCACGCACCTCCTCAGCAAGAGCTACTTCAGCGCCCAGATTCAGCCACACATCGACGCCGGAAGCCCCCTGGCCCGGTGGATGGCCACTTTCATGTTTGGTGCTTTCGACAAGATCGCATCCATAGTCGGAGACAGTGTCAACCCGGGCTTCGACCTGAACGACCCGTTGTGTGTCTGGTACATGCTGACGCGCGACGACCCGGCGTGGAAGGCGGTGCCGAAGCCCGAAGATATCAGGGTTGAGACTGGCGGCCAGTGGACGCTAGGCATGCATGTGATCGATCGCAGGGCCATCAGCGATCCGGAGGACGAGGAGGGGGGCATTATCAAGACGAGTCCCGAGGATCCGTTGGATGCCGTGGAGTTTGATGAGGCGCCGGGTGATCACAAGTCATGGCGGGATGTGACCAGGGGAAACAGAATCAACAGGATTGTTGGGTCGCCCGGTGAGGAGTTATTTGAGAAGTTCTTGATGCAGCGTATGTTCGAATAGATAGCAAAAAGAGGGGAAATATACAAATGGGAGACAGACAATTGGTATCGATTTCAATTGTACATGTGCTACGGATGGGGTTTCACGAGGCGGGCTATGATGCTGGTCAGAAGCCTAGGCACGAACAGGAGACATGAATCGAGGATGAAGTAGCATACCAGCACCTTATAAAAAAAGAAAGCAAATGGAAATCGATTAACATCCCTAATGTTGCCACCTTGCGCCAGATTACCCAACTCCGCCACGCCAATACATGCATCCAACTCGCTGCCCCATTACGAGGTCTCTTGCGCCAAAGTTGAGCTGAACCTGAATCGCCCAGAGATCTCATCCCATAGTAAATACCCCACCACAGATTACGCAGTCAACCAAACCATACCTGCTCGCCCCGGATCCTGGGTATCTCTCTATACTGCACAAACTTCTCAACCTTCCGACCGCGCCTGCAGAATGGCCCCCAACTGAAGAGCTGACAGAAACCCGTACAGTCCCAAGTTATCATGTACTATCGGAAGGGTCGATTGCTAAATCAAGAATGCTTGACACCACCAATAGTGGTACCTTTCACCTGCGTCCAGTCGATGCTGTCGTCCAGAGCTTCATCGACCAGGCCGACCAGACAGACGTTGTCGCCACGGACGATGTACAGACCAAGTTGGGCCTCCTGGCTGGGCTCCTCGTCCTCGGGCTCCCGTATGACGCGTTCAATCGCGTTCTGGAGGACCTTTTGTTGAAGGTAATCTGGTCAGGGTCCCGTTTGCCTCGCGTGGAATAGAGATGCAGGGAGGGATATACATACCAGGTTGGTCTGGTGGTCAGCACTGAAAAGGGTGCCAACGAGGGTACGGCCATCAGCAGTGATGATGCAGACTCTCTCTACATGAGGAATGAAAAGTCAGACATGAGGATTCATAAGCTGTGGGTAAGAGATGAAAACTTACTCTCCAGGTAGTTGTTCAAAGACATCTTCGAAGAGTTTCACGGTTATGCTGATGTTTGATTTTATGATGTGATTGATGGGTTGCGGGACAATGTCGACTATGATGTGAGACTGTCGAAACTTTGTAGAAAGAAAGGACCAAGTGTGGTTGAGAAGATTTGGAGGTGGTAGGGATGAAGTGTGAGCAGCAGAGGTGGGCTTGAATTGTACGTTGTGATATTTAGTAGGTGAAGAAGTTCAGGAAATTTTGGTGGTACTCGACAAGCTCCAAGATGCCTTGCTGAGTTGAGCTCACCCCCCTGCAACAGCTGCTGGGACTGGCAGCGGTCCGGGGGGGGGGCTGTTCTGCCACTAAAGGCATACCCCTGCAGGTTAGCAGCAGTGGAGCCCCTTCCAGAGGAGGTAGATTTTGTCAGCAGGAAGCAGCACCTGAGAACCAACCCACAAACCTTTATACTCAGCTATAACTTCCCACTGCTTGATTTCTACCCTCTCAGAGCCAGAAACTTTACTCTGGACATATAGAAACCAACTTGGGCTTGATTTGGGAGTGGCTTGATAGGTAAAGTGGCCAAGAAATCCATAAGCATGACAATTCTTTGGGCATGGGCAAATGTGTTGACTTTCCACTTATGAAAGTAGGCAGAAGACACCGGCAAGGAGTAAGAGATCCAATGCGCCTTACAAACAGGCTGCTGCAGCAATGCAGAATCACACTATTCACCAGAGAACACTGTGGTCTCTGTGTCTCAGCCCGGTCAGTCCTCTCAGATGTATGGGACACACGGCCGTTTGTCTTCAAGGAGGTCGATATTGTCAAGCCTGAAAATAAGACTTGGAGAGAGTTGTACGATTTTGATGTTCCTGTGGTATGTTGAGAAGATGATAACCCCCTTGGTCTCTCTAGTTAAATTGACATGAAAGGCTCATTGCTTGACAGATACACATCAGCAGGGCCAGCCAACCTGAAGAGGACCCAAAGCTTGCCTCCAAGGCCCTGAAGCTTATGCACCGGCTCACACCTGATCAAGTCAAGGCTAAGATGGATGAGGCTGAAAAGGCGTAGAAAATGTTTCATACAGTTCTACCAACAAAAAGGAAAGCCAGTTTCCGGCCCGCAGATACAGTGGCCTACGATCCGTAACCTTTGCCCTTCTCCGGTCCCGTCGATCCTAACGCAACGGCCATGGACTGTTTCATGATAAATTCGAGCGTTGTAAGGTCGGTGCCGACATTGATCATATCGAAACCTTGCTTGCCATACCTATCGGATCATCAGCCGAATGGTTTTTGGATTTCTGGGGCGATGGACTCACGCAGCTGCCTCCTCGGCACTTGAGGCGTACATGCCGCACTTCTTCCCAGCAGCCTTTGTGGCCTTCAGTATTCTCGCAATGGCTGACTTGAGCTCGGGCTTCACGTCGCCGTTGATGATGGGATAGCCAATGTTGTTGCCGAGATCGAAGGGGCCGATGAAGAGAACATCAACGAGCGGCGCGATCTCCTCCACCGCCTCCAAAGCTTCCTTGGTCTCAATTTGTACCATTGTCAGTATGGCATCGTTGGCTTGCTGGAGATACTCGGTGAAAGAAGGTATGGGCGAGAAGTTCTGCATAGCGATGGGCGAGCCGAAGCCTCGTCGGCCTTGCGGTGGAAACTTGGCCGAGGCTACGACCTGCTTGACCTCATCTACGCTTCTGATGAGCGGCACCAGGATCTGCAACCAGCTTGGTCAGTCTTACGGCCTGACAATGCAGACACATACTTATGTCCTCAATGGAGAGGTCTCACCCCATGTGCACCAGCGTCAAGCGCGCCTGGGACGCAAGGGTCAGCGTACTCTGTCGATACTCCTCAATAATCGAGCACAATCCCCCACTCACGCTTGATCATCCATGACTGCGTGTCTGGAATTCTGACACATGGAGACACGCCGCAGGCTGCGATAGCCGGGATAGCTTCGTGCATGGCGGCATCGTCGATATTCCCATGCTCACAATCGACCATGATCCAATCTGGATTCGCCCTTGCCAGGGCCCTCGAGACGTTGGTCCCTGGCATCATCTGCCAGATCCCATAGCTGGGGCCTTTATTCTCGGCAAAGGCTGTCTGCAGCCTATTGGACTTCTGCATTGCTGTGGCCGCGGCCATTATTGAGGATCTCCGCAGAGCAAAATTGGGGTATTGAAGGCACACAGTGGAGTGTCGGAACCCAGAACAAGAGAGAATTAAGCGAGAAGTCAGGCGTGATGGCTGCAGCGACGAGGTCATTGTCACAAAGCGAAGACGGCAGCTCCTACATATATTGAAGCTAATGTCGAAGCCCGGGAGAATGATCAACGAGAGAGCACGCTATTAATAGTCAGGGTCAAGGATTAAGGCTACCGCTTTGTAGCTGGAGTTGATCATCCGTTGCCGATCTTTGACAGTGAGGAGTCGTGGAGTACAGTTCTCCTCACAACAGCGGGGTCAGCGCAGAACATTGCGGGGGTGGTGGGAACACAGCTCAATCTGATGGACGATTTGTGAGTTTTTTTACTGCTCAGCGCCGAGGAAACACTCGGTTCTGCACACCACCATCTTGCCGGTACACAATCTTCCGAGTTCTTGCAACGAGACAACGAATGTTGAAGAATTTCATATGCACAAGACAGTCCAAGAATCCTGGCCTTTCGGAACTACATTCATTCTCATCATAGCCATAAAAAAACCCTGACACAACTTTCCTCAGAAGGGGGCCATTGTTATCGTTTTTTCTTCTTTTCGGTGAAGATAACAGGGCAAGTGTAGCTCCCATCGATTCGTGGATACCGGCGCGACTCGGAGGCATTCAGGCCACACCAATTTTAAATATGCTGAGCGAGACCGGGCCGGAGGGGTCTCCCGTCGTCGTCCCGGCCCAAGATCCGGGAGCCTTGGCCGCTCGATTTTCAACGGCCATGATCCACCTCAACGGGAAAAAGGTGGGGATGACTTCATCTTTTTCGCCATGTCAGGTATTTAAAATGGACAAAAAGAAAGAGCTGTGCTGACTAGGCCGTTCACTCAGGAAAAAGACATGTCTTGCAATCCAGAGGCGCGCACCAGAATGGATGGCTGTGTGGCCACTGGCGGCGATGCTCGAAGAGGTACCTCCGCAAGGGTGACTGTCTTCCGCCCGACAAGAGTCAAGAGAAAGGCGGAAATCCCCACTCATCCGCTTAGAATATGTCGGCGGAGTGCGGACTGGTTGGCAGAGATGGATTTGGGTCCGGTATGCCTCACTGCAGAACTACCTCCCTCCCACCTACTCATCCCCAGAGAGTAGGCTCCTCGATATATAAAGAAACAGAGTGGGCACGCATCTGAGACCTTCTTTCTAATAGGTGCTGCAGTACCCTGCTACTGATTGAGGAAAGAAAGAAGAGGAAAAGGTGAATATCCTCGCCAAAGAAAATATTTCTCGATACATAACTGGATTGGATTGCGTACCTTTTCACAGTGGCGCTCAAGATGATACGACGGCTGCTGGAAGCTCAGCCCTTGTATATCAGGGCGAGCATCATAACATCTTTGATTGCTATGCTTTTTGGGTATGTTGTCGTCGAATCGGGAGACTGATGACAAGACAAGTGATTACTAACCAGCAGCAGTTTGGATACAGGCACCATCGGGTCCGTGACGGATATGGCCTCGTTCCAGGTCACGATGGGTTACATCTCGTCTACAACCCGAGGCGTTATCGTCTCGTCCATTCTCCCGACCGGCGCCCTGGCAGCTCTGCTCGCCGGCATCCTGGCGGACAAGTATGGACGAAAACGTCTGATCGTCAGCGGAGCAGTAATCTACGGAATCGGCGCCGCCATCGAGTGCTCCTCAATGGCCCTGGGCATGTTCCTCGCCGGCCGGCTGATCAAGGGCGTCGGGCAGGGTCTGTTCCTCTCTACAGTGTACGTCCAAGTTTCTGAGATCTCGCCTGCCTCGACCCGAGGGACCATGACCTCTGTCCCGCAGTTTCTCCTGGTCTGCGGTCTAGTGACGGGCTTCTTCATGTCCTACGGCACGGCTAGCATCAAAAACTCTGCATCCTGGCGCCTGCCTATCGCGATTGCCTCGATTCTCGCATTCGGATTTGCAGCGCTGAACCTGCTCACGCCGCCCTCGCCCCGCTGGCTCCTCGCCAAGGGCTACACCGAGGAGGCACGCGCGGTCATTGCTGCCCTCGGCCTGGACGAGGCGGAGCAGCGCGAGATGATGGCCAACTCCGCGTCTGCCCTCGAGCACGCTCCTGACGGGTCCGTATGGGACTCGCTGCAGCAGACGTTTCAGGACTTTGCCGCAGCCTTCTCGGCGCCGTTCCGAGCCCGCACTGCCTTTGGCTGCTTCATCATGGCGTTCCAGCAGTTCTGCGGCATCGACGGCGTGCTCTACTACGCGCCGATCCTGTTCCGCCAGGCGGGTTTGTCGGGCGACAAGGCCAACTTCTTGGCCTCGGGCGTGTCGTCGTTGGTGATCCTGGCAACCGTCGTCCCGGCCACGATTTGGGCAGACAAATGGGGCCGGCGGACGTCGTCGATCCTGGGCGGGACGCTGATCACGATCCTGATGCTGGTCATGGGCACCATGTATGCCGCCAACCTCGTGCACCCGAACTATGGCGCCGGGCGGTGGGTGGTGGTCGTGTCTATCTACCTGTTTGCTATCGTCTTCAATGGGACGTGGGCTATTGCTTTTCGGACGTTCCTGGTAGAGAGCTTGCCGAGGAAGACGAGAAGCAGCGCCTCGTCGTTGGGGCAGTGCTCGAACTGGGTAAGTCTTGTTTCCCTTTTCTTCTTCTTCTTCTTCTTCTTCTTTTCTTTCCTCCCCTCTTGTTCAAATCTACCAATCGGTTGGCTGACAACTTGTCGAAAAAGATTGCAAACTATATAGTAGCTCTCACGACTCCCGTCTTCATTGACCGCACAACCTTTGGAGCATATTACTTCTTCGCCTGCTCGGCCTTTATCTGCACTGTCGGGTGCGCGCTGTACATGTTCGAGACAAAGGGCCATACCCTAGAGGTGATTGAGCAGAGATATATGGATAGTAAAGCCAATGCCACGGGCAGCAGGTGGAACATGGAAAAGTTTAAGCTGAGACCGGTCGCGAGGACCCGTGAGGTTCAGGATATTAGTAGACCGGGGTCATCTCCTACGAGTGGTGATGAAAGTTTTGAAGTTAATAACAACAGGTTGATGGTCTAGATTGATGTGTTATCCTGAAGGAAGAATAAGGAGATGAAGAAGAATGTGCTCAAAGAGCGAGGACCAGTTAATCAGTCATCTAGTAATGAAGAAAGGATTCCTGAGAAAACCTTATGGCATGTATGGAATTGCAAACATAAGACAAAGAACCATCTCTCCCAGTGCCGTTGCTCACTTCCACTGCCCACAAAGCCCCTCCTCTGCCGTCCCCAGCACCGGATCCCTCGCAGGCTTCGGAACAGCCCAAACCATCTCATACTCCCCTCTACCTTTCTCTCCACCCACCGCAAAATCCCAACCCTCGCCCCCAACAGGATACGCCCCTAGCATGGTAAACCCAGCCAGCCGCACCCCATCCAGCACAGCCCGCACATCGTGGCTCCCACCCTTGTCCTTCTCCGCTGCCACCCCATGCCCATCCCCCGGCGTGAGCAGCGCAAACTCCCCCTCCGGCTTCACGTCGAATGTCTTGTGTGCCGTGCCCGCAGGAAGCACAAACACATCGCCTGCCTGGGCCAGGACCTCGACACCGCCTTCCTCGCGGGCTAGGCCGTGGGTGTTTTGCTCTGGGTCCGTGTCTGTGTCAGCGACGCCGAGGCGGATGGTGGCGGTGCCGGAGAGGACGGCCATGGCCTCGTGGGCGCGGGTGTGGTAGTGGGCGGGCTGGGTGGGGCCGTAGCGGTAGATCCACTGGGGCTCCCAGCCGTTGGTTGTGAAGAGGTCGTGGACTTTGGCCGGTGTGAGGTCGGCTGGCGGGAGGAGGATGGCTGGGTAGTGGAGGACGGGGTGGGGGGAGTTGGGGATTAGGTCGGTGGGAGGGAGATGGTATTTTTTGACCACGACCATTGTTTGGACTTTTGAGGGTGAGGAGGAGGAGGAGGAGGAGGAGGAGGAGTTGGAGCAGTGTTTCAATCTGTGGGTTGGGTGACAAGGTTTGTTTGGAAATAAGAGGCGGTAGTTTATTATACTCGGCCTTGAGATAAAGGGCAACTAGGTACTTACTTATAGATAGCCCCGCATTAAAGTACTTGGACAGCGATTCCGGAGGGGTAAATGGAAAGACCTGTACTTGTCTTTGACATTTTCATATCACTTTTGATATAAGCTGGCTCTGTTTACCTGGAGAAAGAGGAGTCATCAGTTTATTAAGTAGTTACTGCTACTGTACAATAAGCCTGTGTGAAATTTTGATGAGCAACGAGGAACACTGAGAACTGAATTTACTGTCTTGTGTCGTGTCATACTGCCCGTTTTCCCTCTATATAATCTTCCAAAACGCCAGCATACTTGGGTATTTATATTATATCATAGCTTTGAAGGTGTGTTGTAGGTCATGTGCTTGAATTATTTAGCTATACAACTTGAAGTTGATGTAAATCTGGAAAAGTGTTGCAGAGCTGCTTACATTCGGAAGCCTTGTCATGCACAAGGTTGTAAATACTGAGCAGTAGTAAGTTTAGAAAGCATAAACACTCAGACATATGTTATGATTTACTGTAAACTATTAATCCAGGAGCTGGGACGGCGGTCAGAAATCAGGAATGCTTCCTAGTATGGACCAAAACGTCGTCTACAATGCAGCAGTTGTACCAACATCAACCTGGTGTCGCAGTTGTTCTATGCTAACAAATACAAACAGGAATAAACTAATCTTTATCAGCAATAAAAGTCTATGACTAGGCTATTACCATTCATCAAGCTACCAATGATTCTCTTGTATAGAGGGACAGAGAGAAGAAAAGACACAAACGAGGAAAAAGATGATGTTGGAGGAAGAGGACCCCTAACCCTGTATACTTTTACTATGGTACAACCTTTACTGCACTGTACTGTACGAGTATTTCCAATAACAGGGGGCCGCACAGGGGTCTTCTGGCTGCCCCGCTACCCCACGTCGTCTTGCAGCCCATGACAGGGGGGCAGCTCTTGAGAGCTACTATGTAGAATCTTCTGGATCAGAAGCGTCGACAAGAACAATCTGACTTCCACCTCCAAACTGAATACACAACTCTACAACGCCAATCCACCACTTCGGCCTCTCTGATCATCCTCAGCCCTTTCAAGATGGCCCAAAAGTGCGTCCATCGCGGTTGCGAGAAGACGTTCACCGACGCCGACGAGGTGTGCCGTTACCACCCTGGACCACCAGTCTTTCACGAAGGCCAAAAAGGTGAGGTTTCTCTTTCTTTCCTCTCTCTCTCTCTCTCTCTCTCTCTCTCTCTCTCTATACCAGGCGGTGGGGACCTCAGAGAAGACTAGGCTAGGATATCAAGAGGCTGACCACGTTCCCGGCAACCCTACAGGATGGAAATGCTGCAAGCCCCGCGTCCTGACATTCGACGAGTTCCTGGCAATCGAGCCCTGCACAGAGGGCAAGCACAGCACCACCGACCTGCCGCCCGCCGTCGAGAAGAAAGAGGCCCCCTCAGACCCAGCCGTGCTGAAGCAGGCCGCCACCGACACTTCCGGCCCAGCCATTCCCCGCGCCCCGATCAATCCGGCCACACCGTCCGCGACACCGCCGCCCCCACCCCCCGAGTCCGACGACGACGACCCTGCCCTCGAGATCCCCGACGGGCGTACGTGTAGGAGGCGTGCGTGTGGGGCCAGCTACAACAAGGGCTCGGGCCGGGCGGACCAGGAGAACTGCGTGCACCACCCCGGCGTGCCCATCTTTCATGAGGGCAGTAAGGGCTATACGTGCTGCAAGAGGCGCGTGCTGGACTTTGACGACTTTATGAAGATTGAGGGGTGCAAGACCAAGGCCCGGCATCTGTTTGTGGGGAGCGGGAAGAAGGAGAAGGCGGGGCCGAAGGGGGCAGAGGAGGAGTTGTTGGAGACCGTGCGGTGAGTTAAACAGTCCCAAGGCGAGAAGGGAAAGGGAAATAAGACCGAAAAAGAAAAGGTCAAGGAATAACAAGATGCTGATCAAAATCCATGGGAACAGGACCGACTTCTACCAGACGCCAACCAGCGTCATCGCCTCCTTCTTCCTCAAGAAGATCAACAAGGACACGGCAAAGGTCGTCTTCACAGATTCATCCATCCAGCTCGACCTGCCCACCACAGACAGCCCCCCGAAGCGATACCGAACCGAAGTACCGCTGTTCGGTGGCATCGACACGGCCAAGACAACGTTCAAGATCCTCGGGACCAAGCTCGAGGTGACGCTCGTCAAGGCCGAGGTGAGCTCTTGGCCCGTCCTGCGGGCTGACGACCGGCCGACCGGAGAGATACTACAAATAGGCCGCGCCGGAAAAGTGGTGCAGTAGGGAGAAGGGGGGGGGGGGGGGTGGCCAAAGTGTGTTTGTCAAGTCATTGCTACGAGGGCCAATATCACGAGTGGTGGTTCCCAGAGGAAGAGGGTTATGGGGCTTTTCGACCCACAAACCAACAACGCCGCTGTACCGAAGAAGACTGTCCAACAAGCCTGAGCGAGGCCATGCCATGGGGCCATATTCCAGCGAGATCACGATAGAAGAGATGGAGGGAGTCTCACCAGAGCGGGCCATTCCAGAGAAGTGACGCCAACGAATATCATATACCAAATAGACAGGATCTGAGCCAGTCGTATTGACTCGATATAACGAGTGTGACAGCTCTCGCTGGCCCGATCCGATTTGGATCTAGATACTCAGAGGCCTCACTACTCGCGATGATCCAGGGAAAGGTCTACAAGATGGTTCATCACAGCGTTAGAACTTTAATCCGAGAGTATCATCAACCTTGGCTCAGTGAAAAACTTCTCACCAATGATTCTATCCGTGACGCAAGCCCAGCCCGACTCTGGCGACCTTTAAAAACAATACCTCTGCCCCGAAAGAAAGCGACGCACTGGAGACTCTGAGATCCGGGCGAGATAGTCTCTGTCCCTACCCAAACGCAGATCGCAATACTGCCAAGAACTCAACTCCCTCTGACTCAATAAGCCCCCTCTTTGGTAGTGCTCAGCTGTAGATCCAACATATACTTCCATACGTATGGTTCATCAGGCCCCAGTATAGTGCAAAGCGTACCCATCGTCAGAGTTCCCACAAAGCATGTGACGAAATCCCGCCTCCCACCCCCCACAAATTCTATCTAGATACCCAACTCAGGGGAATAACCTAAATGACCGCCGTTTCTATCCACTGAGGCAACAACGTGCAAGCACAACCCCTCCTCCAACAGCCATCGCCAAGCCCGCGGTCGCTCGGGCAGTGCCGGCAAGTGGTGGTAGCACGCAGCTGATGCTTATCAGACAGGGTATCCAGTGTGTGTTGGGTTGGGGGTAGGCGGCACCCAGACGGCCAAGACGGCTGGTTGTGCTTGGGCAGCCAGCAGAGCCTCATTAGAAGTGTATTATAAGGTTTTGACTTGGGATGGCAAGCTCTTATCACGACGGCGGACCTGGGAACTCATCCGGCATCAAGTGAGAGCTTGGCATTAACACGAGCACCTTTTGAGTTCGTTGGTTCACAGGTATTTTGATATTGTTGAGTCTCGAATGTAGTTATTGCTAGGAAGTGATACTGGAAAAATTAAAGATATTGGAACGGAGTCTTTGTCTCGTGGTATCGTAACTAGAATGCAAACCGTGAAATCTGGTAATCCGCGGCCGGAGTCCAAATAGGACTGCTTCGAGCAGAAGAAGATTCATAATCAAGCAGGGAAACATCAGCCAGCTGCTGCATGTACCACACCGATCTGTCGTCTCAGGGTGCGCTCTCTTCGAACCTGGCGTTGTCGTTCAGGCTCGGCTGCAGGTCGGCCACCCTTGCCCATCTCGCCCGGTCGTCCGACTCCTGCTCGTCCACATCAAGGTTGCGATGGGCCACACCTATTTCAGCCCCCGCTGTCTTTGAGTCTGAGCCGGTCACGTTGCTTGATCGTCTACTGACAATGCTCTCCTCGTCTGAGCGTATGCGCTCCGCATGTCGAAAGGTGGGCTCGGCTTCCTTGCCCTTTGAAGTGGCCCTGGAGGACGACCGCTCTCTGAGTGTCTCGGCCCTTGAACACGTTGGCGTCTGCGATGCATCTCCCTGAGGACCACGTAGCCGCGTGGTGGGCTCGTCCCACCTGATACTGCCGGAGTGGCTTTTGACTCTCGCCCTGAAGTCTGTCGAGATGCTAGGTGCTAGTCTGATGATGACATCCCCTTCTTTGGTGTAGCCAACGACTTTGGCGTTGAAATTCTCTGATACTTCTGTGTAGACAGTCGGTGTATCATCATCAGTGACAGGCGAAGGGTCACCAGAGTCGACGCTGGCATCCCGAGGAGTGGTGGACCTATTTGCACAGAGTCAGCAGAAGAGACACAACAATCACCTTGTGTGTAGGAATGGACCGTGAACAACCCTTTAAGAAGAAGATGATGATGATGATAATGACAAGTACTCACATCTTACTGAGTGGCTCGTCACGGGATCGGCCCCTAGGCCTACGGCTGTGGCTCCGACTCCTGAGGTTTCGGCCAACGCTTTTCGCCTTGCTCTTAACCTTCCCCTGAAAGTAGTGGCCGAGGCCCGCAACGACCAACACGGGCGTACCAAGTGCAAGTGCCCAGGGCGGATGACGTCTTCCCTTGATCATGTGTCGAACGTGGAGGCAGATACCAAACATGGCCACAACAGCACCCACTTGTAGCACGGTCCAGTTGGACCAGTAGAGACTCGCGAGCGGCTCGTGGTCGCAGAACTGGAGCGTGAGCAGGACGAAGACCTCCAGGATCGCGGCGACGAGGCTCACGAAGCTACAGGCGAGGGTCTTGTAGAAACACCAGTGTATCAGTTGTTTCCGCCGCGTGTCTGACACCCTCATATGCTCGATGCGCTCCATGACCCTGCCGTAATACCACGAGGCGCTGAACAGGAGACAGAGCACAAGAAAAAACAAGCACCAGTACATTGCCTCCGCCTCGGGCCGACTTAGGTGGTGCATGAAACTTCCATAGTATTCGCACTGCCGTTCCTTCTCTCCCATGTTTGCCAAATTTTGGATGTTCTGGATGTCGGTCGTCATGTTTTCGACTGATCTTTTCTTTCCACAATGGCGAGACACCTAGACAGCGGCTATCATTTGGCCTATATAGCTGTACCTTCGGGCCTCGGCGGCCTCTAGACTCGAGCTAGAAGATGATGGTCTGCCTGTAGGAACAGCGACGCCGTGACGGCTCGACGCTGGACAGGTAGTAGCGCGATGATTCGAAGTCAGGTGGTCAAGTAGCGTTGGGGTAAGAAGTAGGATGCAGTATGTAGGTGTAGTGGGTAGATAGAGGAAAGCTTCTGTGTAGAGGAATTGACCGGGTCACTCGTCATGGTTATTGAACCGCAAGGAGAAGAGGAGATGCTTATCAGGATGGTACGGGACGGTTTATAACATATACATTGACTAAGATGGAGCAGGTTGTAAGTGGAAGAAATGAAGGCTGGGCGTGTATAAAAATTGTGAGATGTGCAAAAGCGGCGGTTCCCCGTCAAGAAAAGACCCGTCAGAGAGGCACTAACTTCAGTAGACACCACTGGCGGCATGCCGTGGTTGCCCTTGCCTTGCTAGGCCATCTCTTCTATGAGCTCCAGTCGGGTCGTTGAAGAGTCAACGATGCCCAGCCCAGCTTTGCAATTCCCAGAGCTAATGATAGCTAAGGAACTCAGCCTCCTTCACCAAAGCCAATGTGTCTGTTTTGGGCAGAGATGCGCAAAACACTCCGATGCCAAGTCTTGATGCAGGGGTGATGAGACGGTAGTTGGGAGGCCCACTGTCGACAACAGCCTCAGCTTTAACTCCTCTCGAGTACGACATCAAGGTTCCCAGGCATCCAAGGTGTCTAATCGGTGTCTGCTGGTGAGGACTGTTCATCCCATTCATTCTTGTGGTAGTCCCGCATCCACCGGAAGCAGGGACGTCGGCCCCGGAGCCAAACCTTCAGGAATATGGAACTTGCTTCTTCCAGACACTGCTGACGTCGAGGATAATTCTGCTCTGGTCTGCCGTTGGCCGTAGTAGAAATCCAATTTCATGCCGGAAATTGGTACCCCTCAACTCATTCCTTCCATCAATTCGACGCGGTCCAGGACCATCCCTTTCCTCAGGACAAACTGGCGCAGGGCCTGGAATTCGGCCCCCTCCTCCTCGCCGAACCGTTGCATCTGAGAGAAGCCAAAGGAGCACGCAACTTTGTCGAGTGCCGCGCGCTCTTCCTCATGCAGCCAGCGTTCCCTCAATGTAATTCCTGGAGCCCATGTCACACGCTTCATGTGGTCGTTCTGTGTGAGAATAGCCAGGAGGCCCATGGACCCCGTGAAGCCAACGTACGCCAGTATGCCAGCAGTCGCCACAGCGGTCGCCGTCCCCTGGTCAAAAGAAGTCTGCAGGTGAGCGAGGTTTGAGGCCACAAGATACACCGCCAACGGAGCAGTGGCAGCGGCCGAGACAGGGAGGAGACCTCTCCTCAAAACTTTCTGTCTGATGAATGCCTTGGTGGCGTACGTGTTCTCAATGACGCCGATGGCCGCGTCCAGGTTCTTGGCTTCGATCGCTGCGTCCAGCGCCTTCTCGACGATAGTAGGATCGACAGCATTTGCCGCTTTATCTGGGGCCTGCTGCACGTACTCGACAGAGCCAGACTTGCCGTTGGGCCTGGGTTTGGTGGCGTACAAGCTGAGAACGTACGGGAGGGTCTCTACTCTGCCAAGTCGTGCTTGTATGACGACGTAAGCTTCCAAGACCCGAGCAGTGATAAGAATCGAGGGATGAGAAATGATTTCGAAAGCCACCTGGGATATGTGATCGATTACGTCGCTTGACGGGGAGTTCTGGGCGCTTTCAGCAGCCAAGTGCTGTGTGGTCTTGGCTGCGGATCTATCCAGGGACAAGAGTGAGGACGCTGCGGTATCTGACTCGGATGCTTTGGTGGAAGTTTGATTTATGGGTGCGCTGAGGGCGACACTGGCCGCTCTGTTACAGTGAAGAAGGGCGGTAAGCACGTCGTGTTCAGGAGGAACCTGATGCCGAGCAAGGAGCTGGTCCTTGGCATGATCGGCGGCGATGATGGCGGCATCTGCTGTCCCGCGCGAGGTCGGGCCCAGGTCAGCAGTAGATGGAGATCCGTGGCTGAACGTGCTGCCACGGGCAGACTCGGTTTTTTTATCCTTCGCTGGCTTTGGTGTCCCAAATCGATAGGATCTCGACGAAGAGACGCCTGTCCTGTGAAACAAGCCTGTTCTGGACTCTGCTGGGCACGGCTTGACTATTGAATTTGTCGCGCCAAGTGTTGCGATGGAGCGCTTGGCGAGATGGAGGGAGGAGAGGTGCGGCTGAACAGCGAGACATTCATGAATCTGCCGGAATCTCGGGCTGTCTCGTGAGGCCAGACACCGCTTTGTCGTGACGGACAGCCGCATTCTGAAGTGATGGCTTGAGATAAAGGCACGGCAATCGTGAGAAAGGCCTTGGTTGGGCGGTAAGGAAAGGGACTGTGAGGCCTGTCCAAATAGAGGGTCACTTCAGTAGTAAGTTTTATTGATGCATGGTCTGGTGAGCATTCAAGCAAGTCGTTTTTCAGGTGGGTGAGTCGTCGTTGCTTGCGTTGATGGCCGAGGACGTTTCTGGGAATGAAATGTGCCAAATGCCAATTCTCGTTTCTGGGCCCTGGAGTCGTCTTTTTCCCTGCTGACAGTACAGACTGAGATGAATCTCAAAGATAGGGTAGAATATGATATGTGACCGTGATCGTGATCGAGATCGCGAGTCAATCTTGACAGGGTGATAAGCCGTTTTCAACACTCTCTCGTGCGTGGTCGGAAAGTTCAGGATGAGAATTATCAAATCGACCGAAGAGAAGCTTCGCCTTGCATTGTCCATGCCGCCACAACCCGAAAGAACACCCCTACCCCCGTCGTGGCTGGAGCCTAATTGCTGCGCCACACCTCTGACGACACCCTGGAGCCCAGAACCCAATCTATTCATATGTTCATTGCAGTCCAACCACCAACACACGGCCCTTCAGCCTGATCCCTTATTACTGTTTACTAGAGTCAGGCTGGCACTGGATTTCTCTACATTCGCGCCCTCTCTCTCTCCATCAGTCACTCGCTCGAGAACTTTTCAAGTTCTTAGTCCAACGTCGCAGACGATTTGCAATCACGAGAGTCAACCTGCTGCACAACTTGGGTGGTGATATCGTACACGACAGCCCCAATCATCTACGGCCTCCTTCCACCATTTCTCCTCTATCGCTGGAGAAGTACAGACTGAGCCACAAACTGTTCGCTCCCACAGCAAGAATCTTACGAACATGCCGCCGCCTCCACCACCTCCACCTCCTCCGCCGCCTGGCGCGTCAGGAGGTCCTCCTCCTCCTCCACCACCACCGCCTGGTGGTCTCCTATCGCGTCCTGCTGGTGGGTCCGGAAGGGTAAGTCTCCCATGGTGGAAACGTCTTCTGCGCCTGAAGACGGTCTTTACTGACTCTTGACGGGTGGGTATGTGTGTTCCAGGGAGCTCTCCTCGCCGATATCAACAAGGGGAAATCCCTCAAGAAGACCGTTACGAATGATCGATCCGCGCCTATCGTAGCCAAGGCATCCGGCGGCGCTGGGCCCTCGCCGCTGGGGGGAGCACCACCCATACCTGGCATGACGAAACCACCTGGAGGACTCGCGCCGCCTGTGCCTGGGAACAGGGCTAGGAGCAACAGTGACCAGGGCAGCAGAGACGCTCCCGCCGCTCCCGCCATGGACAGCGCTCCGCAGCTGGGTGGCCTGTTCGCAAGTGGCATGCCAAAACTACGAAAGACAGGCGTGGGTGTAGACACAGGAGGTATGTCGTCAGTTGTTATTGGGTCTTGCTTGACTTGTTAGGCGTAGTACAGTGAGGCTGACCGGAAGAATGTCGTTGTAGCCAACCGAGACGCATCTTATCTGTCCGACCCAGAGTCATCCCGTTCCTCAGCGCCGAAGCCCCCGACCATGTCAGCTCCTAGACCTCCAGCCGCCGCTGCTCCGGCGGTCCCGGGGCGTTCAGTGCCGAACCTGCCTGCGCACCCTTCGCTGGCAAATTTGAGGAGGCCAGCCGCCACAGACCGTCCGCACTCGTCAGCCTCTATGAAGCCCGTGCCGCCTCCGGTGGGGAAGAAACCACCTCCTCTCCCCAACTCCCGCAAGCCCTCCGCACCCCCGCTGCCAGGCGCACCGGCACCCCCTCCGCCGTCTATGTCTGCGCCTTCTCTCCCACCCGCGCCACCGCCTCCACCGCCTACATCTGCCCCTCGCCCGCCTCCAGCGCCGCAGCGGTCGCCAGCGCCTCCACCACCTCCTCCCTCATCGGCAGCTACACCGAGCATAGCTGTCCAGGCCATCATGGGCGCCGCCACAGCAGCAGCCGCCGAAAGGAACACAACGTCGCCAACTTCGGCGCCCCCACCGCCTCCACCCACAAGTGCGCCGTCACCACGCTCTGCAGCCCCCGCCCCTCCGCCTCCACCGCCCGCTGCTTCATCCGCCGGTGGCAGCGTTAACCGCGCGCACTCCGGCTCGGTGTCAGGGCTTCGGTCCATGCTGGACATCAGCTCCTTCACACTGCAGCCAAACGGGGCCGCCAAGAGCCCGAGCCCGACTCGGACCGACTCGGTAGCCTCCAGACCGAACGGTGGAGGAGGAGCATCAAGGGGCCGGATCGTCGTGGAGGATCCGAGATGGAAGTGGGTGGACCAGTCGATGTTCCCCAAGCCGAGGGAGTTCCGTAGCAAGCCGAGGAGGTACAGGGCGGGCAGGGGAAGTAGCGTGCCGATAGATCTGAGTTCTCTGTGAAGGGCCTCATAATGGACTGCTGCTTGTTTTTCGAAGAGGAGCTAAGGAGATGGAATGTTGATTCTAGATGACATGCCTACGGGAGAGATTATCAAACACTAGATTGCAATGACAGCGTTTGATGTGAGAGGCTCTACAATCCGCATCTTGATCTTGATGAAGTACGCGACGCCTGAGGATCGTTCGGTGAGTTCTCAGCCAGCACGTGCAATTCAACCTCATTGAATCTCAGCCGCTCCAGAGCTGAGCTTTGCAGTGCAGGTATCTCGTCTCATTCTTTGCTATGTAGCTTGGAGAAAGCTGTGATAGAACACGCATAGACCCTTTCAAGTCCCGAACATCCCTTTCTGTCTGGCCCGTTTTCTCCCAGATAAGTGAGTGATGTGTAACAGCAAATCTAGCTCCTATGCCTATCTTTCTATGAATACTTCCAGCACAAGTACTTAGCCCTCGTGGTGATACTTGCAGACCTTTTCCAGACCCAGCTGGATTCTCCTCGTGTTCTTCATCCAGTGCTCGCTCTGGTAATTGATCCAACAAGCGCATCCAAGTTTGTAGGGGCCGGCTTGGAGAGACAATCAATCTCGGCTGATGATCCCCTTTGCTGCTTTCTTCAGGATCATCGTCTCTTTTCCCAGCATCCTCACACTTCCTTTACCTGCAATACTCCTTCTAAATCTGTCATCTAAAATTTCTTGCGTTCAGCCACTCTCCAGGCATTCGCAATGTCGGTTTCCCCTCGCCACTGTGATGGGTTTTGGAGCTCCTCTGGGTCTGCTCCTTCTATCTGAGCCTCGCGCTGAGCCTTCATGCGAGCTCGCCTTTTGTTCATTTGCTGTAATGTTTTCCTTTTCTTTTTCAAAACTTTACTGTCATCGTTGCTTCAAACCTTCCGCAACTTCGCCAGTTATTGCTTCCACATGTGCAATCTGCTTAAACTTTCTCAATACTGCTTCAAGCCTTCCGTGCCTTCGCTAATTCTTGCTTGCAGTCTTCTTAAACTTTCTCAATACTGCCTCTCACATTCCTCTTGTTATTTATTTTCAGCTTTGTATCAGCAGTAGTTGAAGTTTTTCTAACCCCCCAACCCTCTCAACACCAAACGTAGATCTTATCAAGTGAACTTCCTGCAGTATAGTTCAACGCTGCACAGTCGCTGCTACCTCGACACTTGTGTTTAATCACTCTTCGGAATTACTGTTATGTATTGGGCTTGTACATACCTTTTCTGATTTTTTTAAGTTGAAGACTGGAACATCGCTGTTTACAAAGTAATATTTCTCTAAATTTAATGATTAGTAATTGTGAAAAATGGGGCATATTTAACCCTAACCCTCTGTTTTGGTCTCCTCATAAACCATCTCAGAGCCTGGTTTAGTTACTTAGAAGATCTTCCTTTTGTATTAGATAGATTCAATCTCAACACTCATTCAGCCACTTCCACGTGCTCAGCTCATACGTTTCTCCTTAGTTATGAGCCCGGTTCGCAAGAATCGGGTTTAATCTTCCCCTTATCTATCGAAACAGACTGAGCCGTTCACTTCTTATTCTTTCAGAATACATCTTTTGTCCCAAACAGTCATACTCACGCTCCATCAAAGCCCACGATGGAGCGCGAACCTGACGACCTCACGCTCTCGGTAAAGTACACCGACACCTACTCCTTTCCATCCTGGTACAGCATTTTGCAGTCCCAGAGCAAGGGAAAGGGTGTTTGGGAGTATCTAGACCCGGATGGCCCAGATGCGCCCTCTCTCGAATCTGAAGACTTCGACCTCGAGTTCTCCAAGTTCACTCAGGATCTTGAGGAGGAGCGCAAAAATACTATAACGGAGAACTACAAGCCACTCTCTATCCAGAAACAAGCTATTCTCTACGATCAGGAGATGAAACGCTTTCAGCTTCGTTAAAACAAGCAGTTGCATGCTCATCAGAACGTACAGAGAATATGGAACTGGATTCAGAAAACAGTACCTCCGTTAGTCCTCGTTCCTCACATGTACACCTATCCAGGAAAGAAGTCTCCCTCGATTCAACAGGTGCTCAGAAACCTGAAGAAAAACCTCTGTCCGTCCGAGGAGAGCATGAAACAGGTCATTCGCCTCCAGTACCGCCATCACCTTGAGCTGGCCACCAGGCAAGGCACTGATTTCCAAAACTGGTGCCGGCAGCACCAGGATCTCCTGAACCTAGCTCGGGTTTACGGCATTAACGAAGTTGAGAGACT